GTATCCCTCCCGAGAGGAGGTTTGTTCTAGGACAGATATTTTACCTTTGGTTTCGCGTGTCCAAGCTTGCTTATTTGCCTCTTCTTAAAGCAGGTCCGCGCAATCAGAAGACAGCATTTATTTTCTAAGGAGGCTAGAGATTCTGAAACTTTCGTGATCGGAGACTCCAGTATCGGATTATTGTGAAAGGGACGGGGAAGATGTTTCTCCGTCTCGACTGACACGTGCCCGATGAAGGTGTGAAAGAAGGCCCAGACCCCTGTCTGTTACCCCTAACAACTCCTCGTGTGAAGGTTTCCGTTCTACATGCAGGCCCTTATATATTTGATTTGTTTGAATTCTCTATATCAACATCAACAACTCCATCTTGATCCCAGTCGCCAACATATTTGAAGTCGTCAACCAGTATCCAGATGGCTTACCCCAAGCTAACCTGCCCAACCGCTAAATGGTATGTCATCTCTGGTGCAACATATCCCAATTTGCTTACATGCTGCAGTGGCTGCTCCTCAGTCGTCATTGTCAGGGTCGGAACCGCTGACAAGAATGAAGTGCACAAGATCTGTCGAAAGTCGATTCAGACTTCAGATTTTCTGAAAAGCCACATCAACGCCTGGAGAGGAACTGGCCCACCTCAAGTCAATTTTACATGGCGTGGACCAAATGTGTTTGGGTTGTACGATCACTGGATACACACCCGCAGTGTCCATACTACCGCAGAACTCAACGGTGCCAGGAATCGGGATCCCGTCGTTGAATACGGAGACCTCCTTACGCTATGGGCCCTTGGTAACGACCTCCAAGATATTTTGTTCCAGGATATGGTCACCAGTGCGATCATCGCTCGTCTTCGTGTCCCCAACGGCGATAGCAGCAGCTTTCCACTTCGGTTCAACACTATTTTCGCGAACAACTTGTACGACGGGCCAAGGCCTTATCACCTATGCGAATGCTCATTGCGGACGGTATCGCACATTTTGGTAAGATGGACGTCTTCGAACGCTTTCATAAGGAGGCCGGGTATCCGGTGGAGTTCGTCAAAGATGTCATGCTTGCGACAGCCAAAGAGCGAGATCGATGTCGGCAAGCAAACAAGACGGAAGTAATAATTACCGCAAATCACAGCTTTCGCGAGAATGAGTGTGTCTACCACCTGCACACGAAAAATGGTCGCCCTTGTTGGCGCACTCAGGATTACATCTAGCATGAACTGACGAAGAAACGGACGCCCGACGGCATCAGGTATGAGCGGGAGGGCCAAAGCTCGGGGGATGACTGCGTGGACATGAGGGATAAAAATGGGCGGCCATAAAATGTCGGTGAATGTTCGTACGAGCAATCTGGAAAGGCTTGGACGATTGCAGGCTCTAAAAGGTTCCCCAGATAGAGAAAGGGCGTACATTCGGGTGGCCATCTTGTAGCCGATGAGATTTCAATATTGATAGTCGACATCGTCCTCTAAGCTCTTGCCGAGCATGCATGTCGATTCGGGAGTAGTAGGATCCAACCGCCCAATCTGGGCACTCATAACAGATAATCAAACAATTTTTACCGTCAGTTTGTATAAGAGTATTATGCGCACGGCTTTCACTGATGCGATTGCGGTTTGAAGTTGTTACGGTCAGCGTTTTGGCAAACTGCGATGCTCGGGTGCCCACCCTAGCAAGCATATGGAGAGCTTAAGTAGGTCACAAACCACCAGGATTACATTGTTTTTCAAGAGGATTTAATAACAAGACCAAAGAGATGCTCTATATCGTCGTGCAGGGTTCGCTGCCCGCACATTATATTACTAAATTTGCCTTGGTAAACCTCCACGATTCACTTGTGCCCTTCCACCCACACAATGGGGAAACTAAACATAGATGTGAATGGGCGAGCTCGCCTATGATCACGTTTGGTGTAAGATATGTTGTCTAGCCAACCCGATGACGTGCAGATGCGGAGCGTGAAAGACGCATATTTGCTTTGCTGATCTTGAAAAGAAACCAACGTGGCGAAGCGCCATGACGCGCCTGCACCGTTCTATATATTCAATCTTCGATGTCGACAACTTTCGTCGTTCAGTAATCCCACAACCGGGACAAACCCACCTCATAATCTTCGCTTCATGATTTAAGGAGATAGTTCCTTCTCATGCAATGGGGTCTCGGAAATGACATTTACCATGCGCTGTATCAAGACCTGGTCTTGAGTGTTATAGTTGGCCGCCTTAAGGAACACACAGTCAATAAAGCCGAGTGAAAGGAACAGAGTAAGGCCACCCCACGTTGCCAATGGCACCCTAGTCTGGTTCTGAGAGTTGACCGCTGAACTTTTGCCACAACCTTATCACACTAGCAACCTTTCACCCTCTGCATTATCAGGACTGCAAGTAGCGGCCCTTTTCCTTGCAAACCTAACCTCCAACCGAACATCCCTGAGCCTCCCAAAGCAAGAGTCCCGACGGTCGCAATACCTCATGGCGGCTATGCTCAGCCAGGCGAAGCCATGTCCAGCAATGCGATGGTATGTTATTTTGGTCTATGCTGCAATCTAAGACTTACTAAGTATTTACCAGCTCATGTGAATCTCGCATCATTGTCATCCTGGGCCTGAAAGACAAGAAAGGTTATACAATCTGCCGAAAACTTCCTTGCACATCAACATACCTGAAAGAAGCCATAGCGGCATGGAAAGGCCCTAACCCACCCGTGGTTGAGATCAGGTGGAGCAATGAGCAGACCTTCCAGACATACCATCACTGGCTCCTCACGCGTGAGGTGCGAACGAACAATGACCGCAATGGCACCACACAGAATGCTACGGCTTACTACAATGATCTTATCAAATGCGGTACATTCGGAGACCTCATCAAAGACAACCTATTCCAAGATATGATTATGAGCGCATTCACCGGTCGTCTCCGGCAGCCCTCTGGAGACCAATATTGCTTCATTGCCGCACTCACCATGGAAACTCTGAAGCTAGTATATGATACAGTCCTGCCCGGTTCGCCCCTCCGACAAATCATACCAGATGTAGTAGGTCGGTTCGCGACCGTCGCTTCGTTTGAGAGTATGAAAAAGGCGACAGGTCTACCACGCGACTTTATTATAGACAGCATGGTCGCAGCAGTCAAGGAGCGAGATAGACTGAAAGCCGCCCTCAAGGAGACGAGCGAATGCGCCATTGAGCCGGCGAAGAGGGTGAGGTTCAAGGGCGAAATTCCGCAGCCACAAGGCTTTGCGCCCAATGAGTGCGTATATCACCTGCATAACAAGGACGGGCAACCGTGTTGGAGGGTCCAACTTCATACATGGTAGCGGGGCCTCCTCGCTGGAGGAGCTGTTGTCTAGGAAGTTGGCGTCATAGGATGATGCATGTTGATGCGAGTGTGTGGCTGTACGGTGGGTCGGGTTTACAACGGTTGCTGCAACAGACAGATGTTTTTTGAGGGGAGACAGAGCTCACATAATGCATTCGGACGGCAGGAACCGCGTCTTTTGGTAATGTTTGCCAAGAACCCATGGGCTTATCTGCTTGCTTCAGCTATCAATATCAAAGCTTTATTGATCCATACCGGACCAACATTTGCCTGACGCTACAGACATGTAGAGTTCCATTGTTCACCTCCGATCGTGTAGATGTTCCTTCATGGGAAGGTCTCCCATTCCCTTGGAGCTTTCAAGCGCGCCACTACAGGATGATTTACCGGTAGCGAAATGGAGTTGGAACACCAACAACAAACCTTAAACCTGACGCGTACCATATATACTTGGGTACTCCATATGATTGTCTTTAATAACATCGTTTATATGACTAAGATTATGAAATCAATCGCCGGGGAACCCGCCCGAATACCTCACGGTCACCTGACATCAATCCTTCACAGTTTGGGCGGTCATGTTTCCTCTCTAGTCGCATGTAGCAAGCATTCTTTATGCATATTAATAACGCCTAAACTGCACGTTCTAACGCCGCCTTGGATCTGCAGATTATACGCGGCACGAACGCATTCCGCAATGAGCGAAGTCCTCAGTGAAAGGAAACAGTGGAACATGCCTAGTCTGCCAACCAATCGTAAGCATGCCCAGATGTGAAAGGGACAGCAGTGGCTGGTGACCGAATTGCCGCACCTGGAACACATTATATAAACTCTAAACCTGCTTCACAAATTCTTCGTAGTCATTAACACGAAGTTCCAACCTCTCCATCCTCCAACCTGCGATCGACGACCATATCACCTTGGCTGCCGGCCTTCCTAAGCTTGACGATGGCTCCTTCAACCACTCCTTGTCCTAAAGGAAGATGCATTTGTAGGAATAAAGTGGTTCTGAGAGTAGGGTCAGAAGCGGATCACACGGCTTTGGAAATTTGCCCCAAACTTCCCGTGACCTCACAACACCTTATGAACGGAATCAAGGCCTGGAAAGGCGACGGCAGACCAGTAGTTGAAATAACCTGGAGAATCGGAGCCGACAGCCCACTAAGTTACCACCACTGGCTTTACACGCGAGTGATCCAGACGCGAACCGATCGCGAACCCCAAGCGCCCAAGAACCCCGGACTGGACTTCTGTGACATAATACTGGCTTGGATGTTTGGTGGGACTATCAAGGACGAACAGTACCAGGACACAGCCATGAGTGCGCTGATTGCGCGCCTTAGAGCACCATTTGGCGAACAAGCCCATTTCCTCCGGACAATCAACGCACTGTATATCAAGGGAGTGCACAACAACTTGCATGAGACCTCGCCGCTGAGGATGTTGGTTGCAGACGCAGTGGTTTGGTTTGGGAGCCCGGATCTATTTGAGAGGGTCAAACACGATGACGGAATGCCGAAGAGTTTCGTGGCAGATCTGATGGACGCGATGCGCAGGGAGCGAGACAGACTGTCGGCAGCCTTGAAAAGGATACAAACAGAACATGATTTCGGGTCGAAGAAAGTGAGATTCGCGCCATCTCTTCCAGCAGAGCAGGAGAAGCAAGGGGGAAATGGTTTTGCTGAGAATGAGTGTGTATATCATCTACACACTAGGACAGGCCGGCCATGCTGGCGGAGCTTGTAAATCACAAGGAATCAATACCAACCCGGCGATTTGAGATCCGGACCGCGATCCCTCACCGCTGTAGACAGCAGCTTCCAGTTCCCATGTTCTCATCTCGTCCAGGGCGGGTTTTACGATGGAGTATTTCCAAGTCAGCCTACTGTTATTTCAGGGGGAATGTGATAGACTATGCACAACAGGGAACGTCGATAAATAGCTTGAATCCCATGAAATCAGGATAAGAGGATAATTTGCGTGCGCGTGTGAAGATATAGATGCGCGAAGCCTGAACGACCCCAGGGAGCTTGCCATGAAACATGATGGCAAGAAACCTGGGTTACTCCGATGGTCTGATCGATGCCATATTCATATGAACAAAACCTGCGGAGATGGCGTCTGCAGATCTGGAAGATAGCATATCCCCCATATAAGACTCCCAAAACGTGTCACGAAGTTATGACAGCTCATTCAAAGGGTCCATTCATTGAAGCCAACATGTACCGCATCGAGGCGTCCAACATCTGCTCATTGACGCTGGACCTTCGACGCCTTCCAATTACACTCAGTAGTTGAGTATCTTCACAACCGGTTATAGCTCGCGCTGGCAACGAGTTGCATTGATCATGTTCTTGTTCCGGCGCTACGCGCAGTTCTACTTCGTTGACCATATGAGGCTAGGATCTCGATCCTTCGTAGCATGCATCTGGACGACGATAATAAGGTAATCAGATATTTATAAGTCTCAGGAACGTGTAGTTATTTAGAGATGGAAGATGGAGGGACGTTGAGGACGTTGAGACAAAGTGCTCTAGGCGTATCGATAAGAAGGGCCGCTAACCGGCTTTGGCCTAGCGTCTGCAACTAGGAAGGGAAGGTCAGATTCAATATATGCTTTTCGAAACTGCATATATCTATATGAAGGCGAGAAGCCGAATGTACATAATCGTGGATTGTCAGCTCCGCCGTCCAACCAACGTCATGATTTGAGCGCGTGGCAACAGAATGAGCTAGCTCGGCTAGGCGTAAGCAAGGGTAAAATGCCTCTTTCTTATCACACGCCACCTTCATCAAACATCCTTCCGGTGACTTGGAGTCGTGGGTCCTCGGTCCGCTCTCTATTTGATACCTATCACGCGGTAGCTGTGCCTAGACTGGCCGAGTGGGTGACCATTCATTAAGGCGGACCCGTAAGCCACGACCTATGTAGCCCAGCCCCCTTGCTGTTGTCACTTTCATCTTCTTTACATCGCTTTCTTCAATACACAGTCCGCAACAGCTTCGACCATTTAGTTAAAACATATCATCACTCTTCTCTTGTCATAAAACGGGTCTCACCAGAAAACGTATTTTCCTAGCTTCACGAGTTCCGCTTGTTCACACTCTTTTACCGTTTTATCTTTTCGAGTCCTTTGTCCAACACCTCGTCTTACTACATATCTCTGTGTTGCATAACACAACGCAGTTCTCAGCCCCGCCAACGTTCCCGCACATCCCAATATGGAACCAAGAACTTATATCCCCAACAACAGGTTGAACTCCGACCCCGGTATAATAACCCGCATGCAGCGAGACCTGTCTAGCTCTCCCCATCAGAGTGACTCCCCTGGAGCGGAGAGTGATTCATCTATGCTTCGGCGCGCAGCTGGCAAAAGTCCGCATGTCTGCATCGTCGGCGCAGGGGTAGCTGGTCTGCGATGTGCAGACGTATTACTCCAACATGGGGCAAAAGTGACTATGATCGAAGGGAGGGATCGTATTGGAGGAAGGGTATCTTTTGGGAATGCTGGCACGACAGATCAGGGCTGACGGTACGCAGCTTTGCCAAGGCAAGGTCCACGGGAACTTAGTGGACCTGTATGTCTTTTTCATAATGCATGTCACCGCGTTCAGAGGAATGGGCTGATACAAATAAAGGGGTCCGAATTGGATACACGGCACGGACTCAAATCCAATATTGGACCTGGCCAAGGAGACCGGTACCCTGACCATGAGCTGGGACGGCCGACAAGCGGTATTTGACTATCTTGGTAATGCAATGCCAGAAAAGGACGCCGAGGAAAACACCGAGATTGTCTGGACCATAATCGAACAGGCGATGAAATACTCCAACGATAATTGCGCCGATATCCCTGCAGAGAGAAGTCTGTACGATTTCTTCATCGAGAAACTGGAGCAGCTTTTTCCTTCCCAAATAGAAGACGACAAAGTTGCAAGACAAAGACGGGAGACTGTCCTCCGTATGGCCGAGATGTGGGGAGCATTCGTAGGCAGTCCGATCCAGACGCAAAGCCTGCGATATTTCTGGCTGGAGGAATGCATAGATGGAGAGAACGTCTTTGTGGCAGAAACATATCACAAAATCCTACGCAGAATTGCGAAACCGGTACTGGATCAAGTAAGAGTTGACTTCAAGAGAAAGGTCACCAAGATTAGTTCGAACTTGAACGACGAAGATCCTAGCGTTACCATTGAGACCGAATCTGGACAGGGAGAGACATTTGATGAGGTTGTTATGACAGCACCGCTGGGATGGCTCAAGCGGAACAATGATGCGTTTACTCCAGAACTGCCAAATCGACTGAAACAAGCCATAGACGCCATTGGATATGGGCATCTTGATAAAGTATGTGAGACGGACTCTCGGCATCATGCAGAGAAAGTTCTAACTCTGTGAAGGTCTACATCACATTTCCAACCGCATTCTGGAATCAGCCCAGCGACGCCGCCAACATTGTCTCGATGCCTCACCAAACTTCTTCGGCCAATGTAACTGCCACCACCGCGCCTCTCAACCAGCCAGCAAAGCCGACATTACCCCCCACACACTACCCGGGCTTCACACACTGGACATCTCCCCGCTACACTACATCAACAAACCCCAACCACTGGAACCAAGAATGTGTGAATCTAGCCGCGCTTCCATCGCCTTGTGCACATCCCACACTTCTCTTCTATACCTTCGGTCCCACCTCGTTACACCTGGCCTTTCTATTGAAACAGTTTCCCTCACCATCAGACGTCAAAGCTCAAGCACTTCTCACCGAATTCTTCAAGCCCTACTTCTCCCGCCTACCCAACTACTCCGCCTCGAATCCCGAGCACCAACCCGCATCGATACTGGCGACGCTCTGGGCAAACGACGAACTCGCCGGCTACGGAAGCTACGCCAATTTCCAAATTGGTTTGGAGCGGGGAGATGAGGACGTGGAAGTCATGAGGAAAGGTTTGCCGGAACGTGGTGTTTGGCTTGCTGGAGAGCACACTGCGCCTTTTGTCGCGTTGGGGACGGTTACGGGAGCTTATTGGGCAGGCGAAGGTGTGGCGAAGAGGATTGCGAAGGCTTATGGGCTGGAGAGGGTAGGAGGGGAAAGTGGATGAGATGGAGCTATCCAGGTTTATTTTCGGCAAATACCGTGTTCAATTTTTTGAAGGCATCGCAGCATAGTTGGGCCGGATTTCAGTTTGGTGATTGCTACTCAGTTGCTGCTGGTACTGTGAACAGGTTTTACTGACACTAATGATTCCCTGCTCGCTCTTGGTCGTGCATGGCATGAAGCTGATTGACGCATCTGGTTATTCAATTTAGCTGACCAGTGGCTGCACATTTCGGGTCTGAAACTATTCCCTAGCCTTAACTTTACTGACTTTGGAGCACAACGCGGATGTCCAGCCTTCTCAGCAGTAGCCCTGATGCTGCAAGCCGTCCACCCTCCTAGCTCTCCCATAAACCCGCTGTAAAAAACTCTACGGACGGGAACAACCTAACAACCCAATTGATTCTGGCAGGTTAACTCCGCAACTCGCGTCTGGCGCACCGGGAACCAACGATTTCGTTATTTTATGCTTTCGTCCGATGTTGCGAGAGAAGACGGGAAGCCTTTGGAGAGAATATTCAAAAACAGCCTCAATCTGTGCAATATTACACAGTATAAATGAGTGGGTCACCAGGTTATGGCAATAGGAGCATCTTTTGAACCTTCTGTGCGACATGCTATAAGAAAGGCCCTTGAACAAGACGCCCATTTGGTATTGTTGATGCCCAAGTCGCTCAACGTGCCACAGTACACGATTGTTAGGAACCTTGCTGATCGGACGTACGGGATGCCGTCGCTTTGCCTCACGACTGGAAAGAAGGACCGCATTGCTCTTGAAACCTATCTTCGGCAGGAAACTTTGCGGCTGGCCGAAGGGGAGTTCAACGAGACTCCCGGAATTCAATGTTGCTGGGCGACTCCGGGGCCTAAAAGCATGGGGCAGGTCATGTTTTGGCTGTATGGAAACTGTCCTGGTGCTCTTCAAATTCAGCAACTATCTCGACCCGTGCCCACGACAGTAGCACTCCTCCTTCCTCCGACTCTTCGCAGGTTCAAGTTTAAGAAGCTACTGCTTCAGTGTTTTTGACATCTGGTGACCTTATAGGTTGCCGGTTTCTTTCTGCATGATACTACTTTTTGTTGGTAGCGATAAACCTTTTTTTCGACATTCTGGTTGGTAGACGTCTTTTTGATCGAGTTCTGCTGAGGAATGAATTCCTTCTTAACTCGAGCGATTCCAGCGACAGAGCTTTTTATAGATCTCTGTTTAATAAAAGTGCCCTCTGATTAGCCTTCGAGAGGCTGCATACCATCCCATGGCCATTCGTGGCATATCCAATATACCTTTTAACATTCTTGTGAATCTGTATATGGTGCTCACCATTCTCAAGATTAGATTGACATCGTAAGCATCCTGTGAGTTTACCGGAGTTCACAGCAACTACCTAAGTACGTCATTGCAGGCATCTTGCAAACGCGTAGAGGAGAAACATGGTAGACTAACATCCTGCACAGTAAATCAGGGTTCAAGAATCTTCGTGCAGGGTCCAATTGTGGCGCAGACCCAACGCGCTACGGGTGCTCCCGTTCACATGGTTGCGCCTCTGACGCGCATGATGTAATGACGTCACCGCCGTGCGACTCCCCGTCAAACAAACATATAAAGCACTCCTCTGCGCTTTCTCTGCTCCACTCCACAACACAGAACATTCGCCAACGAACTTCATTACTACATAAGCAAACATCAACTCTATAACATCCATCACAACCCACAAGCTGACACCAACAATCAACATGTCCACCAACGATCAGACCTCCACTCTGCAGTCCTACGTCGACTCCGCCAAAGGCGCTGTGCAATCCGCAGTGGGCTCATTGACCGGCAATCCGGCAGATAAGGTAAGCTCTCGGAACGACCCCCAATTTCATACCATTAGGGACTCCACTAACATGCCCTGCAGCGTGAAGCGGAGAACAAGAAAGCCGCCGCCGACGTCGAACACGACCTCTCCCATTCCGCCGCCAAAGCCGGTCCCTTCACTGCCACTCCTTCCGGTGGCGTCGCCAAAGACGATCCCAACCGCACGCAGGGCACGTGGAACCAGACCATCGGCGCTGGTAAGGAAGCCATCGGCGGCTTGGTCGGCGCAGAGGGGCTCCGACAGGAAGGCATTCGTCAGAACCAGGAGGGCAAGGGACAAGAGGCTGAGGGCCAGCTCAAGGACCTCAAGAGGGGTGCGGCGGATCGCGTTGGAGGGACTGTTGGAAGTGTGGTCGCGGGGTTGACTGGGAGTGAGGAGCAGAGGAGGGCAGCGGAGAGGCAGCATGATGAGGGGAAGGCCAGGCAGAGGGGTGTGGAGGCTGACTTGCAGAAGGAGGCTGAGGAGGATAGGCGTGTCTAAATTGGAGCACTTCGGAGGAGATGAGAAGTGTACTTTGGGATGTGAAGGGATCGGTTTTAGCCTCTTGACGATATGATACCCCTTTCATCAGGCTAGGTACCTGCGAATGAACTGGACACTGTAACAGTCAATTCTCGTCATTCTTGATCGCAGCAAGATCCGTGAATGCATGCACAGTGAGTAGGGACACTAGATCGGAGGTAAGAGGAATAACACTAGAAAATTGAAAGCGGCTTAAATTGGGAGCATTCGTTGCTAGTGGAAGAATTCGTTGAGTATAAATGAAGAATATACAGGTAAGAAGAGTTTATACAAAAGCCTCCATACACGCTGCAACGCATCAAATACTCAAGGGGTATCAGAAGAAGATAAATCAAAAAGGCACGGTACAGCCCGTTGCGAGTCACCCAAGAAGACGATCTTCATAGCCATGCCCAGGTCACAGGCACTCTCCCCAAGTCACGCTGCGCAAGCTTGTCGAACGCAGATGGACTGACATCGATATCGGTAGGTTTACATCCCGTGCCTAGAGTCGTGTCAGAAAGAATTCATAGCAGTGTCAATTACGATGATGAGATAGAGACTGACATCGGTCTACAACAGTCAGATCAACACTGACTGTTTTGCCATTGTTGGCTCTTTGCGCTCGTATCCGCCGTCCACATAGCACGTTTTGATTCGGGTCTGATCCCGTCTGCACCGCATCGAATGTGAAGTGCGATATGGCGACAATGTCGTCGTTGGCTGTGGATGCTATGCCACATGCGCCAAGGCCAGGGTCATAATACGTCAAGTCACCCGTGAAGGTTTCAGCTCCAGTAGGCAATGGAAGGTTCCGTGGTCTACATGCGTCAACATGCCAATCCAAAAAGAAGATAATTATGAACATACTTCGATGATTTTCTCGTCAACCCAACAGACAACCCAATCACAAGCGCCAACACAACAACAAAAACAACCCCAACGCAGACGAGAAACGTCCGCCGGCTACGCCCCAGATAGCGCTTGTGGGGCGGGAGCAGCCGGTCAAAGCGATCCGCAATGGCCCACCCAGCAGCGAGTCCGCCGATTGGGATCCGGAATTTCTTAGAGGTGCCCTCCTCAGGGGTTTCCCAGTCCGATGGAGGCTTCTCGACAATCTTGACTGCCGATGGCTCTTTGAGAGCCTCGTCTTGAGGAGCACCCATGCGCGCGTCGTGGAAGTGGATGAGTACCACGTTGTGTTGCTGCGACTGGCCCCTGAATGTGAATTGCGGAGGCACGTGAGCGCGCTAGGCGTAATATAGTGCCGATTACCGACGCCACTTGTAATATCTCGGTGCCGAGGTATTGCCATCCACACGTCACTGCATTCACCATCTGTCGCCAGCTCGTACCGTCTTATTTCGCACTCTCACGCCACACGCGTCGCTCCCACAAGTTCACCCGTCATTACTCCAGGAAGTCCATTACTTACAATTTGCAACCATTCTTCCCGCCTTTGCTTTCCGGAATCGCCTCGGAAGGCTCCTGCGCCTCACCATGGCAGAACAAACACTGAACATCCCGCAGCTCGTAGTCTTCCTACTCGTCTCCTACTTTGCAATAAGATGGTATCTCAAGCCTAGTTCAGGAGACGCGCAGCCGGCCGGGGGTCGTAGAGCTCCGACGGTCACCGCTGCGCAGGTAGACCAGCTAGCACAGATGTTTCCGCAGTTCGACCGGCGGCAGATAGCGTGGGATCTGACGCGGAATGGGGGGAATATGGCGGCTACGACGGAAAGGGTTCTCAGCGGGAGCGGATTGGAAACGGTAAGATTCATGCGCTCTCAAGAGGTGGGTTGTCGTATGCTGACTCTTTCTCTACAGCCCCCTGCCTCATTCACGGCACCTCCATCACAATCTGCGTCTGCACGGCCGACGCCAACCAACGCACCAAAACCCTCACAACCTGATCTGATAACGCGGTACAACCTCGCTTCGAAACTGAACTCCACGTCCGAGAATTCGTCGGAGGCGCCGCAGAAGACGAAGACATGGTCGCAAGATAAGAACGAGAGGCAGGCGATGCTGCAGCGGAGACGGGAAGAAATGATTCTAACTGCAAGGAGAAAGATGGAGGAGAAGCAGAAGGCGAAGTCATAAGAGTGAATGAATATGTTAAAACATCGCATCAGGGTTGGCATTATAGACTGGTCTGCGCAGCAATACATCATGCCTAATTAGCAGGAGAAACAGCTCATCCATTACTCCAGTTCACGTATCATTTTCAAGACCAGTTCCAACGCGTCCGGACCCCCCTTGTTCTCCAATAAGCAAATCGAAGGTACACAGCATACGGCGTAATACAGGACAGCAAAACCCAAATCGAGGACACGGATCATCTAAGCTACAAACATCCCTCCAAGATATCCCGCTACCATCAAGCCGGTAATCTCTTTTCCGCCCACCCCTCAATCACTGGCAACGCTCCCAACACAGTCTCCATACCACACTGAGCAGATTATCCTCCGCCTCATCATAGCACGCACACGACCTGAACATTCTAGCCGATAGTTAGTCGCCTTCCTTGGTTTCAAAACCTCGCCCGTGCATATTCTGACTAGGACGTCTCGCAAAAGTTCGGCCGTGCAATCCCTCCCTTCCTTGCCCACTTTCTTTCGCCATCGCCCCGTTTGGCCAAGTAGTTTGTGGGAAGAGGTCGGGATGCATTGGATGGTGTGGAGTAGATGGCGGGTTGAGGAGATGTCTTCGGTGGCTTTTGGGATCTTGGTGATGGCTGCTTTGTTGATGAAGCGTGTGGCGATGGTTTCGATGGGATTGTCGAGACGGATAGGGGTTTGTGTGGTGCGGGTTGTGGCAAAGGGGTGTGGGCTACGGCTGCTAGGAGGGGTGTTGTTCAATAGTGGGAAGATTGGATGCTGGAACTGCCGAAGAGGATGAGGGGACTGTGGTATGGGGGCGATGTGTATGTAGAATATGAGAAATGGCGAGGTATGACATGGAAAGCTGTGTGGTTGAATGTTTGGTATTATATGCTGTGCTACCCCCGGGGTTGGCTATGGTACACTGACTCCAGATATTTATTTGATGTTTATTTACGTGTCTTATAAGCGAGCGGCCCGTACAAGCGAGCGGCCCACGTTATCAACTTTCTGCGACGCGTGAACCCCTACCGACTATGGCTCCCCCAATTCAACCACAACTAACCTCTTGTGAGGCTGATATTCACCTTGCGATCTCAGCTATTGATCAAAACCAAATTCAGTCTGTAAGAGGTGCTGCACAGACATTTAACATCCCCCGAACAATGCTCCGACGCTGACGCGCTGGCAGGCCTGCCCGATGCGATTGCCAGCCTAATTCGAAGAACCTTACCAAGCTGGAAGAGGAGGTGATTGTTACACATATACTTGACCTGGATCAACGTGGATTTGTGCCTACATACGCAGCTGTACATGATATGGCCAACAACCTGCTAGCTACGTGTGGCGCAGGCTAGGTTAGTGTCCACTGGCCACGCAACTTCGTCAAGCGTACAGACAGTCTTACAACACATTTTAATCAGCCGTACGATAGGCAGAGGGCTCTATGCGAGGATCCTGAGTTAATTAAGAGCTGGTTCAAGCTGGTAGAGCAGACAAAGGCCAAGTACGGCATCTGTAATGAGGACATCTACAACTTCGATGAGGCTGGCTTTATGATGGGCAAGATTACTACTCAGCTTGTTGTAACTGGGTCAGAGAGAAGAGGTCGGCCGAAGGCTGTTCAGCCAGGAAATCGCGAGTGAGTGACAGTAATCCAAGGAATCAACACAGCTGGCTGGGCTATCCCACCATTCATCATCTTTGTTGGCCAACACTATCTCTCTGCCTGGTACGAGGAAGCTGATATCCCATGCGACTGGGTGATCGCAGTTAGTGACAATGGCTGGACGAACAATGAGCTAGGAGTTGAGTGGCTAAAGCACTTCAATGCTTATACTAAGACTCGTGTTTTAGGTGCTCATCGCCTGCTCATCCTTGATGGCCACGAGAGCCACCACTCCCTTGAGTTTCAAGAATTCTACAAGGAGAACAATATCTATATGCTCTGCATGCTAGCTCACTCATCGCATCTGCTCCAGCCTCTTGACATTGGTTGCTTCGCACCGTTGAAGCATGCATACAGCCGTGAGATTGAGGCTCTGATCTGCCACCACATCAACCACATTACGAAGCTTGAGTTTCTGCCAGCTTTCAAGGCAGCCTTTGATCAATCATTTACATCAACCAATATCTGCTTAGCTTTTCGAGGTGTAGATGTAGTTCCTCTCCAGCCTGACGTTGTTCTGTCAAAGCTAGATGTGCAGCTCTGTATACCTATGCCTCCAGCTACTCTAGTAGAGGCTCTCTAGGAAGCTCGAACACCAAGCAATATACGTGAGCTTGAGGCTCAATCAACGCTAATATGTGATCGCGTTCGGCAGCATAAGAGCTCATCACCAGCCTCAATTATTAAGGCAATTGATCAGCTCAAGAAGGGGGCTGAAGTAATGATGCTCTTGGCTGAGCTGATGCACGATCGGATTGCTAGCCTTGAGAGAGCTAATGAGGCAGCTATAAAGTGGAGGTAGCACAAGAAGAAGTGGATCCAGAAGCATGGAGTCTTAACAAAGGGAGCAGGAGAGGATATACTTGCTTACCAAGAGGTTGAGGAGCAGATTGCTCGTGAACAGCGTCAAGGTGGTGTGCGATCAGGACTCAGCCGCCAGGCTCTGGTGCGCTGCACAAGGTGTAGAGAGCCTGGGCATAACTCACGTACATGTAAAAAAGGTACTTTAGATACTGCTTAATCTATTGTATTAATAACTACATACTACCTTAAAATGTGGTTGAGTTGTATGCTTGTAGAGGTGCACGAAGTTGGTAACGTGGGCCGCTCGCTTGTACGGGCCGCTCGCTTATAAGACACGTTACCCTAATTCCCAAACGCTTTTCGGACCAGGCTCAAGCTGGCGGCCTTCGTCAAGACTGCTGGTTGAGTTATCCACCCACCCCTTCCCATCTCTAAGAGGGACTGAAATCGAATGCCTGGGAGCCCCATATCTCATCTTGATCATGTGTCGCTATGCTGAATGCAGTGCACAAGCTTCCGAGATCCCCCTTAAGCGTCAGACCGCCGAGTTTGACTCTGGCATACTCCACGTCCCATTCGGAAACAACGTGCCCGCCCTCGTATAATCCAACGTCCTACCATCCCTAACATACGCAAACCTAAAATACTCGGGCACCTTGAGCTCAACATCCCTCTCCCACACAAAGCCGCTCCCATCCTCATCATCGAAGAAAGCACGATCGCGCTCTACATCGTTGACCAGGACACTAATCCCCTGCATTCCCTGCGGCGGCTCTGCCCACGAAAAGGAAGCGACGATGGTCTTGGCTTCCGTGCTTATGACAGGTTGCAGCACCGCGGGAAGCAAGGAGTCGAAAGTGCCGTCGCCTCGCAGCGCGTCCGTAGTTTGGAGAATGGAATCGAAATCCCAGCGTGCGATGCCGTTGACGAAGAGACCGAGGAGGATGCCTTGGTATAGCAGCGAGGGACGGGTTTGCATGCCGGTTCCTGGGAGGAGGAGCAGGGCGAGGATGTAGTGGTGGATGCGGAGGGAGACACCGGGGATGGATAGGCAGATGAGGATGCCGAGGATGAAGAGCGAGTAGAGGCCGAGATAGCGAAGTAGACGTCCCTCGAGCCAGAAGGAGTAGATTTGTTGCGCCATGATGCAGATGAGGATGACCAGAATGACGGCAAGGGCGAGTTTGGCGTCAGGTTGTTGGTTGAGGTCGTGGGCTGTAAGGCGGGATATGGGTATCCATTCAAAAGTATAATTGGAGAGGGCTCCGAACCAGAAGCCGCCGAGCCATAGGATGGTTTTCTCGAGTTGGGCCTCGAGGCCCGATAAAGTGCGTCGGACTGTTGTCCAGTATATGACGACGGCGCAGAAATAGGCGGGAAGGATTCTTTTTGCAAACATGGAGATGTGGTCTGGAAGAACGGTGATGTTGCGGTACGATGCGGTAGGAGGATCCGAAGCGAAGGCGACGTGTGCGAAGATGAGGGTGAAAATGGGAAAGAATTGGAGCGAAGTAGACGAAAATACAGAGATGAGAACGGTGAAAGACATGGTTAATGCAAGAAGTATCTGACGAGGATCTGCGGGACAAGAAATGCTTGAGTCTTCTGATATGGAGAAGGAGAGCGGAAAGTATGCATCGAAAGGAATCGACGTGATGCCATGGCGCATGGCACTGGCAAAATGAGTGTGATCAGCAACGCGCGTGAGACGTCCACATCCGCCGCGCACGTTACTGACGATACCGGCGTGCAACGCTGAGGCGCAGATGAAGCTATCTCCACGATAGATGCCGTTGCCGATGACGAGTGGTCTATAGTTCACGTCCAGGGGCCCAACAGCATGGGGATTTAGGACCTGTACGGCTGCGCAATCCGCGGGGCAGCGGAATGCAAAGGACGCGTTGGAGAAGGGTCTGCAATTGATACCATCAAGACCGCATTCATTTTTGCGGTGCCAGACGGCGTCCACGCAGTCGAGATTTACAACGCTCTGGCCTGCGCCATCGGCTGTAGGCAGCTCAGAGCTAAGGAAGAAGATGAACAAGAAAGTCCAAGCTAACAGACCAGCTGCGAGGAGAATGGCTTTGTGGGACTTCTTGGGAAGAAACCGGCTCAGAAATCGAACTGGTGCGTTCTGAATGCGAGGCAGAAGGGGACTTATGACATGGCGGCGCGGCAACCGAGGACCGTTAAGCATCGTACAGAAGCGGTTACGATTCTTGGAGATGGCCACGTCCTCAAACTCGAGCTCCTCCGTTGGCAGCAACCGGGCCTCCTCATCGTCGTACTGCGCTCCGGCATGGGCGTCATCGTCAGGACTCGGGTTGGGGGAGGTGGAGGAGTCGGGCATCGATAAACAGTCTACAAACAATCAACTGAGATGCACAATGAGCGAATCGTGAGAGCGTACATACATATACAGCATGAAGGGTGAGAGTCGTATCACTGATAAATGATTCATGGTGGTTGATGATGACAGTCCTCGGATGATGGATAGTCCGGCAGTGAGATCGCGCTTGACGCGTCTAGCGGTTATCCCGCGGCAATACACCACTCAGGTGCCCTGATTGACCGCCGGAACGGATGAATTATTCTCCCACAAGAGCGGACCCGGATGATGATGATTGCGAGTTCGAAGCTCATCTTTTGCTGATCAATTCACGGCCTCCACGCGACATTGGCCCCGAGAGGTCGTGCTTTCCACCACTGCACGCCTCTTACACCTCCATTCCCCCCTCCGTCTCTTTCTTGGCCCGCGGTAATTCACTGACCTGTTCATCTGTGTCGAGCTCGAACGACCCGCGCCATCCCATCGTTTATTAGCCGTCATGTACGGACCTTGGGGGGTTGTTCTCCGTCGCGCCGCCGTCGCCCCCGCTACTCGGGCACCAGCGTCAAGAGCGACAGCGGCTTTCTTACCATCTCCTACCTCACAATATGCGTTACGATTTTACCGACGGCCTCCCTCGCCACCGGCTGCGCTCTTCGCATCCCGCTCGTTCTCAACGTCATCCGTTCGGCTGAAGGATAGAAGTAAAGATGCGCCAGACGTCCCAGAAGAAACTAGCGAGAATCCAGAGGAGCAGCAGAAAAGGCAGTCGGAAGTAGTTGAGGCATCGCGAAAGCCGGAAAGGCCCCGAGAATCAGATAATCTCGACGCAAGATCAAAAGTGCCGGATCCTATACCCAAGTCTGGAAATGGACGGCGCGCTGCCGGTGCGCGTGGAGGAGGGTCAAATGACGGTGACGGAGGGAGTGGTGGGAGGAGACCGAAGCAGAACGAGGGAACTTCGGCAAAGTCTGTGATACCGGAGGTTTACCCCCAGGTCATGGCTATACCGCTTGCAAAACGCCCATTGTTTCCCGGATTTTACAAAGCCATTACTATCAAGGACCCGGAGGTGTCCCAGGCGATTGCGGAGTCCTTTAGACGAGGCCAGCCGTATATCGGTGCTTTCATGTTGAAAGACGACAGCACAGATAAGGACGTTATCGATGATTCCAACGAGGTTTTTGACGTGGGCACATTCTGTCAGGTCACTAGTATATTCCCGCTTTCTGGAGAACCAAACGGCGGCATTAGCTGTGTGTTATATCCGCACCGCAGGATCAAGATGAGCTCACTCATACCACCCTCAATCAATGCATCCGGGGAGGCAGCCAAGGGGGAACCTACCGTTGTTGAAAGCACACTAGGAGAGTCAGCGCTCAAAGACACAGAATTTACCCCCTCGAAGGGCGATGTCGTGGCTAGTTTCGAAGAGATAAGTCCGGAGGCAGAGAACCCGCAGCATTATGAAGAGCCGATCTCGTTTCTCCGCAACCGAAAGATCAGCATCGCGAACGTGGAGAACCTAGTCGAAGAACCTTTCGACGTAAAGGAAAATCAAGCCATGCGGGCGCTCGTGGGCGAGATTGTGGGTACGTTCAAAGCCATGGCCTCCCAGAGCAATATCTTTCGCGATCATGTAGCGAACTTGACATGGTCGTTAAACATCAATGTCAACGATGACCCGGTCAAATTGGCCGACTTCGCTCTCGCCGTGTCAGATGGCCAGTCTGAAGAGTTGCAGGAAGCCCTGGCTGAGATGAACGTGGAACAGAGGCTACGCAAGGCGCTGACGGTCCTGAAGCGGGAGCAGATGACTGCGCAGCTGGCGCATAAGTTTGCCGAGGAGGTGGAACAAAAGAATCTCAAGGATGTGCGTCGGCATTTCCTTCGAAGTCAGTTGAAGATGATCCAGCAGCAACTCGCCGCTGAGGAACCGGCTGGCAGTGGCGCAGGCAATCTGGTCGCCATGTTCGAGGAGAGAGCATCGAAGCTTGCCATGCCCGAGGCGGTTCGGAAGATTTTCGATGATGAACTAGAAAGGTGGAAGGGGATGGAGCAGCAGAGCTCCGAATACAACGTGATTCGGAATTATTTGGATTGGCTCACGCAGCTGCCATGGGGCAAGAAGAGCGTCGAGAACTTTGACATCAAGCACGCAAGAAAGGTGCTAGATGAAGACCATTACGGCTTGAAGGACGTCAAGGACCGCATCCTTGAGTTTATCGCCGTCGGCAAACTTCGAGGTACTGTGGAGGGCAAGATTCTGTGTATGGTAGGGCCTCCAGGTGTCGGCAAAACCTCCATCGGTAAATCGATTGCACGAGCTCTGAACCGGCAGTACTTCCGACTCAGTGTCGGAGGACTTCATGATGTATCGGAGCTCAAAGGTCATCGACGAACGTACGTCGGTGCCCTGCCGGGTCGTATCATCCAGGCGCTCAAAAAATGCCAGACTGAGAACCCCCTCATTATGATTGACGAAATAGACAAGGTTGGCCATGGCATCCACGGCGACCCAAAGGCCGCTCTTCTCGAATTGCTTGACCCGGAACAGAACAACAGTTTCCTGGATCAATATCTCGACACCCCGGTCGACCTTTCTAAGGTGCTGTTTGTGTGCACGGCAAACCTAACTGACACCATTCCTCCACCTCTGCTTGATAGAATGGAGGTGATAGAGCTGTCAGGATATGTTGCGGACGAAAAGTTGGCCATTGCCGAGCGCTACCTCGCCCCAGCAGCAAAAGAGAAAAGCGGACTGAAAGACGCTGACGTTCAGGTGGAGAAAGAAGCCATACTCGCGCTTATCCACCAGTACTGCCGCGAGTCGGGAGTGCGGAATCTCAAGAAACAGATTGAGAAATTGTACCGCAAGGCGGCGCTCAAGATCGTCACCGACCTGGGTGAGGAAGCCCTTCCGGAGTCTCAAGCATTGACCGATGAAGGCAAGGCGGCTCTGGAGGAATCACAGAAAGATGAGACTGATGTGAAGGAGACTCCGGCGAATATAGAAGAGCAGACAGCGCAGAAGCCGCGCGAGCCCCTCAAAATCCCTGATACTGTGCATGTGTCAATAGGGAAGGACCAGCTGAAGGACTACGTGGGCCCACCCATCTTCACGTCGGACCGCATGTACGAAACGACTCCCCCAGGTGTTGCTATGGGACTCGCGTGGACGGCCTTGGGTGGCTCCGCTATGTACATCGAGTCGATACTGGAGAGTGCACTCACGGCGCACTCATCACCCGGGCTTGAGCGTACGGGATCACTCAAATCCGTCATGAAGGAATCCGCGCAGGTAGCGTATTCGTTCGCGAAAGGATTCCTGGCAAGGGAATTTCCGAAGAACAAGTTCTTCGAGCACGCGAGAATCCATCTTCATTGTCCAGAGGGCGCTACACCCAAGGACGGCCCTAGCGCAGGCATTACCATGGCGACCAGTTTGCTGAGTTTGGCGCTTGATCGAGCGCTACCGACAACAATCGCCATGACTGGCGAACTCACGGTGACAGGGAAGGTTTTGAGGATAGGTGGACTCAGGGAGAAAACCGTGGCTGCACGAAGGGCTGGTGCGAAGACGATCATCTTCCCTGCAGACAACTTGGCAGACTGGCAGGAATTACCAGAGGTATGTGTTGGACACGGTGCGAAACATGTTGAGAGCAGTTTATGCTAACCAGTCTCACAGTATATCAGAGAAGGGATCGAGGGCAAGCCGGTCTCCTGGTACAGCGACGTGTTCAACCTAATGTTTCCCGACCTAGACCGCGAAGCAGCGAACAAGCTTTGGGAAAAGGAGCTGAAGAGCAAGAAGGGGGACAAGAAGAAGTTCAAGGAGAAGCCAAGGAAGGAGGAAGAGGAGGAATCAGGCGATGAAGACGATTAGACCATCTCCAGTTGCCGGATGGACTGAAGATCATTGTATAGTATGGCATTACCGGCGTTCCTTGACGGGGAGGGAGTTGAATTCCCTGCCTATCTGTTCGAATATGTTGGAGGGATAGATCTGACGACTGCGAGGCATTTTATTGGACATATGCTTTGGCATTTTGAGCGAGAGACTAGCGTTTCGAGCTTTTGTATTCTCTCCTCTACTCGCATTGAGCCGGTTTGTATAGTACCGACTTACACCTAGATGTGCACATAGGTATATATATAAATACGCATGTTGGTACGATGACCTGAGTGTGGTGGCACAGGTATCGAGCTGTGATGGTGAATGCATAAGTGGGGCTATGCCCTGCAAGCCACACCGCATTCAGGCCCTTAAACCTCGAGGGTTAGCTGAGGAGCCCAATAGATTAAAAACGGTGCCCTCACACAGCCCGGTGCGGTGAGCAAATGGCCGTTTGCGAACGCTGAGGGCGGCGCACATGGCATTTTGACGTGTCAGAGGGGCAGATGTTGGCATTGAGGATATTCGAGAGCACTTTTTGCTCAGCACATCTCTCTTCTTTCTGGAGAATTTCGTGTTTTCTGCACGTCATACGGAGTGCTCTGTACCACCCCCTCATTTGTGTTGAAACCCGAAGGGGGTTGGAGAGCCGTGCGCATTTGTTGACCGCCAAGCCCCATTCATCTCGAAATACACGCCCAACAGCATCACCACTCATCCTCACGTCCTCACTCACTCCCTCCACCGCTCGCCTCGTCGACCGACCTTCTCCTCGCCGCCTCTTGTCGCCGTCGCAGAGTGCAGCTGGGACTCCGCGCCAATGTGCGATCCGCCACTTCCTCGAGCATCGCATGCCAGCTAGGCGGCCCTTCGAAAAGCTCACCAGTGTGAACAGCACAGCAGATCCGGGTTCCTCATCTGAATCCCCACAGCGATGCCGGATCTGTTGGCTCCCGGCGCGACAGGATCCGCGATGCGGTCGACGAGCAGGCAGCGGGCGCGGACCGACGCCCACCTGCGTAGGAGCAGCGTGTGGGACCCCTTGAAGAAGATTGGAAGCTGGCTGCGGCGGGAAGAGGAGGAGCAACCGCCTTCTTTAAAGCCGGACACCAAAGAAGTTGAACATGCAGACGAGAGCGGTCGGCCACAGACGAGTGGGGAAGACCACGGCCGTCCTTCGGGATTTCTCCACAGGCGGACGAGTAAGAAGGCAGTGCCTGGCCTCCCTCGTCCGCTGACCTTCAAGAGGATGAATTCGGAGAAGAGAGACAACCTGCTTCCGGTCCCTGAAGATGCAATGCACAGACGGGCTGCGTCGGTTGATCGAAGAGGGTCCCGTCCTGCACCCCAACGGGCCCTCTCGCCACCGCGCGTGGCCATACCTTCCATTTCCGCACCCGATGTGTTAAGTCCGCATCAAAGTGCTAGCGAACAGAAACCAGGACCTACAATAGGCGGCGCGCCAGACTCAAACATCCCCGCTGGTGCACACCAGGTAGACTATTCCATGGAAGACCGTTTAGACTATCTCTCTGCAGGGGAACCCCCGCCCCTCTCAATTGCTGGAGACTCCTTCTATGAGAGGGGCTCACACGTGTCAGGCTCTGACATCGATGAAGTTATGTTACAAGAAGAGCTTGAAGCCAAATGGATCCTCAACCTTAGCATGCACTTTCGCGATCGGTCGGATCGCGAGAAGTTTTTCATTACCTACGCAGAGGAGCCCAACAAGTGGAGGCGTGTCACCGTATCTTGCGACTACCGCAACCTGACCCCTGATTCTCTCGAAGCTGATCTCAAAAGCCTGCACTATCAGCGCGACAAGAGCGCCAGGATCTATGAGGCGATTCGCGACTCCCTTCCTGCAATCCAGTTCTATGATACAGTCACCAATCTCAAGCTTGAAACCACTGATGGACGTCTGCACGTTCATGTTACAGAGGACGTCAACGAGATCATTCCATATCCTTCGATATCTGCAATCCACCATTTGTCATGTAAAAGATTCAAAGAAAGCGCCGTCAGCTTCGACTCCCACATCTCTGGGTTCGTGTATAAAGTGTCGGTAAACCACAAGTTGTATATCAAGAAAGAGATTCCCGGCCCAGACGCAGTCGACGAGTTTTTGTATGAGATCAATGCACTCTCCAGCCTGCAGGGGTCAAACTCGGTCATCCAGTTCGAGGGCATCATCGTTGATGAGAAGAGCGAGGTTATCAAGGGATTATTGATCAGCTACGCGGAACAAGGCGCCCTGGTCGATGTCCTCTACGATTACAGGAATACGGAGCACTTGCCGTGGCAGCGGCGAGAGAAGTGGGCTCGGCAGATTGTCGAAGGTCTGTCAGAGATTCACGAAGCTGGTTTCGTACAAGGTGACTTTACGCTGTCGAACATTGTGATCGATCACGAAGACAACGCCAAAATCATCGACATCAACCGTCGTGGGTGCCCCGTAGGATGGGAGCCTCCAGAGCTCGCCCGACTGATTGAGAGCGGCCAACGCATCTCCATATACATAGGGGTCAAGTCTGATTTGTTTCAGTTGGGAATGGTGCTCTGGGCTTTGGCGGAGCAGGAAGACGAACCGGAACGACAGGAACGGCCGCTGGCTCGCTCACTGGATCGGCAGTCTTCCGTTCCAACGTACTTTCGAGAGATTGTTAAGGCCTGTCTGAGTGATAATCCTAGGGACAGACCGTCGGCGATGAGGCTATTAGCTCGGTTTCCTGATCTATCCGACAGACAAGCAGGGCGGGGAGACATTCGTTACGAAGATCCGGTGAGGAGGCAGAGCGATTATGAGACTTTGGATCATTCCATCATCATCAAACCCGATTCTGCCGGTCGGAGCGGTCACCACCGATCCCGATCATCGTTTTCAAACGTGCACATGCCCTCGACGGAATACCTTGATTCGAGCGGTTCATACATCATACCGGAGCACTCCAGACGCCGGTCCCACAGCAATCGAAGCCACAGCAGAAACCCTCGATCGGATTACTCACCCTACCATGGACCCAGGTCCATCATGTCGCTGGATGACAGCGAGCTCGAAAACGAACCAGCCAGTCTGCCCGCGAGTCGTGGAACCCGCTGGGAGCAAGTCTATGTCGATGGCGACACCAAACTGGTACAACGTGGCGGCCTCGATATTGGCCCAGGGGATTTTGAGCCGAAGGATGTGTGCATCACGACTCCGCCTACTGAGTTGTGCAATTCTTTCATTGAGAGTCGGCGAAGCGATGATACGCCTCTGAGTATGTCTACAGTAGCAGAACTACGCCCATCGCTTGCACAGCAAACCGCGAATCTGTCATACACTAGTTCCGACGTTGGGCAGCGCCGGCAGCCGTCAAACAAGGCGTCGTTCAGCGATCGCGTCCATAACCCCAACCGGACTGACAATCCTGAGCTAACCAACACACTGACCAATCTTGAAAGCGAGATCGCGATGGATGCGAGCATAGCAAGTAGCTCAGGTTTTGCCGCAGGAGATATTGATCAATCCGCTGTCTTCGGTGCGCCTCTGCATCAGGACTCTGGATTCAATGAACCTGAACGGGTGCGTGTATCTCTTGAAAGCGAACGAATACGGCAGAGCTTGGAAGAGAATGCGGCGGATCTGACGATCGCAGAGGAAGAGAAGTGCATGGAGGGGAAGTTGCGGATTGGGACAGAGAAGAATACGGAGGTGGAAATTGAGTTTCCGGCACTCGGACATTTTACTACCCCGGCGACTGTTGCGGGAGAGGAAAAGCAACGTTCGGCTGTGAGAGAGGTGAGGACGATATCCGAACATCCCGAACAGGAGCAAGTTCCTACGTCGGCAACCTGCAAGATTGGGGTGAGGCAGGAGGAGCCCACTGGAAATGTACTGGATGAGAAGCATTCGACCGCAACGATGAGGCCGCCGAGTTTATCGATACCGGAATTCCATCACGGTGTGCCGAAGCCTGTACACGGTCTCGCGGCCGAGCCTACTCGAGGAGGAGAACGAAGAATTTCAGAGGAAGAGCGTCATGCCGACGCACAATGCAGTACCGCTCACGTTGCGCCAGTTGCAGCAACATTGACCAGCAGCATACAGTCTCCTTGAACACCACACATGCGTTTTGCATTTCACCATCACGGAAAGTTTACTTGTCACATTTTACCCGTCTTTTCGTTCTTGCATACATGCCCTCCCGTTTGTTCATTTGAGTTGGGAGGGCTCATGATTGTATATTTCTTATGGAAGATAGATATAGGACCTTTTTAGTTATTGGGTGTTTTTGTGGGATGGCGAGTTAGGGACTTGGATTAATCAGCGAGCTATGGGTGAATGGGTTTTGGATGGGTTGGATTTAGCGCTGGTTATTGTTTAGTAAGGGATACCATAAGGAGTTGTTGAAATGGAATGTCGTTGTGGGATTGGGATTTGCGTTTGAGGTTGGAAAGGGATTGTGATGATGTGATGTGGTGTTCAAATGTGTGGTGCAGGGGACCACAGAGGGCACCTCCTGGCCAACGAACGCTTTTGCTCCTGATTGACTTGTCTTGGTCGCGGCCTATCTATCGATCATCTATCGATCCCGTCTTCCTCAGCTGCCTTTGTCCGCCTGCCTCCTTCCTAGGCGTGGTTGAGATAGATGTGAAATGGGATAACCGTCTGAATTTCAATTGTGCATTTGGTGAAAGTCGGAAGGCAACATCGTCATCTTCCAATGACCTCTAGAGGTCATGTCCAGATTGTACTGAGCTCAGCGTCTATAAGGCAGTTCTGTAACTTCTGAAATACTACAGTTTTGAGTTCACGCGGAATAGAAGTCCGAGCTTGAACTAAGGTTAAAACAGGCGTCTCGGCGGTCTCTTGGCAGTCTTCCATGCGTCACCATCCAAGCCGTGAGGTCGCCGCTCCATGCCGGGTATCCCCAAATCTATTTAGAACATGCCTCTGGGACAGGTTCCACGTCCAGCGGGTGCTGGGCAGTACTGTCACTCTCCATATCACACAGAATGCCACCGATAATCCCCCGCAAACGCCTCCAGTCTGAGTCGCCTCCTCCACAAGAAGAGAAGCCCGCCAAACGAGCTGCGCGACGTCCGCCCTCCCGCCGCGTTCATAAGGAATCGGTATTCCAGACTCTGGACACCCCACCTACGCTGTCTCGGTCGGCGTCGAAGACACGGGCGCTGCTGGAGCAGGAAGATGACTCTGAGAGCAGCGGGGAAGCGAGTTCCGACGAGGAGTTTGAAGATGTGGATATCGGGTGGGCGACCAGTTCGAAGGGCAGGGGAAAGCAGGAGGGCAAAGACGCGGATTGTAGTGCCGACGAGCAGTGGGAAGATGCTCTGATAACTCCACGGCTGGAGGACGAGCCCGCCCCGCAGATATCGGGAGACATCAACGTCACGGTTTCGGCGCAAGGGGCGCAAGCGGGTTTTTCGGCGGCGCCGGCGGGGAAGAAGGGGCCTTCGAAGATACAGAGGCAGATTCGCATGGAGACGCATTGTATGCATGTGCAGTTGCTCATGTTTCATAATCATCTGCGGAATGCGTGGGTGCAGGATAAGGAGGTTCAGAAGATGTTGGTGCATGATTTGAGTGCGAGCTGTTGGAAGGAGGTGGAGAGGTATTGGAGGGACGCTGGGATAACGGGTGGACCGCAGCGGGTTGTGGAGGGTGCGTGGCCGGGGAAATGGGCTAAGCAGCCGGTGATGTCGAATTGGCAGGATACGGGGAAATGGGCTAAGCAGCCGGTGATGTCGAATTGGCAGGATACGGGGAAGCGGGGGGTGGAGCAGTATGTCCCAGCTAAGGATGATAAAACCGCTAAGAGCAAGGCTGGGAGGGCGTCCGTGTCGCAAAACAAGAATGAGGATCGTGGTCAGTGGGACTGGGCACCTGGGTCGGAGAAGTTGGAACCGAACACGCCGAATCTCTCCGCTGGCGATCCTCTGTTTAGGCTGCTGAGGAGTCTCACGGCATACTGGAAGTCCAAGTTCAAGATTACAGCGCCTTCTCTGCGGAAGCGAGGTTACCTGTCCCCAGGGACTTGTGAGGCAGAGATTGCCGCTTGGAGAGAAGACCCATCGGACGCAGACACGTTTGGCGAGAGGATAGAGAATCGCGAATCATTCAGGCAGTTGGCGGAGAAATATCAAGGCAGTAGAGATGTGGGCCAACAACTGTTCACGGCACTGTTGCGAGGACTCGGCATCGAGGCAAGGATGGTGGCAAGTCTGCAGCCGTTAGGTTTCGCTTGGAACCAAGCCGAGGAGGGCAAAGGGAAGAATTTGGAGAAGCTGCAGACTAAGTCGACTTTTGCGAGTTCAAGAAAAAGGAGTACCAACGCAACGAAGCCGGTTACCGCCAACAGAAGCCCAGAAACAAGAAGAGGCACGAGAATCTCTCCTATCAATCTCTCGGACGACGACAGTAGCAGTTTAAGCAGTCTCGTGTCTCTATCTTCGGATTCTGATATGGGCACTAGCCTTGCGAAACCAGCGAGCAAGAGCCGTAAATATGGCGAGGAACTCCCTTATCCAACATACTGGACCGAAGCAATATCCCCCCTGACAAATACCCCAATATCGGTCTCGCCTCTTCCGCGCATTCTTATTTCCAGTTCCTCTGCTTCAGAAGGCCTTTCCGACTTCTATTGTCGTGGCGCTGCGGCAGAGAAAGCCAAGCAGGTATTCGCGTACATTGTGGCCTTTTCCTCTGATGGCTCGGCGAAGGATGTCACGACGCGCTATTTGCCGAAACAACAATGGCCGGGAAAGACCAAGGGGGTGAGATTACCTGCTGAGAAGGTGCCAATCTACAATAAGCGTGGAAAGGTGGTGAGGATGCACGAGTACGACTGGTTCAAGGATGTCCTGCGCCTGTATGCGCGGCCACGCAGCAAGCGGCAGCCGTGGGACGAGATCGAAGAGGAAGGCGATCTTGTGCCGAGGAAGCCCGAAAAGCCCAAGACCATGGACGAGGATGGTGGCAAAGAAACGTTGCAGGGCTACAAGGGCTCTGCGGTATATGTCCTAGAGCGACATCTGCGTCGTGAGGAAGCGTTAAGGCCAGGGGCAAAAGTGGTGCGTTATTTCGTCACGGGTAAGGGAGACAAGGAGAAGAGAGAGCCCGTGTATTACAGGAAAGACATCGTTACCTGTAAGACGGTCGAATCGTGGCATAAGGAAGGCAGAGCAGTCAAGGAAGGTGAACAGCCCCTGAAATACGTGCCCATGCGCGCAGTCACCGTTACTCGGAAACGCGAAATCGAAGAGCGGGAACGGGAAGAGGGGAAAAAGGTCAAGCAAGGACTGTACTCTCGTGATCAAACGGACTGGATTATTCCGGAGCCGATCCAGGATGGCAAGATACCGCGCAATGCGTTCGGAAACATTGACGTCTATGTTCCGACTATGATTCCTAAAGGTGCTGTGCATATCCCTCTTAAGGGCACGGCGGCGATATGCAGGAAGTTGGGTGTGGATTATGCCGAGGCGTGCACGGGGTTCGAGTTTGGAAAGCAGCGCGCGGTTCCAGTTCTCACAGGCGTGGTCGTCGCGGCGGAGAACGAAGACTTGGTTATCGATGCCTGGGAAGCTGATCAAGCGCAGAAGCAGCAGAAGGAGGATGATAAACGGACTGCTCAGGCGCTGTCATTGTGGAAGAAGTTCGCCTCTGGTTTGCGGATTATCGACCGGATGAGAAGGGAGTATGGTGAAGAGATCCAGCTTCCTGGCCCTAAGGAGAAAGCCTCGACCTCGGGGACGGTGGGGACGAAGAGATCGGAGTGGGACGCTTTCCAAAATCACACTGGTGGCTTTGAGGGCGGATTCCTGAGGGAAGATGACGAGGCTCAGCAGGGTCAATCTGCTGGAGGGTTCTTGCGTGATGACGACGATGCTTCCATGGCTGACGACCGTTCTGTTCGTCAAGGCAGCGCGACGAATAAGGATTCCGCACTGACCATTGATGATGGTGAATGGAAAGCAGCGCCCATCTCACACAAGCCCCCGGCATCATCTCTCCGAGCTCCTATATCCCTTCATGCTGCGCACGAGGATACTCCCGAAGTGAGTATCGATGGCTCGGTTGATCACATCCGGAATCGAGAAGATAGCAGAGACACACCCATTGAACCAGCAAGTAAACGCACCACTCGAGCTAGGCCAAGAACTTCCAAAGCTACCTCGAAACCAATGGACGGGACTGAAGCAGACACGGGACCGGATCGCCAGGATCGCTCGCTTCAAAACGAAACATCTGACGCTGACGTTGACGACAGCTCGGCAGCTGGAGGAGGCATCCAGAGAGCTACTCCGCTTCTGGGATCCCATCGAACAAGGTCCAAGCGCCAGTCGGCTCGAAAAGCGGATGCCAGGGTCAGGAGCCATTTCTTTGCGGAGGGCAGTGATGAGGAGACGGATTTGTCCCCTAGTAAAAGGCAGCAAGGCCGGGCGCGGCGGACACGGGCCGCGGAGTAGGGAGACGGATATAGAGTTGTAACGAGTAGGAATGATGCGCAATGGACTATGCTATTGTCCTCCAGAGGGTGCAGAGAGGCAGTTGCGCTCCCGCCGAGCCCATGAAGGGGCGGTGGGAGAAGGATGATAGAAGCCTGCTGTGATTGTAGCCCCGAATAGATCGAGTACTGCGATACCCAAAGATCCGGGACATCATGCATTGTCAGCCTGTAGTTTTGTTCCGCTATAGCAGATAGTCATGTGCTCATGAACTACCTCTGAGCCACCTTTGGTCCGTAACATGTTGCTGACGCTAGAATGCATGGAGTGTCGAAACTTTATTATTGAGTATACATTATTATTGGAAGATTTCTTGTTGGTCTTACATGCTATCCCCGTGTTACTGATCCTGAGTAGCATATCTGTGGGGAGCAGGATATATGGGGTTAGACATAATGATAGATAAGCGTGAAGCTATTGGACCCGAGTAGGATTCCAAATTCACTTTCTGATTTCGTCAATTTAGATCTCAAAGGCGGGGAACCGTGCATGCCACCTACAAGTATAAGAAGCCCATTGTGCTACAGCACTTCGACCACAACAAGCAATCTTCACTTGTGCTTGACTTGAAACTTCCCTTTACACCCTACGTACAGCAAACATGCAACTCAAATTCCTCTTCCTCTCCGCTCTCCCCACTCTTGCCCTCGCGCAGGGCTCACCAGGCAGTCCCGACTTCTACAACACCGTCGCCGACATCTTCTCCGGACGTAACTGCGATGCCGCCACCTTCGTCTGGGCGGATCCCATTTTCGGCACTGGCGGCACTTGTCAGCTTCTGGATCGGAATAACAACACGCCGGATATATACAGTTATAGGATTACTTCTCAGTACCCAGGGTGCTCTGGTAAGTTTTCCGTTTTCCTCGGAGATGTTGTGTTGGGTTTTGGTATTTGATGGGCGTGAGAGCTGATGGACGAACAGTCAACTTGTATGTCACGGACGATTGTTCGGGGACTGCGTTTCCGGCGTCTGTGGGCGAGTGCGTTTCGGCTCCGCAGGGGACTCCGTTTGTGAGGGCTTTCGTGCAGTGTCCGTTTTCGTGAGTGGTGGAGGGGCTATGGGATGGTGGTCTCAGTCGAGGTCGTGCACTGCGATGAATACTTGGATGTGCATGGACTACGGACAGTTTTAGAGTAGAGTCAAGTGCATATGTACTCAAAACTCACGTGTGTAGACCTTGGAACATCGTATTTGCCTCATGCAACAGCATAGTCTTGCAACTTACAGAACGACGGCCTAGGTAGCGGTCACATAACCCACGTAGTTGGATAAGGCCTCTCCACCTATATTAACCATCTCTAAGGTTGTCAATTGGTGTAAGCGCTATATCTCCCCACCGAGTAACGTATATGGTAATGTTAGTACTGTACGTCATGGCGGCGTAGTTCCATAAATCTGGACCTTCACATGTAAGATCCACATGCACCGGTATATTATGGTGGTAGATCCCCGCATGCAAGACTCAAAAGCTTTGAACATACATTCTTGCCATGGTTTCTCCTATATCGCTCGCGGCCAGTCTTGGCCTGACTGGTGTTGTACTTGCCCGAGTGAGGGAGTTTGTGAGCACTGTGCAAGGATTCGATATCTCGCACTGGCAAACCAGTGTCGACTTCCAGGCTGCATACAACGATGGTAGCCGGTTCGTGATTATCAAGGTTCGTTACAATTAACGCAACCTCCTCGCCGTTACGAACTCCAGAGGCCTCTATTAAAAACAAGCTAACACACCCGCGCAGGCCACAGAGGGTAGAGCTACCACAGATCCTAAGTACTATGATTACCTCAACGACGCTGCCAGTGTTGGCTTCGTCCACGGTGCCTACCACTTCGCGAGGCCCGGCTCCAGTAATGGGAGCACGCAGGCCACGTTCTTTCTTGCAAACGGCGGACGCTGGACTGCAGATGGCATGACCCTGCCTGGAATGTTGGACATCGAGAACAATCCTTCAGGCCCTCAATGTTACGGACTTTCGCAGTCCGATATGGTTTCCTGGATCGTAGATTTTGTCGATACCTACTCTGGTGACACTGACAGATTTCCGATGATCTACACGACGAACAACTTCTGGACGACTTGTACAGGAAACTACAGCGGCTTTGGGCATCATTGCCCTTTGGTGCTGGCAAGATATGCGGCTTCGCCTGGCCCTGTCCCCGGAGACTGGCAATCGTATACTATATGGCAGAACTCCAACTGGTATCCATATGGGGAGGATTCGGACATCTTCAACGGGGACGAAGCGGCTCTTCTTGACTTGGCCTCTGGGACCAGAACTGGCACATTCGACTCTGGAAACCTTCCGGGAATGACGGTACAGGAAGTGGTCCGTAATGAAGAGAAGGACCCTTCCCGTCTGCATTGGCCAAGCGTCTTCAACGTTATGCTGACCACCGACTCGTTCCCAGGGACGTCTAACACGGTGGACGACCCTTGGTCTGAATCGACCTCTGTTACTTTCAGAGATGGCAGCGTGTCACTTCTGTGCCTTTGCAGTACGGGAGGGGCGACCCAGACGACTCTCCCCTGGCGTCTGGCCAACACAATAACTGTGCATAACGCGTACATGAGACACGGCACGAGGCCTGACCCTGTCACAGGACAAAACGTTGATTTCTTTGCTGGCGTTGGTGCTGGCGGGGCGCACATGGTAGGCGACTCTGATGATGGACACATGGATATATCATGTCCAGCTGGTTGCGTATCATGGTGGTCCTACGGCAAACTGGTTGCTGGCCGTGACAGCAATTTGGAGGTCGTTATACCGCCTCCAGGAGGCCTTTACAGAACCATTACTGGGCCTAATGGAGACTGCGGGCTGGTGCGATGGGCGCACATTGCATCGGTACGACTTCACCATCAGACTTTCGCTGCACCGCCGGTGGTCGGGAATGCGTATATGCCGGCGGTCCTTGCATCGTCTTGTTTTCACTACTCCCAGAGGAGCCAGGGTACTCAATTACCGCAGCGTGCGCGGCCGCGTTCTACACAGACGAGAGCGCTGGCGCTGCAGGGTCTTGCATAGGCGATATGCTAAGTGTTACTGATTTGACACAAATCGTGGAGTACAGCCAGGTATACACGTAGCCGCGTGCAGTTCGTACCTGCGCGTCCTAGGGTACACAGTGGATGCGGTAATGGCAATATCCATGGTCAAAAATATCGAGGTCGGTCATTACTAACATCTGCCAATGCCACCGAGAAGCTTTGGCAGGCTCTGTATACCAAGGACGCTTACAAGGATATCTCCCCACACAGATAAAGCCGGTGAAAGCCAGGATTTGGTCCCTCCCACCAACTGCACTGAGTTGCGATAAGGTCTCACGGCTTACCTCTTACCAAAACATTCACTGAACCCTACTAAGGCGCACGAAATACGCGGAGATTACGAACGAGGCGACACAATCAAAGTTCCAAATCCGGTAATGAATTTCAAAAATGCCTATATGGGGAAGAGAAGTTGAAAGAACGCACCGTCCCTGTTGCATTGACTTGGAGGCGAAGTGTGACGTGTCATACCGAGACTACGCTGTAAACAGAGGCGAAGTACTATCGAGGCAGTCTTGCTTTGAAGTTGCGTTATCAGCACGAGAATGGGTAGCGGTTAATACACTGGTGATCAGATGAGTGTGGAGTTTCCACCTTCTGGTTGATTTAACAGCAAGCATGCTCGTAATAGTCTTGGTGAGCACGGTCACGGCCATTACGAACATGGGCATTAACTTCCTAGAGAAATCAATTCAAGCAGGTGCAATCGAATATGGTAAGGTAGGTATATTCGAGGGCAAAAAGTCAGCGCTGCAATACCACCATTTGCTCACTGATCCTCCTCCTTTAGTTTTACTCCGATGCCAAATCCTGCCACTCTGTCGTCCACTTCACCAAATCATCCCAAGAACTACACTCATGCGCTGTTCCAAACCCTCTCACCCCTCCCAAGTCCTCCTCCTCCACCTCCACCGTAAGATCAGGCCGACACATAAGCGCCTGCCTAAGCAAATCGATACAATGTCGAATATGCGCCGGACTAGCCATCATCGGGACCTCCGACTCGTTGTACCGTTGTCCCGACGTAGCTATCTCGTACATCTTGTAGTAACCATGGCGGATACCGTCTAAGCAGTGCAGTTGGTGGAATGTTGAGAAGGTGGAGCGTTTGGGTGCTATGGTGGGGTGTTTGAAGAAGCCTGCGTCGGACGGGAAAAGGTCGAGCCAGGCTTTGTCGGATTCTAGGGAAGGAGCTGATCCGAATAGCCGGTCATGTTTGAAGACTCGGTGTATAGAGCGCACTGCAGGAGTTATATATAAGGATTCTGTAACATATGGAGTGGTTGAAGGAACGCACACTCGGGCTCCCGTCTGCCTTGGGACTCTCGCACTGAAATCCTTCCCAAAAAGAAACACGAGACTGCGACCAAGACTGCAAGAACAATTGGTAATATGCGCGTATAACGCTTCTCGGTAAGCTCGAGCGAATGTTTCGATTCAGAATCAGGGTCTTCAAGAGCGCTGTAGTGATGATTGAGTGTCATGGCTCACAAGGAGAATTTGCTGTAGAGATTTCGTCGGAGTATGAGAGAAGAAGTCGCCCTAAGCTCTCGTATTCGCTGGATTGCGAAGACTGAAGTGGAATATAAGCTGCATATGCTACAAGGCGCTCACTATACATGCATCCCCCTCTTTATCCGGACCAGGAAAAGTATGGACACTGGAACACTCGGACTTTACTTAGTGTGTACGTCCCGATCGCACTCTTACCTACCGCCCCTTTCCAGATCCGCTGGAAAGCGCGCCACTAGTGGGTAATCAGAACGCCTTCGCTCCCGAATAGGACTGGCCTTTAGAATTGGCTAATTACCCAACTTGCAGCTGCTTTTAGTACCCCCTACGTGATCAACCTCCTGTTAAAAGTAGCTGGCTTAGCAGGCTTTCAGCCAACCAAACCCTTGTTTTGTAACCCTTGCGACCCCCTGCGAACCCCTCTTTTTCTCAGCGGATGTGAAAAGGGGCGGTATGTATATATGAGCATAGGGATCGACAGTCGTTCTCGTATCCCGACCTGCAACTGTCACGATAATCACCGAACCCCCGAAGGCGGAAAGATCAACATGTATTACTGCAATGTGTGCGGACAAAGGAGAACAAGTCGCATCGTACAATTCGCATTCTGCATTCTGCGAGAGGCAGTCAATTTCGGGAACCGTTCGCTTAGCGCAAACTACTATACCATCCGTTTTTTTTGGAAGTGATTATTTAAACGACTTCCTGTAGACATACGGCATGCACAGCGTGCGCTTTGCAAGAATGCGATGAGCTTACCTCGCTCGTAAATATAGGGACCGAAGGACCTTGTGTCGAGTTTTGCTAGAGGTGAGTATGGGACCGACAAACGCACCTCTGATGAAAAGTGCTAACATAAGGGAAGCACAATCGAACTCCACGCCATCATCCACATCACGATTGTCTAAAATTTTCCCCTAACATTTCCCCTAGCATTACAAGAAAAATCGACCATTTGTCCAATGCAAGAGACTCAGCAAAAACAGACACAACAGCTATCATCCGTCAAGCAGCGACATATCGAACCTTCAACGAAGTATCCCACACAATGGTCGCACACACCTGTTTCCCCCCTCCCTCAGCCGCCGATGCGAACGTTCGCAACTTCCTAAGGCCGCTCTCAACGAGTTCCTCGACGCAGCGATGAGATGAGTAACTGCAATGCAGACACGACCGTATTCCGAAGAGGCATACAGTCATGTGCCGAAGGAGACAGATGACTCTTTCCACGGACCGGTCATTCAATATTCAATAATAGAAAGTCATTATGTGCAGCTGCGGATTCGCTTCACCACGTACTTAACCTCTGAGCAAGCTCTTAACAGCGCGAAGGGCCCAGCCCTTAGGCACATCCCAAATGTACCCATCCACAAATATCCCACCAATGCTGTTCCCTCGCTTTATGCACCGCTCAATCGACATTGATCGCCGAATCCCTCCTATTCCCACTCGGCATCTTCTCCCCTTTCCCTGCCGCCGTCGGCATCCCCATCCCCGCACTTGCCTGTACAGGCACCGGTGGTGTCCAATCACCCACACCCTTATACGCCAAATTCTCCTCCCTCCGCATCATCTTCCTCCAATTCTCCGGCGTCCGCACAACCACCACAACGTAGTCTTTCCCATTCGTGCTCCCTGGGTCATATTGATAGCTCACTTCGGCGCCATCCTGAGCTATGTACCGGAACAGCTCGTCGCCGGCTTTGGGCTCGGGATAGAGGAGCGAGGAGAGGTCGGAGTGGGTTGCGCGGCGGGACTTGCGTTCTAGGGAGATGGGGCCGTCGCCGTTTTCGGAGCGGAGGGAGGGGTCGAAGTCGTATTCTATGACGTTTCGAGAGGAGTCGATGAAGCGGTATATTGGTTGCGGTACCATGGTTGTTGATGTTCAGTCTCGGTGGAAATGTGGAAGAAGAGGTTTCCGAGAGTTTCAGTCAGAGAGAATCTTATATGGTTGTCGGTGACTGATCGACGGTGACAACGACGTATTGAATGCGATTGTATGTTTATGGTATTCGGTGTTAGTAGTTGTAATGTGATGGGAATTGAGAGGTCGGTCTTCACTTATGATGATGTCCCTCCCGTAGTTATATGAACAAAAGCCGAATATCACGAGCTGTACCTGTACTATAATAAGCAATCACGGCTCACCATTCTGTGATCATCATGCCATCATCGCCGGAATGGACGGGTTCGAACGACTCACGTGACCGAGTTTTTATCGGACCATATCCACCTGACCATTGAGAAGTAGTAGGGCCTTTGATTCGCTGCACGTAGTGGGCTCGAATAATGCCCCGCTCTATGTTCGATATTAGTACAATCCAATCAAACAAGGCATATGCGAAAAGGACATCCAAAATTCGGCCCGGGATTAACGACTGGTGAATTGAGACAGCGATGATATTGGGTCTTAGTTCCTGTCAAGATATCTTCTTGTATACGAGGAGTGACACGGTATTGACTTGGGTAGTTGACATACACTTGACTATTTGCACGAAAGGTTTGTGATTTCAAAGCTTGCAGTGGAACAATTACCGTGAAGACATTCCTGGAGTGGAAGCGTGACTGCATAGGTGGCACGTGATCACGCGCTCGAGCGGTCACCATGCATGGCAAACGCGGTGAAGCAATGCAGACTGTACAAGAAGTTTTGTTCTCTCTCCGCTCTCCACCTTGGAGCTGAACTTTCTCATGTTGGTGAAGTGCGTAGGGACATTGCTTGGCGCTCATCTAATGAGTGTCCACAACTTAAGCGTGATCCTATTCACTATTGCCGTCCTGTTATATCGCGATATCGGTGAGCTTGAGCTGGCTGGTTGGCAGTCGACTTGGATGAGGGCCGGAGTCGCCGTCGCACTCCGCGAACCCGGTGAAAGGCGCCTCAGTGAAAGACACTCACTGTCTCAGACACTGAGGTGGCCCTGCCTACGCAGGCAGCGATGAGGTAGAGTTTTCACAAGCGAGGTGCTCGCGCACTCTGCGAGGTATAGAGTCATAACCTTTCTACACCCAACTTGCTCAATCCCTCCCCAAGCTTGATCCAACTCTCTTCCCAACAGGCCCAGCGCGGCAATCGCGGCCGAATCGTGACTCCAGTCAAACCAAGCCAGTGTATTCGCGTCCACACGACCCAGCAGACAAGTTGTTCCGATGAGCGGACGTCCCGAAGGACTGGCGAACGCGTCGGTCTTGGCCGAGTACAGCAATCCAAACGACGGCCGAAGATTGGTGTACTATATTGTCCACGGGACGACCTACGCCGAGGATCGGATCTTCAAGTATCTCGAATATGTTCCACAGGATCCGGGAGGACCTATCTTCTATAAGGAATTACCGGCCAACTGGATCAACCGTTTTCATCAGTACCAGCAGGAAACCCACCAGTCAGGAGCCAACGGACGCACATCAGAGGCTCCGAAAGATGTCGACCACGAAGAGCAGAAGGCCTTTGATGCACTCTATCAGAGCCGAGGGAAAGGGAAGAAGAGTCGTGGACCACGGCGTGATGGGTCTAGGCCCTCTGCGCTCAGGCACAAGATCGAGGAGGTAGAAGTGGAGGCAGATGAGGAACCATCTGAATCCAGCGAAAATATGGCGGCAGTGCCTCCTTCAAAGCCCAACGACGACCATGACGATTCAGACACGACCATGTTGGGAGTCGAGTCGGACACCAAGGATGACGAGAAGCATGAATTGGGCCCATTGCTACGTCTACCAGCAACCATCCGCTCTCGCATTCTGGCAGATGTACTGCGTTACCGGATGGTTGGGCCTCCGCTGGCGCTCCATGACATTGCTAGTCTCCCAGCGGTGTTCCACACGTGCAGGCAGTTGCGTCTCGAATCATGGAAGTTGTGGGTCCGATATCCGTTGCACATTCTGTCGCCATTGCCGCGGGATGTGAACCGAACTACTAGGGCACAGCTGGCCGGTATTGAAGCGATCTACGGCAGTGAAATCCCTAGGCTTACGTTGTATGCCCGTGTTATAAACCAGATCACAGCGAATTCCATCGAGCAGCTTGTGCGTAAGCTGGCAAATGAACCTGGTCTTGGACCAGAAAGCCGCGTCCTATATCCTGAGGCTGATGAGACAGGATCTCAACGCCTCAGTATATATGCCCCAAATGTGCTGGTACGGAAGATGAGGGATTCGCCTGAGCGGTTTGCGCTGGGAAGCCGATATTGCTTATCATACGCTCCCACTAACCACTTGAATATCTTCGGATGGATGCGCTACGCCGAGCTCACGGTATCCCACCTGACGATCCAGCTGCAAGGTGCCGCGATGTGGAATGACGCTGCCACAGGAGACATCAGCGCAAATGGGGGTCTTGCAATCATCGCCGCGATTGCTTCCATAATCGCGTTCAAGCCAAAGGGAATCGAGACAATAACCCTGAGAGGTCTGACCGGCTTTTGTGACGTGGTCCATGACATGTGGCACAGTATTCCAGACCGGACACCTCTTGTTGGTGGAAGGAATAAGCTCCTCGATGGGCTTGTCAAGTATCCGTTTGCAGACTATTACTGCGACATCAAAGAGGTAGTCCCTGATGGCGACGGAGGGCTGACGAAGAGGCCGAGATGGGGCAATATGTTCGGACTAATGTCTGAGTTCCAATGGCAGAGCATGATATTAATGACTCGGTACGGCAAGCACTATCCATCCTGGGAGTTTGTAGCGTGAGAAGATGGAAAGGAGGGAACGGCAGGGCAGGATTTTGTAGGTATCGGAATCTGCGGATATTCGTCCATAGTACGCTCTATGATAATCCAAACGAGCCTGAAGGACTGAGTATACGTTACAATACAAAGGAGGTTCGGAACATAATGAGGGTGAGGTTCAGATGAGGTGTGTTGTGAGTGACGTGAAGCTAAGCATTCTTGAGCTAAGCTTAAAGCGGAATCGGTTAGCCGCAGCCCGCAGCCCGCATTCCCCGGGGTCCCACTTACCTCCCAGGCTTCTTGGCAGGACTTGCTGACCGCGAATGGAGCCCTGGAGGTGAGACATTTACCAGATCCGTCGAGCCCACTCTCAACTTTGCTCAAGCAAAAGGCAACCACAGATATCCTTTCTCATTCATACGTCCCACTCTGAAGACGTCGCCAGCACCGCCGGATGCCTCTCCGAGCTGACACGCCCGTTCCCGCTGCAATCCACCGATAACGCCACCATCGACCCCGTCCCATGACCGCTCCGCTCCCGCCTTGAGCATGTCAAGGAAGACTTCCGCCATACACTTCCAGCAGATCCCGCGCCCGCGGTATAGGAGGCCCACGTAGCATTGACTCGTTCAATGGACCAGCGGGTATTCGAGCAATGGGACTGCCGACGCCCACCTTTCTGGTGGGGCTCATCCTGCTGGCCTACCTGCTGTTCTTCGTGCTTTTCGCCTTCATACGTATAGCGACCGGTATATCCATACAGCGTCTGGGCATCTCTGGCCTCCGTCGCATCTCATTCACGCCAAAGGATGGCATTCGCATAGAGATACGAGGACTAGGGCTCTCTTTCCATCGCCCTACCTTTGCACGGCCGACCTGGGTCAGCGTGGTCTTGACGGAATTGAATGTTATTGTGGACTTGCGAGCCTTGGGCCAGAAACCACAGAAGAAGTCAGCGCGGACTCAGGGAGAACATATTCGCATGCCCTCGCCACATGGGGCAGCAGGTGGCCAATCATCGGACACGCTGGAGGACGGAGAGGGCGATAGAGGCGGAGCATGGGAGCGCCTCGCGGAACTAAAGGAGCGCATCAAACGCCTGCACCGCCAAATCGAGTGGATACGCCTTGTTGACCTTGATGCCACTTCTACCTCTCTGACGGTAGCGGATGTCGGCTCCCTTCAGATTGGCAGCTTGAGCATGACGGTCGACACCCGCAGAAAGACTGTAGATCGTAGTCGTCTTTTCAACCACCATAAGCCCAGCAAAAATAGGGAACATCGGCCCGCTGAATGGATCATCGCCACCCGCAGCATCCTCTTCACGCCCGAGGGAAAAGACTCGACGGAGATAGTGGACCACTGCACGCTGAACATATATGGTATGCTTTACAAAGAGTTAGATGGCCTTCGAGATGCGTCCATCGCACTGAAACTGGGGCGGCTGAGCATTCCTTACGATGACTTGGAGCTGTGTATCGGACGCGCCAAAGCTTGCCGGAAATCCGCTTTGGACGAGCAGATCGGGCTGCACCATTCTAGCGTATCTTTCGCCGATATCGTAGACGAGCTCGAGTGTCCAGGTAGTCGCGAGGGTGGAGTTGTTCGTGCGATATCCGACTCGAAAGAGTTTGCAAGCTCCATTATGCGCGGTATTCAAGAGTTTCAGTTCGCGGTGGGCTTTTTCGGCCTCACAAAGAAGATCCAAGAAGCAAGCGAAGTTGGCCCATCGATATTCCTAAACATGTCCATGAAAGACGTAGGGTTGGACCTTCTGCGGCTGGACCCGCGCAGTCCGGCGCATGTGATGTACTTTTCCCGCGACGACATTGCCCACCAAGCCCTTCTCGCCGCTATATCTATATCTGTTGGAATTGATGACGGACACGGCCATCCTGAGCGGCTCCTGTACATTCCTATGGCTACGAATACTTTGAACACAACCCTGCCTTCGAAAACCATCCAATACTCCAGAGAAAGGAATGTTGCGGACAGGAACACTAATATCCTGCATGCAAACCTTGTCGTAACTTCTCCTTCACTCGACCTCGACCCGAAGCACCTGCCACTCCTACTTGCAATGTCTCGCAACTACGAGACCTCGCAACGCAGAGCCCCCAGTCTGCAGACACAAAAGCACTCCCTGCTGCGGCGCCTGCTACCCAAGGCAACCATCAAAATCACCATTCATGAACCTGTAGTGCGCGTCACGCTGCCACCTATGGATTCCGAAAAGCAAGATAGTGAAGAATTCGACCTGCTAATATCCGCATCATCATCTGTCTCTCTCGATGTCGAGTCATCCCATGCCGCCGACGGCGACCTGCACTATGCGCTCACCTCTACCCTCAGAATGAACTCGCAACAACTATATTACCAGACCACTGGCGGTGTGAAACATAGCCTCCTTCTCACCGACTACCTGGAGCTCAAACTGCAGCTGAGTGCCTCGCCAAACATTGTCGTAGTAGTCAACGGAACGGCCCAGACATTTTCAGTTTTTTTGGTGCGGCCTGAGTTAAGTGAAGGTCTACGCCAAATCGTATCTCAGATTCAGAAGGATGTACGCCGGAGACGGGGGGCACCGAAAAGAAAGGGTCTCAGTTTTCTACGAAAAGTTCCCTCATGGCTATCCCTTGTGCAGTTACAGGGTTCCGACTTTAACATCGAAGTGGCTGGGACAGACGCCCAGGTGTCCAAGGACCCGCGAGGCGTGGGCTTACATCTGGAAAATTGGACTGCGGAATATCGTCAAGATAAGGCGGAGGCGGGCGATTACCGTCCTGCGCGAAGGCGCGCTCCAAGTCGCACGATCAATCGGGATGAATACCTGCTGCGGCCGTCGACGCCGACATCTCCCCGATCACCCAGACGAGGCGTAGGCGATGCCACTGACGGAAGGACGCTCTCTGTGCAGTTGAAAGGCCTAGAAGGATTTGTGCTCGAAGCTGGAGACAATTGGGAGTCAGAACCTTTCGTATCCTTGCCGCAGATGGAGGTCTCCTTCACCACAGCTTCTGACAAGCAAGGGCCCCTTTTCCATGTCCACGTATTCGCGCAGGCCCTGTTCTTTCATTACTCTCTATATCGCCACTTTGCCCTTGGTGTTGCTGCGGTGGTTCTGCGGCGCTCGTTCAACCGGTCCCCTGATCATCAAAAACCGGATCTGGCTCAACCTCGTACTGCTCGTCACCTCGCAGTCCCTTCGCTGGATGGTGAAGAGGACGATCATGCGAGCATCAATCCGAAGCGAGAATTTGTTACCTTAGATGTCCGATCGTCGTTTGTACAGATCAAGGCCGATATGCCCTCAGATCCAGCCCTGATGTTGCACATATACGAATTGGAGGCGGGGCGGCATCGTTGGGCCAATCCATACCTGCGTTCTCGGCTCGTTCGTTTGCATGCCGAGAGCCCTCACGTCAAGGCTGCGTGGGCCCGTCTAGTGAGCGTCAAGTCATTGCGCCTAGATTACAGGGAGACAAAACGGAGGTATGGACATACGGTAACGGAAGACAAGTCGTTTGATATCGCCACCGACGCGATTCGCTTGGCAGTTCCACATCAATTGGTGATGCACAAGGTTTTCGATAACATTGTCAACCTTACGAAGACCGTGGAACAGCTTCACAGCCGATTCAAGACCGGTATTGAGGGGTCCATCCCGTACAAGGCACCGAAAGGCCCGAAGCACGTCCCCAAGATAACCCTGCGCAGTCGTGCGGTGCTCTTCGAGCTGGAGGATGATCCCTTCGAATTTAAACTTGGTGTCATCTATCGCTACGGGCTGCTGGAGCAGAAGCAGAGATTAGCCCGGGAACATGCTTTCGATCTAAAAGTTAAGAAACTCCAACAGGAACATGATCATCGCGGTTCATCGCGTCATAGAGCAAAGTCGGCGCACGGGCAGCGTTCGCGAAGCAAATCGAAGAAAGCCAAAGAGTCACACAAGTTGCGTCGCAGCAAAAGTGAAGAACGAGGTCATTCTGAAGGCTTGTCATGGCCCAAGAGGGAGCACGACAGACCAGAAACAGCACACGAACAAAGACAGGAAAAGGCTATGCGCTATGATAAGGATGGCTATTGTGGTCTCAGCGGGTCATGTCGCACGTCGATTGATGAAGCCCGTGAGAAGCTGAATCGGCTGAACGCTCAGACGTGGAAGAAGCGTATCGATCACGCATTGAAGTGCCAGTCGCATTCAAGCGACGGCGTTCGATCGCTATTCTGGGGTCTGGACGATATACCAGAAGAGGTTGAGCATAAAGAGAAGATCCTCGCAGTTCCACGGCAGCCTCCGCTCATGACTGTCGTGGTCGGTGATCTGGACGTCATTCTCGATAAACCTTCATTCCCTCTGCATGATTATCCTAAATTCCTGCAGCGCGTGGGAAAGGGAATGCCGGTCGATATGCAGTATTCGCTGCTCATTCCTACACATGTTCAAATAAACATGGGAGAGGCACAAGTCCAGTTACGCGACTACCCACTTCCTCTCATTCACATCCCCGCACTCAATCCGTCGCAATCATCGAGGTTACCAAGCTTGTCACTCAAGACCGACTTTGTCATTGCCGAAGAGTACAGGGACATTGAGTCGATTAGGGTCTGTAGAGTTGTTGTAGTGCCACCAGAACAGAGTGAGACGGGTGACGAGACGGGGGGGTTGGCTGTTGACGTTCGGCGTACAGTCTCGCCTGTCAAGACGTACTCTGACATGGCCATCGATATCAATTCGTCTTATCCAACCAGAATCACGTGGGGAACATCATATCAGCCCGCCATTCAAGATATGATGCAGGTCATAGAAAACTTCACAAAGCCAGCTATCGACCCTTCAGAACGAGTCGGGTTCTGGGACAAGATCCGACTCACATTCCACTCGCGCTTCAGGGTGTCGTGGAAAGGTGACGGGGACGTTCATCTCATCCTTAAAGGTACTCCCCTATACGCTTTCTGTGTTGAATTCTGCTGACATTGGCATAGGTTCCCGCGATCCCTACCTGGTCACAGGCCATGGTACCGGATTTGTGATGTGCTGGCAGAATGATGTCCAACTGAGTATCGCTGAGGATGAAGACCCTCGAAATTTTATGATCGTCAATAGCGGTGTCTATGTTCTTGCAGTGCCCGATTTGAGTCATTACGCCAGGCACGAGGCTGAAGTGGTTGACTCTGAAAACCCGCCCGAAGCTTCCAGCACATCGAGTTATAGACGATCAGCGGCATTCAAGAAGACGATCATGAAACTCAACGGCAATGTTCGTTGGAAAGCTGGCCTCGTCTACGAGCGCAATTTGGATGAGGGTGGGCGGTCGTTTGAGTTCATTCCTCACTACAAAGTTGTACTCAAGCATCCAGACTACGCCGTGGCACGCGATGGCAGGGTATGTTTCGTCGGGACGAGTATTTGCATTTGACTAATATGGGCAGGTATATGACGCCTTCCGCGGATTTCGTAGTCACCACATCCATATGTCATTGGCAGTCGCTGCCCCACATGATCGTGAGTGGTCGGTTTCCAACCTCGAGCCGGCAAAGACATATAACAGCGTGCACCTTACTCCGCGGTTCTTCACACATTTCTTCAACTGGTGGTCTATGTTCTCCGGTGCTATGTCGCTTCCCATCCGCCAGGGGGGGTTGTGGCCGGGGGTCGAAAAGTCCAGCAAAAAGTTTGGCCGACATCTTGCCACAATCAAGTACAGCCTGCTCTTGTCGCCGTTATATATGAGTCACGTCTATAAGCATAAAGACCCCGAGGATTACGACTCCAACATCGTAACCGCGACGGGTCTCAAAGCTCGTGTGGACAGCTTTATGCTTGATCTCCATCAACGCAGAGAGGAATTCCGAACCCTAGTCCAGGATCCCAAGTGTCAAGAGGACAGTAAACAGAACCAGACAACTGGGATGAGAATTAATCAAGTCCAATTGGATCTGATCGGAACTGATGTGCGAGCCCTATCAGCAAGTATCCGTGGTACTGATGAGGAGTCCGTGCTGACAGCTTCGCCTGAAACTATTGCTGGTTACAGCCAGGACGTAATACGTGCCGACCTCTCCAAGTTTATCATTCCTGACAATGACTGGGGTTGGGTAGACATGGACGACTTCGTTGACCTTGGATGGATGCTACCTGCTGATCGCAACCCGGAGACCATGATACTCCCGCTGGCCTTCGCTCCCCGGTTTACTTACCTGCGTCAAACTGACCACGCCAACAACATATCAGGAGACCCGCACAGGACTAGCCCGTTCGGGTACGAGCCCACCCATCACTGCGTGATGTCGGGTCGGAACGATCCACGCAGGATCCAGTGCCAGCTGATCGAACAGCGCCTCCAGAGAATCAAAGAGCAGCTAGCTTTGAATGACAAAGCCATCGGAGAGCAGGAATTGAAAATTATACAGGCACCAGAGGGTGCTGACCAAGGCCTGCACGAACGACTGGACGGTCTCCGGAATTTTGAGAAGGTCTTAAAGCGCAAGGAAAACTTCCTACGCTCCATGCACGAAAGCTTGATGGAACGGTTGGAGAGCACCGATGCCGTCCCTGTACAGGCGGTAGACCAAGAGGATAACGACAAATACTACGAGGCCCAAGAAGAATACGATCCTCCGGAGTCGGAGGCCAAGGGCAATGATAAACCGCCGCCCACAGAGAACCTTAGCGACTTCAACAACCGCTTCATCGTTCACAATGTTCATCTGAAATGGAGTAATTCCTTGCGGAACATCATTCTTCGCTACATCCATCAAGTCAGCCAGCGTCGCGGCTTTGTCTATTACATGTCGCGCAGAGCTGTCAAATTCATTCTCGATATCGTCGAGGAGCAAGCAAAATCGAAAGAGCCGTCAGAATCCGGAAGAAACGGGAGAGACGATTATACAAGAGCTTCATCGCCCTACGATGACGAAATGGGTATACATGAACGGGTCCAACAGATCCTAGGGGACGGAAAACCGGTCGTCAGCGCAGATGATTCAAAGCCCAAAGGAACCCTCTTCGATGCCTGTACCAGCCGTCCGCATACCTCGAAGGCCGAGGAAGATGTTTCCCTTGACTATGTCGCACAGAATGCGTACATTGTACGCATGATCGCTCCACAGATCCAACTACAGAGTGAAAAAGATAAGAAATCCGCTGTCTTGATTGCGGCCAAGTCCATGCAGCTGAAGATCATCCAAATCATGGATAAGGATCGCATCACTGACGACGTATCGGGATTGGTGCAACGCCGATTCACCGCCGCCATGGACAGCCTCCAGATCTTCGTCACAAATGCGAAAACCTTCTCGGAAGACATCCACATGTACTCGGGGAGTACTTACGGTACTCCTGTCGGTTCAGATTGGCCCCCATGGGTGCCATTCGAGGTCATGTTTGAGTTCCACACAGAGCCTTTCGGTTTCCAGCGGGTAGTTCCCAGGACCTCGGCCAGTCTACGTTATGACAAATTTAATACCCTCCGTCTGAAATACCACGATAACGTAACATCTGGTCGGGCCGATGGAGCCTCAACCCAACGACCGGACGACCCGGGCAGTCGCATGGACCATCTTTACGTGGATTTTCCACATGTGCGAGTCCTCTGCAACTCCCGGCAGTACTATGCTGTTTACGTCATCGTTCTTGATCTCCTGTTATTCAGTGAGCCCTTGGAGAAAACACGAACGGAACGCTTAGAGAAGATAATGTTGGCTTCTGACTTCAGTGATCTGACGGGTGCGCCCGACTTGGTCATTGGTCTACAAGAACGTATCAGGCAGCTCGAGGAGATAAAGACGGTGTTCCAGGTCAATGAGAAGTACCTCGACAAGCAGGGTTGGAGCGATCGCATCGAAGTGGAGAAAGACCTCTCTATATTTGAGGAGGAGCTTTTCTTCGTCATGAAGGCCATCACCACGGCGCAGCGGAAACAAGACGATCGTGCGCAGACCAAACAATCCTCAGGTCTGTTGCGGTATTATATCTCTGCTTCGGAAATTGTCTGGCATCTGTTAGCTCAGGGCAAGCAGTCACTGGCGGAGTTTCAGTTGAAGAACGCCGTATATGATCGGACGGACAATAGTGATGGGTCCAATTTCAACTTATTGGAAATCGAGGAAGTCAAAGGCCTCAACCTCCTACCTGACGCACTTTACCCAGCGATGATTTCCCGCTACATTGACAACAGATCGGTTGTCGAAGGACCTGACACGAAAATGCTCAGAGTGCATTGGATCATGCTAGAAGCCATTGCCGGAATCCCTGTCATGGATCATTTTGAAGTCAACCTCTTTCCGCTCAAGGTACAACTAGAGTACTCCATTGGAAAGAAACTGTTTGAATATGTTTTCCCCGGGGTAAAGGACAAGTCCATGTCGAACGGCAAGTCTCCGTTCCTGGTGAAGCACGTAGTCCACGCCGACGAAGGAGACGACGATGATGTGGGGGATACATTGAGAGCAGGGGCACGCAAGACCTCGACCATCCCAGAGAATGAGGACGAAGTCAATGCTTTGAAACTGCGGTTGAAGCCAACATTGCACCTACCGGCTCCTAACGAGAAGCCACCGACACAGATCAAACCAAGCCATGACAAGCGTCCGAATGTCCATCACCTCCGTCTGTTCCGCGATAGCTCTACTCGCTCTTACTCAGAACCTCGCAGGCTGCTTCATCCGCGCTCTGCAGCAGCTGAGAACTGGTCTCCATCCTCCACTCGACCCAGCACTGTGCGGACTGGGTCTAATCTCTCTGCCGCTACCACCGACTCCGACAAGGCCAGCAGGAAGTTCATGATTTATCGTACGAACTCAGAGGACCAGAGGTCAAAGAAGGCACGCTCTGACGACCTCACTGAAATGATGTCCCGGGCCAGTAACTACATGACTCTTGCCTATGTCAAGATCCCGTCCATGGTGCTTTGCCTGTCTTACAAAGGAAAGTCGCATAGGAATCTGGAGGATGTTCACAATCTCGTATTCCGCATGCCAAATCTCGAGTACCGCAACAAAACCTGGTCCAACCTTGATCTAGCTCAACAGATCAAGAAGGATGTTACTCGCGCGCTCTTTGCGCACGCCGGCGCCATAGTGAGCAACAAGTTCACGCACCATCGCGCTGCGAAACATGCGCCCTCACGTCTCCGCCAGACTGCCAATAATTCAGCTGTAATGAACGGCTCACCAGACCTATCAGACAATGTTAGCACAAGGGACCCTTCGCCAGGCGGCAGTGATCTATCAGTCGAGCTGCCTTCACGGCGCTCCTTTGCCAGTGGCAGGGGTAGTGTTTTATCTGCCATGAGTGAGCACACAAGTCTCCGGAGCAGTAGGAGCGGACCTGAGGTTACCGGAAGCGTTTTGGGGCCCAACTGGCAAGACGATGACGCAATCATTGAAGATGGTAGGGGCTTCGCAGATGAGCTCTCGCGAGTTGATCAAACGGAGCCGGAGCATGCGAACATGATACAAAGTCTTTCGAGACATGTTACTCAGCTCGCACCCTTCGGTCATAAACCGCGTAGCGGAAGCTTCAAGGGCTCTGTTGAGGAGGAAAGCGAAGAAACGTGAGTCAAATGTTTTGTGCGCCAAAGGTGCATGACGTTGTGCTAACTGAGCTACTTAGATCGAAAAAGAAGTCGCGCATCCTACTCGGCGGAGCTAAGAAGCTCTTCGGTCATGGCAATGCCTCTTGAGCCATGGCCAACCTGTGGCGCGGTTATCCTTCTCTTATTCGTTTCCTTCTCTCTTGGTTGAAGTGCATACTTTGGCGTTCTCGCTATTCTCAGTCTCACTGCATTTCATTTGTAGATATTGAAGTATTCGTTTGTCGGTCCGGTTTCTGGGCACGCTGGAAGGTTTTTTGTTGCATTTGAGGCGTTTGCGTTCTGGACTGGATGTAAAATTGCACATTAGGAGTTTAGAGGTTGTGCGTCTCAGCGACTATGCGGTTCGTTCGAGAGAATACATTGTTTCTAAACAGATTGGGTTATTCAAATCACATTTTGGTCTTTTAAGGGATTCACTTGACCATCCCGCTGTCGCTGTCGAAGCGGTGGTAAGGAATATGCTTTTGGTAAGAAAATTCATCCCAGTCACACCGACGGACAAATCAATATTCGTGCGGGACTGTTTCACGAGAGTTTGTGTGACTACTCAGTCCCTGTGGACGTCCGCGGCAGTCTTCCGATGTTCAATGATCACCCCATCGTTTCTGCTGCCCCATCGCCCCCTATGGAGCCATCTCTGGACAACATGTGCGAGTCTGTTCAGTCGGCGGCTTGTTACATTTACAGGTAAACTTACTACAGATGACACTGGACCCTTTCTCCTCAAATGTTCTGCACCATGACAGCTCTTGTGGAACCAAAGAAAGGGGATAATACGCTTCGCTCAACATCGCATCGTACAGTAGTAGCGGCTGCACCTTGCCGTACGTTGCATTGTGGTACCTGTGTTATTTACGTGCAACCATGCCCCGCCTGCGCTAGTTGCACGCTCTCTTCCTTTCTTCCAACTTCACACATGTTGACGATGTTCCCGCCATTACTTTCCCGTTAAACATTGCACTGGTTGGCCACTCGAAGTGCCTATCACCTCGACATCTTTTCAAGATCTAAAGGCCGACCCTACTCGCCCTCCGGTCGTTACATATCAAGGCCGCCGTCATTAACCAAAATGGATTCCTTCTACGCTGATACTCCAGCCTTACCGCCGCCAAAGGGAACGCAGTCCAACTTCATCGACCCGCCAACCTTAATGCCCGAAGTCATCATCACCGCAAGCGTGGTGCTCCTGCTTATGACCCTCTGCGTGGCAGCGCGTGCATTCGTCAAATTCTTCATCCTAGGACAACACCAAATCGAAGACTTGCTGTGCTATTGGGCATGGGCAGGCGTCGTCACGTACACGGGCACCCTGATTTATATCTGTAATTACGGCTTCGCTCGACACCAGTGGGATATCAGTCGCGGAATGTTCGAACACATCATGTACTACATCAACATCCTCTATTGCGTGTACTCGCCAACGACCCTCCCAGCCAAACTCTCCGTGCTCTTCCAAATCAAGCGCATATTCACGACGCGCGAGAAAAACATTGTCTGGTGGGTCGTCTGGATCTCCATCATCGCCAACATCATCTTCTACTCGGGGCTCTTCTTCTCCTACGTATTCACATGCTGGCCACGGGAAGCCATATGGAACCCCGGAGTCCACGGGAGCTGCATCAGCTCCGTGAGTTCGAATCTTGCGGCTGGGATCCTGAATTTCCTGTCGGATCTTGAGGCGTTGCTTTTGCCGGCTTGGGGGATTTGGTGCTTGAATATGCCCGTTACGAAGAAGTTGGCGGTTTTCGCGGTGTTTGGTGTGGGCTCCATGTGAGTTTGTCGACAGTTTTATTTTTCTGGGATTTGACTGATCTGTTTACAGTGCGTGCGTGATTGGTTTGATAGGGATTTATTTCCGCATACTCCTTCTGAGAAGGCCGGATTTTACGTGGATATGTACAAAGGCAGCGCTGCTAGTGTATGTATCCCTTGTCCATCTGCACAATGGTCAACTCACACTCTTCAGCATCTCCGAAATGGCGACCGTAGTCATAGTCGGCTGTTGCCCGTCCATCCCCCGTCTATACAAATATCTGAAAAGCCGCCAGGATGAGGCTACAGTACCAAAGGTTTATAGCGACTCAGGACCGAGGAGGCTATCGAAGTACAGAACCCATTCAGTGACGAGATACTTGAGCACTTGGAAGCCGACGGGGAATAATGAGCATTTGGAATTGAGCAGCTGTCATGAGGATGATTGTGAGCGGGAGAGAATGGTGGGCGCACACAATGGAATCCTGAAGACGACGGAATTTGATCTGTCGACGTCTGGTTCGAGGACTCTGGTATCCGATGTCCACAAGGTATCCGAATAAAGGTAGTGGTACAGTCCATCTGGATTCTCTAAGGTGGATTACGATAATACTTCTTGTAGAACAATAGCGAAAGAAATTAAGCTGGTCTACGCAAAATCTTCGCGAAGCTCCTCCTCGCTTGAGTGTACACCAAAAATCAAAATCGTCGTATTGGGACCCTGATGTTTTCAAGTGGCACAATAGATCCTCGAGCAATCATCCAAACGACCCGGCCGACTCTCGGGTAGGTGCAGAGAGTCGCTTAATGCGTCCAGATCCGGGTAAGGATAACAGATGTGTCCACGGAGGGATGATGAAGCACACGGCTTCTCATCCTTTCTACCACTGCTGCACTACTATCTGCCTTCCACATGCCCCCAACCGTGATACATCGTCTCCCGCTCTCTGCGTCGCCGTTTCCCTGTGTCGCAAATCATCCATCTCTTCGCAAATACATAGCTAAACGACATCCTTCACATTGAAACAAACCACGCACACTCTTTACCTTCCTACACAGAGGACGGCATGACACAACCACCACCCACACCCAATGGACTCAACCAAACCCTCCTCGCCACCATCACCAGCCTCGAAAACCTCGCCTACTCAACCCCCTACCTCCTGCACGACAAAGACCACCTCCGCAAGCGCCTGTACAATGCTGTGCATAAACTCCTCCCCGAGATCGAGACCCCCACCGAGATGGCGCAGCGTCTGCTGTACACTGTGAGTATGCCTCTTCATTAACACACCGCATATGCGTCATATCATTCTGGTTCCCCTGCTTACCTGCCTGCGTACGCACGTACAGCCGTGCGAAATGATGGGCGCAAAAATCGGCATCGACATGGGCGTTTTCGAGATTCTGGCAAAGAGCGAAAAACCCTTGTCGACGGAGGAGGTCGCGAGATTGTGTGACGTTGAGATGGGTATGACGGTGCGCTTGTTGCGGTTTCTGGGGTCTTTGGGGATGGTTCGCGAGATGGATGGTGAGGAGGATGGGCAGTTTTGGGGTCCTTCGAATAGGACGAGGAATCTGGCGATGAGGGAGATTGCTGCGGGTGTGAATCACAAGTACGTTGGTGTTGGAGCGGCATCGTTCTGCTTTTTTTTTTTTCTTTTGTATTGCATGCAAGTACTAACTGCGCGGACCTAGGCACGACAATGTGATGCCCGCCTGGCATGCGCTTCCGAGCTGGTTGAGGCGCCGCGGTTACACGGTACCGATCATGACGACGGATACACCGTTTGCGCAAGGCCATGGTGTTGAGCCGCAACAGTCGTTTTACGACTGGTTGCAGGAGAGGCCGTGGAATGCGAATGAGTTTAATCTGTTTATGCGAGTGCATCGTCTGGGTGTACAGTCTTGGATGGATCTGGAGGAGGTTAAGAGAATTCTATCTGAAGGCGGAGACGAAAGAGAGAATCAGCTATCCAACGGCTTTGGAAATGGGAATTTTTCGCTGATGCCGAGGACAAATGGAACGACTACGAATGGCTGCACTTGTTATAGATCGGACGTTGGGAAGAGATATGCATTCGTTGATGTCGGAGGTGGAATTGGGTTGCAGTCCAAGGTGCGAATTCGAACTCTGCTGCGCAGCAAGACCCGCTTTGAGACTATTCCCGTCGACGATCCGATCTGACCCAGTGTAGTAACACTATGTGTAGGCACTTGTGCAGAGATACCCGAACACCTTCCATGGCAAGATAATCCTCCAAGATCTGCCGGAAGTAATCGCAAAGGCACACACCGAAAACTCCGGTATCAATGTCATGGCCGTAGACTTCTTCAAGAGTCAGCCTGTAACAAGTGGGTCAAGTCCTTTTTCCTTGCATACGTGTTCAGCTAGCTAAAAGTGCCAGCAGATGCAAAAATCTATTACCTCCGCAGCATCCTCCGAAGTAAATGTCATTTTGCATCACAAACTCACACACTACTAACCTACCCAGACTGGCCTGACCCCCAAGCCCTCCTCATCCTATCGCATATCCACGCCGCTATGTCGTCCTCCTCGCACCTCATCATCGACGACATTGTCCTGAGCGACAAGAACGCAAGTAAATACGAGACCCAGCTCGACATGACGATGCTTGCAATGTTGAACGGCCAAGCGAGGACGGAGAGCCATTTCCGCCAATTGCTGGAGGAAGCGGGTCTTTGTGTGGATAAGGTTCTGGTGTATGAGAGTGAGGGCAGGGAGGCCGTTGTTGTCGCGAGGAAGGCGTGAGGGGTTTCTCTCATTCACAGCTGGGGACGAAAAATGCTTTACTTGTATGTATAAATTAGACCAAGGGTTTACAAGAAGAAATTAATCGCATGATACCTCCTCTATTCCCTTCCCCCCCACCTCAGTCATCAATACTCACTCCCATTCCACCCCCACTCCCACCCTAAAAACACTCCGTCTGGCAATCTCCCCCTTTGAACCCTTTACCCCTATACGGTTATACACTGCAAAGTTTGTCTCTAAGCACACTTCGTCCGACGTCCTACCCCCAGTCCCCTTGCCATCACCGCTGTTATTCTGAGACTCCAAATCAAACACGAGAGGCTCACTAGCCCCAGGAATATACGCAAGCAAATATTCCCTGGCCGCTGGCGGCTCTGGAAGTTCAGGATCTCGAGGAGGCGCGTCGGGAGGAGGGCTGGGGGTGGGTCCATAGTAATACGACGTTTCGAACCATTGCTTGTGTCAACTGTTAGATTGATTCTCCACTCAGAATTTAGATTTCGCAAGTTCTGAACTGCTGAAGAACTGGTAACAGAAGGAATATGAATAATCGACGTACCTCACCGCCATCCCTCTCCCTCCTAGCATGACTAACCACCCCTTCCAGCAACCCCCTCTCAAGATAATGGTCATAGTCGTACTCCAGGCCCGTCAGCACACCTCTTCTTCTACCTTTTCCCCCTTCTGCTAGTCCCACTTCCACGCACACGGTGCACGCGCTATACCACTCCCCCTCGGGCGTACTATCCGTATACGCTAGGGCATCGCGGTCATTCGCGTCTCCCGAGTTGTTTGGATGCGAGGTAGTGGTGTCGATGATGATGTTTATAAGGGTAGTGTTTGAGGAAGGAAAGAGGGAGGATGATGAGGGCGAGGTGAGCGTGGTGGTGATGTTGTGGGCGCAGTCAAGGACACGGTTGTTTAGGATCTTGAGGGATGGGGGAGCAGCGGCGTGGGAGAGCCGGATGGTGACGGCGAGGAGGGAGGGAAGGCGGAGTGAGTGTGGAAGTAACATCGTCGTTTTTAGCTAGTACTCCTTTTTGAGGGAAAGTGTGAAAGTTGTTTGGCAAATGCGAGGAGTTGAAATAAACTTTTTCGAGATATTGCGGGCCACGCGACATTTAAAGGAACGCATAGCGCGGAGCCTCAAGCGCAGCGTGACCCTCTGATATTGGCAAGTGTAAATGTCCCAATATGGATGCATGTAGAGTGATGGACGGAAATGAAAATGCGATTGCCGGTCCGGGTAATGGGTGCTGTATAGTAGGGGTGCCGGCAATTCAGATTGGCGGTCATTATGTCGCTCGAACGGAGGATGATCGACTATCTCCCAAACAAAACCCGTGCTAAGAGCACCTAATAAGAAAACTTGTGTTTTACACAACGACTGTAGGGGATATATAACCAGTAACAGTCCATGCCCAAGTGAGCCGTTAGAGCTCGCACCATAACAACGTTAACCTTACCCAATGCAAGATGTATACGCTCATAACCATAAGAGAACACAAGTAGGCATGCAGACATTATCTTGAATGACAGAAAAAGCACCGGCGCCCAGGCCTCGCTCACCGCAATTACCATAAGGCTGCATCATGGTCAAAGCGAACGAGGTCCTTCCCAGCATCTTCCACATCCTTCCTGGCCTTCATCCGCATGTAGAAGATGGGGCAATCCCTACTCGAACAAATGACTTCGCAGTGAATACTGCCCTGGCACCTTTGACACTGGGTCCAGAGACGTGCGAATCTAACCTCCAGTTCGCTGACTTTGGACAGGGTCTTCTGATACAGCTCACCGATCCTAGGACGGCAGTTGGCACAGACGGCACCATCCTTCTCTTCTGCACTGACGAGGGGTTTCTTGCATCCCATGCACGTCTGAGTCTTCTTTGCGAACTTCATCAGACCACCCATTGTCGGCGCAGCGACCGAGATGGATCTAGTGTGCTCGCCAGTGAGGAGCTGATTGGCCTTCTTCTCCCCAAGTATGGGCTCGAAGATACGGCCTAGTGGTTTGGCGAGTTGGTTGTCCAGGTAGTACTTGGTATCGATCGGGATGTTGTTCTCAAGCACATATATGGGATCCTCGGACTTTTCATAGTTCCTAGAGCCGCCAGCCCCTTTGACGATGACATAGGCAACACGATCTCCAAGCGCTGGTGCAGAGCCGGCGTCGCGCTTCTTCATGCGCTCGGCCAGTTCAACGTGCGCCTGTCTCGCGGTGTAACCGCCTGAGCCATCTTTACCCTCTTGTTTCGTTAGTGCTTTCGTAATAACAAGGTTAGACATATCGATCTTGTTTTGTAAAAGATCGGATATGGTCTCTTTCACGAATCTAAAGTTGTTAGCTCGCTGATATGGACAGTAGCAATTCCACTTACTCTTGAGCGCCATTGACATCGCGGTCAATCAACAACATTCGTAAAGACGTCTCAATCACCGTCTGCACAAGGCGGCAGTTGTCACGGCGGACCGTTTCAATACCCTTCGTATCCATTTTGTCCCACTTGTTGGGATTTGTCCAGTATAATCCAGCATACCGCTTCTTGTTGATCAACAGGTAGGGGAAGTAGACCTTCTCGAATTCCAGCTTGATAGGCTTGACAAACTTGCCAGAGACGTAATCGGCTGCCTCTTGGCCAAGCTTCATGGCCTCTGCAAGTTCCGTAGTACCAAACTTGACCATAACGGAGTCGGTGTCACCATAAATGACCTCCGCATCATGGCTATAGCCATTGGCCATTGTGTACTTCAGCTCGACTTCGTGCTTTGTCTTCTCAATCATTTGCCGGCCGTAACTAGTGGTGCTACTGGCGATTGCAAGACAAGGCAGCTTCCCGTTTGTCGCACCGGTCAGACCGTATACAGAGTTCGCTGTGACCTTCAACGCAAGCTGGCGACCGTTTAGTATTGCCTTTTTGAAAGGGTCCGTTTCGACCGCCAAGTCTCGTTTCGCCTGTTTCCGTGCACGCAGCAAGTCCTCGAGAATTTGGGTCAACAGTCCCTTGCGCACCTTGGCCGTACAGAACAAGTCGCCATTTGGTGTCACTATGTAATCCTCATCTTTCTTCAAGTTTAGCTTCTCCACTGACTGCTTGCTCAGTAAGGTGGTGTAGCAGAGGTTATGCGCCTGAATGATGCTGGGATATAGCGAAGCGAAATCAAGTGTTGCGACCGGGACATCGTAGTAGCCACGCTTCGGTTCGATGACAGTGGCACCTTCGTATTGATCTCCATCGTTGCCGCCGGGGTTGCTCAGGTCGGGAATAACCAGACTTTGTTCCAAAGCTCTGCGGAAGAGTTGGCTCATGAACCTGACCTGCTGTCCTCGTGCAAGAAGGAAATTGAAGGGGATACCAGTGACTCTTGCCATCTCAGTGTAGTTGACAAGAGCCATCAGTTTGTCTAGCAGACGTTGGGGTAGATACGCGTCTTTCAGGCAGTAAACTGCCAATCTCCGCCGAGAGTTTGAATCGCCGTTATAAAGCTCGGTGATCATACTGTGGTGTACATCTTCCTTCTGTTCTTTCAAGAAATGAGCGCAAACAGCGTTCAATGTATAACTTCGTAGTTGATAGTCGCGTTGTACAAGTTGAAGTAAATCAATTTGCAAGCGACCATTCGTGTTGGTGGTCTTCGTGTCGCGCGCCCCGAGCTGCTTGCTTGAAAAGGTGGACGACTCAGCTTTGGATTCTTTGTTCCTCAAGCGTGACCAGTACGGGAACTTTGTCGCCTTCAAATATCTCGCGCGATCAAGGAGATATGGGAAGTCGAAGTTGGAGATGTTGTATCCGATGATAACGTCCGGGTCCACCTCCTCCAGGAAGTCACGCCACCTCATGAGCATCTTGGCCTCATCATCGAACTCGAGAATCTGTGTTGCGACAATCTGACTGCACGTATCCATGCAGAACACGTTCCTGATAAACGGTTTATCCTCGCCATATCTGGTAACGACGTTTGCGATCTGGATGACGGGGTCCACAGTCGGCTCCGGGAAGATACCCTTGCGACCAGCGCATTCGATATCAAAGGAAAGGATGCGGAGAGGCGCCATCTTCGCCCACTCACCATCAGTTGGATGAGCGATTAAGTCTGCGTAGTGGACTGCGGCCTCGATTTGGCAGTTGGAGTGTCTTTCGCGGGGTGGGATCATCCTGTACTTTCCAGCTGGGACTTCGACCCACGACATACCCGAGATCTGAGCTTGTCAGCAAAACGCAAAAGTCTGCTTCGGCATTCTTACCTTGGTGTCAATCATGAATCTCAGCACGTATTGGATGTTGTCGAATGTAAGGATGCCACCTTCCTGCCGGGTCCACAGTCCCTTCCAATTTGCAGCACCATCCTGCACGAGCCTCCGGACGCGATTGATGAACCTTGGATCGGTGACCGAAATCTTGAGGTATGGGCTTCTTTGGTTGCCTTGGAAGCCATACATATTCTCCTTCATGGTCATCTGCACCGAGTGCACAACGGCCGTGTGCTGGTTGAATGCCTTCTGTGACTCTGCTTCAAGGAAGTTCTTGAATTGCTCGCAATCATTCTTACCAAAGTTAACGGGCGCAGCGACGTAGAAGTAGTGGAGAAAGTGCATGACGTGTAAGAGTACGGAGTGGCCGTCCTGTAAAGGCTCATTAGCAACTGCGAAGCGTCTGGGGGCGGTGGGCGAACCTCGGTGACCCCGAAGAGCTTGATCGCGGTCTTCCCACCGCTCAGCGCACCCTCCTCGACTTCAATCTGCTGAAAACACAAATTCTGGCGCGTCGCGTCGAAGTCGACCAGTGGTGGCCGAGCCCAATGCTGGTCTTTCTCTGTGTTCGTCTGCTTCAGGTTCTCGATGTCCTGGGACATCTTTTCCATATCCTCTTCAAACTGGCTCTTGGGCTGGCTAGAGTTGAACGACCCATTGATGCCCTTAGCCCTCAGGCCGCCGTTCTGGTTTGCAGCATGGTCGAGCTTCACGCGCTTCGCGGTCCGGGGAGACGCCTGAACATTGGCGCGGCTCTTAGTTGTGTCGGCAAGAACACGCTTCTGTGGCAGTGCGGGAGGCATCTTGAGATGATTTAGGGCCCGGGTATAGGCCGTAAGATGCGCCGGCGTGGTGTGGAGGAGGGAATGGAGGAAGGATGGAATGACGAGTGTTGAAAGACGGCGGAGCTTAGATAAGTCGCGTCGCGTAGCTCCCGTCGCGTCGAGGTGGCGCAGTGTGGCGTTCAGTCACGTGACATTCTCAACACGTGCCAACCTTGGGAATGCTTGGAACCTTTTATTTATTTTAACCCGCTCGAACCTCCGAGGCACTCACTGGTTTGTCTCTGGCTTCCAAGAAGATGCGAACGTCTGGTCATCAGTCAAGGAGAATGTCGCAATTACCTTCCCAAGGTTGTCACCACTCGCACCATCAATTACTTTACCTGATTGGGCAGGTGGGATATCAAGGCTGGGCGGGGTTAGCCCAAGGGCATGATAGGAACAATACCTAGGTATCACCTTCAACCGCCTGTCTTGTCTACTGAACAGAGCAATTCCTTAAAATCCGATCGTGGTATACAGAGCGCCAGAATCACTGCATGGGATGGTTTTGATTGTCCTCCAAAATGCCAACTGTTGACATTCACACGCACATCTATCCACCAACATTCGTTAAGCTGCTACGCTCGCGAACCACAGTCCCGTATATACGAACGTCTCCTGACGAACCCCATTCTTCACGGCTTATCATCCTTCCGGGCGAAGATGACCCTTCCACTCCGTCGACCGCGAGAGGACGCCCAATAGGTCCGGAATACTACGATATAGCCCAGAAAATTGCCTTTATGGATACTCACAGGATTGATAAATCCGTCATCTCTTTGGCAAACCCATGGCTCGATTTTCTACCTTCAGAAGAAGCAGGGGAAGCCGCAAGGAGGATCAACGATGACGTCGAACGCCTATGTGCCCAACACGAGGGGCGACTGTATGCCTTTGGCACTCTTCCGCTCTCCGCACCAGTTGAGACAGTAGTGACCGAAATTGAGAGGCTAGTGCAACTGAAACATATGCGAGGAGTCATAATGGGAACGTCCGGCCTGGGAAAAGGTCTAGATGACCCGGCTTTGGACCCCATCTACGCTGCGCTTGAGAAGCACAATCAGCTCATATTCCTCCATCCACACTATGGACTTCCCGCATCCGTATACGGCCCGAGAGCGAACGATTACGGGCACGTCTTACCACTCGCTCTCGGCTTCCCCTTAGAGACTACTATAGCGGTGACGCGAATGTTGTTGAGCGGGGTGTGGGATCGATTTCGAAAGTTGAACGTCTTGCTTGCGCATTCCGGAGGTACCCTCCCTTTCCTTGCCGGACGGATAGAGAGCTGCATCAAGCATGACGGCCATCTCAAAAGAGAGGGGAGAATAGAAGGTCGCCGTGATGTGTGGGATGTTCTGAGAACCAATATCTACCTTGATGCGGTAATCTACTCCGACGTCGGTCTGAAAGCTGCCATTGATGCCTCAGGGCCAGATAGACTCATGTTCGGTACGTTCTGTCAATTCAGCATCTTGAAGCTAAGCTAAGACTAGCAAGGAACGGATCACCCATTTTTTCCGCCTCTAGAGGAGGATGTAAAAGAATGGCACAGTGTAACCGCTAACTACGGCGCAATAGCCCAGGCTTTCAAGGATGATCAAGCCGCGGCTCAAGATGTGCTTGGGAATAATGCCATGCGCATATTAAATCTGAGGTAATGATAACCTCACACGAAGAGAAGAATGTACGAGCCGAGCGGGGTGGTGGTGGTGCTAGTACGCGTGTTCTTCCCCAAGAACTTACGTGTTTGTCACAAGCATTGTGGCATGAGGGGCCGGAGTGCGGCCGTGAGAATTCAAACCCTCACACTTCAAATACTTCCACATTAATCCCATATTGTTACACCATTATCCTCAGGCGAACATTATCCTCCATGGCAGGACCATCTCTGAAAAGACTTCTTCTGGTTTTGAGGCAGCCAGCCCTGTCCCAGCGCTTCTCCCAGGTCTCTCCAACCGAGTCCCCGCTCCTAAATCTCCCCTTTGACATCTTCGTCATCATCTGGGAGCTTCTTTCCGATCATGAGCGCGCCTGCCTCATCTTGACATGTCACTCGCTCTACGACGACAATAAGCACATTCTATCTCACATCGGAAAGCAAACACCCGAGAGTTGTCTCCAACGACTGTACTTTCTCCGTCGTCTCCGTAGGGACTTTCCGCGCTTTGACTTGGTCTGTCATTGCTGCCTCCGACTTCACATGAAGCTCGACGAGCAAACTCTTTGCCCCAATGGCGACTTCGACACGGTAGTTTCGCTAGGGAAATCTTTGCCATACCCTTGCTACCCGGTCCAGTATATTGGAACCCTCTCCCGGTCCCAACCCTACACCAGCTCCTACGATCAGGCTGGTGACCCTTCCTCACTCCGTAGTGACATTATCCGTCTGGGATATGTCCCCATGATTGGCAGCAATGATGATGAGACGGCGGATGGATTCCAAATAGGCCCTGGTCCTGTACGCCATAACCTTCATGAGATCACACTGATTGAGCTGCTGTGGGGCTGCAGGTGGACGACTGCATTCGAGGAACTCACCGAGGACGAAATGGTTGGCTTGGCGCGCAGTATCGAAATCGATATCTGTAGCCACGTTTGGCTCGGCGGAGACTATGTTCCTGGTGATGGAACTTTAAGTGACAGATTGAAGCCAAGCATGATTGGGAAAACTCATCTTGGGCGATCCTACTATCGTTTGGCAGTAGCTACATGCGACAAATGTCACATCAAGGTCGAAGTTATCTTCAAAACTCAACGAATAGTTGAGATCGTTATAAAGAGGGACCTTCACGTGCGATCCTCATCAACAAGCCTCTCTGCGCACGAAACCCAGTCTGAAGGTCAAAAGAAGAGCAGGTTCAGCGTCGGATCCAAACTCGGTAGGATGAGGAAATGGTTTTGAAGGACACAGTTATATCTTCTTTCGGTCGTATTGTAGGTGTATTGACACCACTACACTCAAGAGGCGGTGAATGAGAGGCATATGGTCACGGAAACAGCACTGTCATAAATACGGACGATGTCACTGAGACCGACTTAGTCATCTATTCTAAGCTATCTAAACCGACGGCAAAGAAAAAGGGATTCAGGGGTTTGATAGCTCTCTATTCGAGATAAGACTTCTCAAGGTTGGATTAATTCCGATGTTTCGCTCATAGAATGTCTATTATATTACAATCTTGCTTTGACGGATATACATCCCAGCATGGAACCACATAGCTTCGTGGATAGCACTATGTTTATGCTCAAAAAAATGCTGTGACAGATACACCTAAATTTATGCCGAAACAAGGAGGTTGTCTACTCCACTCTCCATCACACCTTCATTGCCAGGAATCTCCTCGAAACGCCAAGTTTGCAACTATTCCGCGCCACTTCTGAACAAACCCCAACTCATCAACGGCGAGCTTTCTGTGGCGCTCTCGTTCGCGCAGACCTCAATCCCGGCCTATTTCCCGCACTCTCAGGAGCACTTTCGCCGCTCTTCTGCCGCTTGGCCGGAAATTCGTCATAATCATCTTTATCATCCCCGTCTCCTTCTCCCTCCTCTTCCTCGTCCACGACCGAAGACAATTCATCGGATTCAGAAGACGGGGACACATCACCAACACCGCCTTCCGTTCCCTGTTGTTTCCCGCCGCTTGCATTCTTATCGACGGCGGAGGATTTCTCTTTCTCGGCTTCAGTCGCAACCACCGACTTACCGGATGCCTGGGGTCCCTTTTGCGATTTAGCTTGTGGCTGCGGTGCAGCCTTTGCGTTTGGCTTATGGGTCGCGCGGTTGCGGTTCGCATTTTCGCCGTTGGTGTCTGCATCGTCTCTCTTCTTCTCAATCACAGGTTTGCTATGATTTCCCACTTTGGTCTTGGCCTTGGTCTTATCCGCGGGTGCCTCTTTCCTTCCAACCTCCTCTTGCGCTTTCTCCTTCCCTTTATCCTGCTTTCCCCTCTTCCTCTTCTTGTCATTCTCATTTCCCTTAGCCTTGCCCTGCCCATCTCCCTCGCCAGCCTCCTCATCATCGCCTGCAACCTGGTCGTACCCATCATCCCTTTCGTCATACCTCTCCCCGGCTGCTTTATCCTCCACCAGACCCCTCAAACTCCTCAACGCCTCTTCCCTCGTCTGAGAATCCTCTCCTATAAGGCCCTCCACTTTGAAGATGTTCTTTCGAGCGCGTTCTTCACCAGCAAGAACGTATGCACGGAATTGTGGTGCTGGGTTGGAGGAGCTGGGGACGTGTCGGGAGAGGATGACACGAGGGTTCACTTTGCGCGGGACGAGGATGGAGTGGGATAGTCCTAGAGGGGGTGTTAGTTGGGTAACCAATGAGATGAGGGCAGGGTGGAGAGGACGTACGCTCGATGTAATCCATATAATCCATACACTCCCTCACACTGATGTCTCTCCCCACCGCTGGCTGCGTACCGTCGCCTATAGCATGGGGATCATCGGGTTGCGGATTGACTGTCTTCTCTGTGTCATTCGCATCCAGAGCATCTCCCTGCGGCGTGACAGGAGTATTCGCAGGTACCGTGACGACCTCACAGTCTTCATCGACGTTATCGTTATGGGAGTGTGTGGATTTGCTGGGTTGCGGGGTACCCGCGCGCCGGGGCTCAGGTGTTGTTGTCTCTTTAGCCATCGGTGTAAGTGAAGTTGTTCGTGATTGCAATTGGCTGAGTGCAGTCTTGGAGGTAGGTGACGAGCTTTCCAATTACGGTTGAAACGAAACTAGGTACTGGCTTGTTATACATGGCCGGAAGGGACATGTTTGTTTTGCAGACAAAGGGGGCTTCTACTGAGCTACGTGCGGTTAGGTGTTTGTATTTGCGGGGTAATTGTTCAGTGTCAGACAAATATAGAGGATCTTCTGGATGGGTGTGTGAATGGAGTAGTACGGGGGAGAAGGAGCTGGAAGTCAGATGTGGTTGTAGTCTTTAGTTCAAAAGAACGTTTGGTAGAGCTAAAGGTGGAAGGAGTGGGTCGTCGTACGATTGCTGTTTCTAGATTCTAGTATTGCGCGAAATATCCATGGTCCAGAACCGTGACGTAAACAAAACCCATTTCAAACACCCGGTCTTCACAAAGAGCAGATGACCGAAGCGACGAATAGTTCAAAACAATCCAAACCCTAACCTCACGCCAGAGTTCACCCTCTCAAGCCACCGCATACTGCTTCACCTCCTGCAAGTTCTCCATCACGCGATACATCTCTCTTTTCAAGTCCTGGTAAAGCAACAAAAGAGGTCCCAGCGTCGTATCTCCTCTATACACTCTTGATAGGGCCTCTGGATACGCTTCGTCCTTTAGAATCACTCTCGAGGTTGAGCCCACGCACACGAAGAATTCTTCACGCCGACTCGGCTCCCGCGCTGAGAGAACCCGGAGACGGTCTTTTTGTATTTCGGGGTGTAGGAGTTGGAATGTGCGTTCTATGAGTTGGATGAGGGCGAGCTCGGTGCAGGGACTCATTTTCGTTGAGAGGTTGTAGATGGAGATGGAAAGGTGTCTATGGGGGCATTGTGCTGGGCTGTTTCAACGAGCGTTTATATACTTCAGGTCGGGATACTGATAGAAGTCATATGCTACCGTCATCTAGCTCCAAACATGTTCTAGGTAATGAGGAGGTGCAGATGACTTCATCTTCACTAGCACGGGGTTGCGAACAATCTGAATACGAGCCCAAGTGGTGTAAACATGTGACTGATGCCTCCCTACCACATGCAACTACGACTAATGGTATGAGAATGGGCGGATAGTCTGTATCAAGACCACTAAGCGATAGTGTGGTCACCAAGTGTCTCAAGTAGTCGATGACACGGGCCCAAGATTGCATTCAAGAGCATTCATCACTGGGAAAGGAATTTGTTTATGAAGAACTGCTTAAGCATCCTTCAGACTTGTGGTTGTTTTGAGTACTAGTTACATGAAGAAGTTGCAGCACCTTCGGCGGCTTTCTGAGCCTAGGTTGTGTATGAAATCTGACCGATGGCGAATAGACAATTAATGATGTTCCCAATGCCCTTCCCAGCTACTTCTCAATTGATAATCAGGTTATTTCGATGGTCTCCACCGTACAGACTCTCGAATAGTCTTTCTTTGAACTGCAAATGCCACAGTGGTGGCTAGTCGCCTTCTGCGCAAATTGCTTGACCAAACGCGACCCAATCCACTTACTAACGGTGGTTTGTTAACCCAAATCGTACAGATCAGGGTCGTCATTCTCAACTGAGACAGCACCCCTTTGCTTCATGTCCATTATTTCTCCACGTGCCAAGCTCTCTAAGTCTCTCAACAGGGCTTCCAAAGCTTCCAGTCGAGAGCGCCCGCTCACTTCTCTTGACAGAACTTGTAGCTCGCCACCAACTGCTAATCTGACATAGCTTGCTGTGTATCGTCGTGGAGAATAATCAGAAGGGTATACAAGTACGCACGCTCGGTGATTCCCTGTCCATTCGGGCGCTAAGAAGGGCCCGATGCATTCGATGAGTTTGATTGTCGCTGCTTCAGCTACTGCGGACATGTGGAAATGCGGTTTTGGACCTGATTTGCAAGATATCGCACAGAAGGTTATAGGCACGGTAAGGACGACAGCCTTGAGATTTTATATTCTGTCGATAAGCTAGGGAAGGCATGTGTTATGCCCGCATGCTCCGCCCGTGGGGATATGGCAAATAGAAGTGAGCTTTCGCACATGAGGACAGGCAGAAATCATCTGCAATGATGTTTGTCGATGATACATCTGAGTCACCTGCATGTCAATCTTCCTGAGAGCGGAAGCACGGACGGATTCATTTGGCGAAGGAGTCTCTGTATGCTAATCCACATTGCTCTAAAGAGATTCCAGTAATGCATCCAGCACTACCTGCGCAGACAAGTCATCTCCTAATATCTTCCCGTCTACCTCCTTTCTCGGATGCTGTCTACTAGTGTATTGCGTCTCACCAGCTTTCAGCCGACTCAGATATCGCGTTGCGCCTCGCTCGCTCGAAGCCAGGGGGAGGCCGCCCTCCATAAGATGTCCTTGCCACCTGCATAGGTGGCACCACCCGACCCAGCCGATTCCTTTCCGGTCTCTCCGCCTCCGCCATACCCCAAATCCTGAGTCTCCGTCCCATTTCCGCACACTGCCAAGTATCCAACTCACGCATTAGTCTATGAAGCGCTTCCGTGGAGTTTGGCCCTGTTCTGTTCACGGTAAATTTGAGGATGAAATTTGTTGTTCCAGGAGGGTCTCGGGGATCAACCAATTTGACGGTGATGCAAGCGCTGGTGGATGCGGTGCAGGGAGCTTTAATGTTCTCCCGAACGGAGAGCTCTATTTCGTTAGCAGGGTGTGGCCATAGGTAGCAGGCTAGGCTCTCAATGCGATGCGCAACTGCGACTTCATAGCTGTTTGCCATGGTCAAAGAGGACACGGGAGACCGGATTGCTGAGTCGGCGTTCCGAGTGTGCAAGCGTAATGGTAAATGGCGGTTCACATCTTAACCGTCCGTATATATATTTACTGTTTTGAATTTCTGAGCCTGGGCGAAGAGCAAACTTTGTTCCAGATGACTTTGGTGGACTTCAGTGATGGAGGTTTCCGCCTTGTGCTAAGAGACGTCTCAGTGAAGCGCTACGGCCGCGGAAGACATTCACCCACGTCTTATAACCGCTTGCTTTATTTCTTCACGCTGTTCATTTCTTTTCGGTCAACGTCTACCTGTTTCCAATCCGAGGATGTGCAGGGACCAGAAGCGAAAGTCCACTCACCCCGCAGCGTACGATTTGTTACCCTTGTGTATATGGAGTCGAGCCAATCGTGCCACATGAAACTGACTACATTTAACAGATGTGGTGATTTGTATCTGGTAGTATGCGCTCAATTCTTGTCCACCATGGAGGCAGTCCTGGATTATGAGCGACACGACAGCGAACAGACAGCCACATCACTGAGACAGGGCGTTAAGTGGGACGAACTCAGCTAAGAACTTTCAAGATCTGGCAAAACGATAGACCCTTAGTAGGAGTTTGTCTTGAAAACGCGCGGGTTCGACCATGTGTCCCTGAACCTAAGCCTTACACCTTGGCCGTGAACCCTTAGGGACCAGATAGATCCTAGAACTCAAGCATAATTTCAGCAGAGGGCCTCAGCTTGCCTATCGTCAAGTCAAACGATACCTCTTCGCAACTCTGACCATTGACGCTTGCGGAATCTGCTGGCTAATTGAGCTCCATCCTTTCCACTGACCACGCTTGTGCTAGCCTCCTATATGTCTCTAACTGTTGTCTTTTCGTCAAGTGAACTGTGAGCCTTCCCAGGTCCCTCCATATATGTCAAGTTGTTCGCATCACATCCAACAATAAGACCACTCTGAGTGGACGCGTTCGGATAGGCTTTAGAGGAGGGATCTGAAGGAGTTTCATACGAAGTCATATGCGATGTATCAAACCTAACAAACTTTCGCAGAAAAATCCCTCCAATGCTCTCACTGCTTCTCTGCCTAATCTCAGGGATAGTGTAAGCAGAAGACTTTCCTTTCGTTTGATCAAGACGCGTTCACATCAACGTAGAGTTTCGTCGCATCAAACACTTGATCTTTGCAGCCCAACCGCGCATGCGTGCACCCGCATGCTGGATAACGGTACATTTATCGATCGCGCATGCACTTAAGGTCCATTGGGATTACCCCTCTAACGAGCATCTCTGGGCAGAGCGACAGAGACGCGCACGTGCGTACATACTGGGGAGTTGATGATCTTCGCAACCTCGAGACACCTTCCGCTAAAAGGTACCCTGGGGTAGCGTCAAGGCTAGCGTAGTTTGGGAGGCATCATTCCAAGGCTCCTAACCATTACATATACACGGATGGGACTGTTTCAGAATCCAGTTTCAGAATCCAGTTTCATACGGATAATTTCCAGGTCGATATTGGCCATGTCTTATAAGAAGCCAAGCTGCTATTGTGAAAGTTGACGCGTTGCAGGAAGTAGAGGTGAGTGCGTTCGAGCTCCATTGATGAGGGCGGGATAGACGGGAAAGCTCCCAACAAGAGTGGAATAGTTCAACCCCACCGTCTATTTCCAGATACGAGGCTTCATCCGGTGAGAAGGTGGCTATGACTGGCTTGGCCGCTCGGCGTTGATCTCTTCTATAAATGCTCATCTGCGCAAGCAGGTAAATAATCCGCACACACAACAGGTGCAGGTGAACATCAAAACACTCCTGCAGGTGCATCGACTCCCAGCCTGAACTCCCGTGGCATTATTCACCTTCCTATGATTACCCGTCCAACAGCCTGTCACAAGCCATGACCGAGGTAGCCGGCCTTGTTTTAAGTGTCGTTGCACTTTGGAAAACATGCGTGGAGGTCTTCGAAACAGTCGAGCCCGGGCGAAACTATGCCATGGACTATGAGCTTCTCCGCGTGAAGCTCGAAGTCGAGAGGATTCGCCTTCATAGCTGGGGCCACGCGATCGGCCTTGGGAATGGCGGCAATGAGGCCTCGCCCCAGCCAGACCCGCGGCTGCAGAAAGACGATGTGGTCAACACAGTTATGCGGGTGCGGGGCTGTATGTATACGCTACTTGTTCGAGAACACGGGGCGTCTGCAAAACATATATGGGCTCCAACCCTCAACTGCGGAGACCCAGAATATATTTACTACAGTCCATGGACAGGAACAGCCGACCTTGGGAGCGGTTTTCAAAAACGCCTACGAGAGCCTCAGAAGAAGTGCACGAGAGAGGCAGAAGGGAGCTCGAATCACAACGAAGGCTAGGTGGGCGATAAAGGATAAGCAAAAATTTAAGGAGTTGGTTGCTGAGATCAAGGGCTTCAATGACAATCTGGAGAGTTTATTTCCAGAGTCCCGGGACAAGATTGCGGAGGCGATGATGGAAGATGTTGAGAAGAGCGAGAATATCGTAAAGCTCCAGTTGCTGCAGGATGTCACTGCAGAGGTACATGGAGATATATCTGACTGTGCAAGTGCCAGACTCGACTTCCTAGGCGCAGAGGGTACAGCAAGGACCGACCTTCTCACGGTACAAGAGGACTCGCCAGGCCACGACGGAGACAAGTACGACCTTCAGGACAAGGAAGACAGCAACCATGGGCAAAAGGCCGATGGTATAGATCGTGAAATGACAGAGTTAGAGAACAAGATGGATGCAGTGAATCTCTACTGCGAGAAGAAGTTTGAGGGAGCTCTTAGCGTGCAAGTCATGGGGCCTTATGATTACTCCTCCAAGGTCACGACATACTGCCGTTGGGAAGGTCAAGCCGCGGCAAGGGACTGGTGGTTTGAAAGGAACAAGGGTTTCGTGAAAACCTCTCATGCAGCATTTGGTAGGTGATTCGCGACACGAGAATGATGTGCTAACAAAGGCTAGCCTTGTATAAGAGAAGAAGATTTCGTCCTAAAAGGAATAACGGCAATTTCTCCTACGATGATTCCGAGGAATCGTCCATTCTATTTGATGTCGAAAGCCATCCAGAATACGAAAATACCAGCCCAGGAACGGTAACCGTCGAAGGCTTTGGCCTAGAGGCTTGGAGTTATGAAGCGACCAATAATCCTAGACAGGAGACAATTTCCGTCAATTACACAGCTCGTGAAGGCATAACGGCCAAAAAGCTTCTTAGAAGAATCGATGAGCTCCAGCGTAATCCCGGCAAATTCGGATGGGATCCTCATAGGGATCTTGCTGAACTCAGAGAATTCACGGGCACCATGGGGTATGTTTACATCCTGTTTTCCCTCGCGAGTAGGCGGGTTTAAGGGACGCGGACCGGCAGATTTCGAAGGAACTCCGCAATTTCGTGTTCAATTGGCTCAACTATGTGTAACCCTGCTGCTTCTGGATTAACGATCAAGGCAATGACATATGCTAACTGCTTGATGCAGATGGCTCGACCCTGCATGGGAACTAAAAGAAAGCAGTCAACTTTCCGATTTGTATAGCCTGCTCAATCGCAGCGATATATTTTCTGACTTCGTGGGTACGTCGAGTATCGGCCTGGAATGGAATAACCCCAAAAAACCTGGCGGCATGTGGAAACTCCTCTGGCAGATTATTCTCGCCAAGGAAGTGATCAGAAGATTTGAACATGGTCGCAAGGACGGCTGGACGTCTGGATTCACTGATCGTGTTTTTGCCTCGATGATAGTGGCGGACCGATGGCTCAAGCACGTTGACATTGTCCTCGCGGACCCAAAGATTACTGATTTAAATGAGACGAAACCTCCGGCAAAGGAGCTGAAGGCCAAGGCTGAGGACTTCAAGAAGCAAGGTAACGCAGCATTTGCGAAACATGACTATGAGGAAGCCATCAAGCTCTATACCGAGGCCATAGTGATCGATCCTCGCGACGCCTATATAGCAGCAACAGGTCTGCAGCATGCTATGCGTTGGGACGATACGAAAACGCGCTTGAAGACGCCTATTTTGCTACACGGCTGGATCCGAAATACGCAAAAGGTTAGTCTCGATATGGTCTGGCAGCCTTCAAACTTGGATTAGTGAAAAGAGCGATCGACGCATACGAAACCGCTATCGCAGTAGCCGGAAAAGATGCCACTGATGCAATGAGACAGGGTCTTGCTGAGGCGAAGGCAAAGAACGAAGCCGACTTAAACGCCATTGACCAAGAGAACGATATGAAAAAGCGCGAGGTTCTTCGAAAAGAATATCTCGAACAGGATTTTGAGATATTTGGGAAATCCATCGAGATTCACTCGCGCCTCCATGAGCAACAAGTAGAGGGATTACTTTACTTCGCCCAAAAGATCAAGTGGCCATGGATCAACGAGGTTCGGGACTACTGTGAAGAGGCCTATAGTAACTTGCGAGGTGGTGAAAAGCTCCCAATTGATCTGCACGACTGGCTTTTCGGCATGATACTGCCCGGCAAATGGTTTTCATTCAAGATAATGGCCGCTCTGGTTCTCAGCACCGCGTCAATCAAAGAGGGACTTGGGGTCGCTCGGTACTACGACTGTGGTTTGGCATTGCCGCAAAAGTCTTATTGGCGCATCCGGACAGTGCTTGGCCGAGTGTTAGGCTGCACCCCAGGGGTCATTTCTGTCTGCGGATGGATCGGGCCCTGTCCGCCAGTCGAGTTCATCCCGCCCCTTTCAGAAAATAAGCCTTGCTACGTCCGTCTTAAGGCACGGCAATTGAGTCTGGTGGAATACAAGACGTCCCTAGACGGCGAGCCAATTTACATTGCCGGATCAAGATACTCGCACGAAGAGATAAGGATTCGGCCAGACGAGGAAGTTGAGCCATGGGCATCAGAGATACAGGATGCCAGCAACTGGGTGGTGCCAAAACCACCCGTGAAACAAGCTAGTACATGTGAGATGAAGGCAATTCAGCTGAAGAAAGATATATCTTCGAGGGAGAACGACGAGGATGGTCAAGCTGTCTACCGAGCGCAACTGGTTTTTAAGATGGATGACAGCGACTCACTGATCATGTACAAGCTCTTCACAAATCCTGTCTTTGTCACGCTGCCATATTGCGAACCAGGGCCTAAAGGTGGGCATGAGGTGCATTTGAGAGAACTTCACCGATACGAAGAGAAAAAGATATGGACCGTTGAAGGGCTCAAAGACCACACACCCGAGGATACGGAGGAGACAGATGTTATGATTATTAATGCCACAGGAAAAGGAGCAGAGCTGCCCGCTCGAGCCTGGTGTTCGGAGAGAGGAAAGAACGCAGTGATTCGAAGGGCGGGAGGCCCTTGTTTTGTCTGTGCAGAGCGAGCCGCGAGCTCCACTGCGCTAGGAACTGGGGTTCTGATATGGGTCTCTTGAACGAAACCCGCTATCCACCTTCCTTCGGATGATGGGGTTATCGAACACAAGACTTTTGTTCACAGACGTCGTTGGGAAGAGCTTACTCAGTAATTGGGTGTTGAGCGGAGTCCTCCGTTGGAATGTAGAGTCTAGACCACTTAGGACAGCAACCCTATGGCTCTCCTGCAAACCATCTGCACAGGACGCTTATTTTGGAAGATAAACACCATCTCCTTTCAGAGAAGAATGCTTTTAGGAAGGATCTAATAACCCAAGCAGCATTGAAATTCATCTTAGATAGTCATTCACCACAGTTTACCAGAAACTTCCCTGTGACGTTGAGAAGTAATTACCCGCTCTGCTTTGAGAACCTTTCCTTCTTTGTTTAGTGCTCTACCATTCGTCTGTAGCTGGTTTCTAGGCGCCAGGATGAACTGGATTTTCACACCTCCTTCACATCCTTCTTCATCACATATCCATGGGAATTCTGACAGACATCGTTCTTCACGGTGTGGAGTTTGTCGTTTCCGGCGTCTCCAATAATAGGATTTGAGACTCAGAGCTGTTGAATCGCCTGTCCTCAGGAAGCCAGTGTTTTAGAGATATAATGTTGCAAGCATCCTAAATAATCAAGATGCTTCCTCTGCCCACTGCACTAGATGTCAGTTATACACGTAGGCGTGCTAGATGCGGGAGCAAGGCACATTTGGTGAGCTGAATAAAGCACAATCTGAGCTATATAGACAGTAGGTTGACGGGCACAAATACCTAACAGGGCTTTATTTACGAAATACGTTCGCCAACTACTTGGCGTCTTACAGAAACTTGTAAGCTGATGCCTCAAACTCCTTTACTGACACACAAGACATTGATGATGAAACTTAACTTTCTCTACAAACTCGTCCAGCGCTCTCTCGCCAGCTCTCAGGATGCGACGTCCGCGGTGTTTCCTCTGCTCAACCTGCCCGTCGAGCTGATCTTCGGGATCGCAGGGTTACTCACTCCTGACGACAAAGCAGCTCTGGCATTGACTTGTCACGCGCTTTTGTCAATACTCGGCAGCGCTGCGTTGAATTTAGATGAATTCCCGCCTTCTGATGAACTTCGGGCCGCAAAGAGTCGCCTTTTACGCCGCCTGAACAGAGATCGACGGGACCCTTCTGTTTACGTCTGCTACAAATGTGTCAAGTTCCATTCATTCGAGCAGACGGATACCAAGCCTGACACTTCCAACCCGTGCAGTAATGTCGGCTTTCCAGTGTGCCAGTCGGAGTACGTTCAAGCTATACGGGAAGTCCGACATCTGACCCGTTCACCCCCAAAGCGCATGCCCTTCAAATACTGGGGAGGGACGGTTGAAGACCCGATCAAGATGGTTTACGTCATGGAAGCCGGCACTCACTGGAAGCGCAACGAAGTTTTCCTTCGTCGCGTGTTCATACTCTGGTCGGAGAGGGGAGAGTACGACAGGCAATTCATGCTTCCCTCCAGTTTCTTGATGAGGTCGAATCTGGAGATCTGTCCGCATGTGTGCTTTGGGTCGGACTGCGCGACGGGCACTGGAACCTTCCATCGCATTTTGGATCAATATTACCAACGCCAACACCGCGACTGGTCTTTGGCAGTGTCGGCAGACAAGGCATGGCAACCAGAACCCTTCACAGGATATATCTGCCAGGACTGTTGTATGGAGGTGTGCATTGATTTCAACCAACATAAAAGTCGGGCCTCAGTTCTCGTGTATCAGCACCTCGGCCCTCCCAAAAGGAACGTGGTACAGGTATTGTTCGATGAGGGTGTCAAAGCCTGGAAAAGAGGAACGTTAAAGCTTCTGAGAGCTAAGCTTGCTTGACTTGGGGATTTCGACAAGATGAGAGAACTGAGCCGCAAGATTGGAAGGATTGCGTGAGGGTTGGCTTAATGCCGCTGATAAGAAGACCAACCCATTCATTAGTAGATACACCCGGCCGTACGTATTATCCGTATTAAGATAAGGCTCCGTTAGCATCTACAGGGGCTATCTTCTGTATAGTACAGTATAGAAAGGGTACTTCTAGCCTTTAAGTCTGTAGATGCGTCTAATTATATACTAATCCTGTCAGACAGTGTTATATTATCTAGTATATTGGTATTTATACAAGGTCCACATGGAGAATGACGGCGCAGGCATACCCTTACCATTCTTTAGGCTGACTCTTAGAGTAACTCTCAATAAGGTTGCGTTATTGATGCTAAGCTCAACCCGACTGCTGGACCAAAGCGCAACAGAAGTAAAAGTTTTGGGCTGCTCTCGCTAACACCAGAAGACGGAGACAAGTCCTCCACTACCTACCTAGGTAGGTATTACCACCTCAAACATATACACGTGACTTACCATGTTCCACAACGGCTGCATCTCACCCATCCTCGTGTATCCAGCAAACCTATCCTCTACATCGTTTGAACCCGTTTCCATATTTCAACCGCTCGCATGCCGTGGCCGCTCCTGGTTTTACCCAATCGCCCAGCCACTTTGCCTTTTTTATCAGATGATCGATAACGTGGCAAACATTTCCGAAGCATTTCCGACGCTCCGCCGAGGTAACCCGAATGTGAAAGGAGTGACTCCGCCAAAATGACCAGCTCGGTGCGCTGGATCGCACAAACCAAGCACGCCTTGCCTGTACTGCGGTCGCGTGAACTGTCCGCAGAGAACAGGTTGACTGTTGCCTGACATGGCTGTTTCCTGAGATGAACCTTGTGGTTCTCTTGTCCCCTTCTTCTTTCCTCTGCCCCTCTTCTTCTGGCCAACACATACCGATATCACTATTCCGGCAGGTGTATATTTGCTTTCGGGCGAGTACTATTTGCTTGACTTACATTCTCGTTCCTTTCGAGAGCCTCTTAAGCTTCATGAGTGCCTAGAATGGCAGATAAGAAAACGGCTACATGCATCTCGGATGAGATCAATGTGGCGACGAGGTATGGGAGATGAGAGCTGCTATACGGCTTTTCTCATGTACCTCCAGCAGCTAACGCCACTTCTAGAACTTCACACAACGTCCTTAACCACATCATAACCACACACCTTCCTCTAGCCCTCCCACCCTACGCCGCAGACCCCACCCTCTATGCAACAGGCATCAGCCACGTCTCCCACATCTTCCTCACCTTCGAATCGCTATGGGCAGACTTGGAGAAGCCTGGCGTCCTATCCAAGACCTCGCCACCTTCTCCGGAAATGTTGGGTTTCCTCACAAGTCTACGACCACCCGGTATGGCACGAGCCGGAAGGATAAAGCGCGATTTGGGATTTCTGACCGGGAAGACTGAGGCCGAGCGTGATGCCACGTTGAACGTCCACCCCGAGAACAACATCGCGACGTATTGCGCACACATTCGGGAGACAGTACGAGAGAAGCCCCATTGCCTCATTTCGTACGCTTGGTGCTACTACATGGCCGTTTTTGCCGGCGGGCGCTGGATTCGCTCGCAGCTCGTGAACGCGGGGGAAGACTTCTGGCGCAACCCCAGTCAGGGACGCTCCAAGAACGGCATCATCGGTGACGAGAAGGAAGACGACGGCCTCCCGCTTGAAGAGCGGGGTCTCGCGTTATGGAATTTCGACGGGGTAGAAGATGGCGAGGACATCAAAGCGGATTTTAAGCGGCGGTTAGCGCTTGGAGAGGTGTTGTTCACGGAGCAGCAGAGAAGGGATATTGTCCAGGAGGCGAAGGAGGTCTTCCTTTGGGTTGAGAGGGTCGTGGAGGATATTGATAAGGAGGTGGGGACGAATATGGAGATGCTGGATAGGCAGGCGAGGAAGATGAAGGGTGGGGGTCGTCCTGGGCAAGGGCATGGGGCTGTTGCGGCTGAGAAGCAGCAGCATCATCAGAATTCGGCGTGGTGGATGAGGAGGCCGGATCTCCTGGTCGCGTTGGCTTGCATGCTTTGCGTGGCGTTGGTGAAGCTTTTGTCGAGGTTTGGGAGTGAGGGAGACGTTGTTATTGCATGATCGGGGTGTTGGTTCGACCATAAGGGTTTGGGACAGCACATGTGGATGGTACATGAGATACCCTGTAGACATAAATGCATCATAGCTTGTTTTGCTATTACTATAACAAGTATACGAAGTTTCTGCGCAATCACCTTTTCCGCCTGTTTTATACGGTTTACATCGTTAGGATGCACCTGGAACAACCTTGAAAGCATATCTGACATTGTTTCCATGCCAATGGTTGCATAAGCCACCGCAGGGGTCTGATCAACTCAGTAAACAACTGCGCCGCAGAAGATGTCTATCATCGATCTCGAGACTCTGCAAAGTCTTTCATTACGGGAACTCAAATGTACATACACTTACGTTAGATTGGAATCATACACTTCTCCAAACCTTCGAAGTACCCAATCCCTATTATCGTAACGTTCTAATCCACAATGACACACAACCACGCCAACTACCAAAAGCGCCTAGACTTTATTCAAGATCTTCTGTTCAAACGCTTTGGTGTAGATGTGAGTATCAAATGTCCCAGGGATATGGAAGAGTGCTTACCAAGTCTACCTAACCAGGGAGCCAATATCCAACCTCTCCAATATGATCCGGAGTGCCCCTTCAAATACAACAACTTCGTCTACCGCATCACCTTGACTTCGCCCATCACAACCCGAGCCCAAGAGGCTCCGCGACAGCCCGGAACTGTTCCAATTCCGGACGGAACCAAGGAGTTCATCCTACGTCTCAGCAATCCTGACGCCGAGGGCATGAATCCAGAGACAAGAGTGGAGAACGAGGTCGCCATCATTTCACTCGCTGCAATGGCTTTGCGTGATTTCAGTCCGCCTATAGTGCCTTCGGTGTATGCATGGGGAAGCGCGACCTCACTGTCCTCACAAGGTTGGATCCTCCAGGAACTCATGCCGGGCGCTCCCGTAGATGACAAACTGGACTCTATGTTTATCGAGGAGAAGCAGACTGTGCTTGCGCAAATGGCCCGAATTCTCAAGGCATTGCAGGATTTCGATCTTCCCGAGAATATCAAGGAGTATGGCGGAGTAACTTTTGAGAGCTCGGGGAATATGATAAGCGCACCGATGACGAGTGTAGGCAGTGGGCCATGGCACACTTACGAAGATTACTTTCGAGATCGGTTGGAACGAGCGCTCAAGAAGTCGGATGAGAATCCCTATATCAAGGGATGGCATGCCAACGGAGTGAGGCAGCGCCTAGAGGCTTTTGTCAAATCGGGTGTTCCGGCACAGTTTCAGTCTCTCGAGTCCAGAGATGGCAAGTGCATTGTGCATGCAGACTTTAGTAAGTACAGGCGTATGGCTCATATAATTCCACTGACCGAGTATCAACGCAGCCCCTAATAACCTGCTCTATGACTCGTCAGCGCAGCGTATCACCGCTTTGATCGACTATGACTTCGCCTGTATTCTGCACCCGTCGTACGAATTTCTGCGCTCCTTCAGTGGTGCCGAAGGCCAGTTCCAGGGTTGGTCTGATATCGAGTCTAGGGAGGAGACGGCACTTAGAGACGCCAAGCTCCATCGATTCCCGTCTCCACTCCCGGAAACGAGAAAGGATGGAGTTAGTTGGGCTATGGCCAAGGCATGGGAAGACGAGCTTGAAAAGCTGGATGTGAAGAGGCTCAGGACCATGAAGGGGATCGACAAGGTGGCCGATGTGGATGCAGTTCTTCGGTCGATTTTGCCGTGGAGGGTCACCAATTCGGATATTTTGAGGTTGCAGAGTGAGGAGGTGATTCTCAAGTGTAGGGATGAAAATGAGGCGCGGTTAGTGAAGCTGTTGGATCATTTGGGATATTGAAATGAGGAAACAGCAAGGAGAGCTGGATTGTTTGTCCCAATTTCGTCTATATTGACTGTGAGCATTGGACAAGAAGCTCTCGGCCGTTCGAGGAGGCACCCAGACTTGAGCACGCGGTGGGCATCAGGAATAAGGGGTTCAAGAAAAAAGTGTGAGAGAAGTGTAACATCAGTACATCAAGATAATAAATGAAAGACCACGGTGGAAGAGAGGATGAGAAGAAGCAAAGCCGGTGATACTGTGTGCTGTACCCCGTACTTGTACATACGTGTATGAAGTTTGGGTGATTAATTATAATTGGGGGAGGTTCCGGGTTCCAACAAAGGCCAGGCGATCGGCGCTACATGATTGCTCTAGCCACGTGGCTAGTGGCGCTAGCTTGGGCGGACCCGCTTCCCCGGACACCCAACCGCGACATCAACGACACATGTCAGCAGCAATCAGTTCAAAGAACTGACCACAAACCATTCTTTCGCCCACAACTAACTTAATACTCGTTACTCCGGGCCTGGATTCAGCAGGTAATTCCCACAATGTCCACACGGGGGACGGTCAACACGAAGCGCATCCGTATGCTAGCCTCCCATTCCATGTATAACGAGTAACTGACAGTGTTGCAGTTAAAGAAGCCTCCGAGTTTGCCGCAAATGCTTCTCCAGACTACCATGCGGAACCGCTAGAGGATAATCTCTTCGAATGGCACTTCACCATAAAAGGCCCGCCGGCTCCGTCACCTTATGACGGAGGCATATACCACGGCCGAATAATCCTCCCTGCACAGTACCCTCTGCGCCCGCCGTCATTCCGCTTCCTCACTCCAACCGGTCGCTTTGAAGTCAATCGAGAGATCTGCTTGTCCATATCTGATCATCATGAGGAGACGTGGCAACCGGCATGGGGAATCCGTACAGCCCTGGTTGCGTTACGGAGTTTTATGGACACCGATGCAAAGGGCCAGCTGGGCGGTATAGAATGCACTCAGCAAGCAAGGAAGAAGATGGCGGTAGAGAGCCGGCTGTACAAATGTGCTGTTTGTGCGAAGTCGAACGCCGAGATCATCAAAGAGAGGGAGGAAGCTGCGGCGCTTCAGGAGGCTAAGGAGGGCAAGAGGAAAGAAGAGGAGATACCTGAGGAGTTGAGGCTTGCCTATCGGGATGAGCTAAACAAGGAGAGTGAAGCCGACGGCCAGCAGCAAAAAGAGCCCAAGGGCAAAGAGAAAGCTCATGACCCGTCGGAGGCGCTCACGGCGTCTACTCCAGCAACAGGCCCAGCAGTGACCCCAGCGGCAAAGCCGGCTGCTGTTCCGATAGCGGAACCCGTGCCCAGGCCTACTGCCACGGTACAAGCTCCAGTGCCGCAGCAAGCAGTTCGAGTGACTTCTGAACCTTCCTTGGCTTGGGTGGATGCATGTATTTATGCTGTTGTGGCTGCTTTGATATTCATGGTGTTACGGAAGGTCTCATAGTCGACTCATTGACTCGTTGGCAAAACTATCATGAGTTCTCTGCATGCCGGCATAGGAGTTGTGGTGTTCAGATATCACACAAGAGTAGGGCAGTTTTTTTCATTCATCGTACTTCTTTCCTTCGGTCTGTCAATACTCCCGGTCAGCTGGCATATAGTGTTATATACCCATACTCAGAACTTCGAATATGTCTTCTCTATGTATCTGAGAGTATATCTTGTCGCATCTAGCCATTCCCTTATCTTTCCTATCTCCAAATCCCTCCCTTCAAATTGGGTGTCGAGGTCGAGGGTCTCTTAGTGCGCAACTCAAGTCTCCAACATCGCTCAAGCAATGCCCTCATTGGTCAGTTTTGGTGGTTTCCATATTGAGTCTCATAAGTTGAGATTTTCGGCGGTCAGTGAAAGTCAACCCCCTCGAACCCTTTCACAGTCCCCCCAAACTCTTCTCCATAGCAACCCTCGGAGAAACCTTTTGCCTGTCTACCGTCTAGGCTGGCCCCAGAGCGAAGTGGCAAATATAAACACGATATAATTCCTTCAACCCCCCATACAACCTTCCTTTCTCTCCCAACTTTCCCTCGCTCCACAACCTTTCTCAACCTCCTTGCGACTGCACCTCGAGCTATTTACAACTTCAACCACAACCTCTGCAACTTCTTTTCCTCAGTTTCCCCTTCCATACGCCTTGCGATGGGTTCGGGACCCTTCGCCTCGCAGCCCTTCGGGCAGTTAAAGGCTTTGTTTACCACTTCTCGCTCGTCCTCCGCCGCTGCACCGAAGCAAGTCAGCAAGAAGAAGTCGAACAGTACCCTGGCTGGCACCAAGTCCTCCATTGGTGGGAAGCTGGCACGGATGCTGCATCGCAGACGCGACAGTGGCTATGGCAGCAGTGGAAGTGGAAAAAGGAACGAGCTTCCTATCCACATGCCACTGGGTAAGAAACTGCCTCGATACCTTGTTGATTATAACTGACACGGTGATGCAGATCCCAAAACGGCCGAAGAAGCGGCTCGGGAGTTTGTCAGGTGGCAGGGCGGCGGACAATCGAGGGAAGCTGGTGTCGCAGTGCATCATGGTAATTGTTATTGACTCAAGAATCTTCTGAGTGCTGTGTTAATATCTCCTTGCAGACTTGCCGCCCACCAATGATGTCGATTCAGATAGGTCCTCCGTCGCTTCCCTCCCGGAGTATGTCGGTTCGGAGGCCTCATCATCGGCCTATACGCAGGTTGTTGTGTACAATCCGCCGCTTCGTAAGTAACATCCTTGACCTCAAGCGCAACATGCTAACAGGAAACCTCAAGTCCCTTATCCGATCCCCGAGGCAGATACAGATGTTGCCGGAGTCGAGGCCCGACCACAGAGTGTCTTGTCGTCTGCCTCCTCCTCCGAGTATGACCAGATTGTTGTTCACCAAGGTTGTCTGGGTACGTTGGCCTCCCTCGTATCTGCCATGACCCGATACTGATGATGAATCTTCAGTTGTCCCATTTGTCCCTCCCGAGTTGTATGCTACCAATACGCCCACCCAACCCGCAAGTGTGCATTCTTCGGCCTCCTCCTCGGAATACACCCAAACTGTGGTGTACCATGGCCTTCAGGGTACGCCATTCATTCCCCACTCGGCAGAAATCCCTAACGGTAAATCAGGTGGGACTACACTTGAAGCTGCTGCTCTGCAGTACGTGACAGGGAGGGTTGCAAACACACAGCAGCCTTTGGCTACGGCCAACGATTTAGTAAGTTTCCGGTTGCATTCAGGACTGCAGCAGGCTAATAAGTTGCAGAACGACTGTGACACCTCTTCAGAGCTGGTCGAAGAAACACCGGAGACTGCTGGTCGTTCCTTGAACGCCGTCACTGAGTCCGGCCCGGTCGGATCGTCTGATTGCACCCATGAAGAGCCATCCGTATACGGGGCCATCGACTCCCATGCGCCAGCCGAATCCACCCAGTCCCAGTGTGCGCTGGTTACATCACCCTTGAAGCGTACGCACCGCCAGGTCAAGCGTCCCCTCGAAGCATTGCACCCGGAGGAGAATACCATCCGGCGTCGACAGCACCGTTTCTTTGAGGCATTGACTCGTCGAGCTGCCGAAGGCCATGGCTACGCCATGGCTAATGCCCTTGACGTCGTGAGGCATCTGGAGAACAACCCGGACCCGAACAGCTTCCTCCGCCTGCCGTCGATGGGCCTCTATCGGCACGAGCTGTCGAAGAACGACTGGCTGTGGCTTCGGCGCGCACAGATGATCTGGTCCGTACAGAAGCAGATGCGTCGAGGCCTGCTTGCTGCTGAGTGCGGTGAAATCATCATCACCCAGCTGGTACCGGAGGGCGAACACCAGATCCTCCCAAAGCAGTACTTTGAAGTCTACCTCGACTTCTACGTGAAGGAAGGCATCTGGTGCTCCCAAACCCTCGCCCAGCGAATTCTCATGCTGCAGGTAACCCCCGAAGAGTTGAGGCTTGGTCCTTGCGTGGTGCTTCCTGAGCCCGTCAAATCCGTCGCTCCACAGTTCCAGAAGTTGCCTATTGACCTTCGGTCGACCACTCCTGTTGCCCTCTCCCGATTCAAGCAGCTCCTGCATCTTTGCGAAGCGGTGGCCTACGAGCGCAAGGAATGGAAGGGCCTTGCGTACGACAACGGGTTGAAGGAGCTGCAGCTCTACTGCGCTGCGTTCCACGCCACCAAGGGTGGGCAGAATCCTCCTGCGGACCTGATGCCGCACTATCGGAATTGGACGTATCCCGAGCAGCGGCTCCTTCGTGCCGGTGAACTGATTGCTCGCCTGCTGCAGGAAGTGAATGAGGGCAGGTTTGACTTGGCGATTTTCCAAGTCATCCGGGGCACACTCCTGAATGTTAGGGCCCAGCCCTACTTGGATCTCGAGGAGTTTGAGAAGTTCTTCTACTCTTGCGGTGTCGAAGCCGGTGTCCAGATTTCGGAGATTCCGCGGATCCTGATTCTCCACCCCGAGTATGACTTCCAGTCCCAGCGCGATGAGGAGCGCGTCTTCAGCGGGCTGTTGGCAAACTCATGGCGCTTCCAAGAAGAAGAGGCCGAGCGGTTGCGGGAGCTTGAGATGGCGAAGAAGGCATATGCCAAAGCCATCGGTGGTAAGTGATCGCGCTGTGCCTGCTCAGAGCCTATGCTGACAGAATGATAGCCAACCGCTTCGCCGCCCGTTTCAAGCGTCGCCTCAAAAAGCTATTCAAGACGTACAGGGAACCGATCCGGTTCCACTGCAGGGGATGTATGCAGGGTCGCCGTTGCATCGCCTAGATCATTGATCTTTGAGGTATGTCCGTAGCGGATAGTTTTTCATGGCCCTGGTGCTGACTCCGGTTGGATCCAAGACGAAAACGACCTGCTGTTTTGTACACACGACTGTACACACGACCCCTTCTCCATTAAGGGAAGAGCTGTTCATGGTACGCTCTATGTGCCCCACGATGATGGACGAATGGCAAAGACTCCGGCGATGATAAGAACGGAGTTCAAGGCGTTTCTAGTGCTTATGATACCCGGTTCGAAGTGACCTACAGTGTGCTGGCGGTTCTGCTTTTGGGAGGCGTTCTTCTTTTCCTTGCCTTTTTCATCTCAGCATGAGCAGACAATGAGGTGTGCCTAAGAAAAGCATATTATTTTCTACTCCTCTGCCATTCTTCTGATCATTCCCTAGGGGTATCCTAAAGTGGTGACATGCTACCTCAGGCACACCAATTCCATCGATGCGTGTTGTGATTATGAAAACAAGCATCAATATCTCTTCTGAAGGCGTACTCAAGCTTCAATGAACGTATGGAGTCTAGGGTACAGAGACGTGTCTTCTTATTGCGCTCCAGTCGTTAGATGGTTTAGGAGGGGAACTGACGGGACAGTTGCGCCACAGTGTGGCGCGACGCCGACTTCCCCTTTTGCGCCGGCTTGGCTTCAGAAAACATATCACGACCTCTCCTCAGTCCATCAGGTGCGCCATAGACGATCGCTTTTCAGTCATTCGACTATTTCTCGAACCGGTAGGCTTCAGCAATCCCGCGGGCTACCATATTTCCTAGAACACCGACGTCCTGCCATGCTGGACCGCCTCCGCTCGTAATCCGCATCGACGACCGGCACCCCTTCGCGAGCTGCACACATTGGCCGACAGCGACAGGAGGAAGAACCTCTGCTCGTAGGCGCCATGATCAGACCTTTACTGATGCGGCTTATGCGGAGACCGTGGAGGTTCATCCTCCTGGTTGTCATTTTCGGTTTCGCCCTGCTCACATTAACTCGAACACATCGTCAGGAGCCACCACCGCAGACCGCCTACTACAAGAAGACTACAAAAAGTTTCTTCCCTCCTTTGAAGGGTGCGCCCGCACCAGATCAAGATTACTGCGTCAACTTCCCCAAAGACCAGCTGAACAGGATACAAGTGGTGTTGAAGACTGGAGCGAACGAGAAGGAGAAAACAAAAGCACATCTGTCGACTGTGACGTCGTGCATATCGAATTTATTAATTGTGTCAGACCACGAGGACAGGATAGGCGATCACCATGTCATTGACATCCTCGCCGAACTGCCCGCTTCGTACAAGGAGAAGAACCCTGATTTCAGCTCCTACCTCGAGCACCAGAAGGCCCATGCGGAGGGCGATATCGTTGATTATCACTCAGGAGGATGGAAGCTGGACCGCTTCAAGTTCCTGCCGATGGTTGATAAGGCATATGAAATGAACCCGAAGGCAGATTGGTATATCTTCCTTGAGCCGGACATATACTTCTTCTGGGACACGCTGTTTCGGTTGCTGGACCAGCTCAAGCCGGAGGAGATGCACTATATGGGCGCACCGGGGCCGGCATCTAAGTCGCCAGACCGTAACTTCGCATACGGAGGTGCCGGGTTCGTCTTGTCTCAGGGATTAATGAAGAAACTCCTGCCGCCGTCGCGTAGTGGAGGGTATGAAAAGCTGGCTCATCGCTATGAGGACAAGATCAAGAGTGAATGTTGCGGCGATGTTGTGCTCGCACATGCCATTCTCAACATGACGGAAACCAAGCTCGAGGCGTTGTACCCGACATTCTCCGGGGAAGATCTCAGGCAAATCAGGGTAGACAAGGACCGCTGGTGTGTTCCGCTACTCTCGCTGCACCGTGTGGAGCCCGATCAGATGGAAAAGCTGTGGAGGTGGGAGCGGACACGGCCGTATAACACAGTACGTGCGCCCTCTAATCAATTCATGGCGGTGCAACAGTTTGCTAACAACCCCTCCAGAAACCCTTCGTTTATTCTTCCCTCCTCGCATACACACATTCGCACCTTACGAAATCACCCAAGCTTGAATGGTGGGATAACCTATCGGAAGCGCCCGTCCCCAACGACCGGCCCGCGCATCGTAACGCCGATTCGTGCGGCTCGGAGTGCTCAAAGGACGCCAACTGCCTCCAATGGTCGTATTCCCAGACCGTGTGCCGCTTCGCCAACTACATCAAGCTCGGAAATCCCGTCGACGAGATGAACGGTGGCCAGGGCGAGTTCCATAGCGGATGGGACCTCAAGAAGATGGGCGAGCTCGGCTTCAAGGTGGACGAACAGAGCGACATACACGACACTTGTCAAGAGGCGACATGGCTGACGCCGAAAGTACGGCAATAGTATTCGTGCTTTATCGACGTTGATTGTCGCACTCACCTAGGCGTTTGGGGGCTCCCATACTTCGGCCAATGATCCTCGAGGACCATTGGGTCTGAAATCATCATGTGACGGCGTTACGTTGCTTCTTTGGATATCATGTACTCATTTTAGCTTCCCGTGTTTCTATTCATTGGGGTTCTCCATTTCTCCGTTTTTCCTGTTCTACGGGATATGGAACGTGTACGTCTTGGTCGACTTGTGTATGTATTTGTGGGGATTCGCAACATGGGTGATTGAGCGGATGCGGATTAGACTGTGGGTTTATACTTGCATATCATACCCTATGGCGTGAATGCCTGTAATAGCGCGACATGGAATTGATGGCATCAATATCGGTGGGTTGATTCTGGTAGTATGGTTATGTTGACATGGTAGGGACAAAACGCATTGAGGGAGGAAGACCATCTGGTATAGGGAGAGGCGGAACCAAATATCCAAGTCCTGTTAAATATCTAATTGAGACATTTATATTCCCAGAAACAAGCCCAGTTGACTTTCCATTCACCGTGCCAGTTGTCTCCCTCAAGTCCGTCACGCCAAGCTGTCCTCGGCGAAACAATCCTCCACATCCCTGCCTCGACTTCTCAAAGTTCGACGACCATCATCACATCGACCCTATCCATCACAGAAAAACTCCATCTTTGCGCGCCCACCTCTTCGCACTCTGCTCATTCGACAGACTCTTTCCGTCACTTTGAACCACCTCACATACAACCACAACAATGGTCAAGCTCGAAGAAGTCATTGACGAGGACTTCCTCCGCCCGCAGGAAGGCCCCATGGACGAAGACGAATGGGACACCGATTCCGGTCCGTCCTCTCCTACTCCAACCCTCCTTCGCTAGCTCCCTCCCTACAATCCCCTCACTAACAACCCCCCCAGAATCCGAAACCTCCTCCATTGCCTCCGAAGACCTGACAGCCGAAACCCTGTACGAGCGCCTCGTCGCCCTGCAAGACATTATCCCGGCCTCGTACCGACGCAGCCTCTCGTCGAAACTCGGTACCGCCAAGTCGGCGCTCAGGACGGGCGCGTCGTGGGGCGGCAGGACGTTGTGGGTCGTGAGCACGAGCGTGCTGCTGCTCGGGGTGCCGTGGGCGCTGGCGTATAGCGAGGAGCAGATGATGCTGGAGCAGGAGAGGGAGATGCAGATGCAGCAGAAGGCGAATGAGTTTTTGACGCCTGGCACGGGGACGGCGGCGGCGGGGCAGGCGCAGGCGAAGCCGGCGATTTAGAGGGTTGATAAGAGGGGAGAGTGTATGAGTGGTTTGGAGGCAGTGTATGTATAGATTTTGGTGGGCCTTTTTTGTACGATTGATTTGCTATTCACAGCTGTTTGGGGTGCATAGGTGGGATGGGGTTGGTATGGGATGGGTGTACGCGTACAGTCATGTCCTTGGTTCGCATCCACGGGGTTCTAAAACACCCTGAGCAATGTTCGCCAAATGTACTATTAGATTTCTTCTTCCTCTCCTCTGGAAAAATATACAACGCGTTGGTCAATGCAGTTGCCCTCCCATCACCAAGCAGTTCACGAGCACAAGCGGACCTTATTCGAGTACCACCATACTATTCGGACACACCTATATGTACACAAGTCAACCTTCTCTACCAATCCGAGGGCTAGGGCGCTTCCCATTGCGCACCTTCCCCGCCCCAATCTACCAAAGCAGAGCTGCTTGACAATGTGCATATCCCCATTACAGTTTCAACAACATGCGCCTGATAAGGTACGAACCGCCAAAGGAGTAGGTAAAATGTCGTTTCTTTGTGCGGGAGAATGACGTTGATCTCTAGTCCCGTTCGTGCGAAGCGTGCAGATAAATGCGCTGACCAACCAACCGCCGAGAGCCCCCAGAATTACGAACCATGCAGACTAGGACAGATAGACGAGCGCCAGGTGCCCCTTTTCGGTTCGCTCGCGCAAAGGAAATGGTGATAATACAGAGAAGAGAAGGGTTGTGATCTACAAGCAGTCGGATATTCACGGGTCAGGAAGTTCCAGGGTGGGACGATCGATTGGCTTAGAATGGGATCGGATCGGGCTGGATGCCGGCCATGGCCATCTTCTCCTGCTGCTGCATTACCTCCTCGTCGGCGGCCTCGATGGAGACGGCAAGGCCAAGTTTGGAGGTGTTCTATCCTCGGATTAGCTGTCTCATTCTCCAGAAAGCGAAGGGGTACATACCTGTTTGTGGTCAATCTCGCCAGAGAAGGTAATGCGGATGGGTGGTGCAACAGTCTTTTCCAGCAGGCAGCCAACCTTGCCGGTATTGTCGATTTGCGCCCTGAAAGACGACATACGGAAGTCATATTTAGCGCCAATGGTAACAGTGCCCTCCTTGCTTGCACCACCCATAGGTCCAGCAGCGCCCATTCCAGCAAAAGCGAGGTTCATGTTGATGCCGGTCTCGACCTTGTCGGATAGCTTGCGCCAGTACGATGCCTCGATTGCGTTACCAGGGACGAGCTGTGCGGCGGCCATCCAGTCCGCAGCCTTATACCTCGTCGCGTAAGAAAGGTTGAGGGTAGGAGGATAGGCCATGGCAGGGCGCGACCAGAAAGCGTCCACGCCGACAGACAACCGCGAAGTCAGTGCCTGCAGGTAACTGCCCATGACCATGCCTGTGAATCCACCATCTAGTATCGAGGGGTTCACCGCTTTCAATGACGCTGAGAAGTCTGCACCTGTGTAGTCGTTCTCAATGGACATCATGTTCCCTTGCGAGGATAGCTGGACGGAGGTCTTGGTGATGAGGTTCGAAGCCCAGCGCCAGTTGAAGCGGCCGGTGAACTGAAGGTCATTGTCGAAGTTACCTTGCATGAACACCTGCAGCTATTAGATTAGTGGCACTAGGAACTTCAGCTGTAGGGGCTGACCTTGGGGCTGCCGTATAGGACTCCGTATGTGTAGGGGGGCATTGCTTGCGAGCCCATGGCGAGCGCATGCGAGACCTGGAATAGCGGAGAGACGCCGAAGGACTTGGTCAGGTCGGCGCGTAGGCCAGAGAAGCTCTGGTTGTTCAGGAAGACATCGCGCTGCACCTCTTTTGCGATGTTCTCAACGGTCCCGGGATTTGACAGTCCTAACGCCTCTCTCCGCTCATTAAAGGCCGAGTAGATATCTCGTATCCGCGCAACGACTGCATTCTGAGTGAAAAGCTCGGTGAAGGCTGTCTGCTTCTGCGTGTCGAGGTCCATGGCGAGGGGAGGGTTCTGACGAAGATTGACCTCGGATTTGTGGAAGAATGCGCTCCTGTGTAATGGGTGGAGCGCCTTGATAGAGATTGAAATGCGAAATGGTGAAGCAGTAAGCTATGGTTGACAGTCGATGGAGATGAATGCTGCTTTTGCTATGAACTTTTCTCTCTTGGAAGGAGTAGAGCTCGCACGTGACAACGCTAACCCCAGATCGGCTGGCGGCTTATCGTTATCGATATGACGGAGCTGGAGGTCGACGACCTCGACAGTACTCCGTCCTCTTCCGTATCCGGTGAATTGCTTTTTCTCTGGTCGCCAGAACCTTGCCTTCGCTGGATTCTCTCACTTTCCTCACACTCTCTGTTGGGCTGGTTCATCTAGAAAACATCTCTCACGGTCCGTCTTCCCCAATCGCGTAGGTTGGAACCAGTGGCACCTGCTGCCATCACTCCACTGCTCCTCCGGCCCTATATGAATTCCCCATAACCCCGCCGAATTCCTCCACTCCTCCTAGATATCCGAACCCCCATTTCCACACAACACCTCCATAGTCCACATACATTCCTTATCAACATGGATACACTACTGTAAGTTCGAGCTTTCCCGAAGCAACAGTTAGACGGCGGTGCAAAGCTCAGGTATTGACTTCCGTCTCATAGCACTGCGGAGATATACGCCAACTCGCCCCGCTTCAGGCGGCGGTCGAGTACTTTCGTCGATGCCATCCATGATCTTCCGCCCCAGGAGGAGATGGCCCCGGCGCAATTGTACAGCACAGAATCAGGACGACTGTTTCACGCCGGCAGGATAGTACTTGCCACTGTAGGACTGCCAGCCCGCGGAAAGACACACACCTCGGTGGCCATAGCACGGTATCTGCGCTGGCTCGGGGTCAAGACGCATGTATTCCATCTCGGTGATTATCGAAGAGCTACTGTGGGCCCTGGAAAAGATGTGCCTGATGATTACTTCTTCCTGAATGCCTCTCCTCAATCAGTCCTATTGAGGAACAAGATCCTGAAGAAGTGTAGAGAAGACATCTATCACTTTCTAGAACACGACAACGGCCAGGTCGCCATCTACGATGCTGTTAACGCCATTTCCCAGGGACGCAAATCACTCGCGAAGGAGTTCGCTAAGCATGGGATTCAGACTGTGTTCATCGAATCGCACTGCACCGACCCGCGCATCATCCAAGAGAATGTGCGCCGGGTGAAGATTTCCTCACCCGACTACAAAGGCTGGAACGATGAAGACGCCATCCGAGACTACCTCGCACGTATAGCCGCCCGGATACCCCATTTCGAGACCATGGAGGAGCCGGATCTGCATTGGATCAAGATAATAAACGCCGGCGAGCGTGTGATCGTGAACAACTGCGCCTTCAACTACCTGTCCCAACGAATCGTCTTCTACCTCCTCAATCTGCATATCAAATCCCGGCAAACGTACTTTGCACGTGCCGGAACCGCTCGCGAGGAGGACTCCTATAAGGCGGATGCGCCTCTCTCCGAGGAGGGCCGTGACTATGCCAGAAAGATGAGCGAAGTGCTGCTGAAGTACCGCGAAGAGGAGAAGCAAAAACTGAAGGAACAGGGTGCCCCGGATGCTGAGCTCAAGCCCTTGACCATCTGGACATCGACACGGCGCCGCACAGTTCAAACGGCAGAGTACCTGGCCGCGATGGGCTACCGTGTCCGGCAGCGGTCTCAGATGAGCCAGATGAACCCTGGTGTGTGCGAGAAGATGTCAGAGGAACGCATCCGCAAGGAATTCCCAGAGGAGGTGAAGAAACATGAAGCCGATCCATACCATCATCGCTATCCCCGCGCAGAAGTACGTCCTTCCCTCCCCAAGTACAGGTAATAAAAATACTGACTCTGGCTAGTCCTACCACGATCTTGCTGTCCGCATGGAGCCTATCATTCTCGAATTGGAGAGGGAGCAGAATGATCTTCTAATCATAGCACACGAATCCGTGCTCCGCGTCCTATACGGCTACCTTATGGCTTGCAGCGCCGCCGACATTCCCAAACTCGACTTTCCCCGCGACGAAATTATCGAGGTTCGTACACTCTAGCCCCATCAGATTTCGTTCTCACTTGTTCCCTAGATCATCCCCTCTAGCTATAACAACGTCGCCAAGCGCATCAAAATTCCCGGCCTCCCAGAACGCATAATCCCCGGCAGTCCAGAAGACATTAAGATCCCGGTCCCACCAAGCGGTAATGTAAGTCCCTTCCCTGGCATCGCGACTCCGCGAGCCGGCGGGACGCCGCAGTCTGGTCGTTCGGGAACCGCTACCCCCCTGACGCAGCATGCACCTGCACACCCCGCAACATACGCCCCTCGCGTTGGGACTCCCCTATCTCAATCTACGACTATCGATACTATTGAAGCTGCATCTACACAAACCTCGGTAGAACCTCTACCATTGAAGAAGACTCCTATTAACCCGCTTGATTAGGACGAGGATGCGCTGCTCCGGGCGATGACGGAGTCACGGGATGTCAATGACCTGTTATGAATGATGTTTTGGTTCGGTACGATTCTTATACTTCCGGATGGGGTTTTGGTTTATTTGCGTGCCGCGGTTTTGTTCGAGATTGAGGTGGTTGGTGGGCGCAGGCCTAATTAACGGGTTTTCACATTCATTAGAAGGGTCGGTGTAGATACCAGCTCTGGTGTCTAAGAGCACATTTTGGCATGAGGTCGTGTGCTTTAATTTAATATGATTCACGCCCTTCAGGCGCCGTCCTTTTAGAAATAGTTCTGAAATGGCGACCGCACTTTTGCCACAAGACTATGCTGGCCAACAGCCAGGCGCATCTATATCGGGCATGCACTGATTTCGCCCACTACCGCACTCCATCGAGGTCATCATCTGGTAGAACAACCGCCACCACTCAATTATCCCAAAGAATTTCAATCGTTCACGGTTCAGTAATCTATCGCAGGCCCATGCCACTAGGCTTTGCCTTCTAATGAATATCTTCAGCTCCGAGCATTTAACCCTTAATTAGCTAAAGCCCGGTCGCAAACCCCAGCTCATACGCCAATCCCACCGTCAGCTTAGCATGCTCAATCATATGGTTATAATTGACGGTGCTGAGGGTATCACTCGAGGAATGAATGTACGGGCTACTGTTCTCGAAAGCCGACTCGAAAACAAAAGAGCTGGGGTATCCTGCTTTGGAGGCGCTGCCGTGGTCCGAGCAAGCGTAGCCACACTTTGTCTCTACGTAGGGGATTGCGCAGTACTGTTCAAATATCAGCATTGGGATGACTGGATCGGACAGCGAGGAACTTACAGCAGTAATGACCTTCTTCACATACGTCGTCATGCCCGCGTCCACGTAATCAGTAACCACGCCCACGACCTCCTTCACTCCAGGCTTGACATAGCCCGTCATATCCTGCTGCAACATCGCCTTCACCACCTTCCCGCTGTTCTTGTAGTTCGTGAAGATCGCCTGGCTACCAAGCAGTCCTCCCTCCTCCGCTGCATACCAGTGGAATTCAATGGTATTCGCAGCTTGTCCGCTCGCCACAAGCGGGTCAGTCAGCAGCACGCGCATAGCCTCAAGGATCGTCATGGTGCCGCTGCCATCGTCATCCGCGCCGGGGGCTCTCCCCGTGGGAGTGCTCCCTACGGAGTCAAGATGAGCACCAAGGACAATCGTGTTACTGCTCTTCCCAGGGATCGTCGCAATGATACTATTCTGCGTCCACGAAGTATGCGTGAAGGCGCGGGCCGACGCTTTCGTGGAACCCGAATCACGAATCACAGCTTGCACGCGAGAGAGAAGCCACTCCGAAGACGACTTCCCCGTAGCGCTCCTGTAGTACCGGTTATAATAGGCACTGAAGGTTTCGAGGTCGGTTTGGATGTTCGTCTTGTTGAGTTTTGGCAGCAGGGCCTTGACGGCGGTGGACTGGGTCATCGAGGCTGGCCAGACGGTTGCTTGGATCGACATGCGGTTTTGGGAGAATTCGTGGAGGTCCGCGTAGTCGGTTATGTCCATGAAGTGGACGCCTTTCTGGGAAGGGAGTCAGTGTGGGATTTTGCTGGAAGAAGGGAGATACGGACCGCGACGAGTGCCCATTTTTCTGCCTCCGTCACCTGTTTTGTTTGGCCTGGTGCGAGCTCTAGAGTAAGTAGTTCTTCTTTTGGGGCGCGAAATTGGACATCTGTAGGGAGGTCTGGCGCTGGGATGGTGAGCGCGAGCGACCAAGATGCGCATAGCGCGACGAGAGAGGTGGAAAACTTCATGTTGCATTTGATATCAGGAAATCCTCTGGGCTACTTGATCTGTGGGGCCATCGTGAAGCTTTTATAGTCCGCATACTAAGCCTGGACATATCACAAGCTTGCAACGTTGCCCCAGTAGTACCGCAGCCCAGTGATAAACCCAGGCAGGAATCCATATTTGGTCAGCATTTCCACCCTTTTGTTTCATTGGTTTACACTGGTACCAAGCTCAGTCGGACAGATTACAGACCTACCCATACGGGGAAGAACATAAGAGATGTGCAATATGGTAGGGTTTGAGGTTGACCAGGGTGTAACAGCTCCCACGTTCCCGCACCGGCCACATTTCCCGAATTGGTAGGAGGATACAGAACCTTTGGAAACTGCCGTCTCCGGAATGGTGTACGATAGTAGGACTTGTTTTGCATGAATCTTGGCTCGTGACTAGACATAGCAGGCTAAGCGAGTTTCAACCGTTCAATCAGCAGAAGTTAACGGTTGCGAAATTGGATTCCATACCTGCTTGTTGTGCAGGGATCTCGCTAAAGAGAGATATGCCGGAATACTATACTGTGAACAGCTCGCGCATCTACAGGTTCCACTGGAACACGTGCGCGTATATATGCACCCTATCTTCGCGGGTGCAATGCAAAGAGGCAGATGAGGCGGGTGTGAGTACGAACAAACCGCGATCCAATTGCGGAGGGAAGTCTTGTTTAGAAGCCGTCCAAGACATAGTAGATAGAGAAGTCTCCGTAACGCCGAATTTTCCACTGACTATTGCTATAAAAACAGAGAAAAACGCCTAGGCCGCGACGTACCTTCTTTCAAGATCAAACAGTGCTCCACTTCTCCTCAGCGTCGAAAAACATCCCATCGTCATCATCGTCATTTGTGCGTCCAATCGCCGCCTTCAAATCTGATAGAAAGTTTTCATAAACTTTCGTTCCCAAATGGGCTGCGAGTTCAACTGGCGTGAGATATTTCTCGAATCGACGGAAACTTTTCATCTTCGTCTTCAGACCTTTGATGTTCGGATCTGCTCCATTGGCGAGCAGGAATCGCACTTTCCCGCAGTGCTCATGATGGAATTTGTTGGAGTCTGAGTCGATCGCTCCATGCAGCGGCGTCCACCCCCATGAATCTTGGCGGTTGATATCATTGATTCCATATGTCCCATAAAGGTGCTCCAGTGGTTTGGAATCGTGTCCCTCCGCAGCTGCAAGATGTAAAGGATGGCGACCGTCCTTCGAAACACGGTCAAGCGACACACCCGCCTTCGCCAGAAGGTCAAGGGCGGCCGCAGCTGAATTGCGGCCCCGGATTGCGCTTATAAGGGCAGAATACCCGCCTCTACCGACAACATCAAAATCCTGATAATGTTCATTGACGAGAAGTCTGAAGAATTGAACCAGGGTCCCTTCCCCGTGTCTTCTATTGCAGATGTTTGTCATGGTCATCGTCTTGTTGGCCACGATTTCATGCACTGAGGCGCCGTACTGAATCAGGAGCTCCAAAGTCTCCAGCCAGTCTTGACCCGATGGGGTTCGCTGCAGATGGTGACTCAAGGACCCGTCTGCGTCGCGTTTAATCTTTCTAATACCTAGACATGCAAAGACAGGCAAGCTGCCAAATAGTGAGTTCAGTCAGTCATGGAAATGTAGGCGACAGTTCCCTTACATTCCTTCGTCATCACCAATATTAGGATCAGATCCTGCCTGCAGAAGATACTTGATGGCCTCTAGACTGTTTGATTCGATGGCAACCTACGCTTTGGTTGGCGTTCAGGGTCAAACTTCGTGGACAGCATCGACTTACTAGTAGAGGAGTCTTCCCAGAAGAGGAAAGCCGGTCGTTTACGCCACCCTGTCCATCCGTGATCAATTGCCTCATAAGCTGGACATCGCCTCTGGCACAGGCGTTCATGAACGCATTGTCTTTGGGTAGTCTGTTTTGGACTCGAATGTGCGCATCGAGTAGATGAGTCGCAGAAGTAGATATGCTGAGCCAGACAGTCCAAGACGAAATCGATATAAACGCCGGGAACTTGTACCCAAAACAAACCTTTGCAGTTCTTGTCCTGTCGACGGTACGAAGGGTGGTTGCGCAACCGTAGAAGCCCAGTTTTCCGAGCCACGAATTTGCTAAGGATATCCAGCTTTCGGGCACGGAAGATAACCTAGCTCTGGATGGACGATTGCGGTACGAGAATGATTCTGAGTCGCCCGGCATTGTCTGAGGAGAAGCAATCATGGTAAGTGCCACATTCGTTCTTTCCAATGTAGCCTTCTCTAATGAAGTTAAAATCAGAGTGGATAATATCCTGCGCCTCATTAGTATAACAGCGTCACAAGCAAGTGGATAAAAGATCGATTACATGTTACACAGCCCCGTAAGCAGGCTTAAATCTTCTTCAATCTCCTGGAGAAACCCCAAGGTCTCCTGAATGTTTTTGCGATCAATTACAGCATACCGCAATCGGCCTCCTAATCCCATCTTCTGTCCCCTTTTGGTATTCGGGAACTTGTTCTGCATATTGTTGATTTTTTCTTCGAAGTTGTGCAGGGCAGAGCGTAGGAGCTTCCGAAGGTCGGTGGGAAGTGGAACTTCATCTCCACTCGTACTCAGATGGTGTTCATACGTGTCAAGAATAGAACGTAACAGAAGTGACCGTTCCTGAACACCTCTGTATTGTGAGGGCGCATCCTTCAGATGATGATAGAATGTCGCCAATGTTTCCGTCGACTTGATAAGGTGCCCCAGCAACTGTGAAAACGAGGCTGCGGCGGCAAAACCACCGACTACCTCTCCAACACCTGACATCCTACTACTTCTGTTAGCTTTATAGGCTTGTAAGTGATATATACATCGTTTCGAAGGCTTTGCTTATAAACAGCAAGAGGTTGATGGTGATCGGAGCAGAGAGCGTCCACCGTAGACCTGGAGTCTGGCTAGCTGAAGGCTCAGCCTGATATGTTTCGATTGGTCAATGAAGCACCACGCGTGCGCCAAGCTGCAGGGAGAATGTGTAGGCTCTTTGCGAGGCTTTTCTCATCGGACAGCTCTCTGTATGTTTGAGTTTCCTGATAATATAGCTCTTAGTGTTTAGATGTGGGCTTCAACCGCTGGTGTTACTGACAGTGACAGTGCGAATATTCGAATTTCCGAATTATCCGATTCGGATAGCATGTTGTTCCTCAGATACTTTATTATTTGCTAATGCACCACGCATCATCAATGGTTTCAGAGGGGTTTATAGGTCTCGACCCAATTCACCATGCCACAAAGAGACTATTCCGCGTGCCTGTTCACCACACTGAGGGCATATTTGCGGAATTGGGTTGGCCGTCAGGACCCTGACAGCGAGGAAGTTTGACGCCTGTTGCAGTTTATGAGGGGGGTAGGAGTATGGAGTTCTCGATAGCTCGATCAATAGGAACTGCAGTGAAGTGTACTGGCCCGTGCATTATCCCAGAATGTATCCCTAGAAACCGAGGTAAACAAACGCCAAGAGTGTTCCAGGCAGCAATTCTTTCACATTTTCGTCGCATCCAAAACTCTTGAACGTGTTCTCAAAACTCAAGAAAATAACCCAGTGTTCAAGAAGTCGTCGCCATGTCCGCCGAATCCTCGGCGTTCCGGACGTACGTAAGGTTCAGACCTCTCAATGCCAATGACGGGGAGGCATCAGCATTCGACTACACCATCGACAATACGGAGACGAAGCGCAAGATTACAATCTCTGCTGACGGGCCTCGAAAGCGTACATGGAAAAGCGGCGCCTCATTCTGTGACGTCTTTCAACCCACAGCGAGTAACAATGATGTTTTCAACAGTGTTGTGGCCCCTACTTTACCATTGGTGATGGAGGGAGCGACCTGCAACTTCTTTGCATACGGACATTCTGGTAGTGGGAAGACACATACGATTATCGGATATCACAATGATGAAGAAAAGGAACTTGGTCTTTGTCTGGCGGCTGCTCGCGAGCTCTTCCAGGCTCTTGAAGGGATCAACAGTGATAAAGACCCGGATCACCAGGGGAACAACGATAAACTCGGCGTGGCAGTTCGAATCTACGAAGTTCGCGGGAAATTCGCATATGATCTCCTGAATAAAGGCACTCAATGCCATGTCCGCGAAGGCCCCGATGGCCGTACACATGTTCGAGGCGAGACTGAGATGTTGGAGGGCGGCAAAGTCAGGGTCCGCCCTATCGTAGCGATCCCATGCTGGAGCTTTGCCGAAATGCGGCACACGGTCCTCAGCGGACTGGCGTCGAGACAGACAGGGTCATCTTCCATTCATGATGAAAGCTCGCGAACACATGCTGTTGTGGAACTGGAGGTCGTGAACAAGACGCTGTTGGCATTACGTGAGGCGGTTATTGAACGAGAGTCGGAACTCGTCCCTGTAGGAAAACGGGCCACGGACGTGTATCTTGAAGAGAACAAAAAGAGAATCATCAAAACGGCGGATGGGCAGGTAACCATCAATCCGGCCGTTCATATAGATCAGGAGCGGATAGACGAAGCAGAGGCGGAGAAAACGAAATACCAAGGCCGACTCGAAGCGGCTGAGAATGCCGTTAGGGACTATTCCCAGGCCTACCCGCATCCTTCTCTCGGCGGGAAGTTCGTCTTCGTTGACCTGGCTGGCTCAGAATACCTTGATCGAGGAACAGCCGCTCTCCCTACAGGCCCAAAGCAAACGCCACAGGAACGGCAGCAGGGACGCCAAATCAACACCGACTTGTTTACACTGAAGGAAGTCATACGTGCGAGAGCATCGAACCAAGCTCGAACTCCGTTTCGCGGATCGCCCTTGACTTTGATACTGCGCCATCACTTCTTGGCTGAAGGGAAAGGACAGTCCGCCATGATTCTGACAGCCTCTCCATCTCAAACGCAATTCGCCGCTAGTATGAATACCCTCAAGTACGGTGATCTTGTCGGCGCGGCTAGCTCGGAATAAAGGTTTGCCAACACTCAGCAGTGTGCAAGTGGTACATAATAGGTCGAGGGAAGTCGAGCTGTGATGGATAGCCTCCAAAAAGAAGTTGTAATCTATGTAGAAAACAGTATTCAACCCTGTTGCATGGATATCAATCCTCTTGAAGCGTGTGCCAGCGTGTCCGTACTGCCCCGCATCCTGATCCAGGAAGAGGTCAAGGGTACCTTTCCACTCCATTTCAAGCTCTCCGTTCCGATCCAAGTAACAGATTAATGGAGCTGTATTGCTTTCCTTGAACTACCTGAAAAGCCCTATTCCAGCCTACTCTAGCTCAGGCAATGCCCAATTGACCATCCACTTCGAGCTCAGCACCTCGTCTATTGTTAGACGTTCCTCAGGTCAGAACCTAAGCATACCACGCATTAATTCAAGAATAGCCTCTATTTCTTCCTCGCCGAAAGTCCCAGCGTCCTCTCGTTTCCTCCTGTACTTCTGCACGAACTGTTCGAACGCGTTCTCAAGAGCAGGCCACGCTTCCCGATCGCGGGTTGGCCGTCGAGGAATCATATTATTTGCGTCGTCACCATGCTCTCCTAGTCGTTCCCATTGCTTTCTCCAGTTTTCCGGGAAATTCTGGGAACCTAAGACATCAGTCTGTTGAGCCACGATCTGGTCCGGCGTTTCTCCCTCGCTGAAGATGAATTTCATTCCCAAGATTTCCCAAATAGCAGTTCCAAGATTCCATATGTCTGATGGGTATGACAAAGGTTCATCTGGCTCGAATAGGGCCTCGGGGGCTCTCGTGGCTAAAGGAGTGTGGCAGTCCCTGCCCAGGCGCTGCTCCGCAGCTGGACGGAATGCCTCGCCAAAGTCGTTGAGAATCAGGCCGTGGGCATCAGCCAAGGTAAACTCTTGCGCCTTTTTACCGAGATAAAGAGGTATTACAGCTTGTGCGGGGACGTTAGGGGTCAGGGGTTTGTCATCGACCCGAGCGATAGGCACCGTTTCAGGCTCGCCAAATTTCTCCCGGAATTGAGGGATTGAAAGGTCGTCAAATGTAGATGGAAGCTTGACTAGCAGGTTACCGAGGTGGAGATCTAGATTCGTTATTAGTTGTGGCTACATTGAGTAGCCATGCGGTAGACGAACCTCCATGAACGAAACCCCGTGAGTGGACGAACGCCACCGCAATTGCCAACTTAGCAGCTAAAGCGCGGGCGACTCCTTTAGGAAAGAGCCGGCTGAAGGATGCTTCCTTAAGATTTCCTTGGGCGGGGGTTAGCGTGTAGCATGTGTGGGTTCCATTCGGTCCGCAGACGTGGAACGAATCGAGAATGCGGGGAAATATCGCGCATGCATTCTCATCGAGACCAGCTTGTGAGCGTAACTTTGAGCCTTGTAGTGCCTGAAGGGTGTCGATTTCCCGCCGAGGGATTGGCGAGCTTGATATCCCAACTTTAACGGCGACGTAGCGTTTGAGTGTCTCGTCTCGAGCGAGCCAGACAGTAGAATAACCACCGAAGCCCAGTTTATCCACTATTCGATAGCGATTGTGCAGATAATCGTCGACCATTACAGGGTGGTATCCGCCAGGTTCGTACAACTCCAACCGCTCTACCCCATCAATCCAACGATACTCGATTGATGAATCAAATGACATTGTCGAATATCGAAGACAGGCACAACCGATGTTCGTCACGCGTTGTAGGGCGCACGAACGTCCGACTTTTAACTTTGGCAACCGGGAATGTCTGAGAGTAAGAACTACCCTAGGTACATTATAGTGGTACTCCGAGCAACAAAATGCTGAAATGATGTTTGGCCTGAGCATGGTTGAGTCTAAGCTGCGACGAAGGGGACAAACGTGCAGTTAACTCACCGCAGCTTTTCGCTTCAACCAACCAGGGCTGAGCAAACGCACGAGAGTATGGAACCCAATTACCAACAAGCTTACCTTCAGCAAATCCGAACACCATTCATGAAGTTGCTTCCAAATTCTGAATCTCCAGCTAGTTGCTTCCCAGTGGCTAGACAGTTGGCCGCTCAATTCGGCTTTCTACATTAACATCATATGCCGAGATATAGCACCAAAGTCGAATTAAGTTTAATATTACATGCTGCTCTAGGAAACAGCCAATGGAAAAGAATTGCTGCATAGCCCCTTATACAATCCTAAGCCCATTCTTTTAATTTCCAACAGCCTTTGGTCGCGGCCGGCGGCGAGTTAGGGCACATGTACGCTTCGGTATATGTTACCCTAAGTACAAAAATCTACTGCAAAGAACGCAACCCATCCGTGAATTTCCTAGAAAACCCCATGCATAACCTACACTTGCTCTTCAGAACTTTGTCATGTCAAATGACACTAGCAAACGAGCTTCCTCACATCACCCGCTGCCCCTGACGTAACCCTCGGAAAGCTGCAAACATACCTTCACAGACATTTAAGACCAAAGGGCGCCTACGCGGTTACATTCCCAAGGGTTCCTCCGAAAGCTGAAATCGCATCAAGCTAAGCAAATCACATTGTTCCAACTTCAAACTTGTCAGCACCAACAGCATGCCTGGACACGCTACAGGCCAAGGCGGCAAGAATGCCATGACCAAAGAAGCAGCTTCGAACATACAATCTTCTCAGGTAAATGCGCCCACTCAAGTCAGCCTTAGGCGGTCACTTTCCTTTTCTTACCTGCTTCTCTGTTATCCTCCATTCTTTTCCTAATCGGGAGGGGGGGCCTAACTAAAATGCAACCAGGCAAAGGCCGGCCATGACACTGGTAAAGGCAGCTTCTCCGCTCGTGCGCAATCAGCTGGCGCTCGAAACGCCAACGCAAACGTTCACACGGGTTCCGCCGGAGGTGCTGGTTCCACTGGACATAGTGGCGGAGCGGGAGGTCACGCTCAGCGCTGAGATGGCGGGCTGAACCTGCTACAGAAATGAGCGAGTAACTTGGCGAAAAAATTGAAGGAAAACGCATGTGTAAGGGGGGCGACACGCTATCGATGACTGGATAGTATGTCTTTATGTGATCATGAGGGTTGTGGTATGGCGGCAGCACAACTCGTCAGGTTTTCAATTGTCTAGCACTCATTCGAGCTTGAGGTAGCTTATCGCATACTATAAAAAAAATTGAATCTCATTCCCATCTTGTATAGTGTCCGCATTGTCGCCGATAGCTAACATTAAAGAACCGAGACTATTTGTACACGTTATTCCGTAAATAAAATGAGAAGTGAGTGTGATAATTACTGCATAAATTGAAGATGGTACACATTCTGGTATTCTGACTTTAGGAGCACCCTGGGGCAACAATAGACATTGTACGCTCTCCCTTCTGCTGTTTATTGCGTTCCCGAACATTACGATTGGGGGCTCACTTCCCGCACTCTGAAATATGCCGTCAGTTCACACGTTACGGTCCCCCTCCACCCATGGCTATCCCTATGAGAGTCCTCGTCGCTGTAAACGGGTTCTTCCTTGCCGGAGAACGTGTAGATAGTCCCGTGGGGTGCAACTTTTTGTATGTGGTTGTTGTATCGCACGTAGGCTACGCCAGGCTCCGAAGCAAGGTTCTGCGCAAGTTGCGCTCGCGTTTCGTCCAGAACTTTGCGTTTGCAGTCGCGCATCTTCGGTCCGCTTCGGCTTGTGTGGCTTCCGCGCCATGTATGAAACAGAGGAACTAGATCGGCCATGAAGAGCTGAGGAACGCGGAGGGGACTGGGTTATCGGAGAATAAGTGTGAGGTTTCTGATATCGACTGTCGTCTGACAATAGGACCCTGATATGGACTGACTTTACGGATTGATATCAAGCCGCGCGGACGAACACATCTATGTACATGTATGTAGTTATCGGACCGATAGCTGCAATCAAGTCTAGCCAGCTCCTGGTAGTCCTAAGTGGAGAGAGCTAGACTCGTTGAATCATCGTGCTTTTCCGGTACGTCCAAACAATGCTAACCTCCGCCGCAAACAGTTTCTAGTGTTAGATTCCTCTTTGTGCTCATCGGTAGCACTGACTAAGATAAGCTAGAATAGGAAGACAGTGTAGCAATAATCGTCATGCAGCCGCAAACAGATCCTGATGTAACGCCTCCCTTCATACTCAACGGCGGCACTTACCCAGAGTGCTTTGTTATAGACAGTCGGCCCCGCAAAAGCATGGATGGTTTGGATCTTGGTTCTCTGCTATAGCAGGTTATAGCTCTCGAGGCGGCTTAACATCCATGAAAACAAGCTGTTTTCAGCTCATAGCTGTGCATACACATTTGCCCCGATGTGGTTCTAGCCTACCTAGAACTCGAAGGGGGGTCGCCACGGTGCGGCTGATGTTGCGTCGCGAACACATCCTCTCGAACAAAGGGTGTACACGCCGTGAACGGCAGGAACAAGGGGCTTCCTTATCAGGCTTACGCCGACCTCGTCACATAAAAGCAACCCTCCCTAGCCGCTGCCTTGAGTCGAATTCCTCTCTCAGCATGATGCCCGTAGATCATAGGCTCCTCGCTGGTAAAGGCGAAATCATTTGCATAACGCAGCTATCGCCGGATTCTTGGATGCTGCTGGGTACTGATATGACGGCGCGCCAGGTGCATGTATACTAAAAACTCCAACGCTGCTCGATGCGGACTCAACGAACGATCCCTCAGTGATGCGCCAATCTCCGATACATTTTCACCCAGTTGTTTGGCTTCACGCTTACATGACCGGCGGGGTGTCTGTAACCAGCAGAATAGATGCCATATTCAACGAGGTGTTGTGTCGTATTCGTGTTGGGCTTTGTGCCAGAGGTAGTTGTCGAACTCCACGAACTCGACTGGCTCGAGGTTATTGTGGATTCGGAAGAACCCATCGCCAAAGGGTGTTCTCTGTACCTTCAGGTTCCAAGCTTCACCCCTTGCTGTCCTGTCATTGCTGGAGAGTTCTCATCCCACGTTCCAATATCTTTCCGTAATAGTGTCGGATAACGGCGCTCTCCTCGCAGGATTAAGATCCGTCATCCGCAAGATCAGCCTGTTTGCTTCGTCATTTAGGTTAGGAAACACATCCTCTGACCATTCCGCGAGATCATCATATGCTTCGTTTTCTCTTATTGCTTGCCACAAACTGGTCACGAGCCCACCCGCCTTCTCGACGTTGACATGTTTTTTGAGCGCGTCTGGTAGCGGACCAAAAGTTGCGAGCATCTTGAACAAACCACTACCTCAGGCTCAGTCTCAACTTCCTCGAAATTTAGGTCGAAAATTTGCACTCCTGTGATAACGTAGAGACACTAGAAGGACGAATCAATGAGCTTCTTCTAGCCGAGCCGAACATGGGACTCCATGGGACTCACCAAAAGCGCAAAGGAGAAGACCTCGGAAGGTTTTCCAACGCCTTTCCCCCGTTGTCCTTCCGGACTGCGCCACATAACGTTCCCAGTCCTATCATTGAGTAATCTTTCGCCTTTCAATTTCAAGGCACAGTCCAGATCGCCTAAGGCTAGCTTCTCTAGATGAAACTCATCACTCGAGTCCACCTACCAGTTGAGAAAGACATTGTTCGGCTTTACATCTGCAGTAGAATTAGTCATGGATGTTGTACACAGAGATTAGGTAGTATCATGCCTAAATGTATCCAGTTTTTCGCGTGCATTGAGATCTCAGCAAGTGCTAGTCCGACCTCCTTCAAGATTGTCTTCCTCATTGTTATTGGAAGGGCCGGGTAGTTCTCGACCAACGAAAGCAAATCCGTCTTAAAGTATTCATAGACGACGATGTTCTCTTTTTCGATTTGGTCTATGTGGATACGGAGATGAGTATGGTTTTCGAACTCGTTTCGAAACTCTTGCAGGTGCTCGAAGATCGACTGCGAGACGGGCTTCAAAACAAAGGGTCTGTTGTTACAGCTAAAATCATGGCAACTGATTAGCCTACAAGAGATAAAATAATTCCACAACTCACAGCGCAAGACATACACTGAGTTCGGGCTTCTTAGGATGCCGTTGGAGTACCCTTTAGAGGTTGTACTCCCGACCACTCTGGCCAACACGTGTGGAGAGCATCCTCGCAGCTTTGAGGACACAAATCGGACAGGGAATCATGGACAGTAAGATGAGTGTAAAGCGACGCTAATGATGTATAGGTGGGGTTAAGCGATTTAACGCGCCTCTCTGAGAACCGGTGAGAATAATGTATAGGTCAAACCCCTGAATAAGACGCTGATGGCTAAGCACGACTCGTTGCAGCGCAGTCGTCTCCGGGCGCCAATATGACGATAACAGCTTCTAGGGAGTTGACAGTAGGAAACACGTAGTTATAAATGGCAAAGCAACCCCAGACTCCGGTTTCGATGCGCGTGCACGCTGGCATGACGCTTTGCCCCGAAGAGGGATGAAAACCCAACCATCAAGCGTAAGCCAGGGAAAGAGACCGGTAGAACGAAAACAGCGAACTCAATTTATCGAAAGCCGCAACACGACAGCATTGCTTGTTGTAGGACACTGATACTCTTATCTCTTACTTGCAGATTGAACATCTGGAAACGGTTGACGGCAGCGAACAGATTTCTGTACAAAAGGTGATGTGATATGCTATATGAATAGCCAAAAAACTTATCCCCACTTGTTGAATTCTGAAATTGGGTATCATCGTTGAGTATTTCTTTCTTCATCCATAACGCCGCCGCCCCAACCGAACTTTTACGCTCTCAGTCCATCCCACCTCAGAAGAGGCATGCCCAGATATCCATCACTTAAACTCTCGGCGCCGTGGTTCGGTTGAAACTTCGGGTTTGTCCAAGTGGTCCTCAGCATGCTCTGTACCGTAGCCACCCTTGCCCTCGTAACTCTCATATGTCTTCCCCTCAGAGGCTTTCCCATTTCTCGGGCCTCTTTCATTGAGATCCTCCTGGAGCCACTGCAGAACCAATTCGCCTAGCTGGCTGTTACCGGAAAGGACCCGTGTGCCTGGATCAGCGACTACGTTCAGCTCCTCAACGCTGCCCCACTTCTTCACTCTGCCCAAGGACATGTGGACTAGGTGCGTTGGCCAGGTAGCCAGGTTATCCAAAATATGCGTCGCATAAACGATAGTGCACGGCCTCGTTTCGGTCTCCCGCTTCAAGAAGGCGAGGAAGTTCGAGCGAGAGAGCAGATCCAGGTCTACTGTGATCTCATCGAGAAGAAGGATGGTCCAAGGCCTCAGCAGACCCATAGCGAGCTGTACTCTCCTGCGCTCTCCGTCCGAGACAGCGTGCATGCGCCATGACAGATCAATATCCAAGATCCGTACGAGTTCATCTCGCCTGTCTTTGTACAGATCGCCACCGACAGATGACAGTAGCGTAGGTACGTCGATGTCAGTGCGGACAATGGGGTTCAGGACCCATTCCAGGCCAAGGTAAGTTACCCCCTCGAGTCCATGCTTGAAGGGGTCCACACCAGCGATGGAGACGGAGCCTTGGGGTGCCATTCGCTTTCCTGACAGCAGACGGAGAAGAGTAGTTTTACCAGCACCATTGGCTGCAAGCCGTCAGCTTCTGTCTCTGCACCTGTAGAGCATACCCACCTCCTATGAGCAGCGTCCTGCTGCCGGGAGGAAGACTGAGAAAGATCTCACGGAGACCTTTAGAGCCGTCTGGGAAGGTGTAGCTCAGGTTTGTCACGTCGATTGACGGGGCGAGCTCCTTTGCTGCTGTTCCCTCGACCATTTTTGCTGCTCAATCGCTGAATGTGCGGATTCTGGGAGCTTTGGAGGTTTGAGTCTCTGGAGGGGTAGACACCCTTACTCTGGTCTGATGTGACGTTATATATGGCGCTAGGCCCGACGGGGATAAGCGTGACAGTGATACCTCTTCGGCAACTTCTGGAACACCACGCTTCATCCTCCTCTTCATCGACTCCATGATCCGTGGAGCAGTCCGGACAATTTCTAGAATGTCTAAGGCACCGTCCAAGCCTTTGGTGGCCATTATAGGCGCCACGGGAACTGGAAAGTCGGACGTGAGTAGTCATGAAAGGCGGTTATAGGGCTACTTTCAAATGCGCTAACCACCACAGATGCACAGCTTGCCGTGGACTTAGCTCTTCGTTTCAATGGGGAGGTTATCAATGGTGATGCAATGCAGTTGTATCAAGGGCTGCCAATTATTACCAACAAAATTACGCAGGATGAAATGAAGGGTGTGCCTCACCACTTACTGGGTCAGATCGGGCTTCAAGAAGAGACGTGGACGGTTGGAAGGTTTGTAGAGAATGCTCTCGGAGTGGTATGTAATTGGGGAATACTGAATATCTGTGATGCTGATTCCTTGAAGATTAAAGAAATCCGCAGCAGAGGGAAGCTACCGATTCTAGTGGGTGGCACTCACTACTACACTCAGTCTCTTCTATTTGAAGATGCATTGGCCGACCAGCCGACCCTTGAGGAGAGCAGTATGAGCGGCGGATTCCCCATCCTGAACGAGCCAAACGAGGTGATCCTGGAAAAGTTGAGGGAAGTGGACCCCATCATGGCGGATCGGTGGCATGCGAACGACCGACGAAAGATTCAACGCTCCCTGGAGATATATCTCAAGACCGGAAAACCTGCTTCTCAAGTCTATAGTGAGCAACGTCTAAACAGGGAACCGTTGTCGAACCCGGATGACAGTGAAGCTATGATGAACAGCAGCGCCCCTGGCATTCGATTCTCCACGCTTCTGTTCTGGGTACACGCCTCCAAGGATGTCCTGAATGCTAGGCTCGAGTCTCGGACTGTAAAGATGCTGGAAAGAGGCCTTTTGAAGGAAGTAGAAACCCTGACGGAGTTCCGCAACGACTTTGAAGCCAAAACCGGCCAAGCAGTTGACCAAACCCGGGGAATCTGGGTATCAATTGGATATAAAGAGTTCCTTGGCTATCAGGCGGCGCTCACAACAGGCAAAAGTGAGGCGGACCTGGACAAGCTTCGGCTCGCAGCCATTGAAAAGACACAGGCAGCCACCCGGCAATACGCCAAGCGTCAGTTACGTTGGATTCGGATAAAGTTACTGAATGCGCTCTTCCAAGCTGGTCAAAGGGATAGGTTGTTTCTTCTGGATGGCTCGGATCTCTCCAATTGGGAAGAAACAGTCTGGGAACCGGCAAGAGATATTACGAAGAAGTTTCTCGGTGGAGAGCAACTCCCTGTTCCAACAGACTTATCACCATTGGCGAGCGAGATGCTCATCCCAAAGAGAGATTATGATCTCTCACAGCGGCCGGATCTTTGGCAAAGAAGAGTTTGTGAGACTTGCGGTACTATTGCTGTGAACGAGAATGATTGGAGGTTGCATATCAATAGCCGCGGCCATCGACGAGCCTTGGGAAAGGTCAAAAAGGAGGAGGAAAAGCGAGGGAAAAGCAGATCCGCGCAGGCCGATCTGATCGACGTACTGGAAACATACCAGAAGATCCTCTCAGAAGATGAGCCGGTGACATGAAATATGAGGGCCCCTTCAAAGCCTTCCAAAACGGGAGTTTCCGGGAAAGTACTTCACCAGCGCCTCCGCAGTTCGAGGCTAATAAGAGACCAGAAGGTATTATCTGAAGTCAGCGACCGCATTTCCAGCTCGAATTCTGGAGTTTACTGAGCATGCATCCGGCCTTCCGCAGAGAGCAACCAAACTCATATTATCAACTCATCCGATATTCCAAAGACCGGCTACCCAGAAGGCTCCTCTACCATCCCGGCGATCTAACACAGGCTCCATCTTCTTTCGCTGTCGAATCTTCCTCTTTAAGTCACGTGCCACTTCCACGTCCGGCCCGGCCCGGGCGACGACTAACAGCCCCGCACTAGCTTCATACACCCTAGCTCGCGTGAGCCCCCACCCCTTCAACATCTCCGCCGACCTCGAACCCGATCTTCGTCCTCGACGGTCCCCCTTTTATACTCCATACAACAACTCATCTATCCACTACCTCCGCTCTCAATTCAAAATGCCCTCCGCCGCCGACCTTCTGTCGGACCCCGAAATTGCGCAAGCCTACGAGGACGTGCGGTCTGACAAGTCGCCGACCACGTGGCTGGTCCTGAAGTATGCATCGGCAACTTCGGATTCGCTAAAACTGGATGGGACTGGGACGGGAGATATCGCAGAGATGACGGCAACGCTGGGGAACGACGAGGCGGCATATGCGTATGTGAGGATGAAGGTTGGGAATGATGAGTACTCGGAGCGGACGAAGTTTGTTTTCGTGGTTTGGGCTGGTGAGTGTTCTCCGATTGTCCCGCTATGTCCGTCTAGAAGTGTTTATAGAAGATGTATCAAATCATGAAGTTCAAAGGTGAATGATGCATCTGTGAGATCGTACTCACTAACACTCCTACCCAACAGGTCCCAACACAAAAGTCATGCGCAAAGCCAAAATGTCATTCCAGAGCGGACAAGTTAAGCAGGTGATACGAACCTACGCCGTGGAGATCCAAACAAGCGACAAGAAAGAGTTGGACGCTGCCACGGTGACGATGAAATTGAGACGGGCAATGGGTGCTAATTGTAAGTTGCGCTGTGGAAGAGAGATTACACTCCGTAGCGGCGATTGTAGAGCGCAGCTGACTGTTTGACTGCAGATGATAGACAACGGTCGGATTACTGATTTTTGATGAACACAAGAATGAAATTTTCTCAAACATGAGTTGCTAGCCGTGCAGTACGTTTCAATGTGTGGACGCTGTGCTACACTGTGCGCCATAATATCTGACGATCATCGCGACCATCACTAAATAAGCCATCCTTCATCCAAGAACCTAAACTTTCAAATGCGTTCCACAGCATATTACAGCATCCACAAGGATTAAAACAACGGACCAAACAAATATGTCCATTATCCACCAGCCCAAACATACAGCAACTCCACGCCCGACATAGCTACCTCTACCTCTGGTGCTAATGCCTCTACAATCATCCTTAATGTACCCTTATTAGCAGTCGCCCTCACTACGCTAACTGTCCCATTGGGTTTACCAGACTCGACAGACAAGATATGCATTCCTCGTTCAAAAAGTTGAAGACCACGGAGTACCAGGGGCTAGCTACACAGGGCATCCGTATAGGCTAGCAGATCCTGCGGAATACGGGCTTCGTCGGATTCAACGTTACGCCAGGGACTTGCTGATGGTCACACAAGCGGTGACTCGGGAGCCTTGTGTTCGACAACTAGTAACCTCCCATCTCATCGCCATCGCATTCATTATAAGCGGTGACGGGGTCAGTAAGTTCGAAGGGGAATCTTATAATACTGGATGGAGTGAGGGAAGCGGTTTATCAATTGGTTCCTACAAGCGAGGTAGCAAGGGTGTGAGAATGTGGTGAGTTGATTGTGTGCCCTTATTACTATATGGGGTAATCGGGTCCTTGAGCTCGCACACGTCGTTGAATGAAACGTGCACTTTGAGGCTTGGAGCCACATCCCGTGTGTTATCTGGGGTCTTTGTCTGCAGCTGAAAAGCTGGCTTGAGGAGGAAAAAAAACTGCGTTTCCATTAAGTACGTACGTTACGGATGCTAGGATCTTTCGGAAGATAGCGTCTACTGGCGGTTCGGACGCTTCGGCGGCGCATATCCAGTATCCAAGACCGCGCAGTGGAGCCAAGCAAAGCTTCACATCTGGCCGATGTCTAGCTAAATCTCCTATCCGCTCATGTTTGCCGTTTGGTATGCTGGAAAGGTGTGAAAGCGGACAGCTAGAACACTGCTTACGGCAATGGGACGAACCGATACGCGAGTTATTATCCAGAAATTGCAACCGCTCTTGGAAGGAAATAATAGGAAACCAACTGCGGACGGTCGCGGGCTGCAAATCCCAGGGAACCAATCCAACACGACGTTTCACGGAGTTCATGCATGCGAACAACAGGACCTTGTCACCTTCGACCCTTTCGTTCGAGTGGCTCCGCTGGGTCGGGAATGTCTCCTGAGAATATACAGTACCAGTACTCCGTAACAATTCCTGATTCGCCGTTGATACATCGATGGATAGCAGGGGCTCGAATATACTGGTCGAGACCCGAGAGGGATGGAGCCGATATTGCCATTCGTATTCCTTGCAGATAGGGTTGTTTACAGGACGGGTGAAAGCAAGGGCCTACCTGAACTCGAAGATAAACCGCCACTCACAGCCTTGTCCAGCCTTACACCTTCCACTTCTGCGCCCGCATGCGCTGCAACCCCAAACATCTCCCGTGCCACGATTCTGTATACTGCCTCTCCCCGCGTCCGACTAAACAGCCAGGGGTTGAAGGGATTCGAGATATGTTGTGGAAAGCTTATCAAATGTTAAGAGTGCCTCAAGTCAGGTAAGGGTAGAATAAGTCCCACAGCAACGGTGTCTCGACGAATTCCCTCACCAGTTTTCATCAATCGACTTGCGATATATCAGGTACTCGAACTGAGGCACGGATTGGATGTGGGACTGTTCGGTCGGGCGTGAATACAGGCAGTAGATGCCCATGGTTACACTGAACAGGCTGAGCCTGGTCCCCCGTTCCCGTGTCCTCCCATGTTCAGTTCTTGTGCTGTGCCGCAATACAGCTATCTGGTATAAATATGGTAGAAGACCCCGTGCGTCTATGTTGGTCTGGAGCGTCTCGCTGTTTTCACCGGACAGCGAGGCGAGATAAGGTTGTTTCGCACATCTGACCGCCAATGACGTTTAACTTGAACGAATAATTGAAAAGACTTAACGCCCGGAGCCCCGATATTCCAGACTTTTCGGAGGGACGTCGGTTTCGAGACCCAAGGCAACTGGTCCCCTGGCTTCCTTCCTCGTTCGCGAACGACTACCGCAATCCTCGACTTTCACAACCAAAACTCAAGCACACTCTCGCTTCTGATAGAAGCGATAACCGCCCTTCTTTTTCTTGCAAATCACCACAATCCTTGTCATTTGTAACCGCATTAGTTAGCCTTTCGTCTTGCGATGGCGGAAGAAGTCTCCGAGAAGGGCGGCCTCAGTGCCAGCGATGGCGCGAAGCGAAATGTGAAGGAAGTGACAGATCTCTCAGTGGAGCATGGCGCGAGGGAAGTAACCAATGCGCACGAGGCGGCGCTTGGTGAGGCTGCAGATCTCTATGGCGACATTCAGACGGCGGAGGAGTATGGATACGTCGAGAGAGGGTAGGTGCCATTCGCCGACTGAACGCGATCTTCCGCTAACATGTCCAAGACTGAAGTCGCGCCATATCCAGTTCATCGCGCTCGGTGGGTAAGTAGATTTTGCTTCGCATTGCAAAAGCCACTCATTGGCTCTCCTACTCCGATTCGAGCGGTACTCGACGAGCTCTTGCTGGACGGACTTGCTAACTGCTCAGAACCATCGGTACAGGCCTGTTTCTGGGTATCGGTACTGCGTTCGCAGACTCGGGTCCGGTTTCCGTCCTTCTTGGGTACACTTTCACGGGCATGGCCATCTTCGCCATGATGCAGAGTCTGGGTGAGATGGCGACTTGGCTCCCTCTGCCTGGTGCAATTCCACAATACTGCGCGCGCTATGTCGATCCCGCGCTTGGTTTCGCAGTGGGATGGAACAACTGTAAGTTAACTTCGGCAATTCTTCCGGACCATCTACTAAATCGCCCAGGGTACCAATGCTCCATCACCCTCTGCGCAGAAATCTCCGCCGCCGCTGTGCTGATCTCGTTTTGGGACCAAGACGAGTCCATCAACCAGGCCGTGTGGATCTCCATCATCATTGTGCTCATCGTCGCCTTGAACATCTTCGCCGTCGCCATATACGGCGAAGCCGAGTTCATCTTCGCCAGCATCAAGATCATCACCATCATTGGCCTACTCCTCCTCGCCTTCATCATCATGCTCGGCGGTGGCCCAACGCATGACCGTCTTGGATTTCGATATTGGAAGGAAGGCGCCATGAAGGAGTACATTGGCCATGGCGATACCGGGCGATTCACCGGTCTCTGGCGGACTTTGGTCAATGCAGCCTTCTCCTATGGTGGAGTGGAAATGGTTGCCGTGGCCGCTGGAGAGGCTGCCAATCCGCGGAAGAATATCCCCAAGGCCGTCAGGCGTGTGTTTTGGCGTATTCTTTTCTTCTACGTCCTGGGATCATTTTTCATCGGTGTCACGGTCAGCTCCAATGATCCGGTGAGTAGGAAGCAAATGCCCAGACTGATCATCTGCTCACGAACGGGTTTTAGGACCTCACCAACGAGGATGCAAAAGGCGCCCAGAGCTCACCCTGGGTCATCGCGATCAAGAACGCCGGCATCCCCGTCCTCCCACACATCATCAACACGGTTATCCTGACCTCGGCTACATCATCCGGAAATGCCTTCCTGTACACCGGCTCCCGCTACCTCTTCGGCGTTGCGCAGAACGGCCAAGCACCCCGATTCCTTTTGAAGTGCTCCAAGAAGGGCGTTCCGTACTACTGCGTCGGCATCACGGCCGCCATCTCGCTCATCACGTACATGAGCGTCTCGGCCGGTGCCAATCAGGTATTCCTCTGGTTCCAGAACTTGACCACGATCGCCCAGCTCTTCACCTGGTGCAGCGTGTGCATCACATACACGCGCTTCCGCATGGCGCTCATCGCCCAGAACGTCGACCGCAACTCGTTGGTCTTCAAGTCCCCCTGGCAGCCATATACTGCCTGGGTAGCCTTTGGCTACTTTGCCTTGTACGATCGCATCTCCCGCTCTGTTTCATAGAATCCCAAGCTAATGCAGTGATGTAGGATCATCTTCTTCAACGGCTTCGCCGTCTTCACGAAGAAGAACTGGGGCTCCGATGAGTTGACGTCCTTCTTCACGGCGTACATCGGCGTGCCCATTTTCTTCGGCCTCTACGGGTTCTGGAAGCTGTTCAAGCGGACCAAGGTCGTGAGGCCCGAGGAAGCGGATATTACGTCCGGGAAGGCGGCGCTGGATGCGGAGGTTTGGCCCGAGCAGGTTCCGAGGAATTGGTTGGAGAAGTTCTGGTTCTGGCTGGTGTAGGGGGTGCGTGAGGATGGAGGAACGGAGTTTTGCTTGATGGTCATTCGTTAAAGATACGGAAAGGAGTTGGGAGCGAGACTATGTCGGTGTAATAAAGGGTGATGAAGATATTATCGTGGCGGCGTTCTTAAACTGCTCAACTTGAGATGATGAGACTATTGCAGTGCTGGATCCCTTGCGCTTCCCAAAACCATGTTGGTATTATGCTGAGAGGGTAAGAGAAGGTGACAGAGTCAACGTCTACGCTGGCTACAACCCAGACTCAGCAATCTACCTCGTACAGGTCATTCCAGAAAAGAATATCGCTCAGGAATTCCTCCGGCAAATCCAGCGCGGCATAATTCTCCCGCTTCGGCGATCGAATACGCACATGCACCTCAGCGGCCGTCTTCCACCCAAAGAAGCCCGCCATCTCCCAATCCACAAGCCCCACGATCCGATCGTCGCGCACAATGCAGTTCGACTGGGTGAAATCGTTGTGCATGAAACCGAGATCCGGGTCCGTGTTCTGGTCTGAGATGAGGATCTCTTTCTCCAGCTCTTGGATGCCTCGGTGGTCAACGGGGTCCGGGTCGGGAACGAGGTGGGAGCGCGCCGCGTTCTGGGTTGAAGAAGCGGGCTTTATCGTGTGCAGGCGTCGCAATAGGTCTCGTGCTTGGTTCTTGAATGAGGTTTTCTGGGATGGGGATATGTATTGCCATGCGACGTTTAGACCGACGCCTGGGATTCTTTCTTGCACCAGGACAGGACGGCCATCGATCTACAAGTATTCTGTTATTAGCTCCGTAACCTTACGAGAAAAGACTTGGGGCTGTTGGAACTGAAGGTATGATTACCTGGCCTGCGAAGTAGATATGCGGCACCTGGACATCACCCAGCACGCTTCTAGCCAGAGCGGTAGCCTCGACCTCATTGGCATCGGCGTAGGAGTAATCCCGGTGGGCTCGTCTGCCTTCAAGTGCCGCCTTCAAGTGGCTCGATTTGACAATCACACTGCCCAGGGCAAGGACGTCGCGGCCCCCATATTGATTGTCGTAGACCCTCGTCTTCTCGTCGCATTGGCTCAGCACCGACGCCCAATACTTCAGCGATTCATCTGTCGTGGAATTGATATGCCTTGGGTCAGGCTTGAAGTCGGCCGGCTGGGGAAAGTAACGACCATAGTGAGGTTCATTGATGTACCGATCTGTTGGTGGAATTTTGTCCGGTCTGGCTTCGTAGGGATCCATATCGAAAGCATTCGTAGAGTTGAAGCGTAGGGTACTAGACTCTTTGGTCTCGTTATAGAGATGCTGGAGATGGCCATCTTGGGTTGAGAGCTCTACTAGGGTTCGCGCTGCCTGTGCGGCCTGTTCTGCTTGCCGTCGGCGCTTCTCTCGCGTCTTCTTATTCGGCCGCTTCGATGGGCCACGTTTCTTGATACCCATTTCGCGAGGGGGACGGGAATGAGACTGGAAGCTGGGCGAGGGCTGTGTCTGTCTGCTATAATCAGCTGGGTGCCACATTTGTTTACTTTGTTATTGCACGGTCCGATTTTGGTTCTCTTGGCTGTCAACAGCAGTACCTTCCCTAAATATGCGCCCTGGCGCAACAAGGACTTCTCCTCAGTCAATCATGTTCGATAGGTTCAATGCTGACGTTTTCCCCTTCTTCGCTGTTCAATCTAAGAGGAAGTCGATGAGGCCTTCTAACTTGCCATCTACAGGCAGAGGCCTCGAGGCAAACACTCCGCAAATAATAGATTGAGAAGCTCCAAGCTCCTCGGTGATTGACTGCTCGTATGTTAGCGAGTTTGCCAGTAAATCATAATGTATTCTATTGATATTTTGAATCGTGACTGGATCGATAGCAGGACTGAAGATGGGCATTTACTGTGAACATGGGGTGCACTCTTACTCAGTACAACCGCTAGCGACGATATGGTCTCCATCCCTCCAAGCAACTGTATGGCTTTCTGTATATGTCGACATCAGTGAAATTCACAGTATCTACTGTACATGTGTAGCCATGGTCAATGGCCCCGCAGATATCCCCTTGTAGCTCAGTAGAGCTTATCGATAAGCTAGCGTGAACTCGCGGGGTACTATGTAGATTCGATTGAATTTCCACACCATCAACATCCTTCACTCACAAGGACGAAGCCAGCTCCCACGCCTCAGTAATATACCTCCCCCGTACATCCGTCCTGCCTGTCCGCCGCTACCAATTGTGCCAATCACAACCGCCATGCCACCAGAACCCACGACCGACAACCCCTCCACCACATCCACATCAACATCCCCCTCCGAACAACTCCTCCAAGAACAACAACAAGAACAACAACAACAACCCCAGCCCCAAACCCACACCCACCACACCCTCCCACCCCCCTTCACCCACACGCCCACCCCGCTCATCCCGCTAACCCAAGGCGCCGAAGCCCTCGTCTACCGCACCACCTTCCTCACCCCCTCCACGCCTGCCATCCTCAAGTACCGCCCCCCGAAACCCTACCGCCACCCGACGCTCGACCGGCGCCTGACGAAAGCGCGGCTCCTCGCCGAAGCGCGCGTGCTGGTGCGGTGTCGACGCGAGGGCGTCGCTGTTCCCGCGGTGCTGGGCGGGGATTGGGAGGCGGGGTGGTTGTGTTTGGAGTTTGTGGCGGGGGAGACGGTGAGGAGGGTTTTGGATTGGTGGGTGGAGAGGGAGGGGTGGAGGGTAAAAGGGAAGGAGGGAGAAGGAGAAGGGGAGGAGGGAGAGGGAGAAGGGGAGGAGAGAGATGAAGCGATGCTGGACCTGATGCGCAAGATTGGTCGCGCGGTGGGGAAGTTGCATACGACGGGTGTCGTGCATGGCGATCTGACGACGAGTAATATCATGTTGCGCCCTTCTTCTCCCTCCCCGCCCACCTCTACCTCTCCCAATGCATCCCCCAACGTCGACGAAGAAGAGGAAGACGTATCCGCCTACCTGGCCGGCACCATCGTCCTCATCGACTTCGGCCTCGCCGCGCAGTCGCTGCGCCAGACACAGGAGGAGGATCGCGCCGTGGATCTGTACGTCCTGGAGCGCGCGTTCGCGGCCACGCATCCGACGGCCGAGAGGCTGTTTGGCGAGGTGTTGAGGGCGTATGGGGAGAGTTACCCCGGGGCCAAGGCTTCGTTGAGGAGGTTGGAGGGGGTGAGGTTGAGGGGGAGGAAGAGGAGTATGCTGGGGTGAGGGGTAATTCGCTTGGAGGGAGGAGAGGGAGGAGAGGGAGGTGGGGAGTTGGGGAGTTGGGTGTGGGAAGGGGATGAATGGGAAGAGCTACGCAGTCTTCGTCAGTCGAAACGGCAAGATGGTGTCAATGGGTGATTCATGCATCTGCTACACGGGGCGCTATATGCAGCAGCAGTAGCGGAAGTCTCTGACCTGTCAGTATACGAACATTGCTGAAGCGAGCATCTGCATAATCATATACATACAACAAACACTCACCCTCTTCTCTTCTTCCAACCGGTGCGTCTCCTTTCACCTTGCTGAGACACATCCGCAGAGGGATAAAACAATCATCTTCATTCTAACTCGACTTTTCCACCCCCTTCCCCCATCCCATGGACTAACACGCAAAGAAAAGCAATAAACAAGACGAGCGATTGCGCTCTCCTTCACTCCCATCTCCTCACAAGCATCACATCTGCATCACACACACGTGTTTCTCGCACAAGGGAGGGGGTCTTAGTAACTGTAACCGGATATCGCCGATTGACTGTATACCTCTACTGCATACCTCTACTCAACTCCTCGCTCATAGATGCGACCACAGAATATAATCATGCGTCAACCAAACGCCTACATCTCCTCAGCGCCGACTGCGGAGAAGGGAACCAGCCCCAATTCAAAACGCCTGGGAATGCATGCGTAGATGCAAAATGTCAATGCAAGTCCAATGAAATGCGAAAAGCCAACCAAAACCCCAACCCCAAAACACAAAAAGAAAAGAAAAAAAGCGCTATCGTACAAAAAACCCCAACACCAACTCGCTTCCCCAAACGTTAACCAAAGAAAGTACTCAAAACCCAAAAACCCCACAACCCCATTCCCTCCCCTACGTATACGCCGCCGCACTGCACGTAAACGGGCTCCTCACATCCCCGACCCGATACTGCTCCAGGATATCCTTAACACTAGCATACGTCCCGCACCCCAACAGGATCATACCAATCAGAAACACGACGCCATTCACGACCGAGAGACCCACATTCCTCCAGTCGCGATTCCACTTGCCCTGCTTGACCAACTGGAACCAGAACAGCGCGGGGAAGTAAAACGTAAACCCGCTGATGAACAAGCTCGAGATGAGGCCGAGCAGGGCGTTGAAGAAGGGAATCGCGCTGGCGACGACCCACGCGAGGACCGTCACGACGGCGAGCAGGGAGAGCCAGACGGCCCAGCCGCGGGCCGAGCTGACGAAGCGGATGGGCGAGTGGGCAAAGGCGCGGTCCATGACGTACCGGCAGAGGACGATGCTGTTGATGGAGCCCGAGATGAAGATGACGGGGAGCGCGATGCCGAACACGACGCGCGAGACGGTGGGGCCGGCGGACAGCAGCGCGGGGGATTTGATATCGGCGCCGACGAAGGCGTAGACCAATGCGCCCGTGAGGGTGTAGATGCAGATTTCGATGAGGCCGATGCTCCAGATGGATTTGACGTAGTCCTTGGGCGTGTGCATTTCGGCCATGAAGGCGAACTGGCAGACGGCGAAGGAGTAGGCGAAGATGATGTTGGACACGGCGAGGAAGGCTTGGTAGAAGCTGACGCCCTCGGGAGGCCAGGCGGACCAGGTGACGGCACCGAGGCCGCCGGGAGCGTTGCTGGCTTGGACGCCAGTTGCGACGATGGTGACGAGGATGGCGGCGATGATGGAGCCAAAGTCGATGTAGCCGAGGATCGCGAACTCGGCGAAGGTGGGTGGGATGGCCAGGATGAAGAGAAGGACGGCTGAGATGATGCCCCAGACAATGGCGCAGATGGTGTAGTTGTCAACGATGTTGATGAATGCAATCGTTCCAGTGAGTGTGTGCGAGCCAACCAGGAGGAGGAGGAAAATGCAGGACATGATGTTTGCGAGCTCGTACCCAGGACGACCCCATATCAATCTCACGGCATCGCCATAATTCATGATGTGAGGATACAGGAGCTTGACCTTGCCGACCACATAACTCGTGTATATGGCAACCAGACCGAGCCCAACGCAGGCGATAACCCCAGCAACCATTCCCAGAGTAGCGAAGGCACTTGGTAGACTCAGAGAGCCCAAGGCGATGGCTTCCACAATCAGGCAGATGGTCATCCGCTTCCAACCCAGCTTGTGGAACTTCTCCTCGCCTTCGTGGATCGTCGTCTGCTGGTCGAGTGCGTAGGCATCTCCCTTCTCCGTGTCAAAGAGAGCATCTTGCTTGGGTTGCAGCGAGTCCGGAGTGTCAATGGACAACGACGTGTCAGAAGGACTGGCCATATCCGATAAGCTGCCCGGTTTCGTAGGGGAGTGAGTGTAGGAGGGAGGAGTACGCCGGCAGTGACGGATATGGGATGGCAGTCCGGGGTAGTATGCGGAGGAAGAAGTGTGAACCTTGGGGAAGGGAGGGAGAGGCTCGGTTTTGACCGTCTACCCTCGGGGATCGCCGCACCGCAACCCTTTGCCATCTCGCACTTGGGTTATCTAGTGCCTGTGCGGCAAGAGAAGCGTACGGCGACAGGTCGGCCGTGGTGGAGGTCCACATGGTCTTAGCGGTGGTGAGAATATCGGTGGACCCTCTGCGGATCCTTGATACTTTGAGTTTAAACTGGTCAACACGGATTCCCAGTTATCCCAATATCGTCCTGGACACTGCCCATCTCTGAATCCGAACAGAGGAACTTCTTGTGTGCACGCGTTGAAGCGTCAGACGTCACTCCATGTCGGACTTTTGTGGTGTGGCGATATCAAGCATCAGGCCCTGGACCGATCCGCAAGCCGGTTCCTGGTGGCGTTTCGGCGAAGGCACATTTTCTCTCTCATTTGCCGCAGAAACAAGCCTCGGAAATAAGCCAGCCATTGCTTAGTCTCTGAGCTAGTCATGGTAAGAGGATACACTAACGAGCGTCATTTATCGCACATTCCAACGACCTCGGACGCTCGAGTGCTCCGCCGCCACGTCGATCTCCATGTACTCCGCGTTGACGTGCATTTATATTATCAATCATTCCCGAGGTCGGAGTCGAAATCTGCGACTCTGGAGACTGTAGAGGCCAGCCGAAGGCGAGTGCTGTGTTGCTTTGGCTTCATTTGATCGAGTATTCGGCCGACTTCTCTCCGTAGACGGTTTCACTACCAGGAAATCGTGGTCCGCGCGTACATGTCAGACAAGTTCTAGTCTGTATACACAGTCTACTAATCCCACGCCATGACCGCCTCTTCGACAATAGGTCGAATGACTTTCCTCCCAGCCCCAGACTCGTGTGTCCAGACCATCTGCCTGGGCGCAAGCTCGTTTGCTCTGTGCCACGGCTTGAGACCGAGCTCCTTGTTGTCCTCGAGCGCCTTCTTCACCGTACGGAAAAGGGAATTCGCCTGATCCTCGTTGATGCGCACGTCGTCGCGCACCACCAGCACAATCTCTCTCATCTTCTTCTTTTTGCCGCTCTCGTCGCGGATCTTGTACTTGTTCAGACAGACACTGATGTCCACGCCTACCGCAGCGGTCCAAGCTGCGTGGATGGCGAACCAATCGAAAAGCTCGTGGAATTCAGTCTTCTCAATCTGTTCATCCAGAGAGTACGGGATCGAGGCAAATCCCAAGCTGACCGTGGGGGTGCGGGGGGACGGCGTGTCGACCAGGTCACCTTTCCAGTCCCGGCGCAAGAGATCTCGAACACTCAGATGATCGAGATGGGACTTGGCAGCGCTGAGCTCGTCGTCCAGATCCTTCATCACATCTTTCAGGCGTGAGTCGCGCCAGTTGCTTCGCTTCAGCACACGCTTGGCCGTCTCGATATCGGTATCCGTGGTGACGTCGTTCTTCAGACCTCCAGAGTCAATGGCAATGGCTCTCAAGATGAGCTCCAGAAGCTCGTGAGGCATGTGGTACTCTTGGTCCAGCTTCTCCAGCTCGTCGAGCATCTGGCGAGCAACAAGTGAAGAGCAGCTAGCGGCCTTCTCGAACACCCTGGGATCGGCGTTGGGTCCGGCTCCCTTATCAACGTGGTGATCAAAGATAGACTAGCAGGTGAGATTAGCATACGATGGAGAGAGACCTGAGAGCATTGAACTCACCAAAATCCTCGCATTCCTCCACTTCCGCAACGGCACCGCATGATCCACCAGCACAATCCCCCTCAACTTCGGACTCAACGTCTCGGGATCCTCAGGCAACTCATCCATGGTCAGCAAATCCTCATGCCCCGGTGTCATCTTCGACTTCTTCAACGCCAACTTATTCTCGGGCCGCAGATCCAATGCATCCGTCGGCGTCTGCAACAACGCAATCGCCTTGACGGGCTGGGACGAGTTCTCCGTCGAATGCTCCAGATGGTATGCCCAGGTCAGTGCAGATGTCATGCTATCCAGGTCTCCTCCCTCGTTGCCTTGCACGAGGATCCACTCCGAGGCGCGGCCCGCTTGCCAGTCGATGAGGAATTCTTTCTTGGTCGCGCGGCTCCATTCGCTGAAGTGCCCGGCGCCTTGTTTGTGCGATGTGCCGAAGGGGCGGGCGGGGGATTGCTCGAGGACGGCTTGTGCGGAGTCTGGCTGTTGAGGTGCGGATGGCATGGCGGTGAGTGCGGCGGTTGCTATCGAGAGCGTTGTGAGGAGGTAGCGTATGCACTTCGACATGGTGAGTCCGTGCGTGAGGAATTAAGAAATGTTGTGACTGCCCTCCATTTGTCAATAGTATCGATGATTGTCGTCTGTGTACTCCGTATTTACTACTAGCTGAAGTATGCAGCTGGAGATAATCGGAGGTTGGTCGTCATGGGTCCTGGCAAAGCGTGCCGTCAGCCAAGAGCGACCGAAGCTTGGCAGCGAATGAAGCATGCTTTCCCTCTCTTCCTACACAGCTTTTGACAACGTTAGTTTCTACTGAGAAACGACAAAGTTGTGTAAGGTGGGAGTCTTCAAATATATACAGCTCCGGGCATTCCTAGTATCGCACCAGATTCTCTGCAAGACCTGGTTAACAGTGACTTTACCTCAACAGCTTCCCCTTACCTCTCAATCGAACGGCTATGAGAAGGATCCAAGGTCGCGAGGTGTTGACGAAAGAATAAGAGATATAAGGCAGGGACGTAGCAATTGCTTGGAGTATCTAACGCCTAATATTTTACCTCCATACAAGTTCATAACTCATGATCACGCTGACATACAATACAACCACCATGCCTCGCCTCAAACAAAAGCGCAACGATTCCTCTCCACCATGAACAACTCACAACCGCAACTCATGACTCCGACTCTCACCCCCTCGACCCACTCGAACCACTCGAACCCGACCGACCCCTGCGCAACACCCCCCTTCTCCTTTCCTTGCTCTCCTCCTTCCCCTCTTCCCTCTCCCTACTCCGACTCTTACTCTTACTCTTCGACACACTACTACTCATCTTCAACGGACTCCTCGTCCGGCCCTCCGAACCCCTCGACTGCGCACTCGCACTACTAGCCGTACTACTCCGACTCCGCGTCCTGACAGGCGACCCCGTCCTCCTCGCCACCGCTTCCTGAACCGCACGCTGCAATTCCTGGCTCTGCAGGCCAGATCGCGAGCTAGGTCTCTCGCTGACGAGTGGGAATGGGGCTGTTGGAGCCGTGTGCATGTTGTCGAGGCGACTTCTACCAGTCGCGTAGGGTGGGAGGTGGGGCCGCAGTTGTTTCCGGGGGACGAAGGCCTGGTGCGAGGGCTCGGAGGAGGTGTAGCCGCATTTTTCGGCAAAGTAGAGGCCGACGACGGTGATCATGATGAGTTTGATGAGGAGGAAGAGGGAGGCGAGGGAGATCATTGTGGCTGGGTTGGAGGAGTGATTTTGAAGGTGTGGAGGGGTGGATGAGAGACCGGACTCGCGGTGAGGCTTTCGAGCTCAAGATGTCGTGTTTGCAGCACTGAAGGTTGCGAGAGTTCTTGGAATAGGAGGAGTCCAGTGAGGTAAGGTGATGGGAATCCAGCGTTGACGTCCGGCCTGCGGAGTGTTCGTCGAGAGGACTCTCGTTACGCGTTTGTGTTGTGGTATAGAGGGTATCATAAAGCGAAGACCAATAAGTGCCAAACCGAGTAATGAGGCCGAGGGTTAGACTCTCCCAGTAAGAAGAACGGATATGCCGGTTCCTTGGATGGATGAATGTCGACCTTCCTGAGTGTGTGTCAAAAGCCAGAGTATCCACGCCGTGATAGGGTATTCTTCAAAGTCCCAAGTAGAAAAAGCGCAGGAAACCCTCGATTCTTGTAAACCAGATCCCAGCCCTCAGCTCCTCAATGCGGATCCGGTCCGTCTTCCGTCTCCTTTTGAGACTCGCGCTCTCTCTGCAAGAGGGTCGCGTGCAGCGGGGTATCCGTATTCAGGCCAGCCCTACTCCGTACGGCCAACAAAAACAAGCAAACCAAAGCCACCACAGCGCCCCTAAAATTGGGACCTGAAAGTTGAGGAGTGATAAACTCAAGAGGGTTGCCAGGAGCTCTACTGGAGCAGGTACATACTCTGATCGCAGAAGTTCATGGGGGTGCGCTACGCCTTGCTTATGTCTGAAGGGGGCGTTTCACAATGTCCCACCTTTGTAGCGTTTGCGCTGCTGAGAAGACTGGATGATGCTGTGCTCCGTCCTTGCAGCTGCGCCGCACGACCAACATGTGATGGATCATCGTACAAGCTCGGGTGCGGCAGTATTCGAAGCAAGCGCTCCGGCCCCTCTGGTTCTCTCCGTGATCCGTGATACGAACATGGCTTGTCCATGGAGTCGCGCGTCAACATCGGATCCCAGAACTGGTGGTCTTAGTTCAAACAGTTATGAGCAGAGTAATGTTTGTGATTGGCTCGATGCGCCACCATGGCGTGGCTCACAGGGGTGAAACATTGGGCCGGGATTGGGGGTTTCAAAAAATAGGTTGGGAACTTGGGATGAGAGGTTTGGAGGCCGAACAGCAGGCCGGTGGATTGTTGGAGGAATCTGTACGGAGTAGTCGTCGTCAACAGCGAGAGACATGTTTGGGCGACCGGTTCGCAATCTGATATAAGAAAATACTGGATGGTGCGCGTAGGCATAATGATTTCTCATTATTCCCGGCGTGGTGCGCGGATTAATGGTCGCAGATGCAGTTTTGCGGTGTACGAGGTCGTGGTGCTGGTGGTGGTGTGCATGTGTACGGAGTCGTCTCGCACCTCCAGGGCTGCCATTTGCGAAGTCCCAACCCTCCTATCTCATCCTTTCTCACACTTCTTCAATCAAACAAAGCCGTTATGGATCGCTGGAAAATCTCTACCACTGCCACAATCGAAAGCCCAACTCCTACTCGACGCAGGACCACCAACCCACTAATCGACCGTCCAAACCCCAACCCATTCCCCTCGTTCCTGAGGTGTTGGAGTTAACGGCTGACGTAAATGGCGAGTGTATCATATGGATTCGCGCACCGCAGCTGCATTCCCAATTTTTTGAACAATCAGTGGGAGAGACGAGGAGTTCGCATGAGCCAAAAGTGCTGGGAACGAAACGCCGACCCAACGAACGAACACATGATGGTTTCCACACTTTATCAAATTCAACAACGCGTTCCTGACATTGAGGGCGAAACCTTGGAACGACTAGCGAGATTTCGCTCTCCGCGTTGGTGCGACGAGTTTCAGACGTGGGGACGAGCGTGCATCCCCCGGCCTGCGACGAGGGATTATCAACTCGGCACCGAGCTGAGGCGGCTTCAGGCTCTCGTCGAAGGTTGCTGACGGTCTTGTCATCGGAGAGGCTATGATGAGACTTTGCGGTTCATGCGCAAATGATGAACTGGTGAGCACTGCAGATTGGAGGCCTTCATCTACCTGCGCGCACTTTGTCCGTTTCTGTTGCCACATGTATCCTCATCACTCCGAACTACTGTAGGTAGATATCCTCAATAATCTGTCTAATTAGCATGGTAAAGGCGCGACGCACGCTGAGTGGCCAGCCTTGACTGGCTTGTCGGGCTGATGGTGGGTGTTAGCCGCCGTTGGCTGAGCCGATGCCCTTTGCTCCCCTCTGCGACCAGCGAATGGCCGGCGTAGACGCCCTTGGTGCTGCGAGAGATCCACGGCCACCATCATGTTCGAGCAATGAGAGGGCGTAGGGTTGAGCCTCTGCCGCCCGCCCACCAGTTCGCCGCTGCTGCTTACCTGCTCTGCTGCTCACCTCTGGAGCCAGCGCAGCAGTTTCCGGTATGTAGTGACAGAGAAAGAACCGACGTTGGATGCGCATTGTTGTTGTCATCACGGGCGCGTTTCAACTATCATTGATCAAATGGATGCGTGCCCCTGAGTGCGGCCCGTGCGCGTGATGAGAGATGAGAGCGTCAAAGGGTGAAAGTGAACGAAGAAGAGAAAAGGCCCTGCCAAGGCGCTAGTCCGCGCTAGCCCTCTCTAGGCGATCCAGCCAGAAAACAATACTTGACCAAGGCCCGCCTCTCCCCGGCCCCCGTCGCACCTTCACCTTTCTCCTCCTCCTCTCCCTCCTCCCTCCGTCTTCATTCTTCCCCCTCCCACCAGTCCGCCATCTGTCTTCTCATTCCGTCCTTGCGGCGTCCATCGAAAAACGGCGTCTGGTCGCTCTCTTCTTCGGTCGCCCTGGTCGCCCCGTGCACCTTCTGCATCTCTTAACTTGTCGCCCCTTTCAGGACCGCAGCCTTACGCAGTATTTCGACCTCTGCTTCACCCTACCTAATCCGAATCCCTTCGAGCACGCCAGTATCGTCGCTCTTTGACTCCCATCGAGTGCCCGCCAGTCGACCTCTTCACCCCCTTCGTCGTCTGGATCCACAATCTTTGATCCAACTCGCTTCGAACCTTCTTGTTCATTCTTCACCTTCAATTTTCGCCTGCCTGGTTGGCCGCGCCTGCACTCAACCCCACCAAGCGTCCCTACCTTAACCCAATCGCACGCTCAGCAACCGCAACCCACGACCACCTGCAACCTGGTTAATTATCTACTTGTCCTTGTTTGTCGGACCATTGCCTTCAACCCCTCTACCGTACCACTCCGATCGACTCGATCCCTTAATACTCTAATCCCGCTCGTGTCTGCCGCTCGGGCGCCCTCCATTCATCTCTTCCGACCTGATTCGGCATCCCCGTCGCTCCCTGTCTTCTCGCTCTCGGCTATTGTCTTTCGATTCGGTATCCTTTTCGTACGTGGTTCCGCGCATCCCTTTAGCTCGATTTTCTTTACCCATATCCAACGACCCGCTTTCAAGCAAAAGAATACAACTTCATCAGCATGGATGCTGGCGGTCTTGCTCAGATGACATATAACAACAATGTTCAGCCCAGCGGCGGTCTGGCTCGTCCCAGCGCAGGTTTTGCCTCTCGCGGGAGACTTGGCCAGGTGAACCGCCTCAGCCTCACCTCTACCCCGAAAGTAGCTCCCATCGCTGAGAATGCGTATCCCGACGTTCAGACGCCTCGCACCAGCCGCGGCCATCTCCTTGCCGGTCTTCGCACCGCTCCCAAGACTCCGAGTTCTGTCCAGCCGCCTGCCTCGGCCCCGTACCACACCGCTCAGCATAATATTGCTGTTAACCAAGCCGGCTATCTTCCTCAGCACCTCGATGCCCAGCAAATGTTGAAGGGAGCCAACTACGGTGTTCCTCAGACCGCCATGGCTTCTACTTTCGGAACCGCTGTACATCACCAGCTGGCCCAGCAGCAGATGGTCTACGGTCTGCCTGACCAGGTCCTCGCTCCTCCGTCGCTGGATGAGGGATCCGTTGATCCCAATCTTGCTGCCGAGCTCTTGCAAACGAAGCTCTACCTCGAGCGCAGGCAGCAACAGCTCCAGCAACAGCTTTACAATCTCACTGCCCAACATCTCGCAGAGTTGAATATGCAGGCCTTGCGACAGTCCCAGCAGTACCCATCTACGCCTTTCACGCCTCAGCTCAACAACTATGCACAGCAATTCCAGAACACCCAATTGGCTCAGGAAACTGGACAGCCCGGCGTGTATCTGACCTACAATCAGTTGACAGGGCAGTACAGCTACGTTGTAGATCAGAGGCAGATTTCCCAACAGCAAGGCATCAACAACCTCGCACAGCAGTTTGCTGAGACGAATCTGTCGCACTCGCCTCCCCCTCCAACTCCACGCTTTGCCGATTCTCCGCCAAAGTCGGCTGCCCCCACGGTCCAGGTTTCTCCACCAAATGAGTCCAGCCCTAGCCCGTGGGCTCGGAGCACTTCGCCACCCAAGAAGTCGTTGACCCCGCCTCAGGATGTTGTTCCTCTTCCGCCACCATCCGCTAATGCATTCCGTCGTGGCCACAAGAAGACGGTGTCATCGCTTGCTCTGGACGGAAAGCAGGAGACACCCGAGGGTCCCAAATCTGCCTTTGTGCGCCCTGTTGGATTCCCCGCCACTCCCATGACTGGCACGTTCGGTCCCGGTCAAGGCCGCGCTGGCGAGCACCCTGTTCGCCAGCCCAAGGGTCCGCCCCCGCTCGAGGAACTCCAGAGCAGCCCCACGTCCAAGCATGAGGGGAGCAAGAACTTCGCCACGCGTCGCCGAAGGGCAGCCATGAGCAATCTTGCCAATGCTAGGATCAGACGAGGGGCTGGCAGTTCGGGAAGCATGACGCCTGTGAGCGAGACTGAGATGTCTTTCCCGGTGTCCGACAACGACTCCGATAGCGTCCACAGTGGTGGGAGCGGTAGCCTGTCCGGCAAGCCCAGTATCGGGAGTCTGCGAGCTGCTGCCAATGGTGCCATCGGCTCCGAACTCAAAGCCTCAAAGGAGCGCTCCCGCGAGCGAACCTCAACCAATGGCTCCTACACGGCGAACAGCGTGAGCAGCGATGAGGGTTATGTTGGCGGTGGACTGGTTGAGATTCGTGCGGAGGAGCCCCAGCGACGGAAGATGCCAATGCTGGTTCTGACCAGTGCTGAGAAGCGCAAGAGCACAGTGTATTAGGCAAGGGACTCTGGATATGACGCGTATGCGTGGGGTTCGGGACTCGCTCGAGTTGATCTTCGAGGCGGGGTCCCTGTGCATAATCCGTGGTGATTTTCCACGATGTTCTTACGGCCAGTCATGACTTTTGTTTTTTGCTTTTTGGTTTTTTCTACAGCAGAATAGCAGGAGGGTTTTTTATCTGCTACTGTTCTGCCCTTTTCCTTTGGTTTTCTTTCGTCAACCGTGTAGTCTCGAGTGCCTGATTCGAGCTATATCGGGCTCCTGTTTTCTGATGTTTTCCTTTTTTTTTTTTTTTTTTTTTTTTTTTTTTCTGAACTTTTCGATACAGAAATCACGCGAACCGATTCTAATGGGGAACGCGGATCCATGGTCTTGAGCCTGTGGCTCGGGAACACTGTGCATTCATTACTGGCTTTGACTCTGGAGTGTGGAGCAGGTATGATAGAGGAGGAAACATGGAAGAGAAGACAACGAAGGGTGGATGTTGCTCTAGATAAATGAAGTAAGCCAGGAGCACGAATGAAAATCACACTCTTTTGCAGCTGCATTTTCCGTGACATGTACATGCGTATGAGGGTTATACTCGAGACTTGAATGAAAGGCCGTGTCGTTAGATGTCGGTTCTTTGTCCTTGTGTTCCATTTCAGTTGAGATTAGGTCCTTGTCTTTATGTTCCGATTCTACTGGGGAGATACTCTCCGTTTGCTAGGTGGGTGGGTAGATAGGTAATCGCTCACTCGACGAACCTGGCGTGAGGGATATAGGTGAAAGGAAGGGAGAGAACCGCGCGAAGAAGAAGAAGAAGAAGAAGAAGAAGAAGAAGAAGAAGAAGAAGAAGAAGAAGAAGAAGAAGAAGAAGAGGGAGTAGCTACCCTAGCTTCCCACCTACCTACCTACCTATATATCCATCTGATCCCAGATAACCACCTATCACTTCGGACAAGCATCCTTCTCCCTCGTCTCGCTCTTCTTCCTTCCTTCCCCTGCTCTGCGCCTTACATCTCTCCCACTCCCTCTCTTCTACGTGCCATGGGAAGAATAACCAGAAAAGCGTTGTCCAATACCTTATTACCCCGGTTGTGTTGTTGTAGATTTTACATGCTCGTGGCGATCTCAGTCGCATTCGCATTCGCACCCGCACAGTGAAACGTTTGAATAACCCAAGCAGGCAGGCTCCCGTGCGGATATGTACGGCCTGGATGTTAGATATGAAGTAATATATATGATATATATATACTTGAGGAAATAATTCGCTGCTTGTCTACTAGGAAGTCACAATGGATACTGAAATAAGTACGCTTCGACTATGCGTCCTGGCCGGAAGTCGGCGGGCTGCTGGGGAGAAATGTAGTGTGCTGTAAAGGGGACTCGTTATTGGAGCTGGGACTTGCAGATTGATGTGTTGGCTTGACTGATTGACTGACTGGAGAGCAGAAAAGCTCCCCGGCACGCAAAGAAAATGTCAAGGACACGTTCATCATCGAAAGACTCCACAGCTCCTCCCAGATTTATACATATCCGCCTTCCAATGCGACCATTTCTACAAACGCCCCTGATTCCCCGGGCTCGCTCACACGTTCACCTCCTACATACTCACAGAGAAGAAAGAAGAGGAAAAAAGAAGAGGAGAAGAAGAAATAAAAATGCACATTCGAATGCATCTCCCACCACCCACCACGACACCATTTCTTATATAACCACGCACCTCTCTACCTCTATCCCAAGAACCCCCAACCCAATCCCCCCACGCTCCCTCCCCCAACTAAACCATCTGAATATAATTCGCCGGCACACTCCTCACCACCCCATCCCTCTCGACATCTGCCCACCCATCCCCCGCATCCATATTCACCAGCACAAACCGCTCCCCCTCCGTCATACTATGCTCCGCCTCGCTCTGCGCCGCGTAGTCGTACATGGCCTCGACGTACTTCAACTTCTTGGCCCCGCGCTTGGGCGCCACGGCGGGGCCTTTCTTCTTGCCCGTCGCCGTCGTGGACATGGTGTTGGTGATGCTGCTGGTTAGGGAAGCCGACGACGCGGAGTAGCTCGAGTCCGGGCGGTGCGTGGTGGATGTGGATGGGGCTGAGGCTTGGTGGGGAGCGGGACTGGCGGGGAGGAGCTCGACGTAGGAAGCTGGGACGAGGCCTTCTTTGGCGCCCGCGCGGACTTTCATCCAGCCTGAGCCGTCTGAGAGAGTGAGTTATTAGGAATTTTCGTGAGATGCAAAAATTCGTGGACCTTACCATCAGGTTCTAGAACCGTGACATCTCTCCCTTCTGGGACCGTGATTTCCCCCTCGCCGTTTTGCTGATACGCATACAGCATCCTCCCCTTTTGTTCGGATGGCGCGGGAGGGGTAGCCGACGATGCTTCAAACTCATCCGGTTTTATATACTGCGTGGGTGGAGGCGCTACTATTCGATTCCTCCTCGGCGCGGGCGCGGCCTTCTTCTCAGGCGCTTCCTCCGCCGTCGGCGCCATGGCCCCATGAGCAGAAACGGACCGTTGTGCTGTCGCCGAGTATCCTGAACTCAAAGTGTTCATCGAGTTTACCGTATCGCTCCGTGATATTGCGGGTTTGCTGGCCTGCGCGTCGTGGGCGTGGCCGTTCGCCGGAGTGGATGCGGCGCTATGTGCGGCCTTCTGCCTCTCGTCCTTGAGCTTCTTACGCTCTTCTTTTGTCTGCTCGCCGGGGCAGTCGGCGGGGACTTTCAATTCGCATTTGCTGTGGCATGTATAGCCGCAGTCCTTGCAGTCGAAGCCTTTTGCAGACAACCCCCATATTCGATCCCCGCAGAGGTCGCAATTGGTAGGGATCTTGAACGTCTGAGACTTGAAGTTGTGGTTTCTTGCCCCAAGGCTAAGGTCACCCACGGCAGTGGTAATGGTCGACACCTCCACCTCGGCGCTGACCTTCTGTCGCTCCGTCTCATGCATAGTCTCTTGAAGGGCCAAGATTGCGCGAACAATTTCCACCTCATCTCTCTTGTCCTTTCCCTCCCGAATGTTTTGCCGCACTCTCCTAGCCCCCTCCACCTCTCTTTGCTTCTTATCTAGATCACGTTTGTACTCTGCCAGAGCAGCTTTTGTCTTCGTCAAAACATTGCGAAGAAAGACCACAGCAGAGTCGTCGGTTGCAAGATTGTCATCATCGTGCCACACGGGGCTTGGCTCGAACTGGAAATCCGCGGGTTCTTGCCAGGGCCCGGCGTTGTGCCTGACGAACATCATGGAATCCAAGCGTGGGTCGTTTCGAGGGATCTCAGCGGAGAGGTGGTTGAGGTATTCAATGCTCCGGCGCAGGGTTGAAGTTTCGATCTGTGCGGCCAGTGACCAGATATCGTTCAGCTTCTGGACACGGGTTTCGGAAAGATCTTGAAGGCTCTAGACGAAATGAGCATTGATTTTCGGAAACTCGCAATGTATGCTTACATCTAGCAGCTCAGGGACGTATTGATGATAGTACATCTCCTTTTGCTTGTTTGTTACGTTGATGCTGATGATATATGTGTTCTGTACCATGTTAGAACGTCGTAACCGTAGCGTGATATATGCTCCTTACCTTCACATTCCGCATCTCAAGCTGCTGCTGCTCGAAAGCATTCCGCGCCTTCTGCTTGCCATGGTCGAAGGAGGAGTCGATCTTCTTCCGGCGATTCTCCACCTCCTGACACACGCCGTCGTATTTGCCCTTCATCTTGCGCAGATCCGCATATGCACTATCCCTCTCCTTCTCCAGCTTGACTGCATATTCGGCGTGGCATTTTCGGATCTCTTCGTAACGACCGGCGAGGACTTTAAGAGGGTCGGCAAGATTGGAGACGAGTGCTGTAGCGAACCGGTCATGTTCAGAAGCGCGAGATTCGAGGGTGTTCAATTGGACGCCCCATGTGGTCATAGACGCACTACATCACACATTTGTATTAGTACCATTCGGGCTTGTATGTCGTCTCGTGGGTGTACCTCTCAAGTGAGCCTGGGGTTACCGTCGGCGTGTCGCCGACGCTCAGGCTGCTCGTCTTCTTGGCCTTCTTCTCATAGTACTTCTTGGCTAGTGCGTTGAGTTTCTGGGCGTATTCCTTTTCTATGGCGCTTCGTTCTCGGTAGAACTGTTGGATGTCGTCCAACCAAGCTATACCACCGCCGACCTGCGCATTTGTCTCAGACTCGCGACTTCGGATGCTCAGGGGGAGACAGAGGCGATCTGTGCTGCTCAGTCATTGCAGGTACGTACCCAGGCATTCACTGTCTTAAACCCATCCTAGACGCATGCGCGTTAGTACCAGAAACGGGCAATGTAGATCGAGAAGAGTACCTTCAATTCGGCTCCAAACTGCGGCGCAATATCAATCTCCATGCTTACGAGGCGGCAGTGAACACGGAGAGGGAGCTTGACCTAGCCAGACGCATGACATGGAGGGAGGATGGCTCAGCGGGTTGTAGTGTAGTGAACTCGGAGGCTGGCGTTGGGCATAGTGGGGTTCACTGCTCACGCCGCGTTGTTGGACAGGGGCGGAAGTGGCTGCCGGTTCTGTATACTAAATTCGAATACAAAGAGCTACTGGTGCACGACGCAAAGAATAACACAAGAATCCTGTAGTTTGCACTGGTCAAAGCAGTCGTCAATGACCTGCAGCGCTTGAGACATGTTCAGCATGTTTCCATGTCTCCCCTGCATTTCACCTCCCCGCGACTCGCACTAGTCGAAATAGGGTAGCCGCTTCAGCCACAGGAGCCACAATTGCCCCGCGCCACCGAGCTCTCACAATGTTGCCTTGATTGTCTTTCTTTCCACGCCGACAAAGCAACAAACAACCAACTGTTTGCTCAGTCGGCCGTCAACCAGCTGGAAAGCATAGCGGGTCTATTTCCAAGCACTCCCCACTATCATTTTATCTTTTTCCGCCGTCTGCGCAATCCACAAGGGATACACCATCCCACTCTCGAGAGTTCTCACCGCCGACACCATGTCTTCAACGGAGGCAACCCCGGCCGCCGCACCTCCCAAGGGGCCGGAGACTTCAAAAGCACCGGAGGAGCAGAGTCTGGCAACGGCCCAAGTCGACGGCGCTGCTCCGACACAAAATGGATCCGCATTGCAAGAGCCCGAGGCGGACGTTGAGGTGACGCTCGCGGACATGCAGCAGGATCCTAACAACCCTCTCTTCTCCGCCAAATCTTTCGAAGAGTTGAATCTGTAAGATTTGTTCGTGGCTCCCTGTGCTCGCTATGGCGTGCTGACGATATTCCAACAGGAAAGAAGAACTACTCAAAGGCATCAAGAACATGGGTTTCCGGAAACCGTCCAAGATCCAAGAGAAGGCGCTTCCTCTCCTCCTCATGAATCCCCCCACGAACATGATTGCGCAATCACAGTCAGGAACCGGCAAGACCGCAGCGTTCTCGCTCAACATCCTTTCGCGCATCGACCTGAGCATCCTGGCTCCTCAAGCTTTCGTGCTTGCACCTAGCCGCGAGCTTGCGCGACAGATTCTGGGAGTCATAACACACATGGGACAGTTCATGGAAGGCCTGGTTACCATGGCCGCCATTCCCGATACCACCAAGCGCAACCAGAAGTACGACGCACATGTGCTCGTCGGCACACCGGGCACGGCAATGGATTCGATTCGCCGCAGGGCCATTGACACCAAGCACATGAAGATTCTCGTTCTGGATGAGGCCGACAACATGCTCGACCAGCAGGGTCTCGGCGAACAATGCACCCGCGTGAAATCGTAAGCATCCACCGTGACCAAGTTCGCTACGTTTGCTGACTGTTTTAGAATGCTTCCTCGTAACATCCAGACGGTTCTCTTCTCTGCGACCTTCCCCGTCCATGTCATCGAGTATGCTCGGATGTTCGCACCGAGCGCCAACGTCTTGACTTTGAAACACGAAGAGCTTACCATTGAGGGTATCAAGCAGCTCTACATAGACATCGACAAGGATACGGACAAGTATGCGACTTTGCTCAAGTTCTACGGACTGATGGAGCAAGCTTCCTCAATCATCTTTGTGCGGGTAAGTATACTCCAGGGCGTGTGGTATATATCAAGAAGCTAAAAAGCGTCAGACTCGTCAAACTGCCGAACAACTCGAGAAGCGAATGGTCGCAGAAGGCCACAAGGTCGCCCAACTCAGCGGCGCCCTAGACGGAGCGGAGCGTGACAGGATCATCGACCAGTTCCGCAGCGGCCAAGCGAAGGTGCTCATCACCACCAACGTGCTTGCCCGCGGTATCGACGTGCAAACGGTGACCATGGTCATCAACTACGTAAGTTACTCGTCATCAATTCTAATTTCATAACCTCTTCTAACAAAATTAGGATGTCCCGACCATGGCCAACGGCCGCGATGCCGATCCCGAGACGTACCTGCACCGCATCGGGCGCACGGGTCGATTCGGGCGTGTGGGTGTGGCGCTGACGTTTGTGCACGATCAGCAGAGCTGGAAGCAGCTCAACGATATTGCGCAGTACTTCAAGACGGAGCTGGAGCCTGTGGATACGAATGACTGGGATGCGGTCGAGGAGCTGATCAAGGGCATCATTACGAGCGCGAGGGCGGGCAAGTCGACGGAGGAGATGGCGAGGATGCATCATTAATAGATGGAGGGATGGGGAGCAACTGGTTCCGTTTGGAGAGGTGAATGGTTGGAAGAAGATGTATGGCGAGGAAGTGGCGTCTGCAAAAGTGTGCATGTCCTGACTGTATTGGGTTCATATGAGGAGGTGGTTTGAGACGGCAATGCAGAACATGGCAGCGAATACATTCGAGATACCCTGGCTCATGTCGAGTGTTCTGTGACTTGTATCTCTGCAGAGCGTGCCGTTCACACTGGATTAATCAGCCCAAAGTTCGCTCTCGAAAGGGCTCAGAAAATATCGATATGCGATTCAACAACGCCATCATACTCGTTCCCCCAACTCCGACGCTGCGGTCTCCGGAGTATATATAGAAGGACTCTACAACAACACAAGCATGCAAATCTCCTAGCAGTGACGAACAATCCCCCATCCCTCCTTAATTTCCCTCTCCCATCTACTTCACCGCTCAAAAACCCCCGGCGCCACACTCAAAATCACCACCAAACTCGCCACAATCAGTCCCGCCGCCACGCCCGCCACAACCAACACGCTCCCCCTGGAGGCCGGGAACTTTCCCCGGATGACATAATGCTGGGCCTCGAAGTAGCGATGGAAGCCGATGAAGAGGATGAGGACGGCGACGGCGAGGAAGGTGGCGCCGAGGGGTTTGCCGACGTGGCGGAGGCGGGTTTGGGGGGAGGTGAGGAGGAGGTCTGGTGGGGAGGAGGGGGAAGAGGAGGGAGGGTTTTGCGAGGCGATGGTGGTGTTGAGGCGGAAGAGTTGGGTGATGGCGATGCCGATGGAGGCGAAGGAGAGAGAGGTGCGGAGCCAGGCTAGGAAAGTGCGTTCTTTGACGAGCATGGATTGTTAGCTGGTGGTGTAGGGTTGGGTTGTAGGAGAAGAAGACGGGAGAAGAAGGGTAGGGGATGGGTTGAGGTGTAGTAGGGACGCGACGGACGTACCCAGTGCCAAATGATCCCTAGCAACACTCCCCTTATTCTCCAGCTCTATACTCCCGTACTTCTCCAGCCACGCCCGCCATTTCCTCTTCTCTCGTCTCTCCGCAGCGACGGCCGCGCGTTCCGCCCCATAGGCGTCCGTCGCATCTGCCTCCCTGCGAGATTGCTGTGTGGAGTCTAGCGGACGACTCCGCCGCCGCTCCTCCTGTTCCTCGTCTGAATCGTCATATTCTTCATATTCCTCATCCCGAGTACTTCCTCTCCTCCTTCCCTCTCCTTCCTCGCGCTGGGCCTGGCCTTGTGTTCCCCCCTCACGCACCGCTATTGCCGGGGAAATGGCCTGGTAGTCCCACCCACCGTCCTTCCTGTGCTGCATTATCGGCGCAGTTTCGTCGGCGGAATCGTGCTGTGTCTCTGCTGGTAGACGAGTGGAGGCACCGTTGCGTTTGCGGTTGCTACCGTTGCGGGGAGTGGTGCTTGCGGTACTGGTGCTGCTGGTACTGGTGCTGCTACTTGCGGAGGGCTGCATGGTGGAGGCTTGGGTGGGAGAGGATTGTCGTGCTGAATTGAGGATGGGTGTGTCCTGGGATTGTTTCGGAGGGCAGCTGGAGGAGTTGGTAGTCGTGGTGGGTAGGTCTTCGATATGCGATATGAGCGGATGTTCTCGTTGGATAGCCTTATCATCTCCCTCGCTCTCACAATTCTCCTTCTTCCTTTTGTTCTTCTTCTTCGTCACGATCGTCGGAGAGGGAATCTGTGGTGAAAGCGTCGATCCCGATGTCGACATCACCATCCCTCTACCACGACCACCAGTCGAAGCATTCTGACCACGCGCATCCGATCCCGGGCCTAGAACCGCATCTGCATCTGCATCTGTGCCTCTCTCCGCTTCCGCTTGTGCTTCCGCTTCCGCGCCCGCAGGTTCGGGTCCAGGTCCAGGCCCTTGTGCATGTTCGCGGCTCACGCGCGAGTCGGGGGAATGCCAAGCTTGGCTTCCCATTCCCTCTGTAGGCGCTCCAGGCGCGCTGGAATTGAGTACGACGACTGCTGCATTATTGGAGGTTGGTTAATTGTTGTTGTTTGCGTGGAGCTGTGTGTCTGGAGAGGATGGATTGCGTAGGAGGCGTTGAATGTGTAGGCGGTTGTGGGGGATTCGTGATTTGGGTGGGGGTTGATGCGATGGACGGAAGGGTGGGGAGATTGGGTGGAACTTACGGAGGACGACGAGTATATCAGTGAGTGACGTAGGTGGAGGAGCGGTTATGAGTGCTGGAGGCTTGAAAGGTCCGCAGAGATGGCAATTCACTGGTTTGAGGGAAGATGTACTGTGTGTACCTTGGGAGACACGGTAGTTATGTTTGGTCACGAGAGCTCTCTGGTCACACATTGACTCTGTAGCTTCATCGTGAGTTACGGGCCAAGCCCTCTCCCCTCCGAGAATAGCATCGCAATGATCCGAAAGATCTCGCAATAGACGTTTTGGTTCAGTCGTTGATCTTGTGAGATATACCTGAGTTGCGACACAATCACACCCATGCACGGTTTATCTATCACGGCTTCATCAACTTTCTTCCATTGTTTCCGTACCGCAGCTCCAGCGTACATTTTCTCTATGAGCAAGACATAATGGCCCCTATGCAATATTCTAGAACCCTGCTGGCCGCCTCCCTGGCCAGTGTTCCGCATCAATCGAACCGCGAGAGAAAGGAAATGTAAACGCCTGGCCAAAACGCCCTCCAATGATCAAACATGCATATCCGCACCCAGCGGGACAGTGGTGACAACGCCAACGTGACAACGATTGAGATGAGGGAAGGTGATGTGATTGTTCACTCGTTGTAGTGGTACACCTGCGAGATAGTCAGCAATCCAGGACACGAAGCTCAGAGCTAGGCACTCACAAGGTAATTTGGGAGACCCCAACTCTCCCAGTTCAACCGACTGGCCATCTTGGCGAATCCCTCCGTCTCAATGAGGTGGTAGAACGGGAAAGCGGGAAACATGGCGCCATCCCTGTGCACCTCTGCCTTCACCAAAAAGGTTCCTCCAACACCATCCAGCTTCACCTTGGTGCCTGGATCGGCCGTGGGATCGTACATGTACACCATCAGCGTGCGGTAGGTAGGCAAATCCTTGTAACCCTCGACGAGAATGTCGTCTTTGCCCATTTTGGCCGCCAACTCTTTGGCGGTAGCGCTGTCGATCCAGTTGTTGAGATCGTACGGCCGGATGTCCATGGCCTTCTTCTCGGTGTCGTAGTAGCGCTGGAAGACGTTCGGTGCAATGATGGGCACATTGTACGCTGCCAGGTCCTGAATCAGCGAGGGGGGATACTCGACGATGTCTGCATCCAGCCACAGAATCCACGAGGTGGTGGGGCCGATGGTGGTGAAGAGAAGCGAGTTGCGCGCCTTGGCCATGGCCGCCCTTCTCACTTTCTGAATCTCCAGCTTGTGTCTTTCTTGTTCGTCCTGCGAGACCAGAGGCGACTCGGTATCCTGTCGCAAGATCGTGACACTTGCGAAGCGCTTGTTCTTGGGTCCGCTCTGTGTCTTTTTGACCTGCGCCTGCAGCTGCGCATATGCCTGATTCCCCTCCTTGGTCTTGGGGATGATGAATCCAAGGGAGATGAGCTCGTGCGGGTAGCTGAGCTTGAGCAGGCTGTCCCAGTACTCTTGGTAAAAGCGTGCCAACGGGGTGAGAATCAGAACCGTCTCTCGGTTCTCGATGGGTGTCCGTGACGTCGTCAACTTGTTCATATGGTAGTGTACAACCGGTGGAGGACCTGCTGCTTCGTTCGACTTCGATTTGCGGAACGGGAGGGAGGGTGGTGATAGCACATTGGAGGCGGTGCCGCCCGTCTTCCCCTGGGCGGGACTGACGCTACTCTCGCCATTTGAGAAGAAGAATATGATGAAGCCGATACACAGGATCGCGGCGAGGAGAAGGGTGATGGGGTTCTGGCGACGTAACGAGCGTGGGGGCATTGTGAGGAGAGGTACGGGCGAACCGGGGGTCGCCAATAGACGGGAGGGCTATGTGTCGTGCATGAGAAGGTAGTGGATGGGGAGGGGGTGCCAGTATGTCTATCCGCACGCCTCGATCGGTAATCCTCGAGGTCAGCGCCGGGCGCGAATCTGGGGGAAGAGAGGAGAGGAGAGCTGGTCTGGAAAGTCAGAATAGGAGAAATTGCCAGATGGTTGCGCTTCCGAGATAGCCCTGGAGCAATCCATACGTGTGGAATTAGTAGGGCTTAGTCATCATCCCGAGATGGATGATCTTCCCCATTATGGCAGCTTCAAAACCGTGCAACCGCAAGGGGACGGCAGCGATGGGCGTGTCCAATCGAACCTTGCTATGATACTGCGAGCATCGCGCCCATGGCTTCTCCGCAGGGAGAGAATTGGCATCCGGCGATTTCGAAACAGTGCCGTACTTATCCCCAATTCTATTCAGCAAACCGTGGGTACCAATTCAGTGGATTTATTGTAGTCAGCCAGCTAACCTTCGCAGCGTCCATCCGACCTCATAAACTTGATCAAGCCTGTACACCGCGAATATCTCGATAAAGAGCGCACCATTGTCTTTTTTCTCACCCCTGTGTTTGCATCATGGCTACAGGACCACCAGTCATTTCTACGACCGGCCGTTGAAAGAGCCTTCGAGCATATTTTCCAGGACACATCCTCTTCCCAAGACACAGTTGTCAGCTCTCTAGCCGCTGTCGTGGACAAGCTTCCAATTCCAATTTGCCGTCTAAGTCAACGAGCACACGACGTGCATCAGACCAGGAAAGATGGGCTCGAAGAAGGCGCTTCAGTCGCGATTTCCCCATGGGATTACGTCGGATATGATGGCGTAGCATACGCCACGGTGCAGTCTGGATATATCCAAACCCAAGCCCGGATCGATGGCAAAGCTCTCGGCTCAGTCGGCTTTGCGGCAGCTTCCTGTACAGGTCATCTTCCTCTAGCCAACACCATCTTCCATACCGGTTCTCCGACGACCCTGGTTTGGACGGAATGGATGAAGAGGGATGACACCCAGGATCTTCATCTCATTTCCAAGAAGGACCTTACCAGAGCGGTCCTCAAGACAGGTCGGACCGACGTTGATAGGACGCAGCCTCCGGTCTCGTCTGTCCCGCTGATTCCCTTGACGCCTCCGCGCTTTGTTGAGGCAAGCATGGGTAACATCGTCCGTCGTATCCGAACTGAGGAAGGAAAGAGTATGACCGCGTCCGAAGAGTTGGAATCGGTAGTACCGCGATACTTCAAGGCGAGGAACGAAGCGCCTCGACCCATGTCTGTGTGGGCCTTGGTTATTCCAGAAGATCGGATCCAGATCATTGAAAAACATGCCTCTCGTTGGCTGGATCGATTTAGAGGGCACACCCCCTATGAATCCGTCTGGAGGTCCAGGTTCCCTGAACCGTACGATATATCAATTGGGCAAGATAGTCCGCTATTCTATGGCGCTCATCTTCGTAAGGTACTTAGCGGTGGCGGTGGATGGGGCAAGAAGGCCGGCCTACTTTCATTGGACCCTTCTCCCGCTGCCGAGGATGTTGCTCCATTCCCTGGACAGGACAACGCCGCCGATATTGAAGAGGTGCCGGATCTGTCGACGGCCCTTGGAAATGTGGTAAAACCAGGGGACTCAATTCAGTTTTTTACGACGCCGACGGCACAAGCGTTCGACGGGTGCGATGCAGAACCTAATTTGCGGTCTGCGATAAGTGCGTTCATGAACATGGGCGAGAACCCTGACACATGGGCGTTCGGCACCATACCCAGCACGGTGGACGCCGACGAGGCTGGTTCATGGCAGCATAAACCTGCCGAGGAAAGGACAGTCTACGAGTTTTCCAACTTCTTCGGGGCGCTCACAGAAGGTGGCATGACAGTCAGCTATTCTGATGAGCAGGCTCAAGGCACTGCTCAAGTGACAAAGATCGATGTACCGTACTCAAGAATCTCCGTGTCGGAGGTTCATCAACCGATCGACAATGAGTCGCCAATTCGGGACGATGTACGTAGTCCTGAGCACAGATAGATATAATATTGTTCTCTAATGTCTCAATCGACAGGTATTTTGTCATTCGAAAGTTCTGACAAGTGAAAAACCCCCCAGGATAAGATTTTACATCAACGAAAAGCTTAAGCCAACCGAAGAAGGCCCCAGGATAAGATTTTACATCAACGAAAAGCTTAAGCCAACTGAAGAAGGCCCCACTGTTGAAACTCGAACAAAACCCTTGGTCCGGAGACTGCTGCTCACCAACCCTTGGGAGCGGGAGAAACCTAACCGCGACGGTAAACTGAACGGAAAGTCGACTCAAACCGAGAAGAATTTGATGCACAAAACGCTGGGTACGGGGTTCGTACGACGGGTCATGTATGATACTCACGACGAGATGACCAGTACGCTGAGTACGGAGCTGGTTCGATGGGTCCCATCTGATACTCACGAAGAGATGGAACAGCGGCGACGGTTTGAGAAGGCCCCAGAAGTTCGGATTGTAAAATATGTGGAAAGCCATATCTCGGACATCACGCTTTTGGAGCGGCGGGTTCGTGGGATTCAAAACGTGATATCCCGGCAGGTGGAACAGCTGGAACAGCTGGAACAGCTGGCGCGCATCCGTGTGAAGCATATGTTCAACCGTGCGGCGCATCTCATTAGGCGGACTGATGAATTGCTATCCGAGGCGACATTGGCTGCATCACAGTATCGCCGAGCATGGATCAAGCGGCTTATAAGCTCCACGAAGCACGTGCAGAGACGAAGCGAAGCTGAGACATACGAGCTTCAAGCGGAATTACTCAAGATCTTTATTTCAATATCCGCTCTGTCTCCCGAAATCCTCAATACTGAGATCGACAGCATCTCCAGGCGCATCTACCAAGCCCAGGACGATGTCAACGCCGTGCTCAGCGGCATCAACTTCCGCGCCAAACTCGCCGCCGCAACGAACAACTCGGCCATCGATGTGTATTTCCTTCACACGATTCTGCGCAAGCGCCTGAACGATTCGGCCCGCCGTAGGTTGACCGTGAGGGGCAATCGAAGGACGATACTCAACAAATTGAACGAACTGGCCCGTCGAAGGATGATGCTCAACAAATTGGACGAACTGGGCCAGTTCAACAACAATTTGTTTGTCTACTTCAAGGCGCCGACACCTAGCTTTATCAAGGACAAGCTGGAAAAGTTACAGGTACGGCTCACGGCTAAAGAGGCAGATAGACAGCTGCGCGGGATGGGTGGGGAGATTCGGAGCGTGGATGAATTGCTACAGGACGAGGGCCCGCCGATATACTGGGATGGGCGTAGGATACGGAGAGTTGGATATATGCCTGACCGTAGGATTATCTATTACCGCTCCACGCCGCCGGCCATGGACACGCAAATGGGTGCGGAGCTTGAGCGAGGACGAGGGCAGTTGGGGAAGATTGGAGGAGAAAAGCAGAGGAAGAGGAGTGTGAGGATGAGGAAGAGGGAGGCGAAGAAGGAGTTATGGGAAGAGATTAGTAGCTGGTTGTCTTGAGATGGACGCTCTATACCCAATAGACTGTACTATTAGATCTAAACTCATACTATTTAGAATAACCTTTGCCATTGATGATGTGCCGTCCATTTAATGATGGTGATGTCTCCTCCCAAGGCAACTCTAACCGACCCACGCTAAACCCTGCCCCGACATCATCGATCATCGATCAACTTCCCCAGATGCAACAATCCTCACATCGCCAAAAACACCACTCACAATGTCAACGCCTCAACCCACCCTAACTCCCGAGCAACGCCTTGCCCTCGAGAAACAACAATCCTTCGAGAGATTGGGCCGCGCCGGGGCCATCGCCGGCGTCATCCTCTGTCCTACCATCGCCCTCCTCCCACCGCGGAAACTCGATCTCTACACCTTCTCGCTCGGAATCGGAACCTATCTGTCCGCAGACTACTTATTGACATCGTACACGGGTCGCGGCATCGTGCACCGCATAACGCCGAAATGGATGTACGGGTCTAGTTCCCCTTCGCCGGGATTCCTTTCCAACCTGCCGACTGAGAAGGCAGTGGAGATGCAGCAGCGGCTGGAAAAGGAGCGGCGGTTGAAGGAGGCGCAGGAGGCGATTAGGGAGGGGAGGGAGTTCCCTGCTGAGCAGAAGAAGCCGAGGGGTGTATTGCAGCGGTTTTGGATGGGGGATGAGGAGGAGGGGTGGCAGGAGAGGAGGTTGGAGGCGGAGAGCAAGGCGTTGGCCGAGGGGAAGGGGATCTCGGAATTGATTTTGGATCAGGTGTGGGATGTGTGGAATTGGGATAAGAAGAAGGGGGAGGGTGAGGGTGGGAGCGAGAAGAAGGATGAACCGAAGAAGTCATGAGGGTATGGGGAGATTGCTGCTTTCGACGCTGTATAACATGTTCAAATGTAACATATGGGATATATCAAGAGATGGATGGCTAAAAAGTGGTTTGGAGGCTTGCATTTACGGGGCGTAAGGGAAAGGAATTGGTGGGATTATGTCGGATGGGCGAACCACACTGCACTTCAAACAGTGCTTCCTTCTCACAACTGGAGGCGCATCTTCCTGGTCGGTATTGCGTACCTTTTCGAAATCTCAGAGCGAGCTGATCATCCACCAACGTACACAATCAATTGATCGTATTTCTGCCAACCACATACTTCCCACGGAATATATTTGCCACCATCTCAGCCGGAGCTGACATTTTCTCCATCTCCTGGCCTCTACCTGATCCGTGTCCATCACCATTGGTCGTGTCACCGCACCGACATGCAGGTACCCGTTTCGCATCTCCCAGTTCCAGCGCCACCGGCCAACACAACAAACTGCCTGCCCTAACTGTCTCAGCCCAGACATCCAGGAAAGAAAAAGAAACGACTATATCAGGGAATCTCGCCTCGTACAATCTACGCCTCTGGTGTAACAGTCATTGCACCCCTGTTGCTGTCGATCGATCGATCCATCACCGATCGAAGAAGGAGAGGGGTGGTGTGATATGGGTATGTCTCAGCATCCGACGGATCGTCCTCACGACGGACACAATGACCCCTTTTCGACGGCTTTCAATCCAAACACGCCTTCGTCTCTGGAGCAGCTGGACTCCAGCCGTACAGACTACTTTTTCGGACACTGCGACGGAAACTACTATCTCACGCCCTCTCAAACACCTTCAAGCAACAACGATCTCGTCCCAGACTTTGACTTCAGCACTACTCTCTTCCCAGAGACTACCTCCTACAGCAACGCCTCCAGCGCTTGCCAAACCCCTGAATACACCGGCTTCAACAACCACAGCGAGTTCCACTCTTCCCTCCAAGCCTCCACATATCCCTCCACTCCTGCACCAGGGACACCGCACCCTTACCCGATCCAAGACCGTCACCACGTCGACTTCTCAAGCTTCGGCACGGTCTCGACTCAACGACCGCAACTTTTCCGCTCCGCGACGAATAACACTCACCTCCATCCACCCACCGCAGCAGGATACCACCATCTCAGCCGCACCAACCAACCGCTCCACCGACGCTCCCTAAGTCAAAGCGACGCAGACCGCATCGCAGCCTTATACAGCCATGCTCATCCTCTCCCCCATCCCTCCCGACGAGCCATCTCCACCGATCCCGACGACAACGCTCCCCTAAACAGCAAAAAGCCGGGATGCACCAAGCACAACAACAAAACCGACAACAGCAACCCTTCACGCCCGGGACCTTACACCAAACCCTCCAGCCACGGCCAGCACAAGAAACGCAGGAGTCATCCGCCGACCAGCACGCCCCTGGGGATGGGCATGCGTCTGTCGGGCTCGTGTGCGTCCACCGGCTCGGGAGCGAGGGGTCCCGCGTTGGTGAGGGAGTTGAATCCGCCTGGGAGGTTGAGGAGTATGTATACGTGTATTGGGACGCCGTTGAATCTTGAGGACGACGCTCTCGATGAGGATACGTCGGCGGTAAGGGTGGATGCGGGTGCGGAAATAGAACGAGATACTCGCGTGCAGCTCACCGGGCCGAGGATGCGGCATATGTCGCATGCAGAGCAGCTTCGGACGAGCGCAAAGGTGATTGAGATTGGGGCTATGGCTGTTTTGAATGCTGCGTCTGGGGGGAAAGGGGGACAGCAGGGGATGGTGGGGGAGGAGGCGGAGGTGCAGAGTAATGATGAGGTACTCCGGTTGGTGGATAAGATGGAGAGTCATCTCAAGTTGCAGGATGTGGGGGATAGGGATAAGGGGTTGAGGGGGTGCGAGATGATAAGGGAAGCGTTGGGGGAGGGTGGTGGGCTGGATGAGGGTGGGGGGAAGATGGAGGTTGGGGAGAGGTGAGTGGTACTTTTGTTAGAAGAGCGGATTGACTACGAGACTGACGGGGGAGTAGCACTCTGAAGGATTCATCGATGAGTACGCAGACGGACCTTCAATTGGATACTGGGGACGCCGACCTCCTCGCCCTGCTGCAGAACGATTTGGAGGCGAATGGTTTTACGACGGCGATTAGTAACTGAGGACCGATGGGGTAATGGTATGCAAGACGCATCTACGGCCGGGAGGTTCAAACTGCGCTTCTCAGATTGCATAGCGCTGGCGTTAGGTTTTTTGGCATCACTACACTTGGCATCTCCTTTTAAGGGTACAAATGGGGATTCTCAATGTTTGACTTTCTAGCATAGCGTTCGGAGATGGTGGCTTCGCAGCGGATTATAGAACATACTTATCGTTTGTCAGGATCATTAAATATCACATTTCACTTCAACATCAGAAAGAATAACCATACAACCTCCTCCACCTAATCACTCTTCCCAACACCCACCACCCTCCCCCTCCCCAACAACCCCAACTCCTCGGGCGTCTTAAACCTCCCCTTCCCCTTCCCCCTCGTCCTCTCCCTCCACCCACTCTCCACATCCGCGGCCCTCCCCCTCCCCCTCCTCTTCCTCCCCTCCCTCACCTTCCCATTCTGCGCCCTCTCATAGTCATCCGAGCACACCTCGCACCCAAACATACACGCCACGCACACGACCACGAAAACCGCCATAACCCCCAAAACAAACACCACCAACCCCCACACGCCCGAATCGAGATAACCCACCAACCAGTCCCCAAACGACGACGCAAAATGCGCCGCCGTGCCTTTCCTCCCAAAGGAATCCCAATCCGAATACACCATCGTCCGCCGCTGCTGCGCCGCCGCAGTTTTCGCAGCCTCGGTCCGGGGTACCAGCTCCGCTCGGACGATTTCATAAGCGTCGTCGGGATCGGCGGCAGAGAGCAGTGGTTTCCTGAGTAGGACGATTTGCAGCATTTGCTGCGATGAGGCTTGGAGTTTGAATCTTACGGGCGCCTCTGGTGGGACGTCGGATAGGATTTCCAGGACGTCGAATTGGAATAAGAGAGCTGGTTTGCCGGGGATGTGGCGGATGGAGTAGGCGTAGGAGAGGCCGAAGGAGGCGCTGCCGGAGGTGTCGAGTTGGTTTGAGGAGATGAGGGAGGTGAGGTCGGCCTGGGAGATGTCGTGGTAGACCTGGGGGGCGTGGATGAGGGGGAGTTTGGTGGTGGAGGCGGGAGGTGGGAGGGGAGATTGGTTGATGGAGAGGGTGGGGGTGGTGTAGGGGAGGCTGATGTTGAGGAGCTGGGGATATGTTAGGTTCATATATAATCTGAATAGGGTAATAGAGTGTAACCGTCTATATGAGGTGGATTTGGACAGGGCAAGTACTGGAAGGTTTCACGTACGAGAGAATTGGCAGCAGTTTTTTTAGACCATCGTTGGTCCTCCCCTTTGGATGTATCCTGATACAAGAACGGGCAGCTGACACAAGGTAGTTTTGCAATGAGGTTGTAACCATCTTCGACCCATGTTATCATTGGTGCCACCCTCGCAACGGACGGACTACATAATGACAGTGCTGTTGAAAGAAAAACAGTACGCCAAAGCATCGTATTTGAGACTGCCCAGGGTTTGATATCTCCTTGCGCTCTCGGGCAGAACGTAGTGAGATGATGCGGTGATGCCAGATGGCTTTGGCTAAGGCTTGGCGAAATTATGCAGTCACGTGATCACGTGTTTGAGTGATATACTACCCGCGTAGCAACGTCAAACAGTTGGCAACCACCTCCTCCACTACCTCCTTCACCATGGCGGTCCCTCTCAGCAGAAGGCGAGACGCCACTACGCTGCGCCAGGTTCCCAAGACTGACCTGCTTTTCAGTATCCTTTCCGGTGGCATCGTCCAGCTCTCGGTTGGAGAGGATGAGACGCCGTTCGACGCTCATATTGAGCTACTGTGCGCCCACTCTCCGTTCTTCGATAACGCCCTGAAAGGTGACTCGTTCCGGCAGAGCCTTTGAACTGGGTTACTGACCGACACAACAGGTCGATTTCAAGAAGCCGAGACGAAGATTATCGCCCTCCCCGAGGACGACCCGGACTCATTCAGTGATCTTCTCTCGTATGTATATACGAAACGCATCTCGGTCGATGAGAAAGCGACGACTTGGATGGATCTCTGCAAGCTGTGGGTTATGGCGGACAAGTACCAGGTAGCACCCCCAAAGCGGTATCCTATTCCCCATTCTCATAACGTAGATACCGGCATTGCAGAATGCAGTCATGGCCAAAATGTCGAAGAAATGGAAGGAGAAGGTGTAACGTCCATCCCCATACGATCGCCTATGTCTACGAGCACACCTTGCCGGGAAGCAAGCTGCGCAGGTTCATCCGGGATATCTGCATATTCGGAATGGAGCTGGACAAATTCGAGAAGAACAGAAGCGAATTCCCGAGGGAGTTTCTTGAAGATTTTGCCCTACAGCAGATGCAGAGGGTGGCCGGGCGCATGCCGATACTCCCACTGATGGATCATCCCTCCAGCTACTTTGAAGACAAAATCCAGAATGGATCCGACAAACGACATGATGGCGCTCCTAATTCTCAAGCTGGCCGCAAGCCCTCTGACTTTGGCAAGGTCGAGCCGACGACGACACCGGAAGCTCCAGGCGCACAAGATCCGGATCCGGAAGGTTGGTCTACAGAGGTCGCGATTCGTCATCGTCCGCAATAGAGGAGTAGTGGGAATGTGAGCACTTCAATGCTGTTTGCTTGACGTGGGGAGCGGGTTGCAACGGAGAGGATGCGGGCTGACCCCTTCGACATGACTGGCTTTACTCAACGGAGATGGGACAGAGACCAGCTCGAACTTATCGTTTAGGTGGAGCGACCCACACTTGACGTTCGGTATTGGTGTTGTCGAGAGCGGGAGCTTCAAGAGATCTGGACGGCCACGACCGACTTTGCATAGGATAGTGTGGATGAACTGGGAGCTAGGTCACGCGTGGCGTCCGCACTATGCGTGTATCTTAGTCCTTTGGTAATGGAAGATCGCGCGTGAGCATGGCTGCGCTTTAATATCATCCACCGTCTTCCTGGTCACCGAAGGACAACTTGACAGGTTTGGCCTTCTTCTTGGCTTTCTTGACTACCTTCGCCTCATCCTTTCCTGCGTCGTCATCCTCTTCATCGCCACCAATGACTTTAGCAGCCTTCCTCTTTTTGGAACCCTTGCCGACTTCGGCAATTTTCTCCTTTGGTTGAGAGGGTGCATCCTTGTGCTCGATGGTAGTTGGAGCAGAGTCCTCGGCCGCGTCCGCGTCTTTGCCAGCAACGAGTGCCTCGTACTCGGCCTTGGTGAGCGACTGATTGGTACCTTCAAGGACGTACGTTGGCGCGTCGTCTTCGTCATCTCGAACCAGTTTCTTGTTGCGGGGAATTGAAGGCTCCGGTCGTGCTGAACCATCCCCGGCAATCTGGCCTCGGAGACGCTGAAGGAAGGCAGGCTGCGCCGCATCTGCATATATGTTACTAACACCCCTATGGCCGCAAGGTCGATGATGAAGTACTTACCGTAAGTGAGGTCCTTCGCTTTGAAGCCCATTCTGTACGTTTGTGGGACACGATATCCCTTTAGACAAGCTGCAGGGAGATGCCAAAGAAGCCCGCGGGTCAGGGAACACAGCTTATTTCTGTTCTGAGATGGCGAAGCTGTGTCTCGCGGTCGGTTCCCGTGTCGTCGCAACAATTCATGAGTGATGAGATAAAGTTCGGCTAGGGCGCGGGTGGCGCTCAGATCTCGCGTTCCGTCAAATCTCTTGGCAGTGCATCCATGACAGGGGATTTTGCGAGCGTCGCAATCAACGTCGTCTCCGCCAGAGTTTCGGCCCGTCACAGTGTCTGCTGTGCTACGTATCATTCACTGCGCGCAGGTTCGTCAGACCTGTTCACATTTCACCGATTTACACCTACGAGAGCGTCACCAGCCTGGATGGCACGCGTGTGCCCACCCCCCTCCAACCCCTTGGCCTTGATCTACGCCAATCTTCGAGACTGAGAACCCTACGAAGAAACCTCGTGCTCCTTCGACGTGTCCAGCCAATCTTCCATACCTGTTAACTAGTCACCCAACAGTTCGGAGGATTCTTGGGGTATACTTGGGGCTGCCGAGGTCCCTCCACCCTCTCCACCCTCTCCCTCCGTCGGTCGTTACCTCGTTCGTGTCCCTAACTCGACCACGCCCCTTCGTATGCTCGAGACCAGTCAACACGAGCAGATTCGGCATTCTATAGGCCTGGGCGGAGGATCCTTATCGCACATTGATTGTTAGAGGGGAAGGACTTCGCACCTGTGTGCGGCGAGCTGGAGAATGAGCTTCCTAGACAGCGTTTATGGAAAGCTACCTTCCTCGCAAGGGACTCTGGGCAGACTCGACAATGTCTCCCGCCGTGTCGAGGAGAGATATCCCCGGTTCTCAGTCTTCCGTCGGAGAGTACGATTGAAGGGAAACTCGGCTGTCTCAATACCGCTGGGCATTGTTCTCATATTCCCTACCATTGTGATAATAATAATATTAATCCTTGTCCTGCGGAATCGAGACTCCGGCGGGATGATGATGCCTTCCGGCACGCCACCTCAAGTACGGTATGGATGGCTCTTCTTCCTTCACGATATGGGTGCAATGCTGACTATAGTTAGGAAAATAAGCGAAAAGCACGACAAAGTCTTTGTAACGGGCTGCCTGGAACCCCAAGTCAACGGACCGAGAGCAAATGCCGCATTCGTCGTACTTGCCAGAAACAAGGAGCTGGACGGCGTTGTACAGTCGATGAAGTCGATAGAAAGGCATTTCAACCGCTGGTTCCACTACCCCTATGTCTTCCTGAACGACGGAGAGTTCAATGAGACGTTCAAGGAGACGGTGTTGAAGCACGCGAGTGCGCCAGTAGAATGGGGGAAGATTTCACCGGAGATGTGGGGATTCCCGGATTGGGTTGATCCAGCCGTGGCGAAGGAGGGGATTGCAAAACAGGGCGATGCGGCGATCATGTATGGTGGTATGGAGAGCTACCATCACATGTGTCGGTTCTACTCTGGGTCAGTTGACGTCGAGGATGGCTGTATACAGATTGCTAACGCTGATGAAGCATGTTTTACAAGCACGAGCTTCTCCAAAAGTACGAGTGGTATTGGAGACTGGAGCCAGAGATCAAGTATTTCTGTGACATTACATAGTAGGTCGCCGCATTGACTACAGGGTAAGCTTATCTGACGGACCACACAATAGCGATCCATTCATACACATGATTCGAGAGAAGAAGACGTACGGTTTTGTCATTGCCGTGAAAGAACTGAAAGAGACAGTTCCCAACATTTTCCGTTATGCATCCGCTTACATGAGGGTAAACAATCTAACATCCAAGGGACTCTGGGAAATGTTCGTCGAGAAACCTGAGAAGCCGGAAGACGCGGCCAAGGACAAGAAGAAGAAGAAGAAACCACCGCCGCAAGGAATACTCAACTCGGAATCTGGACTGCCCGAGATTGACCCGGAAGCAATGGAAGGTGAGAAATACAACATGTGCCACTTCTGGAGCAATTTCGAGATTGCTAGTCTGGAATGGCTGCGCAGCAAAGAGTACAACGACTTTTTTGAGATGATGGATCGCAGCGGGGGATTCTGGATGGAACGAGTACGTATACACCTCTCTCTAAGGGAAATGAGTCGACTGACAAGTCAAAGTGGGGAGATGCACCGATCCATTCGCTTGCTGCAGGGGCGCTCCTGAGCCCTAAGGATATCCATTACTTCCGCGACTTTGGCTATCGGCACACGACTATCCAGCATTGTCCAGCCAACGCTCCGAATCGACAGCTTCCAAGAATACCGTTCCTGGAGATGACGACAGAGGACGAGAAGAAGCGGAAGGAAGAGGACGAGTACTGGGCTACTCCAGATCCGCCTAGGGAGAACGGCGTTGGTTGTCGATGCAGGTGCGATACGGACGTCGTTGAAGTCGAAGGCAAGGAGGGAAGCTGTCTGCCCGAATGGGTGGAGGTTGCAGGAGGTTGGGCGTCACCCTGAAGGCCTCAGCAGCCGACCAGGCGTTCGGAAACATTCCTTAGTGCATCCCGTCGCTTCATGATGGCGCTGGGGAGTTTTCAGCTGTGCATATCATGTCATGACTCTTTTATGGGACTGTGCTTGGGGAGCTTGCACTGTAGAGGCGTTCTGCGAATATGACATGTAGACTACGCTTTTTGTTAGGAGCCATGAATAGTCAGCAATGCCCTTCACGCTTTGGCGAGGGTCCATCTCAGTCAAATCACGGTCCAAGGGGATTGGTGCGATCTAGGTGGCAACGGTGACCTTCTGCAGTCTCGACTTGAAAGAAACAGCACCAAGCTTATACACATACCTAGGTATAGTTCCAAGGTTCTGCGCATGTGTAAGAAATGATGCACGTGAGATGGAGCTGGGACCAATGGTGGGGTACAAGCTCTCAGACGCGGCTGCGTCACCCCTCCCAAACCACTTGCCCTCCTTCAAGTCCCGTCACACAACTGTTGTCTCTCTCTCTCTTCTTCTCCCTTCCTCTTCCGTGGGCGATCTCAAACCACAGGCTCTGCTCCCACCTGTTTGTTCAAAGCCTGGGAACTCATATTAAGCTTCACGTCCCATCTACCCACTCCACTGCACGGAATCCACGGCGGAGCGAAGCTAAATAGTGGACCCGCAGCGTGCACGTCCCCGCGGAGGCTCCCAGTTCATTGAGGTTAGGCAACGGCCCTCCAAGCTTGCTCCCCAAAGAGGCGCTCCTCTCTTGCTCCTACTTCCCAACTTCACCTTCTGGTTTGGAGCTTCCTTACGTTACTGGCTATTTGGGTTAACTTTCCCCAGGTTTGTATCTACATCTACCAAGCTCGGATACGCTCCTCTCCACAACCGGCACCATGAGCACCAACCCTGGCTCGGAGACATCCAGAGCTGGGATGGAGTCGTCCACCGAGAGCACTTTCGAGTTCGTGAGCAGGAGCATGTATGAGACATCTGATGACGATGGCAACACCCTATCCGTCGCCTCCGCCGACGCTCGCGGTTCAGACGACTTGAGCAGCTTCGGCGACATCGATGATGATGGCTTCCGCTCCGATGAGAGTGATAGTAGCAGTGAAGACGAACTCGACGCCACCCCGCAGGTCTCATACCACCCGGATGCCGCCTCCGAAAGACCGCATCCACCAGAGTCGGATAGTGACATGGAGTCATCCACTCCTGATTCACGCAAGGGACCAGCAGTGTACATGGAGCTATCTGAGGCACGTCTAGGAGATGGTAGCGGAGCCGTGGACTTATGCCGCGTCGTCAGTGAATACAACGCCAAGTCCAGCACGCCTCCAGTGCTTTCCCGATTCGGCTACCCTGATCTCCGAGTCGTGGTCAAGATGCCTTTGGCTCGTGAATGGCTCCCAAGTTCTACATCCTACAGAGTCCTATACGTCGGTCCCATCGCTTCTTGGCTGGTGGAGGAGATCAACACTCATATTGGAGCTGCGCTTAGCGTTACCCCCACATCATCGCGGTTCCACATCTTCCAAACCTTCACAAGAGCTGGGACTGCTTCCTCCAGCGGAGTGCAGCTTGAACGTGCTGGGGCTGAGCTTATTGTGGACCACTGCCCTGGCCCTGTGGCCGGATGTACTGCACAGAATGTACCTTCCGCCACAGTCGCCCTGAACGATGGATCGCAAATCACTTTCGGCGAAGATGGGACCATTCGGCCCAAGTCCGCTTCTCTTCCGGATTTAGTCGTCTTCGGTCATCCTGGGGCAGATGTCGCGGGCGACCCCGTCGAGATTAGGTTTGCGTTTAACCGTGCCCGGAGTATAATAAAATCGCTTGGAATTCCAAGCCTGGATATAACAGCGGTGCCTAATTATCAGGGACGTCCAGTCCATTTCCAAACCAGCAGTCTCAAGATGTGCGTGGAGGGTCGACACAATAAGGATCAAGAGTATGAAATACTAAAGGCCCTTCCCGTCGATCATACAGCTTTCATTGGTATCGACCCTGTGCATCTCAACATGCACTTGGCATATCTGAAGGAGCGATCTAAGGTGAAGGGAGGACCTCCATACCACACGAGCAGCGGCAAGAGCGCACTCGCCAATATCCGCAAACGCTTGAAACTTTCAGCCCCTGCGATCAATTATCGAGACATAGTGAGGCTGCTGATCGGTTTGATCTTAGGTATACTGGTGATTGAGGCTGGATTATGGTCGCTCTCTTACCGGAACACTTCAATCTCGGAGGCTCTGACATCGGACTCACCTAACAGCCTGCCGAGTCCATCCATCAAAGCTTTGAAAGCAACATCCGTGGTGAAGTCGCCTTCAGTGACGCCGACTTTAAACATCCCGAAGGATCTTACAGTTCTGCCGCCGAAGCAGCACTCAGGCAGGAAGTGGCGTAACCTCCTGAACAGAACGAAAGAGGAAACCGTCGGTAATTCCACCGTTGACTCCATTAGCAGCGAATGTGTACTTTGCAGCCTGGAGACCATGTCAGAGCAGCTTCGTCGCCTCGAGTCCCTGTCAGAGCAGGCTGCGTCTCTGTGGAGCAAAGAGATCATGCGCCAAATCCGGAAGCGCTCGGCTCAGGCCAGCGAGTTAACACGATACTGCGCGGACCGAGTGTGGCAGAAGACCCAACCGCTGAGAACAGCTTCTTACAAGGATGAAATTCTCAGTCGTATCCAGGAGAGCTCACTGAAAGCCCAGGCGCTCAGACGTTACTACGAAGACCGCGTCTGGCAGGAAACGCGTCCCCTCAGGACATCCCCGTATATGCTAGAGGTACGCGAGCAGGCGCTCCGATTGAGGTGCAACATTGAGGCGAGGCTGGGTAAGCGTGATTCACGGTCCTGCAAACTTCTGCAAGATATACAATCTCGGACGAAGAAGAGGTAAGTAGATGGGATAGATAACGGGTATCGAGGCGTTGGTCGGCCTCGAAGGAGTACTACATCACCATCGATTCTCGGTAATGTGGACAGGCGTTCTTGTGACGGGTGTCATTGGGGGTTCCACGGAGTACGGATTTGGCTATGAGAAACAAGCACATGTTCAAGGGATTTGAAGTCCTAGGTTTCGAAAGAGGATTCGAGCATCAGCTATTGGAGCATATGGACGGTCAGGGGAGCCTAGGTCTGAACTGGACGGTTTCTTATTCTGTCTGTTTGCTCGAAATGGTGGATTTGTTTTGTACAGCCGATTCGGAACCATCGATTCCCAAAGTGATGCCATATGGTTTGAGAGTAGGTGCCTGACAGGCGACAACTGCCAACCCCTTGAAAGGGGTGAAGGCCCTGCACGTGCGGGCACCTAATTGGTCATAGCGCTGGCGCTGCCCCTCCATCCACCGCCACATTTGTTTGAACTTCAGGCTTGCTCGCCCAACACATAAACTCAACAGACGTCCTCCTTCTTGCGACACTCCTCTCAGCCATAACCCAAGCCTCTGAACCTCCTTCCACACTTACTTGAATTTCTTCACAGCTCAACATGTCCGAAGCTGCTAAACCCGACCCCTCCGCCGAGCAGGCCGCTGCTCCGGGCGCGACTCTTGTTAAGGATGAGACCGAGAAGGTTACCACTGCCCCTACCGAAGCTTCCAAGTCTCCCGAGAAGCAGGAGGATCAGCCTGCGGCCTCTGTTACCGAGACCGTGACCAATGCCGCTACGAGCACTGCTGCCGCCGTCAAGGACAACGTCTTCTCCATGTTTGGTGGCGGACCCAAGAAGGAGAAGCGCGAGGAAGAGGACGACGTTGATGAGCCGTCAGGTTCCTCGAAGAAGAAGGAGGCTGCCGATGTACGTGTCTTTATCTCGCAAGTCGGCAAATTCGGGAGCGTGTAACTGACCTGATCCCAGGACGAGAATCCCGAGCAAGAAGTTGACGTCCACTTCGAGCCCGTCGTCCGCCTGACCGACAAGGTCGAGACGAAGACCAACGAGGAGCTCGAGGAGCAAGTCTTCAAGATGCGCGCCAAGCTGTTCAAGTTCGACCGCGAGTCTAGGGAGTGGAAGGAGAGGGGCACTGGCGATGTCCGGTTACTGAAGCACAGGGAGAATGGCAAGACTCGTCTGGTTATGCGTCGGGATAAGACTCTCAAAGTCTGCGCCAATCACTACGGTACGTTTTATTGGAAATCTAGAAAGAATCTGCCTAACAAGCGTTCAGTCGTTCCCGATATGAAGCTCTCCCCAAATGTCGGCAGCGATCGCAGCTGGGTGTGGAATGCCGCCGCCGACGTCAGTGAGGGTGAGCCTGAGGCTCAGACACTTGCTATCCGTTTTGCCAACAGCGAGAGTAAGTCGCACAATCTACGCTTACGACCAAATGATACTGATTCGTGCCTCCAGACGCCAACGCTTTCAAGGAGGCTTTCATCAAGGCCCAGCAGGAGAACGAGGCCCTTTTCCAGACAGCTGAGAAGCCTTCCGAGTAATTGTGGGTGTGCGGGAATGTGGATATGCGGTGTTCTTAGCGGGTATATGCGATGAACGTGTGACGGTTAGTAGTGGAGAATGATGGTATTTGACACTGTTATCATACAGCGAGAGATCCCCCGATGACTGCACATATATAGTATGTAGCATCATAAATGGGCCTTTATGATTACGAAGGCTTTCCCCAAAAGATATATGAGAAACGAGGATTTGCTGAAGCAGTGTCTACATGCAAGACTCGGAAAGTTGCACCATTGGGAGTGGTTGACGGTGAAGCTGCTGTCGGTGTCTAGGTAGCGCCCTGTTCCCAACTCCTGTGCTCTTTGTGTAAATACGGTGAAGCTCTACACTCGCCTGAGTGCTCGCCAGGTAACCATTTGGTCCCAATTTGCCCATTTGTGGTTGTTACAATGGTCACCGCTGAATGCTAGCAGACCCACGTGTCAAGATATCGCTTTAACTTACAGTAAAGCGACAATTTCTACAACTTTACACACCGCAATTTAAATACTCTCTTGATATATATCTTAAGAGGATTGCTCTACCTAAGCGGCCGGTTCCTCACACAACTACACGCCAAGCCCGCATCTATCGCAAGCTCGGGCCAACCCGGCATGCGCGCCTTGCGACCTCAACGCAACCTCCGCATCGACGCGCCTCTTCAACAGACTCGTCTATCTCTACAACCTCGCAGAAACCGCCCGATAACTCTCGCCCTCCCGCGATCCAAGATGCCGTCCTCGGACGTACGTATTCTATATTCGCAGCGGCTCCATGTAGCGAAATATCTACTGACGGTTCCTGCAGGTCAAGCGCCAAGTCAAGATCATTACTACCCAGAAGATCATGTACGTCTACCCTACGTTTCCGTTCGCACACCGTACCTCCAGAGAGAGCATCGTACTCTCCTCGCCTCTCCTATTGCCGAACCAGATGGCGGCATGTGGCCAATTACAACCGGGCTAACCACTCTTCTTCTCGCAGCAATGAGCCGTCCCAGGTAGAGGGATTCCCGATGCGGCAATGGAGCATCGAGCTCTGGCTTCTGGACGACAATGGAAACGAGGTGCCGGCCAACGTGTTCGAGAAGGCGGTGTACAACCTCCATCCTTCGTTTGAGAGGGCGAGACAGAGTATGTGGATCCCTTCCCTTCCTCTGGGTTTTGGGTATACTGGGATTGAGCGGTCGGCTTTGCATAGTGGCAGGAGGGGCGAGGAGGGAATGTCAAAGTGAATGTGTAATCGTGGGAGCTGACGCCTTCTAGCCTTCAAGAAACCCCCGTTCCGCATCGAGGAAAAGGGTTGGGGAGAGTTCGACATGACCATCGTGCTCACGGCGGCGCATAAAGGCGGCGAACACACCTTGCACCACGACTTGAACTTCCAGGCAGAGAGATACGAGGCCAAGCACCAGGTGGTGAGTACCAATCGACGCACGGCTTTTGCAAAATGGCATGTGGAACTGACGCTCCGTACAGACCTTCAAGAACCCGAAGCCCGAGTTGCTGGCTCTATTGGCGGAGTCTGGGCCTGCGGGCGAGAATGGCGTGAGGGGCAAGGGCGATGCGGGGAAGAAGAAGGGGAGGAGGGACAAGAATGTAAGAACCCGTACTTCACCGGAGCAAAGGAATCTCCGGCTAACCTGCTCTCCTAGGTCGACATGGAGAAACTCGCAGACGGGCTCCAGCGCCTCACGGAAGACGACTTACTCCACGTCGTGCAACTGATCCACGAGAACAAGACGGCCGATTCGTACACTAAGAATGACGTTGAGAGTGCGTTTTCCGATTCATCCTTATCTCATACCCCTCATGCAAGAGCTACGTGTACTAATGATGGCCTACAGACGGCGAGTTCCACGTCGATCTCTACACCCTCCCCGATTCGCTCGTCAAGATGCTCTGGGAATTCACCTCCGAGAAGATAGGCCTGTAGCACGTGTCTGAGGATGGACCACCCTCTCCTACGAGCCAGGAGGGTATTGAGCATGGGGTGCAACATCTTAGTCTTCACGGCCGACCGGATCGCCCGCAACGTCGCAGGCATGGCCGAGAGCCCAGAATTTGACAAGTCCACCAGCATGGTCGCCTCGATGCAGACCGCTGGGGGGTTAGATGTGTCCTCCTTCCTTCTGTCAGTCTTTTTCTTTTTTACCTTTGACACCTCCTCTCGACAGTGATTTGAAACGGAGCATTGGAGTTTGCGGGGCGCTGGGTCTCTCGTTGCCCAAGAAAAAATCGATTTATGAATAGGTATATTCTTTTTTGGGGGGGGAACAAACACACCTAGGCTATGCGGGTTCTTCTGCTTTCTTTTTCTTCAGGATATTTATTCTTTTGCGTCCCATTTTCTTTCCTTTTTTTCATAGTCATGGAAGGGCTGCGGGGGGATATGTATCTTGCAGGTATGGTATGGATTGATACCGTGGCGGGGGGATGAAATGGGATGGGATTGGCCGGTGAAGGCTTTTCTTTCTAGCTGGGTGGGTAGGTGGGTTAGATTGGGAAGGGGGGCGGGGGGAATAGGATCGGTGTGATGGAGATACCTAGGTAGTAATTCAGGGGTATGATTCATTTGAGGAGGATGCGGAGTGTATGGTGGTGGCATGCTGCATCATGAATTGGGTGCGTCCCGAGAGGTTCAGAATGTGAGCTGTAGATATTGACATATACGGATCATGCTGTCACTTCGCTGGCTCAGATGAAGTGGTCAGTTGCAGTTTCAATTCGCCTTTCATGAGCCTATCTAGCAAGGATTGCAATACGGAGGGTTGGCATGCCCTGATGGAACTGGTACTTGGTTTTACTTGTTCCTTCCGCTCATGAAGAATTCCTGCTTTAATTCTTTTTCTTTTCTGATTTGAATGTAAGACTACCTGCATCAGTGGCCTTATATCTTCCTCCTCTTCGCCCCCGGCGCGCTTCCGACTCCCCCACCGCCGTTGCTGAGCCCTCGCGTTTTACCGGTTTCTGAGGCCGATGAGTCCATGAGATCGTGAGGGCCGTCGAGCGAGGCGCGGAAGAGGCGCTTCACACCACTGGTAGAAGTAGTAGTAGTAGTGCCGTTGACTGCGTGTGATGGCCCGTTTGCAATATTGCTTCGGGCACCGTTGATGTTACCGTTGTTGGGAGGACTCGCATGCCCGTTTCTCACACCATCGTCTGCCCTCGTGGTTGAGCTCGGCCGCGATGGCGAAGGCGATGGCGAAGGCGAGGGCGAGGGCTTCTCCCCTCTGGGATGAAATCGTTCCTGCTGCGGGCTGGAGAATTTGATGCGCTTCCTCCTGCCGATGTCTGCGCCTGTTTCTGTGTCTGTATCCGTTTCCCTCTTCCTTTGCCTCTGCCTTTCCCTCTCGCTTTCCCTTTCCCCTTGGCTTTGGTCTTCCCTCCCGGTGGTATATTGTTCGTTTTCCGCCTCATTTCCCCCTCCCTCTCCTCCTTCCCTTCCTCCCTCCGCCCCAGCGCCAGCGCTAGCATTCCCTGCCTCATTTTCCAGAGAGTCTACCTCCTCCCACTTCCTCTTCACGCTCGTCCTCGGCGCCGCGCCGAGCTGTCGCAAGCGGGTGAGCGCGAGACGCCGGTTTACTTCGTCGGTGACGTCGATGTAGGCGATTTCGTACGCAGCAGGGGCATGATCATCATCATCATCATCATCATCATCATCATCATCATCATCATCATCATCATCATCATCATCATCATCATCATCATCATCGCCGTTGCTGTTGCTGTTTTTGTTGCTGTTGTTGTTGGCGTTCCCGTCGGCATAGTCTGCAGGTACGTCCGGGTGTATCGATTCAGCCGGAACGCGCGTAGAGGATGTGTGTCTTGCGTGTGTAGGCGCGGATTCGATACTGAGACGCTGGTCGCTCCTGAGGGGTTTGCGTGGGTGGGTTGGATGGGGGTGCTGCGCTGCGTGATCTTTCTCTTCTGCTTCTTCTTGTTCTTGTTCTTGTTCTTGTTCTTGTTCTTCTTCTTGTTCTTCTTCTTGTTCTTCTTCTTGTTCTTGCTCCTGTGCTCTCCAGGCGTCGTCGGAGAGAGCTTGCGCGGCGTCCAGCGCTTCGATGGCTTGGATGTCGCGCTTCCTCGTCCCGTTCGTTCTCTTCGTCGCCATACTCCCGTCGTTCTTCTTGCTGCTCTTCTTCCACCCCGTCTCCCTGGCGCCAACCCTCCCCCTCAGCCGACCCAACCCCTCACACAGCTTCCCCGCCATGCCCTTCAGAGCGCTGAGTTCGCGAGCGAGCCACTCGAGATCTACATCTCCACCTCCACCTCCATTGCCATCTCCATCCCCACCTCCATCTATAGCATTCCCATTCCCTCCTCCATCTCCTTCTCCTGCTTTGCGACTAGTTCGTGGAAGGCGAGATGCCGCATCGATGCCGTTGAGCTTGTTGACCGCGTCGAGCGAGTCCGTCAGGAAGGCGAGTGTGGACGTGAGGGAGGCGAGGTGCGTTGTCAGTGTCTGTGCGGTGGGATTAGTTATTACATCCTTGTGGAGAAAGAAGGACAGAAGGGTGCGGTGCGGGAACCAGGACGCGCGGAGGAAGGGTTAAATATTTGGAGGAGGAAATAGGAGGGAATTATGAGAGAGGAGAGACGTACCTCAACATCCAGAATCGGCGCCTCGGCCTCCGTCGTCGGCCGTGCCGCCATAATGTCTGCTTCCCAATGTCTTCTCTCTAATTGCCGATTCACGCCCAAGTTCGATCCTCTCACACCACTCCAGGCGCCAAACTCCCCTCGCCAAGATCCTGGAAGCCGTAACTGTGTGCAGTGTTTATTGTTGCTTGTATCGTATATCACGCCCGTGATACACGTATATCTTAGAGGTACGGTGTTGTTGGATAGCTGGAGCTAGAGCCACAGGTTCGTTCCGACGAAGATCCGAGTTGAAGCATTTCCGAAAACGGGAATCCGATTCCGTGCGTGCGGAATTATCGGAATGGGGGTTCCGAAGAGATGGGAGTTTACATACCCTTCAACCTGGGATACTTAGTAGCAGTGTACACATACTAGCTAGCACGTTCTTGCATCATTTCCCAGCAAGGCAAAAGAAAATCATTTCATTCATGCTAACAATCAAAGTCTCGCGATATACGAGACATCTCCCAGATCAAGCCACCCTCCGACCACTTGGATCCAACAACCACACTCAGCAGCATTGAAGGCTCTCCCATCACAATCCCAACCCTCTAATCCCCTCCTCCACCCTCCCCACCACATCCTCCAACAGCGCCAAATCCCCCCTCGAACCCCTCACCCCATCCTCCCCCTCTGCCAGCGCCAACTCGCCGCCTTCCTCCAGACTCGCCCTAAACCTCCCAATGGCCTCCTTCAACGGCCTCAGGTACCCCTCCACCATATTGCTCCCCCGATGCAATCCCTCAATATCCAGATTCGCATGCAGCATTTTGGCGGTCAGAAGGAGGTAATAGAAATTCAGGGTAGCCAGGAAGAAGCCCAGCTCGGAGCGGAATGCCATCCACGACTCGGAGATTTCGACCGACGAGTGGAACGTCGCGGTGAGGTCGGGGAAGAGGAATGGGGAGAGCGTGGAGAGGGCAACAGGGGTGGAGAAGATGGACTCGGATTCGGAGGGCGGTTCGGGTGCGGGCTCCTTGGTGGAGGAGGAAGATGGGTCGGTGTGGTCGTGGTCGTGAGAGTGCTGAGGCATATTGGCTTCTAGGGTCTCGCCCTTGAGCCAGCCTACTGCACTGGCTTTGAGATTCTCATAGGGGCAGTGCTCCAGCGTGTCGCGGATGAATGTCAGGCGGACGATGTCGGAGGGGTGGGAACGGAGGACCGTGGAGGTGAGGTAGTGTGCTTGGTAGCGGAGGCTCGGAGAGGCGGTGTTGGCCGATATGAGCGACATGGTCTGCAGGTACTGGCAAAAATGCTCGTCGTCTCTGGGCTCGCCGATCTCGTTGTGCTGAAGGGCGATGAGACCGAGGGCGAGGACAGCGTCTAGGAGTGCTTCTGGCTCGAGGCCGACGGTCTGGAGTCCAGCTGTGCCGATGAAGTTTTTTAAGATTTGCGCATGCGAGGGGAATATCGTCAAGGCACTCTCCTCGCTTGAGCTGGCAGAAGGATAAAGTTCCCTCTTAACAAGCCGTGCCGTATACAAAAACAACGCACCCGTCTTCGACAGCGGAATGTCCGCAGCACTGGCCGGTGGCTCGTCCTCGCGTCCAGGGGTGCCTTGCTTCTCCTTCTCCGGATCTAGGATAAGCTCGCTGAGTTCTCTGCTAGTGATACCCAGATCTTGCGCCATCGCAACCAGCTGTCCCACGATAGCCGATCTTGATTTCAGTCCCTCTTCCTGCGCAAAACGCTCCGCGTATGTAGACTTGCTAGGGACTACACGGTGGGGTTCATACTTCTCCATGAGTCTGCTTGCCCAAGCCAACCCGGGAACATCGCTCTCCGACGAAAGAGATAGCATGTAGTCCTCCAGGATATGCGTGATGAAAGCTTGCAGCAGCCTGTTCACAAGGGTATCTTCTTCGACCTCAGGGGGTTCGCTGTGCGCCTCCGGATCAGGCTCGGAGCGCGTGCCATCCGTCCTGAGTATATCCGCGGTGCTTGTGCGAGGTGGAAGATGCGGCCTCTTAGTCCCCGACAGCGTATTCACGAACTTGACGACAGCATGCGTAAGCTCGTCATTGTGATGTCTCGCTTTGCTGTACGCCGAAAGTACAGCCTGCAGGCTCGTTGAAAGGAATCGACTGGGATACTTCGTCTTGATGCGGCCATGCAACGTAGACAGTAACGCGAGTAGTGCCTGGAACTTGAGCACGGAATGCGGCGGAGGCGTTGACGGCGTCTGCGCAGGGGAACTGCTGGACTCTCCTACGGCAATGGAATCGGTGCCTGGGCCTGCCTCTGCCTGTGTATCCTGTTCTTCATCCGAGTCTCTCTCATCTTCGTCAAAGTCCAACAATCTTAGAGGCTCGGTGACCTTCAGTATACATTCCCTCGGATTGCCTTTCGCAGCAATATCCTCCAGGCACTCTTCTGAAGCAGGTAACAGAGGGAGAAGCAAGTGTATTAAATCCCAGCCAATGTTTGTAGTCAACTCCGTATCCTGCAGCACTTCGTGAAGCACAGGTAGGTTATCCTCAGTGAGGTTGTATTCCACGACCGTTAGGTAGGTCAGATAGTCCGTTGCAGGAGGGCGCGCATCCAACAGAGGATTACCAGTTTTACTTTCTTCAGCCATACTATGAGTCGTCTGCTTCGGAAATCAAAAGTGAAAGTAGAATTCAATGGACCTGTCGCTTGTCTCCGCACATCAGCGCCTGGGAGCTGGTGGGAGCTGGGCAACCTTGGAAGGCACTGACGCAATGTCCCGCACTAGTCCCAAACCTGTCCTAGCGCAAAATCCATCCGTGGTCGCGCCAAGCCCAACACTCAATGTCCAGCGGTATCTTAACAACACAAACGGAGACAAAGTCTCACCCCACGCTCCCTCAGCACACGATGGAAGAAAAAGACGAAGGAGGACATGCCGAGCCGCTTGACCTAGTGCGCCTGTGTCTCGACGAGGTCGTCGTCGTGAGACTGCGGGGGAACCGCGAACTGAAGGGACGCCTGCATGTACGAATCTAACTATGCGATTCTGCTGTGGTATACGAGCTAATTGGCGCGAAATAGGCATACGACAGTCATTGCAATCTTGTGCTCGGAGAAGTGGAGGAGACGATATATATTGTGGAGGAAGAGGAGGAGGATGAGCAGTCGCACGTACGGGTCAGTGGAATCGCGGCATGAGGCAGATCCATACTGATGGGATGCGCAGATAGTGAAGAAGCAGTCGGAGATGCTCTTTGTCCGAGGTAGGTGCTGTGTGGATGGTTAATGTCTGCCAGGCTGACGGTTGTAGGCGATTCGGTTGTGTTGATAGCACCTGCCGAAGGGATTCAGGACTTGCGCAGTTAAGGGCATGGGATGTTGCGTGTGCACCTTACGTTGTGAGGAGCCCTCGCCAGGGGATCAGGAATGGGTCAGAGGCACGAGGAGGACTGGATGCGCGAGACACTCGCGAAGCTTCTATGGACGGAAGCGATCGGAAAATCAGCCGTCGCACCGTCGGCGATCCAAGGCAAGCCGATGAGATGGGCACTTCGCAGTTTCGATTGATACCACAGCCAGGCGGATGAATGAAAGGACTCGCCGTTCTGACGTGCAAAGATGCATTTTGTCTATGATCATCCTCCCAAAACCAGGCTAGGTCTCCCATAGCATGCCAGCCTCCATAGAAAAACGGTGCAAAACAACGACTGAAGGCTACACAAAAGAAAAGTGAGGGTAATTAAGTAATGTTCATGATTCATTTCGTCGTGAATCCCGCGCTCCTGTCTCCATCGTTCCGCTCAATGACACAAGGAAATATTGGAGACGTCCCAGTGTTGAGAGCACTCGAGCTCCCCATCGCCTGTTACTCCGACCACGCAAAGAATTAAAGTGGAAAAGTGGGCTCCAGGGGATTGGCCCTCGATCGAAATGCACTGTGCGCCTGATGAGCTCTTCGCACATGGATGGACTCGCCGGAGCGCCGTGAGTCTGTGAACAATAAACAAGAATGGAAAGAGGTTTGACGTCCGAAGTGATGTTGGTCGCCTAGTGTTGGGAGTTCGCAAATGTCCGTCTGCTGGTGCACTCCTAGAAGAGAATAACTCCTATGAAAATGTCAACGTCGTGAAGTGGGTTTTTCCATGGTATGGATGGTATCTACTTCCGCTTCCAGATCAAGCCATGCCCCGCAAAGCTGTCCCTGGAGGCAAAGGGGAGCTGGAAACCCTTCGCAAGTTCGGTCTCGACGAAGATGGAAGCACGTTTGTAGCGTTTTTCGGTATACTTGTCGAAAATCGCCCCATGATGCTTCCGAGGGTTGTCGCAACATTCAAGTATGACCATGACCAACTGACGAAGCTGCTGTAGGGTATAGCCGGAATAATGTACGTGGCTTTGAGTCTGTTTGCTAGTCAGCAGCATGTTCACGGAGAGCGGAAAGCAGACTAACCCAGTCGCCCTTCTTGAGCATCAGTCGAGCGAGACAGTGCGCTCCGGCTGCCAGAAAACTCGGCGTGCAACCGACAAAGCGCTCATCCATTATAGTGAGCTCAAGGAAATACTTTGCGAGTGTACGTGTCTCCAGGTCATATTCGTCGGCCTTGCTGATCCTTCTGAGAAAACTCATCGGCCCGGGCCAACCCAGCTCAAAGTTTAGCATGCTAAGCATAAACCTTTCGGCCTTCAGGATCTCATCGATCGTGTACGCATTGTCGACCATGTAAACCATCTCCTGAACAGAGGGGCACTGAATTTCCTCATACTTGGCGGCAAGGAACAGAGCAGTAGCGCCCACGAGCTGAAGCTTGCCCAGGGACACAACCTTGCAGGAGAGAAAACGGTCGACGTAATTGACGCTGAGGAACAACGTCTCAGGCAAGAGTGCGAAACGATTGTGAACTTGAACAAGCCAATCCATCAGAACTGAACGCATCGACCATTGTATCTCGGCTTGATGGTCCATATAAGACGCATTGGGAGTCATGCGGTCCTGTGTTTGAATTAGCTATGTGGTGGTGGAGAACCCACAGCTGCTCACCTCTAGAGTACGCATGTACTCGAAAATTTCATCTCCGTATTCTGCAACCATCGAAATGTCCCATTGCTCATCCTCGATATCTTCCACTGTTTTATGCGCCTCTACGTACTGCTTAGCAGCTTCCAGCTCTCGCTGCGACTTGGCCGTAACCCTGGGAGCAAGGACCAACGTAACACCGCCGGTGGTATTGTCGCCTCGAGAACGCAGAGATCGAGCAGTGGTGTATCCATCTGCGTCATAGTACTCTTCTTCGTCATCCTCATCCCAGTATTCCTCTTGGTCTAAGCGAGTTACGGCGTGGGCCTGAGTGACTTCGTCTTTACGATCGTGATCGGCCGGCTCTACTTGCTCTTCAAGCGCATCCAGATATTCATATTGCTCTGTGACCTCAACTTGAACAGCCATTACCTTGGCCTGCTGCTGAATGGTGGAAGCCTTCGTGACGACAGACGCATGCTTTGGTTCAGGGTAAGCGGGCACGTCTGGGATAGGCTGTTGCGCAAGCTGCTGAGCGAGTGGCTCTATGTAGGGCACTTTTGGAAGTGCCTGATGCAATGGCTCCTCCTCCACTGCCTCTACCGCCACTGGTCCGTGTTCGAGGTAAGATTTCGCCTTCGAATGGCCGCCCACAGGTTTACGCGTCCCATCGAGGAGATGAGCAACTTCGACGGGAAAACTTGCAATGTCTACGACAGGATCACAACGCTCCTTGAAAATCGTGGTCGGTTTCTTGTTCAAGGTTTTGCGGATGGGGGCCGATGTGATGCCATCGAAAGCCTCAGGTGCTATGTGCTTGGGGATCGGTGGAACAGCCGTTGTAATGATGGACGCGTTCATCTTCGACGCGTTGACTCCCAGAGGCCTCTGCGGTGCTTTGAGGAGAGTGGCTGACTTCTGTACCTCCTTTGCTGGGACGACAGCGGGGTCCTTGAGCACTTCGAGTTGACTACTCTTGCTTGGCAGATGGATGTCATGCTTGGTCAACGGCTGCCTCAGTGTGTTGCTGACATCTGCAAAAGCCGTGCGCTTTGCCGGCGCCGCCTTGATGCCTTTCCATGGCTCGAGCGTTCCGATTAGGGCTGGTGTAGACTTGTTGCGGTGGTGAATGACCTTTCCGGCAACGCCTTGGGGAGGCGCATTCTCGTCGTTGATGCGGACACATCGAAGGGGACGCTGCGGCTGATAGTATTTTGGTAAGCAATTGCAAACGGACGCGCTCAGGATACATGAAGGGGGGCTGTATGGTTGAATCGTATCGGGCCGTTTACAAGTGATGCTCATGCTGAATAGAGAGGACTAAGGGAAAACATGGAGAGAGAAAAACGTACCCTTGCGTCCATGTCGCAATAGCTGAGCGGCAAAAGTACGTCCAGAGGGCTGAAGAAGGCTCAACGTCGTGTTGCGCAAAGAAAAACAGAGTGCCCAGCAATAAGCAGGAAGAGCGGATGCCCAATGACGGAGGCGCTAGAGTTGAGAGGGCGAGATAAGGAAATTCTCCATCTAAGTTGGCAGCGAAGAAATGCGCGGGCAGATATCGATCGGTAAACACGAGGGAGGATGGTGTTTGTGGTAGTCGTCGAAAGCGGCGCCGGAGCAGAGATAGTAGGGCTGCTGGATGGTGTTGTTTACAGTACGAGGTCGCGCCTCGTCAAGCCACAGTAAGCAGTCGGGCCTGGGGGCTTGGGCTAATGTTAGGAGGGTGGCGCTAGTGCGATTGCGGCAACCGCCCGTTGCTCGGCAACGACTACTAAAATGACGTAGAGCTCCCGTCGCGTTTCCCATTCTGTTACGGGGTTGGCAACGACAGCAAACCGCAGCGCACCCTTCACTCTGGGCAAGAATAAAATATCTGCGCACTCTTTCTATGCAACGAAGAATCATTTGCGACTCCGAAAACAAATGCGCCGTACTGGCAATGGGGTGTCCTGCGAAGGTTTACCAAGACACGCCTTCTTCACGCGAAAGACTTGGCGGAAACGCGCACTCACGTGATTTTGAAGGGTTTCGTTCCACAACCGGTACGCTCAATCAAAACACCATCAATCGCCATGCCAAATCGTCTGCAGGCACCGGCGACCATGTTTTCGACCTGGCCGCTCCTCTCGTGCTTGCGTCGGGGACTGGCGACCCTCGGCACGGCCTGGAACCCGCTCTGCCTATCGCCGCAGCACAGCGCAGCGCACCCGCAAAAGTCAAAACCCCACCCGGCTCTGCCTACCAGCACTTTGTGAAAAGGCACGTAGGTACAACAACGCCATGTTGCCCTTTCTGCTCAATAGTCTGGTTGAGCGACGCTAATAATCCCCCGCAGAGCGCCTGGACCCTCGTTTGTGGCTGCTGGCTTTGTCTGCTGCGGCGCCGGACATTTTCGAATTGCTGGCTCCTTCACCGACACGCAGCTGCATCATCCGTGGCCGGGTGACGAGATCATGCTGCGCCCGCTCTAAGACCCGCCCCGTTGCGTAATGGCAGGGTGAGCGCGCTGCGGATTGCATTTCGGATTGTCATTCTAGGGCATAACTTGAGAACGTATTGAGTACAGTCTTGCGCCGCCTCAAAAAGGCCTCGTCTCGCAACCCTCTTGGAAGAGGCGTGGGTGCGGGGGGCATCATATGTAGTGGCGTCGTGCGAGGCAATTGGGTTGCACCACGCTCAAAACCCTTCTCTGGCATTGCGCGCACAGTCGGGCGCAATGTATGCTCTCTTTTCCATTTCACAGATCAGTAGGGTAACGCTTGCGTTCTCAATATCTGGTGGATGGTGATCAGTGCTCAAGATCTCTGGTTGCACAAGACGTCTCGGTGCTCTTCTACCTACAACCAACCGCCACTCGCCGTCTCCTGCAACTGCAGCTTGCGTGCGATTAGACACGAGGAGACACTGCCTTTTCGTGGGTTACTTACAAACATGCGGCTGACCTGGCGCCGGGGGTGGAGGGGTTTGCACTAGGGTGGCAGAGTGGAGGGTGGTACCGTTCAGTTCGCATGTCGTGAGCACCTTGCGCCAGACAGCAAAAGGCACAAGCGCAATTGGCTCCGAATGCTCTCTTCTGGGCGGCTGTCGACAAGACAGGCAGGATGCGGTAAAAAGGTGTGCGATTCCTCTTGCGCTGGAGCTTGTCTCGAGCCCAGCTTGGACGAAGAGTGGCCCACCTCATTGGCCCCAGCATATGCGCCGGAGTCTGGTTCAGTTTCGACCACGACTGCCATGCATCCTCCTGCCCTGATCTTTCCATTGTGAGTACCTTAGTGAAGGCATTGGGGCGGGGCGCCTCGTAAACAGTCTTTGGGTGCCACAGGACGCCTGCTTCTCCATGAGCCATGGCTTGATATTGAGGTGTGTTGCGTTCCAGGAAGCGCCTCGGGAGGGAAAGGCGCATTCGCTGGCACACAACCAGACGGCCGAAACCAACGGTCTTTTGGCTTGGAATCTGTTACCAGATAGGTATTCTTCTAGGAGAAGTGGGTGCGCAACCAGTTTTCGCCTGGATCGTGCCAATAAGGTACAACCCGTGAATCAAAGCAGAAGTGCAGGCGCTTTGAGCGTCCGAAGGGAATAGAGTCCAGACAAGATGGAAACCTGCCTAAAGCCCTAATTCTCTGTAATAATATTGGGATTTTTTGAGCACGAGCAGTGTCGCTGCGTCGGTGTGAGGCAGCGGGCCCGTAACGTACCTATGTAGTGGGTCGTTGGTCACCCTCTCCGCATCGTTTCCTCGCACCTTAAACTTCGCTAGCAGGCCGACGTCCAACCCTCCTCCTCCCCATCCCTCCACCGCTCGCACCACCACACATATCACCACGGTTTCCGGTAAGTTCCCCCTGCTGTAGTGCCATCGAGAAGCCGTCAGAAGCGTTGGCTTCGCACTTCGGCTTCCCCATCTCGACCTCTGCATGTCGACTTCGGATGGCACCTCTGACCTGGCTGCACAGTCGAATCGTGCCAGACCGGATCGCTTCGCATTCTTGAGCCGCACCACGCTCTCCTCGCCTTTACACAGGTCACCAGTAAGTAACTCATCTCTCCCTCCCGGCGACCAGACTTCCCCTCTTCGCAGCCCTCGGACTGCATCATTGAACCATCAGCGCGGGGACGCTGTGGTCTTCCATGGACATCCATGCCCCGAACCTCGCCCACCAGAAACACCCCTCTTTCACAAGCAATCCGATCTCGCACGACTTGAACGCACATTGTTTGGATCCATCGCATCGAACCTGCTAACACAACTGCTCAGCACATCGGTCGCTCGACAATCCTTCCTGCCGCCCTCCTCCCACGTCCATCCGACGACCGGCCCTTGCGACACCAGCGTGACTACGCCTGGCACCCTCAACCTGATCGCATCCTCGTCGCGGAGGTCCTATAAACAAACACCGTTACCAGCGACTGTGGGATACAATCTCATCGTCGCTGGCACAGAGTAGCAACTCGTTTGCTCATCCCACCCTGACGGCGGCTGGCCCTGCTCCAGCAGACCACGACGACATGTCAGCGAAACCCACCGCTCAGAACAACATGGCTCTATCGGCGGGTAATCCTGCCATGGATTATGCGCTCCCGAGCACTGAATCGGTCTCGCCCACAAAGCAGCCCAGCAAGCGGGTGTCATTCAAGCTCCATTCCCCGTACAAGGGCCGCTTCCCCCTGCGCGTCAACATTTACCCTCATGACTCGACCGAACAAATAATATCGACTGTCAAGGGCTTCTATGGGCTGTACGTCCAAGACGGTGTCGTTCTCGAGGACACCGAGGGCAACAGCTTGATCGCAAGCTATGACAACTTCACCGACAATATGACTGTGCATGTCTGCGTCATTAATGCTGCGGGCTCCGAGTACGCACAACGACGCCCAGTCGCATCCAAGGCTCGGGCAATAGGCTCCCTTGGTAGCTTTGGTGAACCGAACGGCGAAGCCGTCCTCAGCGACAGCGACGGCGGAGGCGTTTCTGTCACGAGCTCTCGTCGTGGCAAGAAGGAATCGGTCGCCTCTGCCGACATCAATGTAGACAATATTGTCCGACATGGTCGCCGCAAGCAGGCCAACCTGTTTGACAGTTCAGTAGGTCTACATATCTTGGAAATGGATCGCTTGACGCTAACATATGGACTCCACGTAGGAACTGCCACTCTTCGAACCGGCTCAGGTCGCAATGTCCACCTCTTCCACGGCCTCACCACAGAAGATGATGCATGGCCAGAGCGCCCCTTCGCCGTATCTGTTCTCCAGTCAGCAACCGCATGCTCTCCAACACAATCAGCGCTCGCCCCAGAGCAATGGGCTCAATGAGAGCGCCTTATATACTGGTTTGGCCACGCCATATACAAACTCGAACAGTGCGCGAACATTTCGGGCCCGCGCACGCAGCTCGGGCCAGTACGGTTCCGCTATGAACAGCGGGACATGCTTCCCAACACCGGACAATACCAATGGTGGTGATACCATGTCGGACGAGGATCTCGCTCGCCAACTCATTCGCCTCAGCGAGCATGGACGCACATCCACCAGTACGATGGGCGATGCCTTCAGCAAGGCGGACGTATCTTCTGACAGCGATGATGACGATGACAGCAGCGATGATGGCCGCGAGCTTCCTCCCCTTCCCTATGCTGCACCACATGAGAATGGGACGGACGCGGAGGCAGAGCATCGCTACGCCCGGCCCAGCGTTGAGGGTCACGAGGATAAGCACATTGATTCCTTGAAGGATGAGAGTGACGGCATTGTGAAAAAGTACCAAAAGACCATGAAGGGTCGTCAGGCGGTGCCGACCAAGTCAGACAAGGCAGCAAGACCGCGCTCCCTTTCCAAGGCAAAAGCGAAGCCTTCAAGTGTGCCGAATCCACCCATTTCGCCAACCAGCCTACCGTCGATGTCACGCAAGCCCTCAACTGCATCGCTGCAGTTCTCCCCCTTGGCGGCCGACGAGGAAGATCTGTCCAGCAAACCCAGATGCCAGCGCTGCCGCAAGAGCAAGAAGGGCTGTGACAGGCAGCGGCCGTGCCAGCGGTGCAAAGACGCCGGAATTGGTATTGAGGGGTGCATCAGCGAAGACGAGGGCAACGGCCGCAAGGGTAGATACGGACGTCACATGGGCGTTCCCGTCAAGAAGTCCAACCTGGATACAGACGTCTCCACGGGCCAGGAGGCCATCTCTCCAACTTCTATGGCGGCCCCGCAGTTACCCCTCACCGTTGTCAACGACAAGAACAAGAAGAGGAAGAGATGAGAGCGTTATGTCGAAGCCCCCTTTCAACTGCGTGGTGTGCCCGAATGCCTGAGGCCTCCTCGAGTTCCGTATTTCTATCCACCGCTTATGACATGCTTACCTCGATGCCTGATTTCATCATCCCGTATGGTTTCTAATCCTTCTGTTGGTCCCCTATCAATTTGTTGAAGCTGGTTCAATCAAGCAAGAGCTACTTGGATACTCTTGCATCGAGGCTATCTCTCATCACGTCTCCGTCTGGAGAGGCTGGCCAAAGCCTCTCTTCACGTGTCTTTTTTCTTTTTTTCTTACATGGGAAAATTCACCTAGACGGCTGTATCTCTTTGGCGTTCCAAGGCGGATGGGGAGGGGGGCGCCTGGTTGTTCACACTCTCTCCTTTTCTGTTGTTGCGTTTTTTCGAGATTTTTTGGGGGAGAATAGTGGTCTGCTACTTGGCCGATAGGGATATGGGGGTTGTGAGTGTGGGTTTTTATCTCCTTATCTGGCTTTGGGAGTCGTGCGAGTTTTTTTACCGTTTAGTGGACAATTAATGATTTACTTTGATTTCAAGGGTTGTGAGATGGTGAGGGAGAGTATGGTGAGGAACAAAGAGGCACATAAGTACAGTAGGTGATGCAGTCGCATGCCCAAACGGCTTAGCGCGCGGCTAGAACGGCTTAGTGCAAAGGTCTGGTACTTAAGCACGGGCGCGGGGAGGCGGGAGTGCTCCCTTGCGATGCGCTAAGTGCGCCAATCATTGCTTGCTTTATTACCCCATGTGGCTGTGCAATCGCATTAGGGCTGGGAATAACAGCATATCGACAAAACCAACTTAGGATCATCGGAGAGGTGCTGGTAGGACTCGACTTGAAGCCTTTCGTCGCTGGTCCACGTAAACAGCCGATTCGTTTCAGCGCCGAAACCGCTCGACATATAGCTATCATTCAAGGTCGAGATGCGGTACATATCGTTAGTCATGCATGGTCCAGTCGTCCTTCCTGATTATTGCTTGTATGTGATGAACCAGTCATGTCGTGTCGTTTTGGTGATTGGGAGCGGTTTGGTATGTATGTATGTACCTTGGTCGATTGTGGTAGCAAGGCGGGGTGGGGGTGGGGTTGTGTTGCTGTTGAATAAGATGTGGGATGATATGGGGGACTGCTGTACGTGGTCATCATGGGCATGGTGTTAGTGGACGGGAGGTTGGGATTGCAGCTACGGATCTAGTCGTTGATGAATGCTGCAGATTCCTTGTACCTAGTCGATAGATTCAGGCCGTAGCATTATTTCCGGTGTTTTAACAGTAGGCTTATGAGCTTGGATGCATCTTGCGAGATATATCCCCTCTTGCATATAGCTCCGCTCAGCTATAGCTTCGGTTTCTAAGAGGATAAAGTGCGCCTGAGGATTTATAAAACTGTAAGCTTAACGGGTAGAAGCTACGCGAGAGCAGGAGCGCGGGGGAGAGACAGGAGTACTCGCGCCAGATTACGAATGCGTGCGGCTGGTATAACTCTGGGTGGTACACGTACTTTAACGATTTCTGGAGCTATGGATATGATAGGGGACGATTCTTCTGCGGACAGTGTGTCTAAGGGTTTGTCAAGTGGTTGGGATAGGGTCCAGGGAGGAGGGGCGCAAAATCTTTACGGGAGACGCTGACTGGCTTTGGCCGATGGATTATCGACATGGACATGGCATCGCGTTTGTCTCTGCTCTCTTCTCGTCTGGGCAGTTCATGAAGACCTCGATTTTGAGACGTGTGGAAAAGTAGACGGTCAGCCTGAGGCGGTCAAGCATTCACTAAAGGAGCAGTTCACAGTAGTACTGAACTGTGCGGTTAATATAAATCACTATTCTCTGAATATCAATGAGCTTCTTTTCTTTGCATGTGACAGCTCCGGTCTGATTATAACCTGCAATTGAGTGGTGGTCGTGTTTGAGTGCTGGTGAGGTGCAAGCCCGAAACGGCTTAGCGCAAGGGTCCACAAAAACGGCGGCTCCGGGAATGCGGCGCGCCCCGCGCCAACTGCGCCAGTCATTGCTTGTGCCTTGTGGCGCTAACTTAAGGCTACCGTCCGCAATCTTCGCCCAGTCCATCTCACTGCCTGCCGGCTTTGCTCTCTGCGCTCACTCCTAGCGGTGCTGACTGGTTTCCATGCGCTCGTTGCCCCACCGTGCCTCCATCACGGGCATGACACCTACTCTCGTTTTGCACTCCGCAGCACTTCAACCCGCCGCTGGCTGAATGCCATTCCATCGTTAACACCACCAGCACCCAGCAAACCACCATGGCGGACCCCGCGCCACCGTCTGTGAGCTCAATCAAATCGCGCATTGCCGCATTGAATCTCGAGGAGGTTCACACCCCATCACCGGGCCTTCGACCAGCGTACACGTACGAGCACGCTACCACGGGAAAGAAAAAACCTCCACCACCCCCACCACCGGCTCAGCGGCCTGCGGCACAGCGTCGCGGGGAGACTGCCAACAACCCTCCCCTCGTAAACAATGTGACTACATCGAGTGGCCAACGGGGCAACGAGCCAGTCCAACCGTCCGCAGAAACACCGAAGATATCGCCTGCCCTTCCGCCTCGACTTCCTCCCCGCCCAAGTCCAAAGACGGCCCCGAGCCTGCCGCCTCGCAAGTCCTCCGAGCAGAGTATCAAGAGACGGGAGTCCAATGAATCTATATCTACGATAACGTCGATCGGGTCTGCGAGGACAAGTCTGAGTGCCACATCCACTGGCGGGACGAAGTATCACATCCGAGCACCTGCCTACGATCCTGCAAAACTGCCTCCTCTGCCTGCGAAGAAGAACACGGAAGAAGAGAAAGGGAGCGCAACGTTGAGGGCGATGAAGTCGAAAACCAGTGTAGTGGCTGATAGGAGTCTACCCCCGCAGCTACCTGCGCGGCCCCCACTCCCTGCGAGAAGGGAGTCACAGGCCCAGGAACCAACGCAGAGCCAGCAAAGACGTATCGTGGCTCCACCACTACCTCGTTCGGCACTGTCGTTTGCGCTTAACAAAAGTACGGAAGTGCCTCCGCCTCTTCCTGCTAACCGGCCCTCTCCTACCCCTGATCCACAGCCAGGCGCACCTCCTCCTATTCCCTTGGGATCGCGCCCAAATCTACAGGCTATAATGGCATCTAAACCGAAACCTGGAGCAACCCCAAGCTCATGCCTATGGTGCCGCGACTTTTCAGCGCCGGACGCTCACGCAGCACAATATCCACGAGAACAGCTTCCAGGTGCAGACGTAGCATGGCTTGCGACACAATTGACGAGCCCCTTCCCATCCGCCACCGACAAGGCGCGCGCCATCTTCACCTGGCTACACCACAACATCGACTACGACGTCCACTCGTACTACAGCGGCAACTGCACGCGCTCCACGCCCGAAAACACCATGACGAGCGGCCTCGCCGTCTGCGAAGGCTACGCCGGCCTCTTCGCCGCCCTAGCGCTCAAATCCGGCCTCGAAGCCGTCGTCGTCGGGGGCCACGGTAAAGGCGTCGGCTACAAGCCGCTCAAACCGGGCGAACCCCTACCGGAATTCAAACCGAGCGGCCACGCATGGAACGCCGTGCGCATCGACAACGGCGAGTGGAAGCTGCTCGATGCGTGCTGGGGCGCTGGCAGCGTGTGCGGGACCTACAAGCGAGACTTCAAGGCGTACTGGTTCGAGATGGACAACAATGAGTTTGGGTTCAGCCATTTCCCGGAGAATCCGAATTATTTCTTCCGGACGGATGGGCGGGCGGCGTATTCGTGGGAGGAGTACTGGGGCGAAGGGGAGAGGTTGACCGTGTACGGGCCTGCGACGCCGAATCATGGTATCTCCGCGAGGTCTTTCCAGCCACCAGGGAAGTATATCCGCATCCATGATCAGGCTGCGGGACCGGTGGTAAGGTTCCAGTTTTCGAGCGTGTGTCCGCATTGGGATGGTGAGAGACATGGGAAAGGGAAGCCGTATGTCATGATTTTGCACGTTGGTGGACGGGACGGGAGAAACACGGATTACGTTCCTTTTCAGACGGATGGGAGGGTCTGGTGGGTCGATGTCCAGCGGACGGAGCTGGGGGCTGCTGGGCAGAAGGTTAGTGTTTTTGCGGTTACGACGGTCGAGGGCAGGGATGCGAGGGGGTTGGGGTATGAGGGGTATTTGAGCAAGAAGGGAAGGTGTGCGATGGGGTTTGAGGGCGTGGCCATGTGGGAGCTTGTTGTATAGGGTCTGGAAGATGAGGGACTTGGATTTGGATTTGGATTTGGGATGGGAATGAGGACGCGCATGTAATTACGATGGATACCCGGGACTTGGATGGTTGCATTTTTTTCTCCTTCTCAATGATAGCAATGGTGTCTACTCGTTTCCGCTGAATTGGGGAGAGTATTCTTTGGTAGCCCGATGCTCGAGTATCCCTCTTCGTGTCTCCTTGTGAATGTCAACTCAGATCTAATGCTGGCTCCGTTTGATATGCACCCTCGACGCCTAACCATCCTCAACGCCAAACGCCTCCCTATTCCAGCTTAATCTCCTGCCCACTGAACCCGTGCACATGCATGAAGTTCGCCCGCAGCGGCGTCACACTCGTGTAGCCCTGAGCGACGGCCCACCCGTCGTTGCCCGGCGCGCTCTCCTCCACACTCTGATACACATCCTTGAACTGCGGCGCCCAGTGGAAGTGCTTATGCGTGTAGCGTATGTGCTTCTCAGCTCCCTCCCGTGCATCCTCCTCCTCCTCACGTATCCGCTCCTCTTCCTCCGTAGCCGTACCATCCGGACGCGCCGTCTCATTCCCATCTCCACTCCCCGTCCCATTCAACTTCCTCTCCCTACTCCTCGACCTCACGAGCTCCAGCCTCCCCTGCTCCACCTCCTCCCTTCTCACATCCTCCTCCGCCTCCTCAGCACTCTCACACTCCAGAACCGGCACCTCGACCGCCTGGAAGCAACTCCCGCTGCGCCAGAAATTCTGCAGCATCTCCGTGTACACGACCTTCCTCTTCTCGACGCCCTCGACGAGCGGCACATTGACCGTATACAAGTGCGTCCCCTCATCCCAATGGTCGTACAGGTGCTGAACCAGCCTCGCCGCCAGCGCCGACGCTTCCGAAATGATGCGCGCGTCGTGGTTGCGGTCGAAGAACGCATAGCTCAGCGCGATGGCGCGCTTCCCGCACACGGCGGCCTCCATGGCGCCGCCTATGGTGCCGCTGCTCAGCGCGAAGACGGCCGTGCTGTTGCGGCCGTAGTTGGGGCCCGAGATGACGAGGTCGATGGGGCCGCGGGATGAGAAGTAGTGGTATAATCCGACCTGGACGCAGCTGGCGGGCGTCGAGTCGATGAGGATCCATTCTTCAGACGAGGAGGATTTGGGTAAGGGGTGCGGGGAGGTGGAGCCTGTGTTGGAGAAGCGCCCCGTGGCTGGGTCGATGGTGAGCGGCGAGGGGCGGAAGTAGGTGGGTTTGACGGCGTGGCCGACGAGGTGGGCTTTGCCGATCCAGGAGCGCTGGGTGTGGGGGAGGACGACGGAGACGGTGTGGCCGGCTTGTTGGAGGGTGGTGACGAGGGAGTGGATGTAGGGCGAGGAGTGGTTCGAGGGGGGTCCGTCGTCGTTGGTTACCTGGGTGGTGGTTAGTTGGGAATTGTATGAGGAATACAGGTTGGGGAGTTGTAGAAAAGGTGATGACTTACGAGGATGTGCATTTTGAAGGGTGTTAATTATATCTTCGTTGCTTTGTCACACTAGGTGGTATTTTCTGGCTGGGTATGGAGGGATGGTGATGTATGCGGGGATGTTTGTCCCCTGTCCCGCAACCCCGCGATAAGGTCGATCATTGACGAAAGCGGTTAGACCGTATCTTCAAGTTCACCTTCACTCTTCACCATCTCCAGACCGGAAAGTGTTCCCTCACCCTCCCATCCCATCTTCTATCAGGTGAAGGCACACCTCCGTATGCATCCAGCCGTACATACAGGATTATCTGTACCTACAATGCTATGTCATCCATCAGTTCGTACGGTACGGGTATAGGTACCGAAGACCTCTGCATACGAGCGGTGGCCCTTCCTCCCATCCGACTGCATTTCAGTTGCACCTCGTCGGCAATCAGGAACGTACCAGTCACGGTTTACAGAAATGAGAAACATAGATTCTAGGCTTAGGATATGAAGAATTGACCCGGGAAGGCACAATTGGTCGCACTTTCATTGCCACGGTTCGTCGGATCCCCACTGCTGTTTCCGCTGGAGCCGCAGCTGTTCACAGTAGCACTTCCCCTTGAAAATGGTACAAGTATAACTAAGTTCCCGCTGCCATCCCTTTAATCTCCCTCTCCTTTCTTTTCATCTCGCATTTGAAGCCATCAGTTTCTCACCCTTCGTCTTTTGTCTTACCGCTCCTCCTTCCAGTCTGCCTCCCAGTCAGCATAACCCATTTTCACGCCAACCACCAGAATGGTCATCTCCATCCCCACCGCCTCCCTCGAAGGCAAAGTCGCCCTCATCACCGGCGCCGGCCGGGGCATCGGTCGCGGCTGTGCCCTTGAGCTCGCCCGTCGCGGCGCCTCTGTCATCGTCAATTACGTCTCCTCAGAGGGTCCCGCCCAGGAAGTCGTCAAGGAAATCGAATCCTACGACAACGGCGCCCGTGCCATCGCCATCCGCGCCGACGTCTCCAAGGTCTCCGAGATCAACCGCCTGTTCAAGGAGGCAAAAGACGCGTTTGGCAAAATCGACATCGTCATGAGTAACTCGGGCACGGAGAGCTGGGATAAGACGGAGGAGATTACCGAGGAGACGTATGATCATGTGTTCAATCTGAATGCGAAGGCGCAGTTCTTCGTCGCGCAGGCGGCGTACAAGAATATGGAGAACAACGGCCGCATCATCCTCATGTCGTCGATTGCTGCGGGCCTTCTCGGTGTCAAGGACCACGCTCTCTACAATGCCTCCAAGATGGCCGTCATTGGCATGATCAAGTCGTTTGCGACGGACTTTGGGAAGCGCGGTATCACGGTCAATGGTGTGGCTCCCGGCGGCATCAAGAGCGACATGTTTACGCAGAATGCCTGGCACTACATTCCGGGGGGAAGTCCGGACTGGCCGGCCGAGAAGATTGAGGAGCTGATGGCGAGCCATTGCCCTCTGGGACGGTGTGCGGTGCCCGAGGACGTGGCGAGGGTGGTTGCGTTCTTGGCGAGTGAGGATGGGGAGTGGGTGAATGGTACGTTTTACCTGAAGGGGCGCAGTGCTACATATGCTAACTAGTTTTCTAGGCCAAGTCATCACCATTTCCGGCGGCTCGTCGCAGTAAGATTGAACTGGAGCAATGTATATGGCTCGCATGCAGTTGCGTTTCGGGTGACAAAAGGAGTTGGGCTGACAGGCACTAAGGAGAACATCAAGCATTTGTATAATGATAGTATCGATTCTGTTCCTCAATGGTGATTAGCGTGTTCGCCAACACTGGTACGAAGCCGCGGCACATCCATCTTGTGAACGTAACCACCCATCATGTCTTGCCTTGCCTTGAGGTGCGGCATGGTGTTCCTCTTTTTGAGTTTGCTCCTCGTCCTCGACCCCATTCATCTTCGAGTTATGGACCGTCTTGCCTTGACTAGGGCGCTATCCTCATTCAATGCCCTTGCCCTTCTTGCCTTTCCTCCCTCTCCCCCTCTGCCCTCTATGCGTCTTCTTCCACACCAGCCCGGCGGACCCATCACCAACGGGATGTCCTTCCCCTCCCACGTCAATACCCGTCTCAATACCTAAAAACAACTCTTTAGCACACCGATAAAAGAAAACGAATCCCATGCAGTTCCAAAGCCATCCCATAGCCGTCAGATGCATCTACTCACTGCTCTCCCCCAACCCCTCAACGAACCGCACAACCCTCTGCACCAAATCCCTCCTTACCACCTCCTCATCATCATTCAAATTATGCGCGGCCCCCGGAACCACACCCCCATTCACCGTATCCACATCCCCGCCAGCGCCCCTCACCACCTCCGTCCACCTCCTTAACAACCCCTCCCTATCAACCCAGCTCGGGACGTACGGATCCCTACTTCCCAATAAAAACATGACCCTCCCCGCCCTACGCGGCAGAGCCCCAAACGTAAGCCCCAGCACCTCATCAGAAAGATCCGAGGAGAAGTAATCGTCATCGCCACCCGGTTGCAGGAGGCTGTACGTGCGGTACGCGGTGATTTGGTTTTCGTCCTCGTCGGCGAGGATGAAGTGGCCCTCGCGACTCATGCACTCGTTGCCTCTGCCGTCGGACGTCATGGCTTGCGCTTTGGAGACGAGGTCGTCGTATTTCCGCTGCGCGAGGACGGGGTCCCCGCCGACGGAAGGCGAGGAGAGGAGGGCGGAGAAGTGGGCTTCGCGGTCTGAGACGCCGCCTTGCAGGATGACGGCGTCGACGTGGGGGGTCGTCGTCTCCTTTTCATTGTCGTCGTGGTGTTCGTCGGCGTGCTTTGCTGCTGCAGCTGCGTTCAAGGGTCCGACGAGGTACTCCATGATATCCTGACATCCCGTCGAGTGTCCCATGAGGACTATCTTCCCTTCCCCTTCCCCGATCCCGTTTCCCTGCTCTCTCATCCTCTTCCTGAAGTACTTAACCGCCTCGCCGAGCTCGCGCGCATCCCGAGCCAAGCTACCGGTCCGCCAGCCTTCGTACGAGGAACTCAGGAGGACTTCTGCGAGGCGCCAGGTTGGAGGGAGCGAGGCGGCGATGAGAGAGGGGTAGGTTACTGTGAGCAGGCCGTCGGAGAGTCCGCCGATGAAGAGGATGAGGTTTTGCGGTCGCGCGTCATGAGTGGGAGTGGGAGAGGGAGAGGAGGGGATGTGCTCGAAGGCGGATAGTCTGGGTGGGAAATAGTGGTGGAGGATTCCGGGGTGGGCCATGCTTTTTCAAAGTGTTTGGGTTCGAAAAGCTAGAGGATTCGAAGAGAAAAAGCAAAAATTCTCTCGGAAATTCGCAATGCTTGGTAGGACTGTTTGATAAAGCGATGTTGAATGATGACGAAAAGCTCGTGGTTGGGCTGTCGAGTTCGCAGCTTGCCCCGCCCGCTGAGGGGTAAACGACGTCGGGTGGCTTGTTTAGCGGACGGGCGCTAATTTTAAGCTTAAGTTTATTTCTAAAGTTAGTCCAAGTGAACAGGGATGAATTACAGCAATAGCGACACTTAGAATAAGTTTTACATCACATTCGTTCACGTATAACATGCCTTAAAGCCTAGCTTCCCAATGGCCTAAACAGATAATCGCCAATTAGCTTGGGCGAAACAGGTAACTCAACCCACCAAGGAGGTCGAGTGCAGGGGCCTGCTCAGTCGGAACGGGGTATGCCGTACTACCTCTGACTGAGTTCACATGACTGCTTCGAAAACACAGATAAGTCCTGAAATGGGTCAAAGGCCGTGTACTCAATTCGTACTTCAGAAGGAGGAAACAAAGTTAGAATCACAATCTCAGGTAGCCAGCGTCAGGGAAAGAAGCGCAAGGGGAAGGAAAAGATGTACATCTATAGAAACTCCACGAAGGTATCATTCTCCCCGTCAACGCATCACCCATGACCCACAGAGACGCCGCTCTAGTTTCGCTCCGAACCGCTAAGTAATAAAGTGTCAAGAAACGCCATTCGCAATGCCAATGCCCAAATTCCGCCCCTGTTATCATCACGCCCTCACAGTGATATCATCACCCTCCACGAACCTCGCCTGCACCACCCAGTGCTCCCCGAACTTGATGCCCTTGCCACCGCCAACACCCGCGCTCTTCCACGGCCGATTGACGCCAATGTCAACGATCCAGATGAGCCACTCCGGATCTCTTCCAGATCCATTCTGTAGCGCCTTGAGAAGCCCCGTTCGCGGGGCTCCAAGACAGACAATGTACTTGGCTCGTACCTCGAGTGGCTCGCCTTCGAGAATGGCGACCTCGCCCGTCGAACCTCCGACGCCTGACGGAGTCTCCACAGCGAGCACGCTGGCGCGAGATTTATTCGCCCAGCCGACAATGCTAAGGACGGTGCGTCGATCTTCGTCTCCGAGGGCGTCGAATTCTTTACTTCGGCCAAGGAGTGCGTCGATGATTAACTCTGGCGGTGCTTGGAGTCGTTTCAGTGCATCCTCAGTGTCTGGCCACGCTCGAACCGATCCGCCGAGTTTCTTGAATAAAGTGACCTGGCGTCGGATGTCCTTATCCCAGTCGGCATTGCGTTCGTAACCGAGTAATGCTACTATTACTTTGGGCCCTCTTGCTTGAAGGTGCCTGGCTGCAGCAACTGCTCTTGCACCACCGCGATGGTTTCCGGTTAAGACCACAATGACCGGACGAGCATTATGATTGTCACGCGCCAGACGTCGGCCACCAGGATTTATGGCTCCAAGCGCAACTTCCGCGATCCCTCTCCCCGCATTTTCTGCCATGATGTCCTCTGAGAGACCAAAGTCGTCTTCCGCACTCTCCTCCACAGCATTCATCCCTCCCGGTGAGATGGTATGGCATTTCCGGTTGTTGGTGACAAGGCGGAGGCATGACCGCGGCGTAGTGTCCAGAAGCGGAGAATCTGGAGGGGTAGTAAGGCGGCCGGGCAACGGACTTCCCGTCGCATGGGATGAAGTGGCATAGGGAGCTCTAATGTGCGATCTAGCCACACGAGTGACCAGACTAGACGGTGGTCCTGAGTGCATGTGTGCGTCAGCGTCCTGTATACCGATTCCTTGTCGAGTTGGAATCCGCTTGAGGGATGCACGGGATAACGCTCTCCTGGAATTGCGACCACTGTCAAGGTCCGACAGTTCGCCCTCGTCTGTGCTGGAATCGGTGTTGCTCCTAATGCGTCGCGTGTCCAGGACATTTTCCGTGGGATGCAAGTTCTTACCACCGTGCGTCCCTGGTCGCGCCCTGTTGAAGCTGACAAGCCTGTCCTCATCTGCTGTAGTATCCTCATTTCGAATCTCTTGGAAGACTCGCTGTTTGTCAAACTTAGACAGATTCTCGGCAAAGTCGAATTCAGGCATCTCTTGAATGTCCGTTGCATCTTCTGTTGCCCATCCATTCTTGGCTTCCAATGCTCTCTGTCGCCTGGATTTGCGATTGGACGCAGTGGCAGCTTCCAGGCCCACACGTCCACCAATGATTCCTGGCGTTCTCACGTGAGTTTGGTCGGGATCTTGAAGCAGGGGAGTCTTCCGCCAGCCATTATCTTTCCTAAGCGCAGGTTAGAGAGGAACGCGCGAATGCAGGTTGGAGTTGTGGCTTACCCTCTCCGAGGTGCTTCGGGAGAAGTGTTGTTCAGCTCGGCCGCATTGCGCCTTTCTTGGGCAGCTACTTCCTTCTTCCGGGCCTTTCCGCCACGCCTAGTGCGCTTGAAAGAGTCCTCAGCTCTGGTTGCAGTGTGATCGTCCATGGGCTTCCCGGTACGTGTTTTGGATGCACTGACTCGTCGCATGAGGGAAGGCTCCTGAGTGAGCGCATCGCCACTATTCGTTTCGACGGCATCCGTGATATCCAAGCCAGAGAATGGCTTTTCAAGTGTGGCAGCACTCGGCTTTCGAATGGGTCGATCTTGAGCAACGGCAACCAATGGAGGCGTGTTCTTTGGCAGGGGCGCAGAGGTTGTGGTCGTATGCTTGATCGGTGTGGCAGGTGCTTCTTGCGGAAGGGAGGGTGTAGCATGAATAGTAGGTGTTGCGCTTCCTCGTTTGCCTATGCTTAGGATAGCGGGATCCGCGAACGGTGGTGCGGTCGTGTGAGGCGCTGGCGTAGTAACTGCTGCCGGCTGGCTCTCATCGATACTGGGATAAAGTGCGTGACTATGCGACTGCGGGGGTGGTTGTGGTTGAGCCCGAGGAGGGCCGGTACGCTGGCGCGAGTCGACCTCAATATTCTTGATTGCATGTCCCTCCAAGTGATAGCCGTCGAAGATGCGGTGGCCGGTAGCTGGGAAGAGAACTGCAGGATTTAGTGAGCGAGGCCACTTCTAGATGATGTAGTGAATTCCTACCGTCGCGGAGCGTCAAGGTAGCCGTCTGCGGGTCTACTGCAGCCACCACGCCATGGACAAGCGTGCCTGGTGGGTTGCGCAAGGTGACAATCACCGATATGCCGATGAGATTGCTCGCCATAATGAAAGACTATCACGACTATCGCACAGGACGCATCATCAAGTAAAAAAAGAAGAGAGAAGAATGTTGAGGAGTGAGAGCAACAGGCTTTTGCCAGACATGCTTCTCACCAAGTACGATTGTCCGGGCCGCCAAGCCGCTAGTTGACTACTCGTCGCCGCGTCGAAAACGCGTCTGCACCACCATGTCGTGTGTCCGACGAAGATTGCTCATGGAAATATATATACACTCTGGTATTCGGACTCCAAGGGCAAGCACAACAGCTGTGACAAACGCCCCCCAAATAGCGATTCAAGCATAGATAGGCTCTGGAAATCTGGAGAAAACCCCAACTAGACGCTTAATGACATGATGGTAATCAATCGACTACATTGCGAAAGTACGGAGACAACGAAGAAGGTATAACACTCTCTCTAGGACGAAGTGGACATTTGAACTCGACCAGCTGCCCGTACCCTCTCCCGAACGCCAGTCATGCACCGCTTACTCCAAAACATGAAAAGCTGGCTACACATGCAAGCTGGAAACCTTATGACACACGCTCGCTCTTCCCCCCTCGCTTTCGCACGGTCATGCATTGACAAAGTCCTCCTCATAACTCGCCGCCTCCTTCTTCTGCGTCATCAACTTTCCCAGCACCGTATTCTTCTTGCTCTGCTCATTTGCATGCTCCGCGCGAGAGAGCGAGCTATAGAAAGCGCGTACCTTCTCGTGAGCCCTTACTTTGCTGGGATCAAACCGTAGCACCTGCAAGCCCGCCATGCTGGTTGCACGGGAAAGCGCAACATATGCTTGGCCCTTTTCAAATGCTCTGCCCAAGTCGACGCGGACCCTTTCTAGCGTCTGGCCCTGAGCCTTGTGGATGGATAACGCCCAAGCGAGAATGAGGGGGATCTGTTCGCGAGAGGCCTGTACCTCGCCGTTAGGCTGTTCATATTTCCAAGACTCGCGTTTGCAGAGGAGGTCTCGTGTAGTGCCGTCGGCGATGGAGAACCGTACAACCGGGTAGAGCTGTTGGGTATTCAGACCCAGGACATAAGCTTTTTGTTGAGCGCGAACATCTTGCTCAGTAGGCACCTCGGCTACGTCGCCTTCGAGGAACGCTTTCTCGTTCTCCTTGTATATGTTGAACATCTGCTCAGTCATGAACCCCGTAACCTTGCCTAGCGATCCGTTGACAAGCGTTTCATCCATATTCTTAATCAACATAACCTGCGCGCCCTTCTTCAGAGACACGAGCTGAGGTGCCATACACTTATCGAGCAGCTTGTCTCGCATCGCCTTGTCAGTGATTGTGCCGCCATCTCGAGCTTCAAAATGGATGGTGTCTCCGTGTAGTTGTTGCATGCGCAGATTATTCGCTCGGTCCACCTCTGCTCGAGTGGGAAACAGTTCCGTCGCCTCAATGTTCTCCTCACTCCTTGGCAAAGGGCGTTCCAGACTCTTGAATTGCGCAATGGATTCAGGGCTCATGCGGCCTTCCCGCATTTCATTCAGCATACCAGCGAACACGGGATCCTTCTGTCGAAAGACATGATGCAGACCAATGGTATGTTCTATCGTCGTCGTCCATGTCCCGGCGTCAAAGGCAAACTTTGCTGCTCGCCCGCGTTCTCCCACCGGTGGTAATTGGAAGAAATCACCAGTGATAACCAGCTGTATGCCACCGAATGGGCGACCGTTGTTGCGGATGGTTCGGGCGATTTGCTCAAGCTTGTCGAACAGCTCACCATCAACCATGGAGATTTCGTCAATGATCAGAACCTTGGTTCGTAACCACCGCTGGCGGGCAGTGTTATGTCTCCGCACCTTCTTTATCAGCTCTTCAGCAGGTTCCTGGCCAAGGCCAATTCCGGCAAAGCTATGCAGAGTCACGCCTCCGATGTTACAAGCAGCCAGCCCTGTTGATGCCGTAACGGCAATCCTATCCGGCTCTCGAATATATTTACGGCGCAATGCCGAAATAATCTCTCGCAGGAGAACAGATTTGCCCGTACCTATAGGTAGAATAGTTAAGCATGTTGCCAAGGAATGACCTAGTTGAATACTAACCTGCCGAACCCGTGAAAAAGACACTCTTCTTGTATTCAGTGACCAGCTGCAAAACGTGCTGCTGCTCTTCGCTAAGAAATATCCGATGTACCGTGTTCTTCTTTTTCTGCGCAATAGCTTTCTTCTTTTCCTCCTCGTCTCCCGTGTTCGTCTTCGTTAACGCCTTCTTGGCTTCCCGCAGGCTCTTCTGCTGCTGCTTGACTGCACTAGCCGTCGTATTCCATGGGTACTCTCTGGTCGCGTCTTTCGGCTTTGGTGTCGCGTCACCGCTTTCCGGGAGCCTGCGCTTCTTCGATCGCGTGCTTTCCGGTTCAGGACTATCCTCCAATTGTTTGCTAGACTCTATCTGACTACCCTTCTCCAGCCAAGGTAGTGTCCGCCGTTTAGTAGGTTGTGCTGGCCGAACGGGTGGGGGTTGAAAATGCTCCACGGGCGAAGACGACCATGGCACAGGCAGGCTGCTGTCGAGTCCTTCCAGACCATTGTCGAGGTCCACAAATCCATAACCTGAGTCCCTCGGTTTATGGTTGTTTGGGGATTGAGGGAGAGTGGGATATTTAACGGTGTCCTTCGTTGCCAGATCCTCTACGTCAAGGTCGATATCGCTGTCGAAGTCATTTTCGTCGAAAACGATACCTTTTTCGCCTATTGCGGCCGAGGTTTCCACGCTTGTACGGGACGAGTTATTTCCGGATATGCTGAGCGGGGGGTATTCGAAGTTCTCCTGGGGCTCCAAAGCCTTTACAAGCCCACTAGATGTCCTCTTTGCACCATACCCGGCTGATGTTCTTCGTTCCGACTCCCGTACAATGTTTGCTGACGCTACCGACAATGGACGCGACGTCGAGCTCTGAGTACTTCCAGTGTGTCTAAAGGAAGACAGGAGCGTTCGCTGCTGTGCGACAGCCTTCACTGCAACAGGCGATGCATTCTCTTTCGCTACCGCTTTCTTAAACATAATCGTAGAGTGTGGACGTGTCGCCAGGTAGCCGTACTTGGAATGCGAATGAACGGGTCGCAAAATAGGAGACGAAGCCTGCGGAGGCAATCGTGGAGACGCGCGAGCCCTGTACAGCGCAGCGAGCATACAGGTGAGGAAAGCGAAGATGAGCAAAGGAAAGGGAAGAAAGAAAGCGGCCAGGCACATGTAGCATTGGATGCGGAGGGGCGCCGTTGAAGTTAAGACGCGTCGGGTGGGCCGTGGTTGCTCAAGCGCGTCCGCTAGTGCCTGTTCACGTGAATTCACGCTGCGCTAATCCTAAAGAGGTGCATCAAACATATAATAGTGACTGGAAAATCAAGGGTTTAAACTGTCCTTCAGGGAATTGTGTATAGCGTGGTTTTATCAAATTCTCTTCCCTTCCACAGTTAGCATGAGCTTATGATTTCTACGGTTTCTATGTAGATCGTCCCGCCAATGATCAAGCTGTCCAACAATAGACACAGTAACATTCAAATGGTATAACGTAAACCACCGATGCATTTATTTAACACCAGAGGAAGAGGGTACGATTGTAACCTCACCGCGGTACCTGAACCTGGTAAAACAAGATACAGCAGATAGTAGTTCGTCTCAGGTTTTGAATTAAATATTCTTCATCTAGAAGCTGCCATAATCCCAGATCCCTTGAGAAGTCCAAAAGGGTCCATTCATCAAACAACAAGCCGTCATACCTCGATTCTCGTACTTTAAAGACCCAAGTCTCACTGTCATATCCGAAAAACCTGCCATGACCCATTATCATGCTACCCAGATGTAATCACTTCCAGAATCGACATGTCCCGATATCAACCCAGACAGCAGACTATGTCCTACCCAGCCTCCTAAGAACCGATCCGTCCATATCCTCTCACTCCTTGAACCCAGAAGAGCGCCCAGCTAAATCGAAGGGATATCCTACTTTTCGCTTAACCTAACTCAAATGCGAAATACTTTCCCTGTCGAATGAGCCATACTAAAAGCGCAAACAAGGGTGTATGCAACGACGTAAAGAGCAGATGCGAAGATGGGTGGGAAGAAGGGAGTGCATCGCCAAAGCGACACAACGTTGATATGCCAGGAGAGGTCAAAACGTTTCCTGGCGAAAACAGGGGAAGAGTCCGGTTGGTTAGGAGAGAACAAGCACAAGGACACAAAGAGAGAGATTCATTATGAGGAAACTTGCAAGGAAGAAACATGTTCCACAGTTGTCCGCACATGTGGAGAGAAGCCCGTCTCGGCGGAAAACTGATGACAACGTACAAATGGGAGCCCACTCAAATCGAACCAGATTCCTACCGAACCCCCTTTGACCAAACCGCTTAGACTTTTGAGGGAGGGAGAAACTTGCATAATAAGTGTGGGAATGTCCATTTAGGCATGAATCAGAAAGAATGTGGCATGGGAGAACAGTGGTATCCAAGGGCGCCTACGTAAATAGCCAGGCATGTCGTGAAAACAAACAGCGCTCAAGGAAAGACTTGACCGAGTACGATGAAGACAAGCTAACCCTGATAACCTCCGACGCCAAAGCCACTCTGGTTGAAGGCGGCCTGGCTGGGCTGGCCCCACTGCTGCTGGGGCTGAGCACCGCGACCATACCCGCCAGCGCTACCAGGCATCTGCTGGTAGGGTTGGGCCAGTCCAGGCCCGCCAAAGCCAGCCTGGTTCTGCCCGAAAGGTTGACCACCGGGGCTCGGGCCTGGCCGCGCATTAGCCTGGTTGCTCCTGTAGCGAAGCTTCCTCCGGTGCCGCTCACCTTGGGGTGACATAGGGCCACCTGGACCGCCGTATTGCGGGAAGTACTGGCTAGGTGTTTGGGGGTAGGCAGAGTTGGGAGCTCCGGCAGGCGAATAACCTTCGAATTGACCGGTTGGGGGACGATCCTTACCCCACTAGATAACATGTAAGCTTCAACCAGGAGAGATGACAAAAAACTCAACCTACGCTGCACTTGAGGGGCCGGCCATTGACATTGTAGCCGTTGAGCTGGCAGATGGCCATGGCCGCATTCTCGTGGGTATCCATCTTGATGAAGGCAAACCCACGATCGGACTGGAACCGTGTCTCGGTAACATAGCCAAAGTTCTGGAACAGGGGGACCAAATCGGCCTGCGACGTATACGGGGTCAAGTTGCCTACGTAGCAGGTGGTCTGCCACTGTGGAGTCTGCTGGACAACCATATCGTAGCTCTGGACGCCCTGAGTGGGGAAATGATGATGTCCGAACGGAGTGGTGGGAGTCATGCCCATGGAGGCCATGGCCTGCTGCTGGGAAAAGGATGGTTGGCCCTTCTGGTTGGCCCAGTTGCACCGGATGGCCCTAGACCCAAGCCATTCGCCATCCATGGAGCTGAGAGCGCGTTCGGCATCGGCGCGCTCACGGAAGGCGACGAATCCATAACCACGGGACCGCCCAGTCTTCATATCCCACATGACGCGCGCTTCGGAAACAGGCCCGAAAGCGCTAAAAGCTTGAAGAAGTACTTCGTCATTGACTTCGTTAGACAAATCTCCCACGAAGATATGGAAATGGCTCGAGGTGTCTTCCTTGGCCGTGTTGTTGGACTGATAGGCCCAGTTCACTCGAATTTCCTAGCCTCAGTCAGTATTCTGGCCCGTTTCCATACAGGGGCAGTAAGTCCCTACCGATTGATGGACTCGGCGGCCGTTCAATGTCTGCATGGCGCGTTCAGCAGCCGCTGGGTCATCGTACTCTACGAAGCCATAATTATATCCCTTGGCCTGGAACTGACACTAGATTAGTAACAATTCTTTATGCAGCATTCAGAAGAAGAGACAACGGAATTGCCCATTGTCGAAGAGGAGTCACTGACATTTTTGTCCGGAATAATCTTCACGTTTTGCACATGCCCAGTAGTCTCGAAAATTTGGCGCAGAACATCCTCTGTAACGCGTGGATCCAATCCTCCCACATACAACGCCCTCTTGTTCGGTTCCGGAGCGGCTCTGCGCGGGGCATATCCAGTGGCGCCGCTGGTAGGAGACATGACCCCGCCGGACATGGGGGAACTGATGGCGGTGGGGATAGGGTTCGTGTTCTGGGGTATGATGACGGGGGCCAGCGGCGGGGGAGGCATATGCTGTTGCTGATTGCCCTGGCTGTTATCATACCCAGGCGGTCCGCTGGAGGCGGGTGGAGGGGCCATGGCCGCCGAAGAGGTCTGAGAGTCGGCCATTGAGTATCGTTGTGTGTTTGGGATACAAACGGCAGGCAGAAGCGGACGATATATGTGGCGAAGATGGATGATGGATGACCCGAGAAGTGGAAAGGGGTATTCTAAGTCGTGGATAGAGACCGGGAGTTGCGGCGTAGGCGCAATCGCTCAGGCACGAGGAGCTCGAAAGGCGGAGTGCTGGAGGCGGCAAAGGAAATGGAGACTCAACAGGCTCTTGGCACGACGGGGGAGGACTCGACCGCTGAAGGAAAGAGAAAAGGAAATAAGGAGAAGAAGCGCAAGGAGGATGAGAAGCGAACCCGACGCCGAACAACGATGGAGAGATGATCTGGCAGGTGGCTTTGGTTCCACAGTGGGGGTGAGAGAAGGATGGAGAAGAGGTTTGGTGAGTGGTCGCAGTTAGCCCTGGAGGGCCCGCCCGCGCTAGGGAAGACTAGCGGCGGGCCAGAAACGGCGTGAAGAACCAATTGGGAAGGCTGACAAGCGGAAGGGTGACGGTAAAGATGAATTGGTACCGACGAAGATGACTGTTCACCTTCACCCTCCCTTTCAGCACTTGCCATTTGAATTCTTCATTACTTCTTCACCAAGCCTGCATTGACGCTATCCTTACAAGAGAAGCGTGTATATAGGCTAACTGGAAGCGACAGCTAGAAGTGCAATCTATATTCTATTCCGAGTTTCAATGAGTGGGCAACACCGGTGTATCGATTCTTAATACTCTGTACTTGAAACAACAGTTCGCTGACCTTGTAATTATTCACACACAGTACCTTTTTGACGCTCACGTAATATATACCCGTCGCTGCCCACCCGCCTCGCAAATTTAGCCTTGGGCAGTGAACCCCTCAGTTCTCCACCCTCCCTTCGCGTCCGCCCAGCCCCAGCTTGCCCCAGCTTGGTACCTGTACATCGTTTCATTGAATCATCGATTGTTTACTACATATTCACACACCGCCAGACAGAGCGCTTCAATCATGGCGACTACACAACCTGCTCCAGCAGCCGTCCAGCACCAGCAGCAACCGCAGCTGCCTACTGCATCATCTCCCTCCACCGCCGCACTCGACAATCTCCAAGCTATGATAAACGGCGTGGTATGTTCCTCCACGCAACGCGTCTCAAAGCACAACTCTCGCAGAACCCAATTAACCGCCTCTACAGTTGATTCAAAGCGGCCACTTCCTCAAAGATCAAGCCAACGGTGGCCACTCCTCCCGCACGCGAATCGCCCTGCGCCGCGCCGTTCCCGCTGCCATCTCGCGTTTCCACCAGTCCCTCGACGACCTGCAGCTCGAGGTCAACCAAGCCCAAATGGTTCTGAGGCGGGATCTCGCATTGCTGCGGGCAGAGCGCGAGAAGCGGGAGCGCGCAGAGGCGGATCGCGCGCGGCTCGCCGCAGCGTCGTCAATGAAGACGACGTCGTCTGAGCAGCCATCGGCGCAAGCACAACAGACGCCTGCTACTATCAAGGCACAGAACGTCACTTCAAAGACTGAAACACCACAGCCAGAGAGTAAGCCATCAGTTATAAAGCAAGAGCAGAAGGCTTTGCCGCCCAACTCCACGTCCCCCGCCCCTCCCTCAGGCCCCGTCTTCGACACCGCACCAGCACCCGGCACAGCGCAAGACAGCGAATTCGACTTCGACGCCATGTTCGGCGATAGCCTGGGCGACACCGCAGCAGGGCCAGACAATGCGAACAACAACGGTGCCTCAGGCGGAGACCTCGGTTTCAATCTCACCGACGACTCCGGTGGCTCCCTTTTACGCGGTCTGGAGGACTTTGCAAAGAGCGGCGATGATGCTGCTACTGCAAATAGTGTTGCTGGGAACGCAGACCAGGCACACAGCGCAAATAATCTAGACCTGGGTTTCTCTATGCCGGATTTACCGGAACTCTCCTCATCGAACCAGCCGGCGAATCAGCCTCCACAACAACAAACTGGCGGGAAGCCCGAAGACTCAGCTTCGGCGAATCAGCAAGAGCAGTCGCGGAGTACGAATGATGGTGACGTGGTCATGGAAACGGATAATTTGGATGATCTGTTCAATCTGGATTATGAGCCGAATCCAGAGACTACCGAGTTTGACGATGCGTTCTTTGGGTACGGGGAGAATTGAGAGGAGGTCCTTTCGCTCGGGTACGAATGATATGTTTGGGCATGGAGTTTTGCACAAGGGCTTTTCCCTCCACCTTGGAGGAGAGGAGGAATGGCGTTAGAGGGGCTATATACCCAGGATACAGTACTGCATTAGTTTAACTACCAACCTTTCTTGAATGAGTCTACGATACCACTAATATAAAGCCGAAGGAATGCAAAGCAAGCTTCTAGTACAGAACACGCATTATGCCCAGAAGACAGTGCAGCAGTCAGTTAGCTATCAACTCCATTCGGTCTACGATATCACTATTATAAAGATGAATGTAAAGCAAACTTCTAGTAAAGAACACGCATCATACCAAGGATACAGCACTACAATCAGCTTAGCCATCTACTCTTTTGAATGAGTCTTACTATACCACTAATATAAAGCTGAATCTAAAGCAAGCTTGCAATAAAAAAAACCCCCCATTTCACTACAGCCTCAAACAGTTCACCTTAGCACCTCGAACAGTTCAATCACGCCGAAACTTCCGTTGCATTGAACGAGCGCAGTCCAGTCCAATAGATGCTGTCACCTCGTTTACCGCAACAAAGTCTCGCAGGTTCAATCCCTCTGACTGAGAAAAATGTGCCTGATAAACCGATGCAATTGATTTCCTCCAAAAGGTCAGCCCCGACCTCGGGACGAATTTGAGCAGCTGAATCTTTCTACAGCTTTTCTCTAAAATAAGGAAAACGTTTGTGTACTATAGCAGTATCCGCGTGGATCGAAACTTAGAAAGCGCATTATGCTGAAGGATCAATCACTTTTGCAACAGCCATTTTAACGCAAGATCTACGAATCTGCTCCTTCTGCTGATGCTGCTGCTTGCTAAATATCCAAGCTTCCCACGTATCCCGATTGAAAAGTCATTACGAGCATGTCAAAAGTGAAAGAAATTCGCTTTGATAAATCATTCATGTCTTGCATCTGATGGCACTCGTCTTCTGAAGCTCAAATATTGTACAGATCAGGTAGGTCATGATACCTCCTGCCGCGAGTCGAACATGGTCCGAACCACATTTTGAAAATCTCAAAATTCATTCATCATGCCTCATGCCAGAAAAAAAACACCGTTTCCCACACGGTAGCATATCAGCCGTGTATCCGTTCCTTCCAAGCAAAAGCTCGTCATTTATGCCGTCTCTGCCCCCTGCTGCTCAGCAGAATGTGGACCCTCAGCCGCCGGCTTCTCCTCCTTCTTCATCTGCTTCTCCACCTCGCCCTTTCCATCGTTGGCATTCCCTCCTCCATTAACACCATCGACCACGGCATCAAAGTCAACCGTGATTTCTGGGGCCTTCGCATTGCCGTCCTTGTCCTTCGCAGCAGCTTGCTCTTGCTGCGGACTCTGGTGCTCTTCCACAGCAAGAGGATCACTACCGTTGAATATGCTTGCACCGCTCCATAATCCCATATTCCCGCTCGCCGAATCCTCAAACATGGAAAATCCCATGCATCCAGCAGGACTACTGGGGACGGGCAGATCGCTCGACAAGAAGTCGTTCTGGCCACTGAAGCTGGATAGCTGACTTGCAAGTTGTCCAGGGGTCATGGTGAAAGGTGAGAAGGATGAAAAGTCGATGGCTTGGGTGGGTGAGCTAAGGAAATCGGAAAGCATGGCGTTCAGTCTATTCGTCAACGGCGTCTCCGGATTGCGGCCAGGCGTCAACAGGTTCCGAGTTGGGGTCTTCAGTAGTTGTTCCACATTGACTTCTCCCAATGCCACGCGCTTCCGCGACTTGGGGGTGGGAGTCTTCAGCAGGTCATCAGTGAAGGCGCGTTTGGAGGGTGTCCTTTTGGTAGAGGGTGTCTCTCCGAAGAGACGCGCCAGGTCGTCATCATCATGACTTGCCGTTGGTGGACAATTCTCCTTGTCAAACTCGACAGCGCTAAACCTGGGAGACCTCCTGGGAGATCTCCTGGGGGATTTCCTCGTCGGTTGCTCAGAACCAGCAGAGCGAGATTTGGAGAACGGCGAGATTGATGGACCGCGGTCCGAAAGCGATTTGAACTCGCCTGGCTTGCGAGGGGATGGAAACAGCAACCGTCTCGTCGATTTAGGTGTCAGGTCCGCCTCAACGTTGATCGGGGAGGTTTTGCTTCCAATCATCACCCCGGGACTGGATTGGATGGCGCGGTGGAGAGCGGCCAACGCTGTCGGTTCAGCCCGCTCAGTGGTTCTAGACTCAGAGCGAACTGGTGCGCTAGTTGACGTTTGCAAGGTCGGCGGCCGCGGGGCGTCCTCACTCGCACCGTCGACGAAAGATTGTGACTCTCCATTGCCAGCGGAGAATGAGGGTTCCGAATGAGGAATCACAGCATCAGAACGGATGTCATCACCCGCTTCTTTGGTCTTCTTTTTACGCGGATACTTCTTCCGTTTCGGCTTCTCCCCACCGGCCGGCTTCTTTGCCCAGAGTTCCCTCGGTCGCATTTCGTTCTTCTTATTGAGATAAAGACCGCATGGATTGCACAGGTTGAGCTGCTGGTACGATCCCCCTTCCTTCTCAACCTTGTCCAGTGCGTTCTTGAATACTCGATATCTCGGTATTCCGTCGTTCTCCTCCATGGACATAACCTCGACCCCAACGATACCGTTGCCGTCCGACGACAATTGGATACCCGTAGGCAGACCGACTTCTACCCGGGTGTACGCCTTCCTCCACGTAGGCGTCTCAATCTCGCCACAATGATTACAGTATGCTGGCATTATACCTTTGGCCAAAGATTCTTGTAGCTGTTCCGCAATCAGCTTTCGCCGTTTTGCACCGGATCCGCTCCTAGGTTGTGCCGGATTGCCTTCTGGAAACCCTGCGTCGGACATTGGTTCTGCAGACCATGTTTGCGATCTTGGAAGTCCCCTTGGTTTTGTAGATCTTGCGCCTTTGGCCGGAAGAGTCGGTGTACCAGCTCGAGATGGTGGTACGGAAGGCTCATTGACTCTGTCGCCGGGAACTGTATCGGGATTGGCTCCAGGATGTGCTGTATTGACATGTTGCAGACGAGCGTCACCCTGCGGGTCTTGCATTTTTGGTTGATTCCGAACCTCTACTGAAGGCGCAACGGCGAGTTGAGTGGACGGCTGTGGCTGATACTGGACTTGGGTCTCCGGCGCCGACGAGTTCCGATGCTGGAAGGGAGGATCACCTTCAGGGGTATGTGAGAGCCCTGAGTCCTCCGGCGTCTTCGATTGCTCCGGCGCCTGTTGTGAACCCACCTGGGTTGCATCCGCTTGGACCTTCTCCAGCTTCTCGGCAGATTGACGTGATCGGGGGTATGCTTTCGGCTTTGGGATGTAGGATTTAGGCAACAACTCCACAGGACCAGGAGTGACTTGGGTCCAAGGATAATGGGACCGATCCAGCGGCTTACGTCGTGTCCTTGTGTCTGCAATCGTGGGTAGATCGCTGCCTTCCCAATGTTTGTTCTTGTCCTTCTCTGAGTCTTCGTCCTTTCCCAGTGGCATATCGCTCACAAAGCCGGAATCCCCTGGATACGGTAACGCAGGTAGTCCTGGACTGGAGGGCACGGAAGATGCCATCCTCTCGGGCATGATGGGAGGTGAAGACGGTATATCCATAGGGGTCTCTCCGGCACTATTGCCTCTCTCATCGTCAGCTGAATCAGCTGCTTGGTCTGAAAACATAGCAGAGTCATAAGCGGATTGGAACGGACGTCCTTCATCGATCGACCCGTGCCTAAGGAGACTCGGATTTGCGCCACCTGTGAGACTGCGTGGCCGGTTTGAAGCTATATCGCCAGGACGAGGTGTGGGTGCGCGTGGCACTTGGTCCATGGCGGCTCTGCCACACGCCGGGTTCGTAGCTGTCGGCCTATGTAGCCGGACTGAAGCAGCGGTGGCGGCGGTGACCCTCAGTGAGTCATTGCTGACACCCAGTGGCGTTTTCCTCGGCCTGGTAGCTCTGGTCACGCGTGCCCTCTTCTTCGGCGGACATTCCTCCTGTTGCTCCGGGGCAGGCGTCTGTTGCGGGGCCAAATGCTGGGTCGAGGGAGCAGTCTCGCTGCGATGAGAAGCCTGCGACATGGGCCGACGCTCTGGTTGGTAGTGGCTAAATGAGATCGTAGATAATGCGGGGCTGGCCGGTCTCGTTGCGTAGTTCCCATAGGCCAGCTGCGCCTGGGCGGGAGGAGAGTGCTCCATCTGATGCATGGAACGGTTCGACATAGGCGCCGAAGCATCCGCATGAGCCATGGCGGGACGGTGTATGGCCTGTTGGGGTTGCTGCTGTGCCAGCTGTGCAATAGCAGGGTTCGTCTTCAGGAATTCTGCCCATGCCTTGTAATCTGTGCCTGCCGGCATCACTCGACTCAGGCTGTGATATCTCTCCATGTTCTCCACATATTCTCTCTGCAAGCACGTCGGTACCGGAACAAGCTTCAGCTTCACCTCCAATGTCTCCTTGATCCCATTGGAAAAGAGGCCCAATACGTTCCGGCAAACACGGCCGGTGACCATGGTCTCGGATACTTCGGCTGGTGCATTCGGGGTGGCGGAGGCGGAGGCGAGGATCCATGAAAGCATTCCTTGGCCGACGAGCGGGGTTTCGTATTCTGAATAATCGTACGCGTAGACGGTGTAATCATGGCCGAGCTTAGCAACGAGTTCGGGACTGCAGGTGGAATGAGTACGAGAGCATTGACCATGAATCGACGATTCCATACCTAGCGGCAACGATAGCCTGAATACACGCCTTGAGTTGTATGACTCCCACCTCGGTGCCGTCGTCGACCGTGACTGTGGGAATGCTCATCGGGTTTGGCAAGCGAGCCAGACAGTTTGCCCGGTTCTGATCATCGAATGTGTAGAGGACCTTGACTGTACGTGACTGGCGTGAGAATATGAAGGATTCGTTTACTCGAGTGTGCTTACCTCCCATGAACCGCCGTGGTATGCTCTCCGTGCTGTTGATATCTCCATCACCGGTGGAGGGAAGGGGGGGCACACGCTGCATGTCCTCCGGCTCCCGCATAACAAAAGGTGAAGCCATTTACGCTCGAAGATCAAGTTGTATGAGGTGGGACGTGGTACGGAAGAGTTCGTAGTCTGAGAGTTGGCAATCAGAAGGTGACTGGTTGCACGGTTGGTGGCTGGCTCGCGATCATATTGCAGACGCGTCCCACAATCGAAGGTGGAGCGGGATTTGGGCCTGCTCGTCGATTGTAGGAGATTGGGCAGTGGAAATAAGTGAAGACTGCCCCGAAATGTCGTATTCTTGAATGAAGTCCGATCCAGGCGGAAATTGCGTTAGGAAGATTGGGTGTGGAGGTGTGAAGAAGAGTAAGAGCGCTGTGTGCACCCTACACGAAAGGTGAAGCTAGCCGCGGATCAGTGGTGACTAAGCAAACGCGTGACGCCATGCACGCGACAATTGGCTTGGGTTATCTGATCTAATCAGATCGACGCTAGCGGCTTATTCCGCTCGGGCTCCAGCCTTAAACTTCACCTTGCAACTTCCTCAACGACGTGAGACCGATCTACGGCCAAAACCTCCCAAGCCGTCAACTGTACCGCTGCTTGCATTGTCATTCTAAGGTAATACACGCATCACTCCACCCCGACGGTGCCACCGGACAGTTTTCCCTTCCCTTTGGAACCTCGCATACCGCCAGGCACCCACTCACCACCAACAGCATCTCCCTCACTCGCAATACCTACAATCCGATTAGGACCATACCAGCACATTCGCAACCGAAACCACCGCAAAGATGTCGACGGACCCGAAGCTCCAGTAAGCCTCATGGCCCCCACCTTCTTCATCCAAACAACTGACAAAACACAGAGAACTGCTCGCGAAGCCCCGCAGCGAATTGACGTACGCTCGCCCCATCTCCCCTCCCTATCCATCGGCGAAACTTCTAACACATTTCCTCCAGCGAATACCAAGTCGCCCAGGTCGAAGAGCACGAGTTGACGACCGGACCCCTCTCCATCCTCCAGACGGCCGTGCGCAACCGCACCCAGGTCCTCATCTCATGTCGCAACAACCGTAAACTGCTGGCGCGCGTCAAGGCATTCGACAGGCACTGCAACATGGTGCTCGAGAACGCGAAGGAGATGTGGACGGAGACCCCGCGGACTTCGAATGGTCAGTTGGGCCGGAAAGTGAACAAGGATCGGTTTATTAGCAAGCTGTGCGTGTGAATGTATCGTTTGTTGTGGATTGTTTGCTAACTTCGATAGGTTCCTCCGTGGAGATTCCGTCATTCTGGTCCTTCTAAGTTAATAGGCCGTCAATGTCACGATGGGTCACCATATGGGTTAAACAGGAATGGAGTTCAAGAGTTCAAAATGCACGGGCCGGCTTTCAGCCCAGGGGTCTCAATACAACATCTTCCTCACTTCTTCAGTCCGTCATTCAAACCCAACAATAACTCAGCCAAGCCATGGGCGCCCGGATCTGGAACTCCTTGCCATCCTTCACCTCCTACGTATACTGTTCTTCCCAGGCTGGCCTTCATCCCACGTGTACCTTTTGCTCCTTCGTCTGCCGCGTTTGCCGCCGAGCCAATACTTCCTGTCTCTGCTAGAGTGTACACAAACGGGTGGAGTGCATCCATCAATGTTCGATCTCCCGGTTGGGCTGGAGTGTACTTGCCCAAGGACTGGAGGGAAGATTGCAAAGCCTTGGCCCAGATTTGCGGGTTGACAGGCTCGGGCGACGGTGGCGACTGCTGGCGTAGGCCATGTGCCAGAGCGTTCAGGAAAATAGCATAAATAGCACCAGACGTGCCATCCATGGCCACTTCAACCACTTGAATGATCCTTTGCAGGAAAGCGAGTGCGTCATCTGTGGGTCTCGACTTCTCGAGCATCCTAAGGGTCGCTGTGGCCATCAGCAGATGGTTCATCAATTACCCTGAGCGACACTAACCTTCAGCGCCCCGTCTCAATCCGATTCCGCAGTCGCCATCGCCAACTATGGTGTCATAGTTTGTGATGTCCGGTTCTGCCTTGATGAGTCTCTCCAGCGCAGTGGTGAGAGCCGACTTCGCGAGGGCGTAATCCACTAACACAGGTCAGATGACTTTAAAAGGTATGGCATCGTGGAGAACTCACATTTCAGGTTACTGGGTCGGGATTCCTCCTCATCAACCTGCTCCTCGGGCGCGGAGGAGGCGCGTCGCTGCTCCCATGTTTCCTTTTTGATCGCAGCAGTCCATCCAGTGGCTTCGGCAGGCGCATCGAGTAGCTCCAACATGGAACGATCAGCTCCTAACCCAGTATCCTTGAGCTTCAGCAGACTGATGCTGAACCCCAGTCCGTTCAGGCTGGTCATGTATGTCCCAGCGAGGATGCGCACTGGCCTGATATTCCAGTCCTTGTCGAGCTGCTCAATGACTTCGTTCGTAATGCCACCCAGCTCCAAAGCACTCACACCGCCCAGATTGTTCACAAGCAGGACGACTTCATCTTCGGACGAAATGGTTAGGAAGTTGCGGTCCTTGTCAGAGGGGTCCAGACAGTGAGCCAGCATGGTTTTCACCAGCTCCGGCAGTTCGGCCGTCTTGCGCTCGGAGCCGGGTTCATTGTGGATTCCCATGCCGACTTCGACCTCGCCCTCTCTGAGCTCATCCTCGCCTCCATCAGCGACTACGCGGCCAGGCACATGTACGTGCGATAGGGAGGCACCAATGGACACGGTATTCTCCGCCGCCAGCCTCGCCGTAGCCGCCACCTCCTTCAACGACGCACTGTCACGCGGCCAGTTAGTCCCAGACCCATACATACAACACATAAAAAAAGAAATGCAACCACTTACCCCGCCGCCGCCGCCGCGCCCGCAATCTTCTGCACCAACACGGTCCCCGCGATCCCCCTCCTCCCGACCTTCCCACCCTTGGCCCGTCCCACGCCCACATCGTCGCCCACAACCACCATGTCGATGTCCACGCCCGAGGCCCGCGCCTTCTCCACCGCCATACCGAAATTCAACACGTCGCCCGTGTAGTTCATCACGATGACCAGGACTCCCCGGTCGCGCTCTACGCGGTGCAGGATACATCGTCGAATCTGCTCGGCGCTGGGCGAGGCGAAGATGGTGCCGGCTACGGAGGCGGAGAGGAGGCCGGGCCCAACGAAGGATGCGAAGGAGGGTTCGTGACCCGAACCGCCGCCGGAGACGAGGGAGACTTGGGGGTTGCGGGGTTGAGCATTTGGGGACGAGGAAGAGGGGCGGAGGTAGATTGTTTTGTTGGCGAGGTCGCAGGCTACCGAGGGGTTGAGATGGGGGAGGGAGAGGAGAGCGGTGTGGACGAGGTGCGTGGGGTCGTTGAGGAAGTGCTTTGCTGCGGGTGTTGTGTTAGTATGTTGGGATTGGGTATTGGCTGTTGGGGTTGTTGTGTGTTGGGCAGCTTACCGGACATCTTTCCTGCTCTATCTTGGAGATAGGTCGGTAGTGGAGGAGTCCCGCGGGTGGTTAGGGGTACTGTAGACTCGTATGGTGATAGATATGTATGTATAACAAGAAGCAACCACAGCCGCAGCACAGCGCAATTAATCCGTCAATAACTCTTCAACCAAGCCGCACGACTGGAACAATTCCCACGCCGAGGCAGCACTAGGCGCGGAAGCATAGCTAGTAGGTATATCGGGAGTTGGACACCTCGCTCTAATCTTTTAACACTAGGGGAGAAGCTCGGTGGTAGTCTTCCGTCGAGGAGGTGGGGTCGTGGTCCCATGCGGGAGGGGACGGGAGGGCTGGAAGACCACAAGGTGGGGTGGGTAACGTCACCCGGCAGTATTGGATGGGGAGAGGTACGTGTGGGGAAGGGGATTGGTGGAGCTTAGCTATAGCTACGCCTACCCGGCAACTTCGCATCTTTTCAAGCCATGGAGGGGGTGACCGTGGGAATGAGGTGAATAACTCCCACCTATGGTTTGCAGCGTTGATTATTATTATACAAGAAAGATGGACGTAGTTTTCGGCTTTTCTAATTGATTGGAGCTTGGTCATGGGGGACTCGGTGAGATATGTACTATGGTAGCAAATAACATAACTATTTGTAGAGTTGTTGAAATGCAAAGGCTCGAAAAAAACCCACGAGGTTCTTCTGCCCAGTATACGCTTGTATTTATTTATCAGGCCAAAGGAAAATTATCAAGACGCAATTTCGCCATGCTTAGTTCAAAGCGACTGATCTGATGATATGTCCATGCACTTCTTCTTCCCCCTTGGTGCTAGGTTTTTTACACTATAGTTTGCCGCCGAAGTCCCCAGGGCAGGCCTCAAGGCTATTCAACTGGCGACACTCTGAATACCCTTTTGCAGGATTCATGTTCACCTAATCAAAGAGCCACTCCACAGAACAACACTGCGCAAGACGAGGCGAATATAAAGAACCAAAGGGCAAGAGAACCCGGTCATGATATTTCTCATTGTATGTAAATGGTTGTACCCCAAGCCGCGCAAATACTCTTACATTCCCATTCCCCCCCTCCCAATTGCGCCCCTTGAAACGGCAAAATTCAGCCAAAAATGTATATCGCTTCAGGTAAGTTCACGGCCTGAAACTCCCTCTCCCTCATCTGGCCCCTCCAGTCAAACTTCCACCAAAATCGCTCACTCCCGAGGAGCATCTACGCGCGGAAGCGCAGACCCCTCCTCATCTTCCTGGCAGCAGTAGGAGGCTCCGCCGGTCCACCGCTGGGGTTTGTGACCGCACCGGCGAACCCAATGGCCGCGTTGAACGTGTCGGCAACCGCCTTGTCCCTCGTACCCAGGGCGAGGGCTTGCTTCTCAGCAGCCCGGCAAGCCTGCACCGCCGCGTCGTTGGCCTCGCACACGTTGATGAGCTGGTTGCAGAGAGCGTTGGTGATGATGGCCGGGTTGAGAGCCTCGCCTTGGCCGCCGCGCGCGACGGGGTCCGCGATCTGGAAGGTGAATTCGTCGGCCGGGCGGCCGTTCTGTCCGCCTTCGAAGATGATGGTGGGCGTGCAGAGACCGAAGTCTGCTCCACCGGCAGCGGCACCACCGTTGTTGCCAGCATTGTTGCCAGCGTTGTTGCCAGCATTGTTGCCAGCGTTGTTGCCAGCATTGTTGCCAGCGTTGTTGCCAGCGTTGTTACCAGCGTTGTTGTTTCCAGCGTTGTTGTTTCCAGCGTTGTTTCCAGCGTTGTTGTTATTATTGTTCTTGTTATTGCCAGCATTGCCGTTGTTGGCATTGCCATTGTCACCACCAGCAGCACCGTCATCGCACTCAACTGTTGAATGGTTAGTTTGAGGAAAATCAGCAATACCACGGGGGATACATACGATCATCGTCTGCGGCGGCATCTTCGTCAGCGTTATCGCCGTTGTTAGCATTGCCGTTATTACCAGCATTGTTCCCGGCGTTGTTGTTATTGTTGCCGTTGTTGTTATTTCCAGCGTTGTTTCCGGCGTTGTTATTGTTGTTATTGTTGCCGTTGTTACCACCAGCGTTTCCACCAGCAGCTCCGCCAGCACCGCCCTCGGGAACGACAAAGTCACCCAGACCGGCATCGACAATCAAGTCGAAAACGCTCTTGCCAGTGGCGTCGAGCGGCTGCTGACGAGTCTGGGCACTCAACGCGTTGACCTCGCCATTGATGTCGACGGCAGGGTCGATGAGCGGCGTGATACCACGGAGAGCCTCCGTAGCAGGAAGTGCCGGATCAGCACAAACCTTCTGTGCATTGCCGTTGGCGTCGGGGTTGGTGTTCTTCTCCGCCGCAACATGGGCAATGGCGGCATCGATGGCATCTTGCCCTCCACCAAGGTCGGCAACGATCTTGTCGGCGGTGATGAGCTATTTGGGATTAGCACACGGTTACGTCGATGTAATAAGCTTCCAGAAAAACGTACCTTCTGGCAAGCATTTGCAGCTCCGAGAAGATCGCTGATAGAAGCACCAGCGATGGTGGCAGCAGCGCCGGGAGCACCACCCTTTACCCCCGCGATTTGGGCCTGGGTCTCCTGCTCTTGACCGAAGCGCGCCTCGGCATAGGCAATGAGAGCAGCAAGAAGAATTGTCTTGGAAATCATGTTGAAGAGGGGCGAATATGTACACCGAAATAGTTTGTTGTTTGAGATGGCAAAAATGTGCGTTAAAGAGAGACTAGCTCAAATGTTCAAAATGGCCCAGCCGGCGGGAAAGAATGGAGATGGCGAGAAGGACAGAAAGGATGAAAAGAAAGACTGGTTGTCGTGCTACCGCGATTTGAGTCGAGTTGCTGAGGAGTCGATGCTGGCTCCAGGCCCAGCTCTTATATAGCCTCCGATGCACTTGGCGAACGCACTCGCGCTCCATAGCGCAAGAGCAGTCATGGCAGGGATAGGAAGACGGAGCAATTGCTCGTCTCGAGTGCTGTTCGGTGGGCAACCCGAGACGTGCGATCTTCTTCCTTGGGCCGTCTGGAAACGGGCAAAATTTGGTACGGGCGGCAGTGTCGCCATGGCATCATGCGGATTCGAGCCTGGTGGGACGTGTGATGCGCGAACTGCACCTTCGGTAAGCCTTAAGACGAGAGGTTATGATTCCTTTGCCGAAGAAGCGAGATCCAGATGTTGTTGTTGGAGATGGGAGAAGTTGGCTGCTGCGACGGGTGAGGTCGCACTCCCGTTTCAGGTCGCCACACTCCACCAGCAGCCGCCATGACTCTTGTACCAGACGGTTATGCGTTCCGCGCTCCGTGCCTCTGGCCTTTGGCTACTACAACGGGGAAATTCGCGGACACTAAACATCATGCTCGAGGAAACCTGCGCCGTCCAATTGTCTCCACACTATCCGCAATGCGCACTGCAAACAGAAAGATGAAGCGACAAACGAGAGGCATCGAAGCCATGCAGACAGCCACATGTTGGATGGAACGGGATAGAGGGAAATGGTATGTAAAGCCTAGAAGGGGTGTGGATTATGCTGTACCAGAAGAAGCCTTGAAGAGGCAGTACTCAAGAACAAGTATATGCAGGATTGTGGATGGCCAAGGATGCGAAGCTCGTTAGCCCATCCAATGCACAGGAGATCAATGGAGCTCAAAATAATCTCACCATCTGCAAGCGCCGTCACCTCCGTCGAAGTCGGACCCGGGAGGGCGTTGCAGCTTGTTTCGGAACACCAATCATAGCCTGTCCAACTTCCTTCGCAGCAATCTCGTCCTCTTCATCAACTTCTTGTACTTGTGCTTCTTCATCTTCAGCTTTCTCTGCCTTTTCACACTTATTGCTAGCATGTCCGGCTTCGTCTGCCCGTCGCGCCGCTGCTTCACACGCTCAAGAAAGGTGTGCCGAATTCCTCCCTCGTTTGTTGATCCACCTTCTTCACCATAAGCACTCATCTCTTCCATCGGCTTTATCTGAGCGGTAAACGTGCGGTTTCCCGAGGCATCCCTCGACTCGGTCACAACAATCTTAGCACCGAACGAGCGCTTGGGTGATGGCCTGAAAGGAAATGCGCTATACTCGCTTCTCGGCGAGGCATCGACTGCGCTGCCTTGACTTAAAGGACGAGGGGCGGGTGGCGGATGGAAGTGTGGTAGTTGCGCCACAAACTCGTCGAGGGGCTGGAGGGAGCGGTCGAGATGGTGGACGTTCTGATCGCCAGGGCTGAGCATCGCCTCGAAAGCTTCTTGGGTGGTTTGACGCGGGATCCAATCCGCAGTGTAAAGCCCATCTTTGCTTTTGATCATCTGCGGATGCGCAGGGATCGGGCCATATGGGGAGAAAAAGTGCGAAATCGTGAGATCTACTCCTCGTAAGTCGCTGAGTTTAGAAGAGCACGTCAAGTGGCGCATGACGGCACGCCTTTCATGAACAGAGATTGCTGCCCATTGTTCGTACGAGTTTATCAACAAGTTACTCACCACGCAGAGTTCGATGTTGAGTGCTATCAACAGAAGGCACGTTCAGTCTGGGAGACGCGGGGGCTTCCTTCTTTCCAGCGGCGACCGAGGTCCTCTCTTGCGGGACCTTAGTAGTTCCGGTTTCCAAGCTTTGCTGCTTGGACTTGGATCTGGGGTTGGCCGTGCCTTTTGTGGAATTCGGATCCGCGGGACCATGAGGGAGTACGACAGGTTTCGAGCTGGAGGAGGAGAGGCGCCGTTGATGGGCCAGCGGTATGGGACGGGCTTGCTGAGAGGCGGCAACGCGACCAAATGTGCATACCGGCGGTGTGGAGATGGCGTTGGAAGAGCGCAGAGCTCTCCCTAATGTGGGAGTAAACATGGCTGGCTTTTGAAGGGAAAGGAGGGGTTCGAGATGGGAGTGATGGCGATCTGAAAGGTTGGAATGTGATGAGGCGATCTGGGTTGCACGAGTCAGAGCGGAGCACCGGAGTATAGTTGTTCCGTCCTTGGCATCTTCATGGTACTTCCATTCACTTCTCCGGTTCAACAGCGCAAGTGTTGCTGCTGGCTGCACGAATGTGATTGCTATGGGCCTTGGCATGCGCCAGTTTTACAAAAATGTGCGTGCAAGGCCCGCGAGTAAGGCCTATTTAGAGATTGTGTTCTCTGAGACGGCTTTATTCAGTTTCGCCTTCTTCAGCTCTATCGGAACAGCATGGCAACAGCACCGTGCGAGGCTTTCGTCGCTACTTGTATACTGGGCGGGAGAACTGTTCGGCGTCCTAATATCATGGTGGATCATCAATACGAGATTAACTGAAGGCCACTAGATAGCGCGTATAGATGTGGTCATATTGATTGCCTCGTATTTGACTGTAGTCACAGTTTACCCGCGTCCCATATGTCCATGCAAGTCCGGTAGGGACCATGATTACATCTTTAACATCAAACAAAAGGGAACCATATACGTTTGATCCTTAGATCTGCAGCCTCTCTACCTTGTCCTTCAGAGCGTTGATCTGGTTGACCAGAGCGGATGCCTCGTTCGTCGTAATGCTTGCTGCAATCACCGGGCGAGCAACGCCACAGGCACGACCAAGCGCCATCTTTGAGGGAACATAGACGTACGGCACGTTCTTGTCCTCGGAAAGAAGCGGTAGATGAAGGAGGATGGCCAGAGGTGAGGTATCCGCTGCCAGGATGACGATCTCCGCGATACCACGGTTCAGGGTCTTCGTAGCCTCGTTGGCACCTTTCTTGATTTGTTTGTAGTCTCGAAGTCGTTAGCTGCTGGCAGTTCACACTGGCATGGAAGGTAGGACGTACGGGTCGCTTGCTGGACAAGATCCAAGATCTCCTGGGTACTGTTGGAAGTCAGTATGCGTCCTGACATTGGAGGAAGACGGATGGGTTACGCACAGGGCCTGGTCCGCAACCGGCCACGCAGCCGACTCGTTAGACATTGCGGTATAGGATTCTACTGATATGGGTTCACTGCTCGGCTCGCCCGTAAGGGTTCCTGCGCGACACGGTCAGTTCCTTGTGGGAGGAAGGCGTGAAGAAGGTTCGGCTTAATCTCCACCGCGCCTTATCCCAGAACAATCCGGAACGCACGGGAGACAGATTGGGAGTATACTTACACTGCGTACGCTCGCCCGATATTAGATTCAAGGTGTTGTGGTGGTGCGGGTTTGGTTATTCGCGCCTTTGAGACTTTTTTTGTGATATTCTGCACAATCCATGTCTTGGCATTCGGCGGCCGCTCGCCAAGGCCGTGCACGCCAAGGAAGCAACCACCTCCAGTCTGAACGTCCTTCCGTCACCGCTGACCTTCAACAGCCACCCGCTTTCAACGTACTCCATCTCCTATCCCTCCGACTGCGTGTCCTCATCGCTCAGCAACAACCCCGTCGACGACCGACAAGAAACACACCAGACAGTCACAATGGCCGTCACCGAGCTCTGGTGAGTGCGATGGAAGCTTGCACCATCGGGGGCGGAGGCAGCTGCAGCATGGTTATGGGAAGTGCTGGCGTGCTGCGGCGCCCTTGTTGAGCAAGGCCTTTCTTCTAGTCTATAGCCATCAAAAGGGATCGATTTGCTAACATATACTCAACAGCCCCGTTTACGCCGTATGGCCCCTTCGTGTTGCCTTGCCTCTCGCATACTAACTGAATCAATAGCCGTTCTTCGGCGCTATGGGCTGCACATCCGCCATCGTTTTCACCTGCTTTGGCGCTGCCTATGGCACTGCCAAAGCTGGTGTGGGTGTCTCGGCCATGGGTGTCCTGCGTCCCGATCTTATTGTCAAGAGTACGGTCCATCGCAGCCTTGATCCGGAAGACTCGCGCTAATATATTCCGTTTAGACATCATTCCCGTTGTCATGGCTGGTATCATCGGTATCTACGGCTTGGTCGTCTCCGTGTTGATCTCGAACGATCTTTCGCAGACGTCGTCACTGTTCACCAACTTCATCCAATTAGGTGCTGGGCTCTCCGTCGGTCTTGCGGGTATGGCTGCAGGCTTTGCCATTGGAATCGTTGGTGATGCTGGTGTCCGTGGTACTGCGCAACAACCCAGGCTGTTCGTCGGAATGATTCTCATTCTCATCTTCGCTGAAGTCTTGGGTAGGTGGCCTCCCCGCCTCCCTCAATCTTCAATCCAATGTGCTAACCTTTGGGCACTAGGTCTGTACGGTCTCATCGTTGCCCTTCTCATGAACTCGAAGGGCAGTTCCTCCACGTGCTAGATGTGTCACTCGAACGACAATCACAGCAATGCCAAGCTTCCTGTGATCGGAACATATGGCTTCGATATCCATATATTTCACGCGTTCTGTCTTCGCAAATCTTTTGGATCAGTCTTTGCATGGCGCTGTGGGCGACATGTTGTAAGTCTAAATTTGGTGTCTTGAGGCATGACCCCGGACCGGGCACGCACGGCATGGGCAGAGGGTTGGTATGAGTTGTGCGCGCGGACCAAGGTTGAGAGGAACCCAAGAAAGTAGATAATGGACACACGTACTCGGTGGGCGAAACTGCAGATCCATTTCAGGCCATTGTACTTTAGGGTAAAGCTTCTCATCTTCTGCTAACAACGGATATGCATTTTCATACTCTATAAGCGCAAAGTACTGTCTCCAGTTCGAGAAGTCTCTGCGTTAATTTCAGCTGCATTGTCTATAGAGGTCATTTGAGCATGACGATGAAGGATTCAGTGCGCTTGTAATCGGAACCGAATGCGTGATCGCCTTGCCATGATTCGCCAGATACATGCCTACTGGCCAAACTCCAGGCCTGAAACGTCGAAATCGCTGATATCTACAGAGAAGGCGGTTTCGACATGGGCGGTTCCACGCCATTCCAATGCGGATTCTCAATGCCACGGCTCTTCCACAGCTGAACCCGTTCCCAGAATATTACGTCTGCCCACGCCTTCACTTCAGCAGACTGGATCTTCGTTGCCACCCACGTGAACTCTCCCAGATCTTTACCGTGCGTCCGCTCGTACTCCAGCATCTGTACCAGCAACTCCACCTTATCAATATCATGCACGAACTTACTCTCCAAGGTCTCACTGTCCTCATACTCCTGCCATATTGCCCGAAGCTCGCGTCCGTTCAGACCTCCGTTGAATTTACCAAGCAGGTTGCCGCATATGTAGTCCATGGTCTCTGATTCCCTCCTACTCTTCTCTTCCTTACTCACTGGATCCACCGGTGTGATGTCTCCCACTAGCGACTCCGCCATGTCATGTATGAGAGCCATACGGCAACATTTGAGGATATCAAGCTTGGAGGAGATGGAGGCGGGTGCCATCATGGTGAGAATGCTCATCCGGTACATGTGGTCCGAGATCGACTCGCAGTTTGGCACGCCGAAGCGTTTCCAGCCCGCTCGTGGGGTAGTCTTGAGACGTTCGAGCAGGTGGAAGAAGGGGATGGGGGAATTGGTCCCTTCGGCATATCGGTAGGGAAGCTGAGATACAACTGGGGCAGGGTTAGCATGAATTCGAAGGTGCGTAAGGCAAAACGATAAGAGGTGTCGCGTACGGATGTGCCTCCGTCTCTCATAACATACCGCTTTCTACACTCCATTTCTCTTCCCTTGCGGTAGACTCGTCCAGAAGTCCGGCGCGAGGCTCAGTCTGGTTGGCTATGCCATCGGTTGTTTGGGTACTCTCGTCTGTGGGAGCCATGGTGGGTGGGTATTTCCGGAGCGTTGCTTGAAGGAGGCAGGGGCTCTTATGCAATCGAGCGGCGTATAATGTTTGTGCCTTGTTTGTAGAGATAAAGAGAACAAGAGACAGGTGGAGGCGTATGCCACTCTTCTCGTTTGCTGGTGTCTCCAATAAGACTCCACAAACGCGTTCTGAAGGTAGCCCGCGACCGAGCGGACGCTACGTCACTAGCGCCAGAGATCCCTGCTCAACCAACCGAAACTGACAGGGATACAGCTGAGCATTGACTTCTTGGCAATGTTTTGCGGTGAACAACACCTCCTCCGAGACAGGTCTACAAAACCAACCAGTACGTGGGACACAGCGCTAACGGGAGCCTTGCTGCTGGGGAGACTGCCATGTCTCGCCCCCTCTCCCAAACAACCGCTAGTGCTAACAATGCGGCCGGCGGTCTGACTCGGAGCCTCTCAACCAAAACAAATACCAGCACGCGCACGTCTGATATCAGATTATACGTTACCAATCTGCGATTACTCGACTTAGATTTACGCCCAGACTGGCCTGGGATAACTGTACAAACATTCTCATCCAAGAATGCGGACCAGAAGCAGAGAATTGGCGGTGTGGAATGGTCCCTGTTCAGGTTGTTCGAGATATGGGACCCCCACGAGACCAGCCAGGTAAGACTAGTGGTCCCTGGAGCGTACGTAGTACTGACATCTGTAGAAACTTCAACCCTTCTTTCCGCCCCTGGAGCCTCTCCAGTCCCTGAATCTCCGCGCCGCGCTCTACCGATGCCTCAACGACCTGAAGAAGAACGGGGTCCTGGGCCGAGAGACTGTGCTCAGGAAGACCATGCTAGATGAGTGTAAAGGGGAGAAGTTCTTCGAGCTCCTTGCCGTCTTCTCCAATGTGGTGCTTAAGAAGGTTATATCCGAGCGAGACGTTGGCAGGAGGACCGTACCTATTTCCAGAGATCTTGCCATGGCCTCGACTCTCCCGGCTCGAGATCAAGCCTCCTTCATACCGCTAGCAATTGCCCACAAAGCCGCGTTGATGCAAGTGCTGAACAGGAAGGAAGAGAAAAGGCGAAGATTCAAGGACTTCGAGAACCTATTGGATAAAAACGCTGCGGCCATAGAAAAGCGGGTGGCAGAGCGCAAGACGACGGCAGTCTGCGCTGGCCGTGAGATATCAGAGAAGGATTTTAGGACCATGAAGAAACAGCTCAAGGACAACTGGGTTGGAGATCAGAAGTGGATTGATGCGATGCTGCACGGTGACAGCAGTGCCGCAGAGGACGTCTTCTTGGGGATGCATTTCAATGATGTCTGGCCCATGGTTGAACAGGGCTGTAAATTGGAAGAAACCGCCCCTGCAATTGGACTGCTGGAAAGTCTGCAATCTATGGTTCAGGAACAACAGGCTAGGTTGAAGAAGTGGAAGGATTTCCACCAAAACATGAGACGGCGCGTGGATGTCAAGGCGCAGAAGAAAACACCAAATCAGGGTGTGACTTCTGGCATCAAACTCGACAGTCATCTGGGTTTGCAACTACAGTCAGCGGAACCTCGGGAGAAAAACGAAAGCAAAGGTGAACGACTCCAATCCCAATACCAGGAGATTATAACGGCAATGGATAGCGGGCTCTCACACATCTCAAAAGCAAGATACAACCGCCCCTTTTTGCCGATGCTTTCCCGAAGGCGGCCGTCGACAGAGGATACTCGGACAGACGTTCCTCAGCGGAAGTTGAAACCGCCATTGGTTCCTAACGACTCGCATGTTGAGCCCTTGAAGCAAAACCGGGCGTATCCTCCACCATTATTACAGCCCAAGGCACGACAAAAGATGCATGCACCTTGTGATAACTCCCATAGCTACCCACCGGGTTCTGACACCACCCTGGTTGGTCATCCCTCAACTAATTTGAGTAATGATTCCGATGGTCCGAAACCTGTTGAAGAATCTCTGCCGGGAAGTCCTCATAGCACTCCTTCAGCGTCGCCCGCGCACTTTCCCACCAGTTCCCAACCAGCTGATGAATGGCCTTCTGAGCCACCACGCATAGAGGAGCCCCCTATAAATGATGAGGACGACCTGGCCGAACGCATCATCTCGTCAATTGGGGATGCAACGCCATCGCCTGTTAAACGACAACCACGTCCTTCCCTCCTGGAACGGACGCAGATGTCCATGGCTCGCAATGCCGGTCTTCCATCTATTGCCGATACTCCTTCCTCTGAGTTGCCCAAGCTTCCCGAGCTATCTGCTCAGTTGACAGCACCCACGCACAGTGAAAGCTCGCTTCTGGAACGCACTCGTCATAGTATGGCGGCCATGTCCCAGGCCCAACGAACTACGCAGTCGACGAAGGAAAACCGCAAAAGCCGTTCACGCCAGTCTTTATACCCAGTTAATCAGTTCGACACGCCAAGGTCCCGGAAATCTTTCCAAGCGATTGAGGAGGCCAAATCAGGCGACACTACGCCGAAAGAAGTGCTGTTTTCGGATGACGTTGACTATGAACATGTTTTCAAGAGTAGACCTAGGGTTGCTCAGAGTCCGATTTTCACTCCTCTCCAAACTGCAGATGACCAGACCAAGAGTGATTCGGGCGAGAACTATGTTCTTTCGCTTGATGAAGATGACGGGTATGATGAGGGCGTCACCGGTGTGGATCTCGCTGATGTAGACGCTGAAGGTGAGAGAGGGTATCATCACGCTTGGGACAATAGCCCTCTGCGACATGCTGGTGGAGGGGCAAAAGCGAGAGAATTGCTGTTTAGATGAGGGCTCTAATTCTGGTACGCTAATTAAATATAAGATGATTACACAGTCAAGCAGTCATTCCGTCATTAGTATTATTGCGTCTTTAAATCTTCGCTTTCCCTATGCCGTTTGATTAAAAGCAGTCGTATTGGAGGGGTGAAAGAGTTGGAGTACAAGCCACAGACGCGCTTCAGAACACGATCTCACGTGTGCTGGCGCGCTCAAGTTGTGGCTTGATTTGCTTGGCAATCGCGACCCAAAACAAACAACTGACGTCCGCCGACCAGCAACAACCACGAATGCCGCCACCATGCATGTTATAGAGTTGGTTATTGATGTAAGTACACGGTATACGTATGTGTAGCTAGTGCTAACAGGGTTTTAGGGGTACAAGTCGTATGCCGTCCGGACGGTCATTTCTGGATGGTTGGTAAACACCCCACCGCACCACGGAGTCGTAAATAACACAACCTAGGGATCCCGCCTTCAACGCAATCACCGGTTTCAACGGCTCGGGGAAGTCAAATATCTTGGACGCAATATGTTTCGTATTAGGGTTGAAGAATTTCGCTACGGTCCGCGCGAAAGACATGCAGGTGCGTTGCAGCAGGGTTCCTCTCTGTCGGACGAAGCTTACCGCGCAACTAGGATCTGATTTACAAGCGCGGACAAGCGGGCGTAACGAAAGCAAGCGTCACCATCACATTCGACAATACCGATAAGAGCAAAAGCCCCTCTTCTTTGCCGGACTATCTCAGGAGCGAGGATAAGATCTCCGTGATGAGACAGATTTCGCTAGGAGGAACCAGCAAATACATGATCAATGGCAGACGTGTTGCTAAGCCAGATACCGTACACGCCATGTTCGAGTCGGTCGGCCTCAACATCAACAATCCGAACTTCCTCATTATGCAGGGCAAGATTACAAAAGTGCTGAGCATGAAACCCGCCGAAACATTGGGTATGCTTGAAGAAGCGGCGGGAACACGAATGTTTGAGGATAGGCGACTAAAGGCCGAGAAGATATTGGAGAAGAAGGAGATCAAGGTGAAAGAACTCGAGACGCTGCTCCAGGAGGAGATCAATCCCAAACTGGTCAGCTTGCGCGAGCAGGTGCAGAAATACCAGGCGTTTCAGAATGCACAGCATGATTTGGAACGGCTCACACGCCTACTGGTTGCATACGATCACTATCACTACACAAGAGAGCAGCAACGGGTGGCAGATGAACTGGAAAAGATGAAGCAAGAAAAGGAGGAGCTGGAGACATCTGCAGTGAGGTTGAATGAGGAGATCCAAGATCTGGAAGAACAGAAAGCCGCGGTAGAAGCGAAACGCGAAAGTGAGTCTCGCAAGGAGGGGAGATATCAAGCCCTGGAGAAGGAAGTAGCGAGCCTCCGGAACGACCGTGATCAACTGAAGGCGCAGATGGACTCGAAAAAGTCCAGTATAACGGAGGAGGCGGACAGCATAAAACAACTGGAAGCGGAGGTCAGCTCGTTGGAGGCACAGCTGGTAGAGAAACGGAGTAAATACGAGGCGATACAAGAGAAAAACAGAGAAGCACACGAAAACCTGGCCAAGCAGAAAAAGGAGGTTGAGAAATTGGAGGAACTCTTGCAGAGTCTCAAGACTGGTGTGGCCTCCAGAGAGGGCGAAGGGATTGGCTACCAAGATCAACTGCAGAAGGCTCGCGATCGGGCGAAACAGGCGGCCAGCCTCCAGAAACAGAAGAAGCTTGAGATCGAGGACCTGGAGAGGCGAATCAAGGAAGAAGAACCGAAAGCAAAGAAGGCTAAAGCTGATAACTCTGGTCTTCTGAAGAATATCCAAGCACTCAAGTCTGATGCCGACCGCCTTAGAGCGAAGCTGGACAACCTCATGTTTGATCCAGACCAAGAGAATAGGTGGCGCCAACAGGAGAAAACCCTCAGGACCGAGATTCGAAGTCTCCAGAGTCAAGCTGATGAGCTCAGAAGGAAAGTCGCCAACGTCAACTTCAGTTACACGGATCCGATCCCCAATTTCGACCGGTCGCGCGTAAAGGGGGCCGTAGCGGAACTTGTTACCCTCGACAAGGAGAACTTCCCTGCTGGGACTGCTTTGGAGGTATGTGCTGGCGGTCGACTATATAATGTGGTTATCGACAGTAACAGCACGGGTGCATTGCTCCTGGACGAGAAGAGATGCAAACTGAGCAAAAGGGTTACATTCATTCCCCTGGACAAGATTCAAGCATTCACAGCATCGCCACAAGCAATTCAGGCTGCTGAAAGGCTATCTCGCGGAAGAGCAAAATTAGCGCTAGCCTTGATAGGGTATGACGAAGAAGTGGAAGCTGCCATGAAATACGTTTTTGGATCCACCTTCATCTGCCAGGACACAGAAACCGCCAAGCTCGTCACCTTCGACCGTTCAGCAGGCGTGCTCATGAAGAGTGTTACCCTAGACGGTGATGTCTACGATCCAGCCGGTACACTCTCTGGCGGTAGCGCGCCTCGGACCAGTGGAATGCTCCTGACTTTGCAGAGGCTGCATGAGCTTAATGCGGAACTTGTGGCGAAGCAGAGAGCCCTTGCGGAGCTGCAAGAGCTGATACAAAGGGAACAGAAGAACATTGAGATGGGGAAGAATCTGCAGCAGGAGCTCGAACTCAAGTTGAACGAGATCAACCTTGCCGAAGAACATCTCAATAGCAACTCTTCGTCCTCCATCATACAAAATGTGGAGAACATGAGGAAGAGTGTCGCAGATTTGAAGGAAGGCATAAAGGAGGCTGTCAATGATGAGAAGGCTGCCGAAGCAGATGTGAAGCGCATTGAGCGTGATATGAAGGAGCTCAACAGCAACAGGGGCAAGAAGCTGGGCGAACTCGAGGCAAACCTGGATAAGCTGAAGAAGGCGCGCAAAGACACGGAAGCCATGGTCAAGCCGCTGCAGGTGGACGAGCGCGAAGCCATGGTCGATCTCGACGAATGCAAGGATCGGCTAGATAACGACAAGAAGAAGTTGCAGGATCTTGCGGTCAGTATAGAGGCGCAGAAGCAGGAGCTTGAGCAGCTGCAAGTGGAGTACCAAGCGGCGGAGGTAGGTTCCCACACATGCGTGATGCCGGTCTATGCTGACGCGTTGTAGAAATCCCTGGAACGTTCGCAGGCGGAGCTCTTCCAACAGCAAGCGAAGCTCACCCGCTTCAACGACGAGATCAAAGCGATTGAGGGCGAAATCAAAGCCAGGAAAGCCTCCATCGCCGAGGGCACGCTGGCAGAAAAGCGACTGGGCCACGAGTTTGAGAAGGTGAAGAACGACCGACAGTCTATGCAGCAGAAGATCCGCGCACTAGAAAACGAGCACGACTGGGTTGTCTCTGAGCAGGCACGCTTCGGGCGCCCGGATACTCCGTATGATTTCAACCAAGTCAACATCAAAGCGGAACGCGAGTCTCGCAAACGCCAACAACAAGTCTTCGACACGCTGAAGAACAACGTGAACCCGAGGGTAATGGCCATGTTCGACGACGTCGACCGGCGCGGCAAGAGCGTCGAAGCGAAGCTCAAGCACGTCAAGAACGACAAGAAGAAGATTGAGCAGACGGTCGCCAAGATTCTCAAGCACAAGAAGGAGACGATGCAGACGGCGTGGGAGCAGGTGAATCGCGACTTTGGCCTCATCTTCAACGACATCTTGCCGGGCAGTTTTGCCAAGCTGGATCCGCCCGAGGGCAAGGAGATTATCGATGGATTGGAGATCAAGGTCATGTTGGGTAAGGTGTGGAAGCAGAGTTTGAATGAGTTGAGCGGTGGGCAGCGGTAAGATAATATTTCCAATACTTGGATGATCTCATCATGCTAACTTGCAGTCAGGTCCTTGGCAGCCATTGCGTTCATGATGGCCCTGCTCCAGTACAAACCTGCGCCCATGTATATTCTCGACGAGGTCGACGCTGCGCTGGATCCCTCGCATACGCAGAATATCGGCGTCTTGATCCAGAAGCGGTTCAAGGGCAGTCAGTTCATCGTGGTGAGTTTGAAGGACGGCATGTTTTTGAATGCGAATCGCATTTTCCGGACAAAGTTTGTGGATAATAGTAGTCGGGTGGAGAGGGTGAAGTAGGGTTGGAAGGTCGAGGGTAATGATCTTTTCATGAGGGTGTCGTTTTCATGGCATGGTATGTCTGGATGGGAAGGGCTTTTTTGTGTATGACGAGGTTGGGTGCATCATGAAACCAGGTTTGGATGGCGTTAAGGTCTAGAGCATGCCAGCGAGAATAGGGCATTCATCGTCCAGTGTCTAACCCTTGGATTTTTGCTCTATCCCTATAGACTTCTGCTTCCGATTCATCAATCCCCTACCTCCAGCAGCTGGCGAACCTCCCCAACAATCCAAGCCAACCACATCATCCCCTTGTACCTTATTCGAACGCAAACCCATCCTCTTCCACCCCCGTTCCACCACAATCTCCATCCTGTTGAGTAGAATATATTCGAACCAACGCGAGAAACTGTAACTATGATCACTTTTTGTCTTAACACATCCCTCCCCTCTCCCCTCAAGCCCTCATATCCACTCACACCTTCTCCTTCCCACCTACCACCACCCCCTCCGTCCCCACCACCAACCCCTTCCCCATCCCCATCCCCAACCTCCCCTCCAACCCACCCTCACCCTAACCCCCCACCTCTCCCACCCAACCTTCACTCCCTTCACAACCACCTTACCCACCCAAACCACCTTACCCACCCAAACCCCCCACGCCCCCAACACTTTCGCACACTCCAAGGCGCCCCCATCGCACGCACGGCTTCCCTCACGGCATCGAGGACAAAATACAATCCTACAAGGAGATATATGAGAAGTAAGAACTTGACGAGGTAGGACAGGAGCGTGAGGAGCTGCGCTAGGCCATTGTTGAATTTTGGGTTCTCTACTGCTGCTGCCGTAGGTGGTGGCGGGTGGCGGGTGAGTTTCTTGGAGGGCGAAGTAGGACGCGAGGGTTGCGGGGAGGAGGCCGGAGTGGCGTGGAGGATGAAGGGGTCGATGTAGCGGGTTCGGTGCCGGGGAGGCGTTTCTCGTTCTCGAAGTTGAGGAGCCACTGCGGTGGGTGGAGGAGGGGATGTGGTGATCGGGAGAGGGTTGGACGGTCTGGCGAAGCGGAGCCAGGCCCAACGACTGTTGCCGCTGTTGCTACTGGGTTTGGTATCGTCCTTCTCTTTCGCCGCCTTCTTTGCATCCCTATCCTTGATAGTGTTCAATACTCTTCGATCCTTGGACGGGGAACGCGTCTCCCGAGTGTTGCTGCTGGGGGTACCTTCACGTCTGTATGCTCCGGCGACGGTGCCCCCGATGCCGCTGCTCGCATACCCAAAGACGTCTCTCTCCAGCACCTCTGCGGCTTTACTCTCCACTTCCCTCTTTTCATAAGCATACCCAGACGCATTTCTCCCCGTCGTGGTATACGAATACCCCGCCTTGGTCGGACTAGGCGACCGCGATCCCTCAGCTGAACTCGACGTCTGCGCCGGAAAGGCCGTATGCGAGCGATTATACAAGCCCCACCAGGACTCCTTTTGTACAGGGTCGGGCTGTCTGATCTGTCGTGGAGGATTGGGAGTTGTGGCTACGGCCGGAGGAGGTGTTGATGTAGTCGTCGTTGTTCGAGGTTTGATCCGCACCCGGATGGTAGCTCCAAGCTTGGACTTTGCATTTGGCTCTGGCGGCGCCCGTGTTGGCGAAGGTGCTGAAAAGGCGCTAGAAGCGCCGGACGCGGTATCTCTAGGGTCTGGTAGAACGGTCGTAGTCGTCGTGGTAGCAGTAGCGGTTGTCCTCAAACGACTGCTATTGCTACTGTTCTGCCCTGCTGTGGTATTTCCGGTACTCGTCCCAAAACGTAGGGTAGCTAGAGGTTTCCTCTTCACTGGCGTGGGGGCATGGTTGCTGCCGCTTAGAGCTCTCGCACCATTCAGCCGCTGCCCAATTCCACTCCCCCCTTCCAGTATGCGTCGGAGTGCTCGTAGCAGCACCCGGCCCTCCAGACATCCTCCCCCAAACCCTCTCCGAGGTCTGTCTCAGCGGCGGACTAACCGGAAAAGCACCTGCAGCAGGCGTCTCCACTTCCACCTCCTCCACCTGCACTTGCCCCCTCTTCGTCGTCATCGGACTGTAAGCATACGATACAATCTCCTCCGGCACTCTCACCCCCTCAACCTCATGCATCTCCCTCACCAACTGTGCCTTCCGCTTATACGTCTGATATGCGGCATCCACTTGCTCCCTCGATGCCGGCGAAGCCGTGTGAGCCGAACCCCTCAAGTAAGAAGCTGTATGAGGGGACGACCCGTCAATCACAGAGCCACCAGGCCCAGCGCGAGTCGGTGAATATGGAGGCTGAACACGACGTTCTCGGAATCCGACAGAGTGGTCCATCACGGGCACCCTCGTCGTGGGCATATAGACGGCAAACGCATCGCTCTCGAAGGGGGTTTGCGTGTCTGTAGGCTCCGTTTTGATAACGGTTTCACTGGTTTTCTTGCTGCGAGGTCCCCCAGGTTTTGGCTTGAGCTTCTCTTCCTCTTGCACCCTCTCTTTCCTCTTCTCTCTTTCGAGAGAATCTGGGGAGGGAGGGTACAGGTGGCGATGGTCAACCACTTCAGACCCCCAATGATCAGTAGACTGCGGCCGTGGAAGCGGTGGAAGCGGCGTTTTGCGCAGAAACAGGGGCGCTTTTGATTCTGGAGATCGGTAGACAGACGGTCGGGTACCTGTGTAATAGGACGGAGATGCAAGCTGCGGACTGCTTCGAACGCCGTCCACACGATCCGTTACATAGCGAGGAGTACTCAGCATCTCGCGAGTAGGATCATACTCTCGAAAATGCATCCCATATCTCTTACTCGTCGGTAGCGTTGGCAACGTCTCCATTGAGAAATAAGAAGGATTATGAAAGGAAAAAGCACAAACTGCAAACTGGGAGGAGGAAAACAGGACTACCGGAGAAGCAATGGAGAACGGCGAAAGATCCACAGAGATTGTCCAAATCCCTGTGGGCCCATGGTCCATTTGATTCCTCCGTTTTCAGGAATGCGAAGTGTGGCTGGCAGGGAGACGGCGACGCGCTGTGAGGAATGCGATATCACGTGACGAATACGGGATGCCGAGGATGAAAACGTCGGAAAGAGACTTGAACTGAGATGCCGCTTGCCTTAGCCTCTGCCAGCATTGCGACGTATATAAGCAGCAGTAGCGTCCATCGCCGGGATCGCAGCACCGAGTAGCATCGCTACGAGGGTATCTGGAGTCAATGGGCAGAACCCAAGCCTGGATGCTGCCGAAAACCTACCTAACTCCTGTCTATGAAAACATTGCTTGCCTGCCTGAACGCCTAACACGTTGCCCCTTCCAAATGATTTCCGAAATCACTTTGCGGCGTCAATCTCTGCGTACTCCGCCCAGTGTCCGTTTACGGACTTCTTCCAGGTGCGAATCACACCATCGTCGCCTGTAGAGACAAGGAGATCACCTGTATCTCCGTCAGTATACATGCAAGAGCACTAGATGAAATAGAACCTACCCATCTGCGAGAAAGCCACCCGCCATACAGCTCCATGGTGATTAGTAAGCTCATCCACCATCTTGACCACTTGCCTGATGCGTCCTGGATTCTGCTCATTTTCATGACGGCTATCCGAGCTCTTCGATGTCATGGATGGGCTCTTTCCTGCACCTGCCAATCCAGCGCTGATTCCGGATGGCCGAGCTCTTCCCATCTGAGGGGACGACAGAGCATTTCCCGCTGTGGCGAAGGTGCTGCTGCCAGGCTCGGGCTTGTCTGAACGCGGAGTCGAGAGCTCGTAGATTCGAATGGAACCATCCTTGCTGGCGGTAGCAATGACATCGTAGCCCCTCATAGAACCATTTGCCCACGCCAGATCGCGGATGATTTGACGGGCGCCGGTAAGGTGTGCAACCGGCCAGAAACGCTTGGCCTTGTCGGTCCTGAAGACAATGACATCTTTCATGGCAGCAACAGCAAGGGAGAGCGACTTCCTGTCCAGTCCAGCCATGATAGCGGTCCAACAGGGAAGCTTCTCCTTGTGGAAGACGACCTTGAAACCCACCTCGTCTTGGCGCTCTGGAGGATTGTTCTGGCACACCCAATGCTCGGCAAGGACGGTCCATTCATTGAGGCTGCTCTGATCCAGCGGTTCGTAGACCGTCAGATAGCCGTCTCGCGTGATTAATGCCAACCAAGTCTCGTGCATGATGTTCTTGAAATCCAGAGACATGAAGGGAGCTTGCGAGACAGAGGCCATATTGCAAATGAGTTTGAAGCGGCTGCCGGACATGGGCACCTCGGTCACATCCTCCTGCCACAGCTTGCAGCGGCCATCTTCACCAATGCTACCAATGACCTCACCCATGAAGGGCCCATTCCACTTGACCTATGCGACTTGTCAGCAGGGGTCCTGGTGATAGGGCGATTATGCACAAGCCAGGGTGGGGACCATCGTTCAAATTGGGCTTCGAGATAAGACGATGCAATAAAGGGGAGTTTCTGGAGCAGCACTTACATCTACAATTTCGGCATCGTGGGCTCTCCAGCTCTCGACCAGGTTCCACGAATCGTCCTTTTTGTCCCAGACCTTGAGGCGGTGGTCGGAGCCAGCCGTGACCATGCGGGTGCCGAAGTAATTGAAGTCGACGGCGAGCACAAGGTCCTGGTGGCGGTGCGAAAAGGACTGGAAGCTCTGTCCCGAAGCCATTGCCGCGTACGCGTGGTGGGCGGCCAGAAAGTTTCCCTCGAGGTGGTTGCGGACGCGGTCGTCGACAGCGGGAGCGCCGTCGTCGAGAGCGGGCGGGTCCTGGATCAGGGGCGAGACTAAGTCAACCTCATCGATCTCATCAATGACATGGCTGGACGCGACGAGGTGGTTCAGGTGGGAATGGGGGAGAGGAGCGGAGGCGTGGCCGAAAGAGGCGCGTGCGGAGCGGGAGTGGGGCGCTGCTGTGAGTCCAGTCTCGGAGCTGTCAGAGGCGGCCTGAGAGGGCAGCCGTGAAGGGGTGAGGTTACGGAGGAAGTTGGGGCGCACGAGGCTGCGCGTAACGGCGTCAAGACTCAATTGTATGGGGTCGGTCCTCTCGTCCATGGATGGCGGATGGTTGTGATCTACTTGTATAGCTCGGGATGTGCTGCGCGAAGGCGGCAGCGGCGGGGCGGAGCGGGCGGAGGGCGGGGAGGAGAGCTTGGTTGCAAGGGATAGATTTGGGCTAGTCCAGTTCGGTTTGGTGGAAAGCACGAGGCGGGAAAGGCGCTGCCCAGGTGCCCAGGTGTTGGCGATTGGCGAGAGGGTGGGACCAATTCGAGAAGAGACACCTTGCAACAAAAAACATACTACATATGTATGTACCTTAAATCGCGACGGATATGGGCATGTTACTGCAAACGCCGACAGCCAGACAAGGGGAACGACGCGCGTACTACCGGTCCCTGATTCTTTCGTGAACCATGGCGACGACCCTGAGTGCGACGGAGAGCCTCTCCCTACTCTCACTCTCGCTGGCATGCGTGGGAATACTGGCCAACACGTTTCAAGGCGATGGCGCGCCGCTGGTAGCCTCCATCGCCTTCAGCGGACTCGCCTTTGCTTCCTGCTATGCCCTGATCCGCTGGCTGGGGCCGGCTTTTATGCGCCGCGGCTTCAAGGGCAGAGACCTGTGCAAGCTCAAGCAGACGGAAATGTAGGTTCCCTTCACCTCCCAGAGAAAATACATTTCCTAATCCGGCGCCAATCACGTGCTCACATGACCTCCTCAGTCCAGAAACCATGGGCGCCGTCTGTGCCATGGTCTACATCTTCATACTCGTCGTCTTCATTCCATGGCCCTTCTACAAGGATATTGTTGCAGCGACGTCCGGAGGTGGAAATCGCGACGTCATGATGGAGCTGGACCAGGTCGAAACGGGCAGACTCCTTCACAAGTTCCCTCACAACAAGGTAAATCTTCTCTCAAGCATACACACCTCACCGCTAACCCATGTGACAGCTGGCATCCTACCTCTCCGCCATCCTCTCGCTGCAGTGCATCGTGCTGCTGGGCATTGGCGATGACCTCTTCGACATTCGATGGCGGCACAAGGTGCTGATCCCAGCCATCGCCGCCATCCCCATGCTCATTGTCTACTTTGTCGACTTTGGCGTGACGCAGATCGTCGTCCCTACTCCGCTCAGGCCCTATCTGGGCGACCTTGTCGACCTGGGTATGCGCCGTTCTCCTTTTCATTCTCCAGTGAGACGACGGTGCTGACTGGAAGCGCAGGCTGGCTGTATTACATGTACATGGCACTGCTCTCCATCTTCTCAGCCAACGGCATCAACATCCTGGCGGGCATCAATGGCATCGAGGTGGGCCAGTCGTTGGTCATTGCCCTGCTCATCGTCTTCAACGACGCACTGTACCTGGGCCCCTTTGCGCCCTACCCGCACCCAGCCACCGACTCCCATCTCTTCTCGCTGTACCTCTTGCTGCCCTTCATCGGGGTCTCACTGGCGCTCCTCATGCACAACTGGTACCCGGCCAAGGTGTTCGTGGGCGACACATACTGCTACTTTGCGGGCATGGTCTTCGCCGTCGACGGCATCCTGGGCCATTTCAGCAAGACGCTGATGCTGCTCCTGCTCCCGCAGGCATTCAACTTTGTCTACTCGGCACCGCAGCTCTTCCACCTGGTGCCGTGTCCCCGACATCGGCTACCGCATCTCAACGCGCGCACAGGCCTGTTGGAGTGTTCGCGCGCAGAGTTCAAGCGTCCGCCAGCGAGACCGATAGCGGAGGTGTTGAAGCTGCTGCACCGGCTCCGGCTGCTGGACGTGGAGACTGGCGACAACGGGGAGATTGTGTCATGCTCCAACCTCACCATTCTGAATCTGTGGCTGGTATGGTTTGGCCCCATGCGGGAGGACCGACTCGCTCTGGGGATACTCGGCTTCCAGACGGTGGTGGGTCTGCTGGGATTGTTTGTGCGGCATCGTATGGCACTGCTCATCTTCACGCAAGATAACTGGTAAAGGTGCGGGGAAGAGATACTTGAGAGATAAGGTAGAGTGGTGACCCACTACCTGTGTATATAATATGTTTGTACAGATATCTGTTCCCCGGACTATCCGTCAAGACAGCGCTATCGGAACTGTCGGAACAGCGCTATGCCGTGGACCAACATGGCCAATCGGAATCGCCAGGTACGTGCTTACTGCAGGAATGTCGTGAGGCAAGGCATGGCATAGTAACTGAGGTGGTGGGAGAAGTCCTGTCCCTGCCGTCAGTCTTCCTCAGTCCTTGAACAGAACGCGGGGTTGGACGATTAGGTAAGCCGCCTCGGCAAAAGGAAGGAATGCGGCTATCATCGCTTGCTTGGAGGATTCACTCATCTGACAGCAAAATGCCAATCCACCATGGATGTATGTATTTGGATAATGTCTCCTTTGTGCAAATATAGCTGCGGACACCAACCTCCCCACAAGAAGTCATGCCGTTTTATTTTGTACACAGATGATGCAGGGCTCCTTCCAAAGCGCTGCATGTCCCCGCCAGGTATCTACTTTACACAGTAAATAACTCTCCCCCCAGCTCGCAGCGCTACGCTACTGCACGCACCGCCACAAAATCCTGCTAGCCGAAGAGGCGGGGCAGCCGTCATCAGTCGTTGCTTGATTCGCAGGGAGCCACGCAGCTCCGACTTCGGGCCCATTCACTGTCTTTGCCTCCAGAAAAGCTATATTACAGTTGCACAGCTCCGCGTCTTCTGTTTCTCCCTACCTCCTGCTTCCGCCCTCTGCTTCTTCAGCCCCTCCGGCTGCCGTTATACTCGTATCTAGTTACAATTCATCTTCTTGTCATACCTACGCCTCGACACAAACGCCATGCCGTCTGCCGTGAAACCCGCGCGGACCCTATATGACAAGGTCTTCAATGACCATATCGTTGAGGAGGTTGGTTTGGTGGATATTCCAATTCCTCCTTTCGAAACTAACAATTCCTATAGAAGGAGGATGGCACTGTCTTGCTCTACATTGGTACGTTCACCTTTATAGTATTTGAGTTTCAAGTCTAACATTTTCCAGACCGACATCTAGTCCACGAAGTGACATCACCGGTACGGAAAATGCGCAACCATCGCACCCCCCTGGATAAGCGCTGACAGGCATCCCAGCAAGCATTCGAGGGACTCCGTAACGCAAACCGAAAAGTTCGAAGACCAGACTGCACCCTGGCGACAGTGGATCATGTAGGTTGCCGTGATGCATGCGCGCAGGTAGCCCCCACTGACACACAAACGCCAGAACATTCCCACTTCATCACGAAAAAACCTCACCACTACCGAAAAGTTCATCGAGGAGGCAGACTCGCGGACACAATGTATGACGCTGGAGGAAAACGTCAAGGCCTTCGACCTCACCTACTTCGGCCTTGACGACAAGCGCCAGGGTATCGTACACATCATCGGCCCGGAACAAGGCTTCACCCTGCCAGGCACGACAGTGGTGTGCGGTGACAGCCACACCTCTACACATGGCGCTTTCGGCGCTCTGGCGTTCGGTATCGGTACCAGCGAAGTCGAGCACGTCCTGGCCACTCAGACTCTCATCACCCGGCGGAGTAAGAACATGAAGGTTCAGGTCGACGGAGAGCTGGCGCCGGGCGTCAGCAGCAAGGATATCATTCTGCACGTTATCGGACTGATCGGAACCGCAGGCGGAACGGGAGCGGTCATCGAGTTCTGCGGCTCTGCTATCAGGGGTCTCAGCATGGAGGCACGCATGTCGATATGTAACATGTCTATCGAGGCTGGAGCACGAGCCGGTATGATCGCGCCGGACCAGACGACCATCGACTACCTGAAGGGACGCCCGCTAGCACCCAAGGTGGATAGCCCCGAGTGGAAGAAGGCAGTCAACTACTGGCTGAGCCTGAAGTCCGATGAAGATGCCAAGTTCGACGTCGAGGTCTTCGTTGATAGCAAGGACATTGCGCCGACCGTCTCATGGGGTACCTCGCCTCAGGATGTCGTCCCCATCACCGGCGTGGTCCCTGGCCCGGATGATTTCGACGATGAGGTGAAGAAGGAGGCTTGCAAACGCGCTCTGAAGTATATGGGCCTGACCCCTGGCACTCCCATGCAGGACATCGCTTTGGACAAGGTCTTCATCGGCTCCTGCACGAACGCGCGTATCGAGGACCTCCGTTCCGCTGCTCACGTCGTCAAAGGAAAGAAGGTAGCACCCAACCTGAAGAGGGCCATGATCGTCCCAGGGTCCGGCCTTGTCAAGCAACAAGCCGAGGCGGAGGGCCTCGACAAGATCTTCCTGGACGCTGGTTTCGAGTGGAGAGAGGCAGGTTGCTCCATGTGTCTTGGCATGAACCCGGATATCCTCTCCCCCGGTGAGCGCTGCGCAAGCACTTCCAACCGCAACTTCGAAGGCCGACAGGGCGCTGGCGGCCGCACGCATTTGATGTCTCCTGCCATGGCCGCCGCCGCCGCCATTGTCGGCAACCTTGCCGACGTCCGCAAGATCGCCCCCCATGCTTACTCAGCCAATAAGGGGTCACCCAAGGTGGAGCTGGAGGCGCACATGGAAGACGTAACCAGTGATGAAGACCTGGATCGCATCATCGACGCGCCCGCCGACGACCCCGCCACGCATTCGACGAGCAGCAAAGCCCTCGAGCACGCCTCAGCGGGAATGCCCAAGTTCGAAACCCTCCGCGGATACGCTGCGCCCATGGACGTGGCCAACATTGACACGGACGCCATCATCCCCAAGCAATTCCTCAAGACCATCAAGCGCTCTGGTCTCGGAAGCGCCCTCTTCCACGCCTGGCGCTATGAGCCAGGTACCGAGAAGGAGAACCCCGAGTTCGTCCTCAACAAGGAGCCGTACCGCCAAGCGAAGATTCTCGTCTGCACGGGGCCCAACTTTGGGTGCGGAAGCAGCCGCGAACATGCGCCCTGGGCGCTGCTGGACTTTGGCATCAAGTGCGTCATCGCCCCGAGCTTCGGCGACATCTTCTTCAACAACACCTTCAAGAACGGCATGCTACCCATTCGCATCACCGACCAAGCCGTCCTGGAGAGAATCGCCGCCGAAGCGAAGGCCGGCAAGGAGATTGAAGTCGATCTTCCGAATCAGGTGATACGCGACGCGGAGGGCAATGAGTTGACGAAATTCGAGGTGGAGGAGTTTAGGAAACATTGCCTGGTGAATGGGCTCGATGATATTGGCCTGACGATGGGGAGCGTGGACAAAATTGAGGAGCATGAGGCGAGGAGGTCCAGAGAGTGGCCCTGGTTGGATGGCGCCGGATACCTTGCCAGACATCGTAAGGGGCCCGTCAAGATTGAGGCGGCGGCTGTGCCGAAGACGAATCGCGGCGAGGTGATTAAGGAACCCTTGGAGTGGTAATGAGAAGGCGAGACTGCGGAGATTTAGGGGAAAAAGCAGATTGCTCATGGGCTATCTTTGACACCTCTGCGGACATGGATGGTGCACAGCTGGGTTTTTGGGACATTATGGTTGTCATCTCTGTATTTTGGAGCGCCTTTTTTCGTTTCAATTGTTCCATATGACGAACGATACGATTCCCGCTTTTTAAGTCAAGCAATCTTGACCTTTTGGAATGCAGCTTCCGCGTTGATTGACTTCCACGTTGATTCATGGCTTGACTTGCAATACAAGTTAGAAATATCCCCAGTTATGCAAACACAATTTGGTACTAGTCTCTCTTGACATGGCATTGCGCCATGAATAGTAGCCTCTGCGTTTACTATACATCTGAAACGAGAAGATGGATCTTGGTATATCCCTATCCTCCGCCTATGTAGTTCCGTTCTGGTGGAAATCCTTTGAGATACAGGTATATTCCCCTTGCCGACCGGCCAAACGCCCAAACACCAAGCCTTGGTGAGCCTTTAGCGCCTCTAGAGTGCCACGCAGCCAAAGACGTCGTGATAAAATACTATACAGCCCCACCAATTCCGCATAGCCTCATTTGGGCATTCCACACCCGCCTTCTCCCACAACCCAGGTCACCCGCTCCCGCTTTCCAAAAGCACAAAGCTAGCGTACCCACCTACCTACCAATTTACCTCGCACCCGCGGTCCCCGGCCCGGCCAAACTCCACCCCTTCTCGCGCATAAACGCCTCAATCCTTCCCCAAATCGTCTCCACGACCTCCCTATCCCTCCACCTCCCCTCGCTCCTCCCCGTCCACTTATCCACCTTGACACTCAGCACGCCCCTCCCCCACCCGGCCACACTCGCGGGAACCTCATCACCCTGCCACCCGACATAGACGCCGGGAAATTTCGCAAACAACTCGACGGGATTCGTATACTTGTACGACTTAAACTGCCAGGGCTGGCCCGTGGTGAAGATGGCGACGACGCGGTCCCAGTAGGCGGGTTTGAAGTTCGCCGTGCTGTCGACGAGGATGAAGCGGATGGGTTGCGAGGAGATGGACGGTAAGGTGCGCGAGAGGTGCAGCAGGTTCAGCCCGGCCGTGGACGAGGTTTCGGGCGCGTTGGCGGGGACGAAGACGCCGCCGTCGAGGAAGGATTTGATGTTTGAGAGGCGCAGGAGGGACGAGGCCGAGGGCGAGAGGAGGATGATGGGTTCGAGGCGTTTGCGCGGTTTGGAGGCGTTGGAGGCCGGGAAGAGCGGGTTCGTGGTCGAGGGGTGCGGGAGGGGGAGCGTCGTGTGTTGGGCTGCTGTGCGCGAGGGTTTGTAGAGGGATTGCGCGAGGGCGCGGTATTGGGAGAAGTCCTGCATTGCGAATGACGTTAGCACCATGCTTTACACCCAAGAAGGAGTTCGGAAGATCAAAAACATACCATGGGTTTCGCCCCCCGCAGAATCGTATTCTGATCCCCCATCTTCCTCTCCCCCTCATATATCACCATCAACCGCGCGTCCAGCTTCCCCTTGTCCCCCTTATCCACCGCCACACCCCCCGCCTTGCCGCTCGCAATCGCAGCGCTCTTCTCCGCGTCGACGCTCAGCCCCGCCCCCTCGAGCGGCTTGATACTCTCGCTCGTCTCCGTCTCCCCATTCAACCACGCCAACACCTCGATCCGGTGCGCGAAGCTGAGCTGTGCGACGGACCCGCCCGCCCCAGAAGGCAACTCCTCGTTCAAGGCCTGCACATCCGCAATGTAGTCCGTCAGCGACGCGTCTTTCTTTGTCCAGGCGAAGTATACGCTTCGCAGGTCGATGGGTTGGTTGCCCGGCGCAAAGCGCGTGGGTGCGTCGAGCGGGAACGTCTTCGTCTTGTGCTGCGGCGAGGAGGTGAAGGTGATGTGTGTGGCGTTGGCGAGGGAGGTCGTGGTGTCGGTCGGATTGTCGCTTGTGCTGAGTATGGCGGGCGTCGAGGTGGAGATGGAGAGGCGGAGGTTGTGGAGAGGGTCGTCGAGTTCGGCTTGGGTGGCCATTGTGGGTTGGGTGGTGCGCAATTGCGCGGGTTGGGTAGATGTGCTGTTCGGGGGTGAGAAAATACAACGTTGGGCGGCGCGCGAAAAGTGCGGATGGGTGAGGATTGAATAGATCTTGAATGCGGCGATCTATCAGATGGAGCTTTGGTGCTCGGAGATCGCGCTAGACCGCGTTGGGGAATCATCGTTGGTCTGTGCATTCACCTTCACTTTAGGATTGTCTCCCTTCACCTTCACATCTCAACATTGCATTGTCCTTTATGACACCCGTCAGTGGTCAAACGCCAGGGCCATAACTTGACTCACGCACAAAGTACAATCTTTCGTTCCATTATCCATGACGCCTCTCACCCAATGCTGTCCAGATCAAGAATGAAAGGAGTGACTTGAAGCAAGGAGGACGATGAACTTTCAACAATATGAAGTGTCGAAACCTCCTCCAGATAGCGGAATCCACTAAGCCACGGTACGACAGATGGAAGCTCTGAAATTCCAGTCACAGCAACGCTCTGAGGAACAATAGAGACCCCTCAGTGTCAGCGCAACGGCCCGCGTGTCTCTCGTGGCATGACCAGAGTACATAGCAGAATTATTATGGCAAAGCGTGATTTTATAAACTGCCATTTAGCGGCGAAACAGAGCGTTTAGCATCCCCGAGTACAGACCGTGGTGAAACTCAAGCCTATGTAGTTCGATGGACGATATAATATCGACTCACCCTTCTATCCCAATTCCACCAGCCAATCCAATTATAGAGAATCATGGACAGTTTTTGCTGTAGACTTCAGTCGACTCGGCGCAAAACACAGCTTCAGGAGCGAACTAATCATAAAACCCAGAAATGGCCCGCAACGTGGAGGTAGCCGCAGTGGCCCAGTTCTAGGACATGAGGAGACGTCACCGAATTGGGCCAGAGTGCAATATGGCTGTCTTCAGGAGATACATCAGAGCTTCTAAATCGATGCTACGTATTTTCGGTTCCCGGTTCCCTCCCGTTAACTGAATGTCGGCCGCTGTAGGTTAAATGCCGTCCATGCCCCTTCCTTCATCCATGTGCATGCTCCCTCCATTCTCTTTGCCTGTTCCTAGCCAATTCTAATAGAATTGCTCAAAGAAAATCCAATCCTTCGAAAGCTAGCCCGAGTACCGATTTTCCTCGCTCTCCCTTGAGATCAAATTGTCAAAAGAATTGGAAGGTGTGACTCTCAATGCCTACCAACAGAAGCAGGACGAAAGGGATCGATTAGTGAGCTTCTTTTTGGTGGTGTGGCAAGGTTCCTAAGCTGACTACATACGCGGCTCCATAAGCAACCTCTATGCTATACCTTCGATAGCTTCACGGACAGCAGCTCGTGATAGTCATCCCAAACTGTCCAAGAGAGCCTATTTCGGGGAACTCGCGTTTCTTGAAGAGAGCCTCGATCTCTTCCTTGCCCTCACCCTCCCTTCTCTCCTTCTCTTCCTCACTAGCCTCCCCCTGGATCTCTAATAGATCTTGATAGGGCAGTCTTCCCGTCATGATGTGGTAGAGAGCGGAGCCGAGGGCGAAGATGTCGGCATTGATGGAGAGTAGGGACCCAGGGTAACGATAGCTGGCATGTACTACAACTAGCAGGTCTGAGTCATTCCGAGAGGAGCCGCCAAAATCTGCCAGCTTTATGTCAAGCTCCTGTGTTAAGAAGACGTTGTGCAGATTCAGGTCCTGAAGGGCTTTTCCGATCGTAGTGGGGTTAAATCCAGTATGCCAACTCGGGGAATAATCGAAACACTCCAGCTTGGCCGCCAAACTTTTCCCTCAGTACCATGGACTTCTCAAAGTCAGCACAAGATGAGATTTCCCAATTGCACTTTTATAAAAACCTTGAGAGGTCTCACCATGGCGGTAGGACCGGGAAGAACTACCTTCAGGCTCACCCCATAATCCACTGGCACCTCCTCATCTACGCTTATCAATATCGGAACACGAGAGCTTTGCCGGGAGAATTGTCCTCCAGTACCATGGACTTCTCAAACATCAGCATAAGATGAGATGTCCGTACGAGGAACTCTATGCTCACGCTTAATAAGTATCGCATCGCAGTTGGGTAGGAAGAGCTACCTTCAAACTCCACCTCGTAACTCACTGGCAAATCCTCATCTACACTCATTAATATGGGGGTATCCCTCCGTATCTTCTTTTCCTTGACATTGACTCGCAAGCCTGTATTCTTAGCCGGACTAACCCACAAAATCCTCTCGTCATTCAAGCCTTCAGTCTTGCCCACGTCCCCCTTTGCAGCCGTATTCTTAAGCCACTCCCTCCAAATTCTCACGACTCCTTCCTCGACTTCCACGCAACTCGTAAAAAGCCCACGCAGCGGACTGATCTTCACAAGGCTCGATTGCGCTATCAACTGGGTGAACAGCTCATGTCCCTCGAGATGCAACGTCTGCTTCACGGTTTCGCCCTCGTACCCGTCTGAAATTGTGCCGGGATACGTTCGACTTCCCGGTATATCTCCTGGACGTGGGCGAACGCGCCGACCGTCGTTTTCAAGGTCACGCCTGTGTGGACGGAATCGCGAGTACATATTCCGCAATTCGCGCAGTCTAGCTGCTAGATCGGAGCTTTGTGCATGCCCATCGCTCTCGTGGAGCTTGCCCAGCGACCCATACCTCGTCAATCCATCCGTGCCCTGGTATGCGCAAAAGTATGGCGGCTCGGTAAGCTTCGCAGAGTCGTGGAAGCATTCAAGCAAAAGGGAATAGGCGTGCAGCTCTGAAGCTGCGAGGAGTCGGTTGCGTAGAATACGGAGAATGAGGGCGTATATGCGGTGCGATAGGAGGGTTAAAGGAAGGAGTTGAGGGGTTGGGAAAGGAGCTAGGATCTGGAGGAGAAGCTATGTAGGATTGTTAGCTGATATGAGACGGGAGAGAGCAGGAGTTCGCAGGATACCTCATTGGGGAGCTTGTAGATGTGGCAGTCAGTCATGAGGAAATGTTTTTGTCGTTCCTTTGCAGATGCGATGATGAAAGTGTAAAAACGTGATACAGGTGGCGATATGTTAACACAGCTACAGTTTCGATGCGGAGGGATTGCGCGCGGCTAGTAATACTGTGACACAGTAGAATCAACATCCAAGGATAGTGGTGAATGGCGAGTACTTAGAGCACCGGACGCTAAGCCCGATGAGGAAAAGCAGAGACCTACCAGTTACGGTTAGCTATTTTGACTACAATGCGGTTTCAAGTCTCAACCTCACTTCACCCTCTCTCCCTTTTCATTCCCGCTTCTGCGTCAAAAGAGTGCCTTTGAACAGTTTCATCATCGTCAGGATGAACTCATTTGTCAAAAATTCCCACGGAGGTGGCGGTCACTCCAACGGCCGGCCTCGCAGTCGGCAGCAAGTAGCAGCTAATGCCAAAGTTACGTATGAGCAGGTACAAGCCAACAAAAAGCAACCCCGCGTCGAAGCGAACACAGCTGCTCAGCAACATGCTCCAGCTCAGAAGCGTGGTATCGGGCAACATGATCAACCCGTTGGTTTGCGGCAGCTTCCTCAACTTGGTCGTGGTGCTCGGATGCATCAGGATGCTTATGGGACGGATGCGGAGAGTATCGACACAACAGTCCAGGGTGGTTCGGTCCATCCGCAGCAAATTAATGGGGAGTCCGACTACGGGGATGACGTTTCAGAGGGAGAGATGTATGACGAGGAAGAGGAAGGTGAGGGAGAAGAGGATATTGGGGACCAACAATACTACTATGAGGAACCCAAATATACGCCCCACAACCTCCAAGAGCTCGTCCAAGGCGTACCTGCTGACATCCGAGGCCAAGTGCAAGGGCGACTTGCGCAATATAACCAATACGGCGCCCATGACCTCTCCTACCCAAGCACAACGTCTGGTAACCCTGAGAACGTCTCCGACCATTTCGAAAGCAAACAAGAATCGATTGTGGACGAGGAAGAGAACCAAAGTCACATATCCCCCACTCCACAGAGGGAGGTGAAGGAGATGTTCGCGTCCATTGGCCCTGCCCTGCAACGCCCTTCCAGTGCATCAGAACTCCCGCATCCGGCTGAAGTTAATCGAAACATATTCAAACAAGGCGCTATGATCCGTGGGAACCGACCTGCTACAGTGATGGGCGTGCGGCCAGTTCAACAGAGAACAAGTACGGATCCACAGCTGGGTCTGCCACACAGCAATACCCAGAATGATAGACACCACGCCGTCCCTGGTTCTGCTCATGTCAAAAAGGAAGATGAAGTGACAAACGTCCAAGATCGCCAAGCGCTTCCTCAGCGTGGTGCTGGTACGCGACGCCCCCTCGCTCCGGCACCGACGCAAGCTGCAAAACCCACCAAACCAGTCGCCATTGCCGCAGCTGTTGCTCCAACAAGGCCACCGCCACCTGTGACTGTCCAGCCACTGTCACCTCCTTCCACCGAACAAAAGATGCACCCTAGTAGCCCTCACGGCGGGCTGCTTGAAGATTATGATCTCCCGGCATTATACACCATGGAGTATGAGCAGTTGAAGAATGAGGATTTTGACACCGTGCCCCGAGCGCCGCCGCCCGTGCTCTCTGAGGATATGGCGAAGAAACCTCTCCATGAGCGTCTGGAACACGTGCACCGAAGTTTGGACGCTGTTGATCAGTCCAAGTTTTTCGCCTCCATTCCCACCGCTGAGTGGGAGGAAGCAGGAGAATGGTTCCTGGAACAATTCGGAGAGATCATGAAGAGAACGCGCGAGGCGCGGCAGGCGAAGCGGAAACTGGCGATAGCATTCGAAGAAGAGGTGGAGAAGCGTCATCGACATGTCGTAAAGAAGCAGCGCCAGGTCGATGAAGCTTTGCAGAAGATGAGTGCGCAAGGACAGGGTCTCATCCCTCCCAAGAGTCCTGGACGAGGCTCGAAGTCTCCGCCAAGGCGCTGATACGAGCTTCCGTTGTGCTTTGCACGTCTCTACGACTCCGACGATTTGATGGCTTTACGCATGAATTATGAGGGATGTTAGGCGGACTTCTCGTCCATGATGATCGTTGTCATCAAAAACGGCCAATCTACACATGATTTTATCGCAATATACCCTTTGTAAGTAGCTTTAACCTGTTGCACTGATATGAGAGGTCAATCTTCTCCTACTGTTTGACACTTCAGCATTCAATATCTAGCGACGAAGCATTTTACGCAGTAACGTAGATGATGCTATATACTGTCCAAACACTCTCATATCTACTGTATCTTCTTCTTCTCTCCTTCTCTTTCCCTGTTGTGCGCCCACACATACACAAATGGGTACACTGTCTCCGGAACTAGTGTCACGATGATAATGGCAACGCTCAGGGTACTGCCCACATACTCCCAATTCTGCGGGACATTCCAATATCTCCAAAAGAAAACTCCGTACGCTGTATAACACCCAAGGTATCTAGTAATCCTATTGAAGCCAGTTAATCGACAAAGGCATGAAGGAAAATGGACCACATACCACATTTCCAAGCTCTGCCCCTTCGTAGATCCGTTCTTCAACAACAAGTACAAATGCCCCCAACCGATGGGCAACTGCAGCAAAATCCCCGTCCAGTAGGCAGTCACTTGCTCTCGTTCGTCGGGCCACATGCGGCACACGAGGTGGAAGAAGAGTAGGCCGGCGAGGACGCCTGCAATCAGCTTCTTGCACAATGCACCTCTCTCATTCGGTGCATATGCCGAGAAGATGGCTACAGCGGCAAATGAGCAGTCCATGAGGAACCACACGAAGAAGCAGATGCGCTCGAGGGTTGTGGATGTGGTGGTGATGGCGTAGTAGATCTCGTAGGCCATGGTTCCGGCGCTGGTAATAGTCTCAGAATCATGTACACAGAGGGCCGTTTTTCCCAGACTTGAACATGTGGAGTCAAGATATCGGCATGGGATGGACTCACAGATAGAGCACAGACCCCGCTATGTATCTATCCCGATACGTCCGGGTCATGTAGAACATGTAACACAAGGCATACAAAACCCCGCAAGCGATGATGAGCGCATCTTGAATGTATAGATAGCTTTCCGGGGGATTCAGTTTCAGATCCGATGGTTGCGGGATCAGGTGTTTTCCTGCGTAGCGGTTCGCAAGTTCGAATGGCATAGTGTTGTAGTACCGTCTCGTACCTAGAGTAATATGCTTTATGTTCCGGGATGACGATAGTTGCACAAAAACATGTGGAAAAGACGTGAAGGGAAGGGGTAAGCAGTATTTCTGTTGCCTGGAATTCATGAGGCTGAATAACTCGCTGGCGGATGGTGTGATCACGTGTAGTCATCCTGGCCACGCGTTCAGAGAGTTCCGCATGCGGCAATGTTGTTGAGAGGGTGAGCCTGATGATATCTTGACTTGTATTCTAGTAAATGCTGCTTGAAGGCAGTCGCACCGCAATGGATATCTCTTTCGAAGGCTTGTTTGAAGATGAAATATAGTCAGTACATTGTAGCCTCTGCCAAGGCCGTGCCCATCTGGCTCACATGTCAGTTGATAATGAAGAAAGGTGCCGCACAGTAGTGGATTGGGTGGAGAATATAGCCTAGGCCAAACCACAGTCGTAGAGAAGTGATTGCATTAGAGTCTAATACGACGGTTCTTCTATCCTACACTGGGCGTATGTAAATCCCATGGTTGCGAGGTAAATGACTTCGAAATAATGTAGGAAGCCGCTAAAGCGCCCCAGATGCAAGCCATTGGTACATAGCAACAGAAAGGAACCTCATCGGCTATGTAGCGATCGAAGAATAACACCGAGTGACGTTGGGCGATGGAGTCCGACCGTATATAGCCCGCCCCGATGACAACTGGAACCACATGTGCTCCTGAACTACCTGTACATAAATCGTCGCCCATCTTCTCTCTGCACCTAAACCATGCCCCCAACCGCTACAAGATTCATCTCCAAGACGCCAGACATATCTAGGATCCCTCCACAGGTACGTCCCAACCCAACCACACCTGGGCATTCACATCGCATATCGCACACTAACCCCAATACAGCTAGCCACATTCTACATCCAGAATAGCACACCACACCATGGCCCAGACGCCTCCCCCTCCCCGTCCCGCAAACCTGCACACCCTCCCCGACGACCTCATCTTCGAGATCCTGACGCACTGCCCTACCCTCCAGGCATTCCACTCGCTGATCCTGACACACCCAAACATCTACAACGTCTACAAGCGATACGAGAACCTGGTCCAACGCATCGTCCTCGTGACGCATGATTCTCTGCCGGGCTTCTACTTCAGCCGCGCTGCTGTCGAGGTCTATGTCAAGCATTTTGGAAGACCGCCTTGGAGTATTGATTTTCTTGTGTAGCTATAAGTGCTCCAGGGTGGGTGGGTTGGTTGCGAGTGGATATGTCCAGGTCGAAGAGAATCGGGAATAGATCTATCCTTATTTCGGACATGTTACAGTAGACCGGTCCTGAAATCGACAATACTGTGGTATCTGTAAGTCCTGAGAGAATGGAGCGTGCAGAAGAACACATGCTTTCATGGCCAATAGCTGCTTACGTCAAGGCGGGGGCATCGTCCTACTCAATTCTTCATGTGCTCGGAAGAAGGCCCGTCGCGTCAACCTTGGAGCCCGAGACTGCTTGGTGCGAACATGTGAACGTGCTGATGTTTGTGCTGGGTGACGAAGCTTGGAAGACAGCTGCAGGGACAAACCGGACCCACCTCCAAGGGACCTGAACGCCAAGTGCGCCATTCATTCAAGGCAAGCCACAAATGACGTCGATCTTACAATGCGCCACAACTCCCCAAACTAGCCCTAACAGCAGCTTCACCTTCATCCACTGCATTCGTCCCGTTTGTGAACATTCCGGCCGTCTTTCCTGATTACAGTCCGGTATGGCGAGTCGAGGGGAAGCTGCGGATTATTACAGTGGTGCGCCGGTGCAGGGAGCGAGCTATCAATCAAACCAGTATCAGCAGTATGGACAACAATCCATGTACACACAACCACCTCCAAACTACGGCTCTCCACCAGGACCGCCGCCGAATGGGCCACAGCAAGTGTACGGCGAAAAGAGAGATTTCGACCAGAAGTTTGCGATAGAGAAGCCCAAGTGGAATGACTGGTGGGCGGGCCTGCTTCTCATTGCAGTCTTCCTTGGTTTCGTTGCGGTGTCCGGAATAACGATTCAGGGATATTGTAAGTCGAATCGACCCCCGTCTCTGCAGCAGTTGCTGACCATCCGTTCCAGCTTCGACGTACGGGTTCAATGGCGGCGGCATCTACGGTAGTCAAAACACCTTCGGACTCTCCACCAACACCATTATATTATTCGCATTCGTCCTCACAGTGGCTGTCGTCCTGAGTTATGCATACATGTGGGCGGCGCGGGTTTTTACCAAGCAGTTCATTTGGATAACGGGTGCGCGATCCTACTTGTTTTGCTCACTGACCCCGGCTGACTGCTCGCTTTGATAGGGATCCTCAACATCGTTTTCGGTTTCGTAACGGCGATATACATGCTTTCGCGGCGGTATTGGTCGGGAGGCATCGTGTTCCTCATCTTCTCGATCTTCTACGTCTTCTGCTTCATTTCCTGGATACCGAGGATTCCCTTCTCCGTCCTCATGCTCCGGACTGCGATTGACGTCTCGAAGAAATTTGGACATGTGTATCTGGTGTCACTCATCGGCGGGCTGCTTGCCGCTGCGTTGGGCGCGTACTATTCGGTCACGCTCGTGGCCATCTACGTCAAGTATCACCCAGGCAACAACCCAGCATGCAATACGGGTGCTGGAGGTTGTAGCAATGCAAAGGTCATTGGACTCGTCGTCTTTGTTACCTTTGCCATGTACTGGGTGTCGGAATGGCTGAAGAACACGATCCACGTCACCATCTCGGGGGTATACGGATCATGGTACTTCAGTCCCAACAACTTCCCCAAGCGAGCGACGCGAGGAGCTCTCAAGCGGGCCTTGACGTACAGCTTCGGGAGCATCAGTTTGGGAAGCCTGCTCGTTGCCATTATACAGTTTCTGCGCCAGATATGCTCGGCGGCGCAACAGTCGGCGGCGCAGGAGGGGAACATTGTGGGGACTATTCTGTTCTGCTGTCTTCAGTTCTTGATCGCGATACTGGATTGGGCGGTTCAGTTCCTGAATCGATATGCCTTTTCGTACATCTCGCTCTACGGGAAGGCATACATTCCGGCTGCAAAGGCGACCTGGAAGTAAGTGACATGGACTCTCTCGTTGGCTATATGCCCTTCTCACACATGTCTAGGATGGTCAAGGACCGCGGCATCGATGCGCTCATCAACGAATGCCTCATCGGTCCCGTACTCTCCATGGGCGCCTTCTCCATTGCATATGCGTCGGCGTTGCTCGCGTACCTGTACCTGATATTCACATCACCGGCCTATAACCAAGACGGGTCGTATACACCGGTGGTGGTGGCGTTCGCATTCGTCATTGGGCTGCAGGTGTGTCAAATCTTCACGACACCACTGTCGAGCGGGGTGGACACGATCTTTGTGGCGATGGCGTGGGACCCAGAGGTGCTCATCGCCCAGCACGGGGACCTGTACGACACGATGGTGCAGGTGTATCCGCATGTTCAGCAGGCGATACACGCGTAGGCGACAAGTCGAGGGGCCCGAGGGAGAGTGTGGAGATGGGGAGGAGTAGGAGGAGTGGTGTGGTTCGATGCTGACTGTGCACATTATTAGTGCCGTATTAATATGATTCAGGAATATCGTGGACCCACTTCAACAAACGTCGGGCGAACTTGGCGGGGGCTAAGGACGGGAAGCGGAAGCTACTCTGGCCTATGACGTATTGGGATCGTCAATTGTGTGGCAGGGTAGCCTTGGAGCCCTGGAGAAGGTTGCGACCGGAGGATTCAGTTTTTGCGAAAGGGTCCCGTTCAGTCCCTGAAACACCCTGATCATCTCTGCCCATCAGGCCCGCTCCGAGGCCGAAATGCCAAATGCCCATATGTCGTGCGTGTTGGGCTGCGCCTTCTGCGGTATTAATATGGCAGTGCAGTAACGGCATCCGTCATCCGTTATCCGTTATCGAGAGCTTGTTGAGCCCTGCATGCTTGGGTGCCTGAGCCTGAGCCTTTTCCAAGTCGGAACCGATGGCGGGTCGGGTTAGCGCGGGTCGGAATAGTGCCATGATAGAGGACATGATGATGCGCTCTAGCTAGGTAATCCATACAAGTCATTCACACTACAAAAACGACAACATCTCCCACCTCAATTGACGTTCCCCCCATCTTGCCACGCCCACACCGTCTTGCAAACAACCCGCGCTGCCCCCCTCGCGCCTCGCAGACAGCCATTGCTTCTTCCCGCTGTGCCACTCGCCTCTGCAGCACAGAGCAACATACAGCCATCCAATCGCGCCTGTCGTCACCTTTCACCGCCTGCCGAGCCCTCCTCTCCTTCCACAGAAGGTTCGTATTGCCAACGCATTGGACCTCCCACAAGAGCGCAGCCTGAACCTTTCCAGAAGAATCCTTCTGCAACCAGGAGAGCCTCTCGCACACCGCAAGGGAGGCGATTGAATTCACTGGACAGGCTGGGACGAGTTGGACACACCATCTGTACCTAGAGACACGGCTCCCTTTGGCGAGCTTCTTCAGGTGAGTAGCAAATTTCGGTGCCTTTCTTTTCTTCATCTCCAGACCTCTCCCCGTTGCTAGCAGGTTGATGCTGCTAGTGATGCAGGTGGCGCCTTCCCCACGCTTACCTGCACCCTCCACCCTCCTTCCCCCGCCCAGAGGTTCCCCCCAAGCTTCCCCGAGCTTACCACAGCTCCCTCCCCAGCCCATCAACAAACGTGCCTGCCATTCCCAGACAAAAACACCCCCGCGGCTCCCTCCAGCCCCGAGTACATATAAGCCACCTTCCGCCCTTTCTCTCTCACTTCTTCTCTCTCTCACCTCGTTGCTCCACCTGGACTGCTCTTTCTCTTCTTTCCTGCTCTCCAATTCTCCTCTGCAACCACCACCACCTCTTACCTCTTACTTACTCAACTCGCAGCTGCCAGCCCATTTCGCTTCATTATCCCCCAACTTTTTTCCAAACACTCCATCCTCACAATGACGTACGAGAAGAAAGCTGTCCATTTCGGCGGCGGCAATATTGGTCGTGGCTTCGTCGCCGAGTTCCTCCACAACTCTGGCTATGAGGTCGTCTTCATCGACGTCATGGACAACCTGATCGAAACTCTCCAGAAGACTCCATCGTACACCGTCACCGAGGTGGGCGATGAAGGCGAGCGTGTCTTCACCATCGACCACTACCGTGCCATAAACAGCAAGCAAAACATGGCCCAGGTCGTCGAGGAGATTGCTACCGCCGATGTCGTCACGTGCGCCGTGGGCCCCAACATCCTCAAGTTCGTCGCCGAGCCTGTCGCAAAGGGCATCGAGGCACGCAAACTCGACTACCCGCTTGCCGTCATCGCCTGCGAGAACGCCATCAACGCCACCACCACCTGGAAGGGTTTCATCGTCAAGTACATCGAGGCCCACCTCAACAAGGATACCCTGAACACACTCGACCAGCGCGCCCGCTTCGCCAACTCGGCCATTGACCGCATTGTGCCTCAGCAGGAGCCCAATGCCGGCATGAACGTCAAGATCGAGAGCTTCTTCGAATGGTGCGTCGAGCAGAAGCCCTTCGAGAACGGCGGAAAGAAGCCCGACATCAAGGGCGTGCACTACGTCAATGACCTCGAGCCATACATTGAGCGGAAGCTCTTCACCGTCAACACCTCCCACGCGACTGCCGCCTACTACGGACACAACCGAAAGATCTCTTGCATACACGAGGTCATGGAGAACCAGGAGCTGCACGACATTGTTCGCGCCGCCGTCAGGGAGACTGCCAAGCTCATCGTCGACAAGCACGGCATCGATGCCAAGGAGCAGGACGAGTATGTCGAGTCCATCGTGAAGCGCATCTCCAATCCCGCTCTCAGGGACAACGTCGAGCGCGTCGGCCGTGCTCCTCTGCGCAAGTTGTCCCGCAAGGAGCGCTTCATCGGTCCCGCTTCCCAGCTTGTCGAGCGCGGCCAGCCGGTCGACGCTCTCCTGGGCGCCATCGAGATGGCTTTCCGCTTCCAGAATGTCGAGGGTGACGATGAGTCCTTCGAGCTCGCCAAGATTCTTAAGGGCAACAGCGCTGAGGACGTCGTCGCCAAGGTCACGGGTCTCGAAAAGAGCCATCCGTTGTTCTCCAAGATCGTCCCCATTGTGGAGAAGGTCCAGAAGGAGTCTGCCTAGGATGCCGATGGGGTTCTCGCGTAGATTGGAGCCAATTGTGCATTGCACGGAGGAGGTGAAGCCAGCTCGTGTCGGTGGTTACGGGCGGCAAAAAATATTTTATGATACCAATTCAAATAGAAGCGATGATTTGGCGAGCATGTGGTTCTCAGGGATGGCGCTCGGACAAACACTGCTGGACCTGGTGTTTGGAGTTGCACATTGCCGGCACTATGCAATGAGATATGAGGAATGAATAATGCCAATGGGATTCTCACTTCATCTAATTGCCGCTCAGTGCTACCTGTGTTGTCTTCTGTGTCTGATTCCTGGATATTGCTTGCTGATGCAATTGGCAAATCCCCTCGCAATCCATAGATGCTGGCGAGGCATGACCTTTTCCTTCCTACGCTATCGGTCTGCGTCCCTCGAATCTTGTATTTCCAGGTTCTCACTTCTCCATAAGGGTTTGCAAATCGTTCCACTACGGCCAAGGGAGCTGCGTTTGCCCCAGTGTTTCCCGTTTATTCAGAATGTGTCCCCGTCACTTGATTTCGCAGTTCATGTTCGAAAGAAATAAATTGGCGGAAACTATCCACAAAAGAAGGCGCCGGAAATGCTAAAAAGAATCTACAGAGTTTCGTAAACCTGCCCGTGCTCAGTCCGCCCTCTATAGCTTGGACTTGGACACGATGTAGCCGTTAGTCTTCTGGAGCCACGCGACGGCATCATCGACCAACTCATCGACGATCGCCCTCGCAGTCTTCTTCTCGGTGACTACAGCGGCGGCCTTGCCCATGAGGAAGGGGCGGGCGTTATCCATGGTCTCGTCATCGAGCTCATCGCCCAGCTTCTCCAGGTCGTGCTCGACCGGGATTATACCCTTGCTCGTGAGATCCTTGATCTCCTGTGCCCTGTTCTCCTCCCAGTTCAGGATATAGGGGTTGGCCCTCACGCGCATGGGACGGCCGGTGAAGATGATGGTGCGGACATTGTCGTCGAAGCCAGCAGTGCGGACGGCCTCCTGGTGAGCCTTGGGGGCGCCAGCCTCCTCGGACAGGATGAACCGGGTACCAACCCAGACACCGGACGCGCCCAAGTTGAGCGCGGCAGCGACGGACTGGCCGCTGAAGATACCACCGGCAGCAACGACCTGGACCTCGGCACCGGTCATAGGAGACTTATGACCCTTGACGAGCTTGGCGACGGTGGGGATCAGGATAGAGGTGGGGACATCACCGGTGTGGCCGCCACCCTCACCGCCCTGCGCGCAGATGATGTCGACGCCGAGGTCCAGGCACTTCTTGACGTGCTTGGGGTGTCCGATCATGTTCATGTAGAGGACTCCGTGCTTGTGGAGCTTCTCGACGACAGCCCTGGGGGGAACACCGACGGCGGAGACGAAGACCCTGGCACCGGAGTCGATGACGATATCGATGAGCTCGTTCAGCTTGCCTTTGGTGTAGTCGTAGCTGTTCACAACAAAGTCAACCGATTGTTCAGGTTTCAAAGCTCGCGAGTATCCTGTAACTCACTTGGTCTTGCGGGCACTGCCACCGACCTGGGGAAGGAGCAGATCAACGCCGAAGGGAGCGTTCTTGTCGTTGAGGTAGGACTTCAGTTCAGCGACCTGCTCGCGGAGCATGTCAGGGGTATATCCGACGCCGCCGATGACGCCCAAGCCGCCGGCATTGGTGACAGCCGCAGCCAGCTTGGGGCCGGCGGCGACGTTCATGCCAGCGAGGAGGATGGGGTGCTGGATCTTCAAGAGATCGGTGAGGGTGGTCCTGATCTTCTCTGTAAACCATGTTAGTTCGGGGACAAGTTGTGAACAGCCGGGGAAGACAAACGCGGAGAGGCCATGGTGAAATCTATTTGGAATAGAATACAACGACGGTCTGGGAAAAGGGTATTGTGAGCGAAGGAAAAGGAACACTGGGGTATATAATGCGGACGAAAGATGAAAGAAAGAGGGAGTGGAAGGGCGCAGCTAAGCGGTTCTTAAGGCCGCGCGTGAGGAGTCTCTGGTCGACCTCGTCCCAGTGATGCCGAACCGAGGCAACTTTCCTTTGGCGTCTTGCTGAGTCAGCCCCCCGCATCACGCTTATCCTGATTAGGTCAGGAGCTTGGCACGGAGGTCGGGGCGCGGAATCGTGCCGACTTTTCTTGAATCGACATTCAGACGAGCGACGACAGACAATCCCCACGGCGATGCAAACATGCTGGTCTCATCCAGCCTCTACCGCTTTCCGGTCCCTGAGGCGAATCTCAACAATTCGAGTTTCTTCAAGAAGCATTTGTAGAGTCGCCAATGTATCCACGACCCCACCTTTTGGGTGCAGAAGCATCCATTCGGTGACGACGAGCATTCCAAAAATGCCCGGCCCAATTAGCCCTATTCCGCAACGACAGATTCGCAACTTTCATGCTTTTCCCGCTATGGCGCAGCGGGCGTATATCGCCTTGGGTAGCAACCTTGGCGATCGGGTCACGGCCATTGAAAAGGCCCTGAGGCACATGGAGGCTGGGGGGAACATCAAAGTCCTCAGAACGAGTAGCCTTTGGGAGACACAGGCCATGTATGTTCTGGACCAGAACAAGTTTATCAATGGAGTTTGCGAAGTAGGATGCGCCAGTTGAACCAATCACGTTTTCACGTGCTTACCGCGTGGCTAGATTGAGACTACGCTGCCTCCCATGCAGCTCCTGGATGAACTTCAGGCAATTGAGAATAAAATGGGAAGAGTGAAAGTGATTGACAAGGGACCAAGGAACATCGACCTTGATATTCTACTCTACGGAGACCACGTGCTATCGAATGAACGGCTCCAGATCCCTCACAAGCTGATGCTTGAAAGGGAGTTTGTCCTCCGGCCACTGTGCGAGTGCGTGAGGCTTCTTCCTCTTCTCCTGAATCCTGACTAACCACCACAGACTCATCCCCCAAGCAACCCTCCCTCCCCAATCCTCCCTTCCACGAACCACTCTCCAAGAGCACCTCTCCGCCCTCCCTCCTCAAGAAACTCCCATCTCCCCTCTCACTCCCCTCGCACTCTCCCAATCCTCTACCCCCGACATGCCCACGCTGACCCCCTACTCCCCCTCTCGCCGCACCCTCATCATGTCCATCCTCAACCTAACACCCGACTCCTTCTCCGACGGCGGCCGCCACTTCAACCTCCCTCCCTCCACCCTCATGCAAACCATCCACTCGCACCTCGCCTCCGGCGCCCACATCCTCGACCTAGGCGGCCAATCCACCCGTCCGCACGCCCCCCAAGTCTCGGCAGAAGAAGAACTCTCCCGCCTCCTCCCCGCCCTGAAGACAATCACCTCCCTCGCCGAAACCCGCAACACGGCTATCAGCATCGACACGTACCGCGCCTCGGTCGCCCGCGCCGCCGTCCAAGCAGGCGCCCACATCATCAACGACGTCAGCGCGGGACTCCTGGATCCCGACATGCTCCCCACGGTCGCAGAACTGGGCTGCACCATCTGCCTCATGCACATGCGTGGCAACCCGGATACCATGAACGACCTAACTTCCTACCCGGACGGCGTCATCCACGGCATCGGCCGCGAACTCCTGGATCGTGTCCGCGAGGCTGAAAAGGCGGGGATCAGGCGCTGGCGCATCATCCTTGATCCGGGCATCGGGTTCGCCAAGACGCAGGACCAGAATCTCGAGGTTCTGCGCAGGTTGGATGATCTCAGGCGGTATCCTGGATTGGAGGGATTCCCGTGGCTCATAGGTACGAGTAGGAAGGCGTTTATAGGGAGGATTACCGGGGTCGAGGAGGCGCGAGAGAGGACGTGGGGGACGGCGGCGGCGGTGACGGCGGCGGTCCAAGGTGGTGCGGATGTCGTGAGGGTGCATGATGTGGGGGAGATGGCGAAGGTGGTCAGCATGGCGGATGCGATTTGGAGGGTGTAAGTAAAAGTGGGGCTAGAGGGAGATGTAGGATGTTTTGAGTAAAATCATTTCAAGTTGGAAATCCAGGCGCATGATGTGCATGGGAAAGGCACTTGCGGTCGGCGTGCTCGCAGCGTCTCTTTCAACAAGAAAGCTGAGACAGAACCTCGTAAGTAAGCATCACGAGGCAACAACCACGGAAAAAATTCCATCAGTAGGTCGTATTCAAGTATCTGCAGCACGGGTAACCTCCACATAAAGTCCGCATTTTCCTTTGACGGCAAGGGGAGGAGACGATCAGTGGTCGAGGGGCTGATAATAGCCTCGTAACCGAAATCTCCCAAAGATGCCGCCACTCGGACTGACTCCAAGCCATGAATCGTCCAGAGAGACACCTAAACTCCTCCCTTGCGCCATCCATTGCTCCTCCACGATAATCATTTTCACGACGGAAAATAAGCACCGGAGAAGCCGCGCCGAAACCAGTTCTCCACCATTAAATAAGTGAAAGAGTCCACTGGGCGGAAGTGACTTGGAAGATTCCCTTGCCATTCGCAAGAAAGGCCAATCGTCACGAAGCAGCCATTGCCCACGCCCAAACTACCATTTTCCAAGCCCGGACGTGATATCTCAGGTTAATTGAACCGGAAGCCGGTATCCGCGATGTGTTGGAATTCCAGACGCTTCTTGCCGAGCAAAGACTTGCGGTGCGGCTGCTTCCCCGGAGTGAGAAAGTGTTCCTTTTGCTCCACAACAACGTTTGCCGGAAGAATATCGAACGATTCCAGAGCATGATATTGAAAGCTAGCGCTTATATCGTCGAAGACAGTGTCGTGCCAGTTGATTTGCACTTTCTTGAGTTGCGGCACACAGGCCAGAAGAAATTCGACGATCTTGTTTGCGCGCATGAGAAGGATTTGCTGGAAGAACGACTCATTGCCACGAGAATCCGGTCCTCTGACCCACTGGGAGTCATACACGAACGAAATCTCCACCTTGCGGACACTCTTAAATGGAGAGACTGCGGCGCCTTCAATTTGACCTAGGATTTCATCAAGCATGGATGTGTGGGCGAAACTGCCAGTGGCATCTATGTGAACCACGGCCACATCGTAGAACCAATCCTTGATCTCAGCGGCCAGATCTCTAGAGAGAAGCATCAGTTCTTTCGGTGGTGGGCAGTGCGAGATACGCAGGAACCGCGGGACGTGGCGCCATTTGTGATGAGCTCGGATATATCGGACCGGGGGTGCTTGCTGCGTTGGAGCGGTCGTGGTGCCCGTTTCAGCGCCAGCCGTAACGGTGTCAGTATTTGTGGCATCCACTTCGGCGTCAGTCATGACCTCGTCAGCGCCCTCTGACCCCGTGTCTTCCTCTGCGTCGCTGTTCACCTCTCCATTCTCGGCTTCATGCTCCTCTTCGTTCTCGTCCTCTTCATCACTGGTTTCTCCATAGATGTCGTAGTCCTCCTCGTCTTCATCCTCGCCTTCACTTCCGTCGTCCTCGGACCCGTCGCTCGACATCTCGTTGTCATCGTCTTCATCCACTTCCTCTTGGAGATGCTGCGCGTCGTCCTCGTCGGATAACAGAACATCGGAGTTGTACAAGGGCCGGTACGTAGTGACGGGGTCGACAGCCTGAAGCCGCGCGATTTGCTCCTCGATGTCCATCTTCTCGAACCATCGCTGCAGCACCAACTCTGGAGGATTGGGGCCCGCAGCCAGTGCTTTGTAGACGTGAAACCGAACCTCCTTGGGCAGGCGTGAAAAGGTAAATGAGGCAGCCATGACGGAGGGCCGGGGCTGTGGGGTTCTGAATGAGAAAGAAAGTAGAGAGAGGAGCGGTTGTGCCACCGCAAAGTGAGGTTGTGGGCGGTGACTGCGAGGAACGAACGTAGAGCGTGCTTTTTATGTAAGAGCGGGGCAGCGAGCACCAAAAACGAAGGTGAAGCTTGTGAAGCTTGTGAAGCTTGTGAAGCTCGTGTGCGAATTGAGGGGTTCAGGTGATGATAGAGGAGCCGCGATGGTGATTGCTCCTGTTGCCTGGTGACCCAGATATAGAAGGCGCGGAGTCGGCGTTTGCAGGTGCACAAGGCTGAAAGCCTCTTTGCAACACGCCGAGTGAAAGAGGCTGCTCCATGGCTAGGGTAAAGCGGGAGGGGATATGGAGGGGAAGTACTGTACAGTATGAGGCAGCTCCGGGCGTGATGGGAGCATTATTACGTGTCGGTCGACGGTGGTGAATATCGGTTCCTTATCGACAAGAGCTACTTTCCTCATCGGGTTAGGCTTGAGGTCTAGCTCTTTTTGTCATACGCATTCGAAGCTCAAGCCTCAACCTTTGTCCGCCGTGTCCTCGTTATGAAAACACGTCTGTACCTGCCACTCTTGCCTCAGATTTTGATCTATGGACGATCTTTTCACGCTTCGTCAAACCCCCTTCAACACCAATGTGTTCAAATTGAAAACGAGGATGAGGACGTTCTTCTCTTATGATGCACCCGAGGTTTCAGGCCGAATGGCTTTCGCAGGTGTATTCACAATGATGTCAATGACTCACCAATACTCTATAGCATCCTCTCACCTTCTGTTGCGGATGAGACTGCTTTTAGGGAAGGAGGTTGCGATGCTACCTCCACTACGCTGTCAAGTCGAGAGGACAACATGCCCCCATCATCAACGGCAGCCATCCCCGGAGGCCTCATCCGCATTCTGAGAAAGTTCATCGCTCCGGAAGTTGCCGTCGTGCCATACGAAGACAAGGGACGATATGGTCAAGATTCTAAGACACGGCTGCTTCCAGCGCCTCACGGAGAAGCGAGCGTCAATGGTCTCCAGTACCTGTCGCGTCCGACGTTGCATCCGAGCTGAACACTGCATCCCGTCACTCCAAGAAACCCGTCTGTAACATTACACAACACGTCGAAACTCTAGATCAAATTTCTCGGTTATGTTCATGTAGTACGGATCTGGACGGTCGCCAGCTTCAGAACCTAGCTTTGAGAAGCGGTCCCGTGTACTTATACATGCAAGGGAAGATGCAGGTCGGAGGTGGCGGTGAGGAAGCCTGCATCGAGGATACTGAGGCAAATCCTGCATATCTTGGCTGCTGAAATCCTCAGGAGATGCGCTTCGCCGTTTTTGGGTTATGTGTCACAACAGAGCGCGGATGGCGAAGTGCAGAAGGCCGTTGCAGCGTGAAGTCATTGCAGTGTGAGGAGCTATGCACTGTCGCTACTGCTGTGGAACTCTGGCATCCACCCTCATGATCTAGCGGATTCCACACGGGAATACTTGCAAGCAGCCCTGCCGCACCTGGGTCTCACCGCAAGGACGCATCAACCATCTGTCTCAATCCTGCGATTGCTTGAGACCTCCTCCAGTCCGACCAGTTGTGGTTCAACAAGCCCCATGCTTCTTCATAGTCTTGAGTCCCAGACCGAATGTAATAGCTCCCAGCAAGCACCCAAACAGTCCAGCCAGCATCCCATTCTGGAATTATTCTCCGTAAACATGTAGCATACACCTTGTTATATGAGTCATCTGTCTGGGAAAAGCCGAATTCCGTCAGAACAACTGGCATCTGATTCCTCGCCGACGGATCCAGGGCTTTGAAACCATTGTTCCACAGTCCGCTCTTCATACTGTTGCAATCCGTTGCTGAGTTCTGGTAGTTGTGTAGCTCCAGGACGAGCTTGTCGGAGTACTTGAAATTCGATTTCTGGAACCGCTTGCCGCTGCCCAGATCCTCTGCTCCAGGGATAGGGTTGAGCTTGGTGTCGAAATCCAACCCTGAAAAGAAAATGAGTATATCGGGATTTGCGGCGTTGACAAGGTTTGCGGCAGCGACGTTCTGATCGTACCACACGCTCCAATTGTATGCAAGAGACTTTCCGGCTTTGTCGGGCTTGCGGAACTCGTTGCGGAGGCCGATGGAGACCATGCTGGTCCATTTCCTGGTCTGAAGAAGCGTCACTAATGATGGACCTCCTACAGCATCTGGTGTAGAGACTCACATGATCAGCCATAAACTGCAATCCGCGGAGCCATTTCTCAGTGTTGAAGTCCGTATCTCCAAACCAAGCGTTGCCATCATTGGTCGAACAACACCATTTCCCCTTTGACATATGATTGTCCAGATGCACATAGATGCCCTGCTTCGACAGCTCCGCAGCCACAGCATCAAACACCTAATCTGGACTTAGCAGATCCTCTTCCATCCTGTGATCCCAGAGCTGATACCTGCAACCGCGTCGTCGAAGCATTGAACTGCGGATTGTTCTTCACTACACTCTGCCACACCTTCTCCCCGTTCGCACTTCCCAACGCCTTCACAAACGCCCTCTGGACCGTTACATCCCCTCCATTATCCTTGATGTCATCCACCATCTCAATCGCAAACGTCAACCTCACTACATTCATCTTCAAGCTCTTGATCTTGGAGACTATCGACTCAATGGAGGCGTACTGCAGGCCTTCGGGAATCATGACTTCGCCTGCGCCGGGCCAGTTGACGCCTACGTACGTGAAGTTGGCGCCTGTGGAGTCGTGGATCCATCGCGTCGAGGTTTTGAAGGGCACGTTGGGGAACGCATGGAGGAGGGAGGGGAGGGTTAAGAGGGAGAAGAGCGGAGTGAGAAGATGCATGTTGTGGAGAGAGGTGCAGCCTGTGCGCTCTTGGGATTACCTTTGGGTTGCAGAGGTACGTATCTATATCGAATCATCCATCGCCATGGGCTGTTTTTCTTTCATATGCGCAACCCGGGCAAAGTCATCCTCCCGGATCTTGATTGATGGATCTACCATCTTCTTAATCCTACTTTTGAAAGCTGTCAGGGGAGATTCCTGCTGTGAAATATTCAATATCCGGGATTGATGGAAATGTTTCTATCTACATCAATTCGTCGGTTGGACATTTGAGCTCGGCCATTGGTGGAGTCGTTAAAAACGTCGGCTATATTGATCATCACTACCGGGAAGTAGATGTGGGGAACCAGTATATACACAGTACATATGAGGATGGTGCAGGGCCCTTAAACGGGCGCATGTGGGGAGGTGTAATCCACATTGGGACTGGGTTGGACCTCTGGCGGGCAGGTTTGTGAATATGATGAAGACGACATATACTTGTGCAGAGCTCCATTTGAAGCTCCAATTCCTCTTAAACTACCTCACATAAGTTGAATAGATAGTAGCATACACACTGGAGCCTAAGCCTTGTTTTGCGAGCATAGAGACTGCGGCATTGCTCGATATGCATGCTCAATTCGAGACTTGTGTGTTTGAGGAATGATTTTTCGTGAGTGTGCCTGCACAAACGGGGTCTGATACACTTTTCTAAGTCACGTTAACCCGTACCGAAGAGTTGCACATGCATTTTCGAACTCAGAACTTACATCGACGCCCCATGATAAGGGCGGAGATATCCTACACCAGTTGCATGTATCTAGAACTGTTTCGGTATTACGTTGTCGGGAGCGACGCCTAGCGGCCCTGACGCGTTGAGTCGGTGAATACAGACATTGCAAGCATATTGCTAGTGAGTAACCAACGCAAGTATGAGAAAGCGAAATGTGATGGTTGTATGTGACGAGAGACATGGTGGCGCGATGCCTTCAGATTGAAATATGTAGTGTAGTGACTGTTTCATTCGTCTATTGAGTACCTAGAAAATTTCCTTTTTCGCCAATAATATACATGCCGGTGTCATTACCCCATCCTTCCCAATTAATGCAGACTGCAGAAGTAAACTCGTGAATGAGAGAAGCCTCTATGAAGCTCTCGTCGACCACTGTACCACGTCTCGCTCCAACCCACCAGATGTCGTCTTCACATATTATTACTGACTTCCTGTCTGAACCCTTCACACTTGACGTTCAATCCTGGCTCGTACGGAATTTGCTCTGCTCCCTGAGCCAGGTTTCAAAGTCAGTTAACTTAGGTTCCTCCTTTCTTAACTCTTCAATATCAACACCATACCCCTCATCCCTGAACCAGTTCAACATCGTCTTCATCTCGGGCACAGCCAATAGCAATGCGCGGCCCAAAAGTCCGAATGTCACCGGGGCACCGTGTCCCAGAACCTTCTTGAACCGCTCGCTCAACTGATCGAAGGTCAGGTCATCTCCCGCAAGCCCAATAGCGCGCTTATTATATCTTTCCGGGTCGTGGAACGCGTTCGCCGCAAAGAGTCCGATGTCTTGAATACTGACCCACTGCACTGGCTTCTCGCCCAACGTATTCTTGAGCGCTGCGAGGAACACCTTGGGCGCGAAACCGGGCTCGAGGTTATCCATGAAGGCGACGGGGCGCAGAATGGTCCATCCCATATTCTCCCCCTCTTTCCCAGCCTTCTCGAGTAGATGGTGCTCGATCGTATTCTTGGTCTTAAAGTGCGGGACGTCTGTCGGGTTGTTCCACGACTTCTCGTTGCCGCCGCGGTCAACGGAGGAGAAGACGAAGTGCTTGACGCCATGCTTGATGCTCTCATCGATCAAATCATTTCCTTGTTTGATCTCGCCATCGTAGGTGGTACCGGAGCCCATGGAGACTTGGACGCTATAGACACCCCAGATGGAATCGTCCTCCCCAGCCGCGCGCAGAGCCGTTTTGGCAGAGGCAAAGAGCGCGGGAACATCGTTGAGGTCGCCTTGGACGAGAATCGTGCCGGGATATTTGTCGACGATGCGTTGGGCCGATCCAGAGGTTGTGTTGCGGGTGACGGCGAGGAGCTTGAATTCCCCAAGCTCGTGGAGGTGTTTGAGCACGGCGCCGCCTTGTTTGCCGGTTGCGCCGGTGACGAGAATGGATTTTTGATGTGCCATGGTGTGGTTTCTAAAGCTTTTGAAGTGGGACGTAGGATGTGTGGGATTGTGATGTAAGATGTATCGGAAGGGGATGTAGGATGTATGTCGGTGGGATGTAGGTGTGGAATTGGGAAACTGGTCTGTGAGTTCGCAGTTGCTTTATATATGGTATCTGGCAGCGATTTCTTTCACCAATAATCCGGAGATTCGACTATCCCCGGCTCTTACCAAGATTAAGAGAGCAGTCGCCGCCTACGATTCACTTCTTTGAGAGTCTGCACGGATTTCAAAGATAAGTACAACGCACGCCATATGCCCGTTTGTAGCTGGAGCTTGCCTTAACCCCACGCGGCCTAGAAGTGTCAGAACATCGTCATATTAGCCAAATCGTAGACTACCAATGGCGTTAAGGTAGGCCGCATTAGTACGGGGCGTCTCCGCAGTGCCTTCTCGCGCGAAAGGTAAGCGGAGCGACCTTTCCCCCGCTCGCTATCAATAAGCCCTCCAATACATAGCTTTGAAATCGGCGGGTGCTTTGTCATACTTTGGAATGACGAGTACAAAGCCCGATCCTGACGTAATCTGGAGGTGGAGTAATAGATCTGGGGTTCGCTCTGTGTACAATCGGATTTCTGGTTACAGAGATAGATTGTTACGGTTATGGCTCGTGCACTCAACTAAGATGTAGAATTGTCGTCCGCGCATCAGATCCTGTTGTTCTACATTTGCAGAATCCGTCTATCCAGGGTCATTCTCCCATCTACGCAACCTGGGTATAGCTGGTCACGAGGCTCTATACCGTAAACCCCACCACCACCTCGCTCTGAAATACTCAGGCAGCACATGGACTCCTCTAAAGTCTATTTCAAGCTCAATCTGAATCCTCGGTGAGGCGGGGCTTGTACCAGGGAGTAGTTTCATGTAGATGAGCAGCGGTGTATCTGTACTACAATGCCTATGCGCTCCCTGTATATTATCTATACAATTGCGAGGGTGAAGGTGCACTTGCAACGCGGACATATAGTAACGGTGGCGCATCCGCAGACTTCTCATAGAGCGAGGGGTGTGGAAGCGCTTTAACCCAAATAGTTTTGTTACCAACTTATGCTATGGACGTAAGGATCAAAATTCTTAAAGCTCTGAAACACCCATCCACTGACGAAAAGAGGGCAGTTGGCAACTGCGATTATCGTAGATTCTGTTCATACTGTAAGGGGGAGAGGCGAAGAGTAATTGGAAAAGCGACTTAGGCCGCGGCATACTCTCACTTGGTAAGAGCCGGATTTGTTATGCGCTGTTGCTACTCCTACCCTGCAGCAAAAAAGGGCTCCGTGTTCACCGGCGTCTATGTTTTTGTGTGAACAAGGGCACTACATTCTCAAGCGTTAATGCACTCCACACTAGGGCTACCCTGGAAACCAGCTAGACCTTCTCGGCTACTCAGTGCTTCTTCCTCAACGAAGACTTGTCGCACCCCAAGTCCACCTCCATCCTCTCTCTCAAATCTCTTATCTTCCCATCAATACTCCATGATAAGTCAGCTCGTTGAAGTCCCCTCCCTTCACGGCCTCCCTTTTTTTGAAGTTCTCTTCGGTCTTCCAATAGTTCACATGATCAAGCGTTCCCCGGTTATATATGTATGTCTCCACACCCAGCGAAGGGCTTGAGCTGTAAGCCTCTGAAATCCTTTTCTGGCGTTAGCTAGGGTAGCGTCTCGGACGATGGCGTTGAAGAAATCGAGTTCTTCGGTGCAAGGGGTGCCCATTGAAGCTGTAGAGTCCATCGCAAAAGAATACAGCATTAAGGAGGTTTCAAAACATCCTATCGCAAGCGGAACTGCACTTGTGGAAGCGGCACATTCTTCTCCCTCCAACTTGTAGACAACAAGCAATGGGACCGCATCGTCGATCCCCTGCGTCGCCCCATTACTCGGCGCGGGCACAAAGGAGTGCGCCACGTCTCTAATCTGCGTTCCGCGGGCATTTGGCAACGTCATCCTAGGTTGGGAGTTTTGCAACAGGGACTAGAAAACGACGATGGTGTTGGTTGGGACGAGTTTTACAAATCCCTTGAAAATTGCGGCTCATTGTGTCGTGTCCCATCGCTTCCCGGTGGGTCATCCATGCCGAAGAGCATTTGAGGCTCTATGCCAATGTTCCAATTTTTCGACTTGGATGCCGGTGGCCTAGAGTTCAATGAAGCAGGTAAGTTTGCATATAGAGTGGTTCACAATCCGAAATACTACGTATCTCTCCTCAACGTCTAGGTATATGTTATGACAGGCCTAAACGCAGTTTCTCACCAGAAAAACACCGTGATTGTAGTTGCGCCTATTCCGAAATGTCCACAGATTAGTTTCATTGAGTGGCAAAATAGTAAAAGTTTCCACTTCTCGACTCGTCTACATCCTTCCACATGAAGCCGACGGTACCACATCGCCCTTCTGGGAGCTGGGGGTAAGCACTTGAGCATCCATAAGTCTTCGAATATTCAATCCCAGGCCGTCAGCAGCAAAGAAAATTATGGACTTGCACTTCCTCGCGTTTCTCGTGCTGCAACCCGCTTTTCTGCGTATTTCGTCTTTATAATCGGCAATGACACGGCGATTGAATTTGACAGAACCGTTTTCTCGTTTTATCCTAAGAACGAGTCTGTTGTACAGCGGAAGGGTAATTGGGTTTCTTCGGTCAGACTATCGTTTGAACCAGCGGCTGTTTTGTCATGTCCTTGGAAATTTGCGTTAAGCATAGGCTAGCTTTCTAATAAAAAGGAGATCGTTTAATGCTTGGCCTTAGCAAGTACATACCGTCTACTCTATCGCCAGTCTCGTAGGTTTGCTAAAGGGCTCAGCTATACTTACCCATCGGAGAACTAATCGTACTTGCTAGTTGAACGCGATGCCACCGTCTAGAACCTGCAACTTTTTAAGATGGTACACCTTCGTGAGTATTCTTGATCCAACTAAACCATAGCCAGCAGCCCGTGAATCTCCAAAATCTTTTTGAAATAGAGGAGATTAAATTTCTGGGTCGCTACACATGCCGCAAGCTGGAGCTAGCTATATTTTGCGTAGCTTTTAGCGTAACATTGATTTGGCTTATCTCACTTCTCAATTCGAGCTAAGTTATGAGGTTGTGGAGAGGGTAATGCCTAGAAGAGTGTGTCCCCTACAGTAGGACTCTGCGGAGAAAGTGATCGTGGCCTGCTTCTTGAATTCTCCTTAAGTATAAGTAGAGCTGGAGTGACCTGAATAGTCAAGAGAAACTTTTCGTTCAAAACTATAGAAAGTTAGGCTTAGTTAACGTTTACTCAGGATTGCGCGCAAAAAGAGATAACACGACGGAACTGCCCCAGTGTGCACCTTCCGGCTATGATTTTACCTTAAAGAAATTTCCCATGAAACATGTTGCTCTATTCCTATTATAGCAGTGCGCGAGTGTAGCAGTAGAAGAAATGATAAACGGTAGCCTAGGATAATGCTGACATCGACTATAATGTAGACTGGGCCCGCACATACAGGGTTCGTGTAATTTGACAAGCGTCTGAACTCTCTGAATTACCTAGTCCAACCAAATAGTCCTAGTTTAAAGGCACGGTAGAGGTCCCTGAGGCGTAGGCTAAAGTGTTATGCACGGGAGGCAACCAGCCACCCCAACCTGGAATGCAGTGCCTCAGCCTCGCCGCAGGTCATCACAACCCAGCACCACGGCTTGCTGAAAGGCTGACAACCGGTCCAGAGGTGCGAGCATTTAGACAGGCTCCTCGGGAAAACGGGCTGCGTGAGGATCGTGTCTATAGAGGAAAATAGAAGCTGACGAAATGCATTTGTAATAGGTACTTTTGCCAGTTGCACCACGGGATTCGACCTGGTCTGATGACATTGTGAACGAGTGCCGGATCAACAAGGTTGACATTGACACGCTCACATCGTCATGTTGAGCGCTGGTTAGAAGGGTTCGCGGAAGTTTGTATGTTACAATGGAAGAAACCTGTTTGAGGTGAGTAGGAAGGGGAAATCGTGGGCAGATATGATGGAGATGGTCAATTGCATTAGGTAATGTGTAAGGCCTGCGAGACGGAATGTAGTGTGAGCGTGTTATGTAACAGCTATCATGGACTGAAGGCTAAATGTAGAGGACATTAATGACACTGTTTCCTAATTCGATCGTGCGACGCGATGTGGAAGTAGTGAAGCGGTGCCCTAGTGCCTGTTCTCAGCTGCCCCGTACACAGCAAAAAGGATGGTGTCTGTGGTGATTGCTTCGGATGTAAACCTAACAGCACAAACTACTACCAATTTGGGAGGTGACTGTATCTATCATTCACTCAGGTTGATACTGAAGCGGAGAGAACTGTAGCATAGTCCGTGCAGGAGGTCAGGCAAAGGCCAACCTCATGACACACAGAAACGAAAAGATATCCCTGTGACTATGCACCTGCGATCACTATTTCAATCATCAAATCGGCCTGCGTACTTCGATTCTGGAGGTGGGCATGACTTGCCTATTTGACACCCAGCTAGCACAGTGCTGTGTCAGCATTTGGAATTGCAGAGAAGTGCTTCACGAATCGTAACTATTATCCTTTGGTATTGGTTCGAGCATGTGACGGAAACGCATTGTGAGCGGGTGTGCTGGGCAAGAGGGGCCGAGACAGTGATATCCTGGAATGGTTTTGGTAGCGCGAGGGCCTGTCGCTATTCTCCCCTGCAGTTTGTGGGATAGGAAAGAAATATGCAAAAGATCTAGGAGACGTAGATAACCATCAGCCGAACCAAAAAGAAATCATCAGCCTGCCTGGATGTGGTTGACCATCTGGCAGGGAGAAACCCCCTCACACGAGAGAACTTCAATTCGGTAGATATAGCGTACGGTAGAAAGATGCGGTTGTCAATTAGACAAAGTCCGCTGTGTGCACTTTTCTTGGCCGCATCTTTGCCGTTATCCGCGAAGCCTCTATGGCCGATCCTAAGAAATGGCAGCTCTCCGCCGCGGTGCAATCGTGAGGAAAGCCGCCCAAATGAACCAAGAAGCGTCTCGAACCCTCTTTGACGGCTTCCATTCTGACTGCATCTACTGCCAGCCTGCCTGCATACGCTGATCATCCCGTCGTGGGTGGAACGAAGTGGAAATACGCAGCCAGTGGCCTTGGAGTCCGACGAAATTGCGTATCATTGAAAGGAAGAATGCTCAAACGTCAACGCGGCAAATACGAGGGAAGGGCAATAGGGCTCGTGCAAAGCTGGCCTCTGTTATTGCTGAGGCCGGTAGTGAGTGTTCCAGAAGCCTTGTTGCATGAGCGTGTTCGGTGAGTCGTCGTGTTGGACGGTGATTGGCTCAATGACGTGGCGGAGAGGAAGAGGAAATGGTTGCGGGTTTGAAGTCACTGCGTTACTGTGAGCTAAAAGTATTCAACCGTCAAGTAAAAGTCAAAAAGGGTGTCGTCGCTTTATTACAATTGGCATCAGGATGGATGTAACGAACGGGGGTTACTGTGGGAATCACGTGGCGATTGTCGCCGGTTGATGAGGCGTTTAACCAAAATTTCGAGTTCTTGTAGGGTACGTTCGCTCAGAGTTCGCGACGCGCCTCATAACCGATCTCGCATCGCCTTCTGCGGAGACAAGGGCAGAGCCCCCTTTTCACGAGGTTGTTCGCCCCGTCACCTGCGAGCCAGCGTCCGGGATGGAATTGGAAAATCGGTTGGCATAGAAATCTCTTAGGCAATGATGCGTTGTCATCCGCGGGACACGCCAAGTATTGTCCGCAGGTGGAACGAACGAGCGCAAGGGGAATCGTACAGGGCGGATATTGCGCACTAGAGCATCACAACCAGAGACAGATGACGTTGCTGATCTCTCGAAGAGAACCATTGCAATCGTGAAGATATCGGTAGGTAGAGGCAATGTTTTCCGTCACGCCAGGCAACGGGAAGCTTGGAACGGGCCGCACGTGGAGGCCCCAGCGAGAGCGAGGAACCGCCCGTCATCGTCGCTGTTTTTCTTTTTTGAATTCACAGGTCTGGTTCTGGTTCCAGGTGGCCAGCCATATTTTCGTGCAAGATTACCCGGAGTTTGCGGTTCCAGATGGCTGTGCGAGCCTTCTCGAAGCACTGTTGACCGTGATGCACCCCTCCCTTTCACCCATCCGCATCCCAGCCGCGGCTGATTCGTTGTGTTCGCGCTGGGCCGTGCTGCCATCTTCCCCAACCCCCGTCCGGCTCCCGCATCCTGCACAGGATCGGGCAAGTCATCGGGGCGCCGCCATGGGATGGTCCTGACACGGCCTCCCATTTGCGAGCCAAGCACCGTCGACTGACTGTCTCACGAGAACGGCGTTGGCGAAGCGGGCGTGGGTGTGCCCTGGTGAAGCTCATAATGAGGCGCTGCACATGTCTGCCTCCCACTGCCTCTCCGCGCCTCCATCGACTCTCATCATCGCTATGTAATAAAATGCGGAAGCCGTACTATATGGAAACCGATCCATTCACTGCCATCTTCGAACTTCTCTGAGCGCACGCTGCTTCCGTTTCCCTCTTTGTGTCGGTGACTCTCTCCCCATCCAGCTGAGGACACCGCGACACACCGCAACATTGACCACCACCTCAACCACGCCTCTCCAGCCGCTGCTCCTCACTCCCATTACGACATTTTTCTTCTCAAGGCATACATAGACTCTTTGAATTATGGCGCGAATCGTCCATGGGCGGCAATACGAGTCGAGCAACAGCACTACCGCCTCCGGTCGAAGCGGCAGCACCACTGCCTCTGGCCGAAGCGATAGAAATCGTTCCTATGATACCGCTCCCACTGAATACAGCTCTGCTCCTACGCATTCGGACATCCCCAAGACATGCTACGCACGCGTCGAAACCCGTGGTGAGGATTACTTCGCACCTTATGACGACGCCCGGCGGAACGTACTCCCTGCAGCCCGTGCCTCCTTTGATACCTACGCATCCACCTCCGAGGAAGACCTCGATGACGACGCTGACTTCGACGATGTCCCAGAATACCAGGTGCCGCAGTACCACCAGGAGCCGCTTCCCGTAGATGCCATCCCTACTACACCTCGAGACTTCGCAGACCTCTTCCCGACTTCCAAGCGCATCTCCATCCGCCACGACGATTCCACCATCGACGGAAACATGAATCTGCGCGTCGACACTCAAGTCGAGGAGCGCCATCGCAAGAAGCAGAATTACACCCTTTTTCATCTGCGTATGCATGATCTGCGCTCTCGCGAGTTCTCCCTTCGCCGATACTGCAGGGACTCTGGCCGCGAAGTCTGCCATTCGAGGCGTAAATACCAAAAGCCACCCTCTGAGAAGCGACCAGTATTGCAACGGGCGAGCACTGCGCTTGCAAGCCTCGTGTACAAGCCTGACTCCCGCCCCACGACCGCCAACGGCCTGAGGCGTTCGGATTCGGGCTACGAGTCTGTTGCAGGCGTGAATGACGAGAATGAGTCACGTCCCAAGTCTGCAGGCTCCAAAGGTCGTGCCTTGATCCCGACCAACACCATCAAGCTGGAGTTCTCCAACTACGCCCATATTGACATCAAGCGTCGGGGGGCCAAGTCGTCCAAACGCTACGAGTTCGAGTACTGGGGGAACCACTATTCGTGGAAACGCATCGTACAGAAGGAACAGGATCATGAAAGCGTGACCTACTACCTGGTCCGTGCAGACAACGAGAAACACGCCCTTGCACACATTTGTCCCGTCCGACTCACCCCAGATCAGGCGCACGAGGAGGCTGCCCGTGGTGGCTGGATTCCTCCATGCTACATGCGCATTACGGACGAAGACATGCTAAACTCTTCGTCTGATATTTCCGAGTAAGTGGCAACGACAACCGAGGATGTCTCCAAAGCATGAGCTGATCGATATCCTAGCGTTGTTGTTGCAACCGGTCTTATTGCCCTCGTTGATGACTGCATCAAGCGACGCTTCCACTCAAAAACCAGCACTCAGCTGCACATCCCACTGATGCGTAACACCTCGTTCAAATACGTTGGTCCCAAGCGTCTGATCGATGAGGTGTTTCACCGAAACACCCGCAACGGGCCTCCAACGAGGCGTCCCACAGCGTAACGCCCAACGTCATCCGACCCCTCGAGTTCCAACTAGTTAGAGGGAAGGTTGACCACTGGTCACTATCCACTGCCCCCAGTGGGTACCCGCATTCCCTTCCAGTATATTACTTTGTGCATAGTGCCTTTAGGCCCTCCGTCTTGAACTTGAGAACTGGATCCGTGCGTGTCATTAGCGAGTGCTGGTTTTGACGCATGGCTTGGTGGGCGTGCTTTCGTAGCGAAGGAGTCTGGCGTTTGAACCCGCATAAGGGTATTCTCTGCCATGAGTGCTACCGTATGTTGTCATTTAGACCATCGGATAAGGTGTATGGCTCGCTGAAAAGGACTTCGCGTTCTTGTGGGTGTCATGTCATTCAACTACATTTGGTTATTTCATGAGAACGAATTATGAGCACATTCACGACCTTCATATCTTATTCTCTTTTTGCATAGTATATCCCTCGAAGCGGAAGATGCGCCTGTCGCTAGATACCTGCCAGTCATCCGGTACTTATCCTAAGCAACACTTCGCGGATCGATCCATACCCCTGGTTTTGGTGCAAATCACCTTCGTCCTTCCACGCAGTACATGGATATTGTGGGTACCCATGCCCGTCACATCAGGAGCTTCAGGACATTCGACTGATGCCCATTGGACAGTGCTGTCAGATCATAAAACATGAGGCATAGCCTGACAGACAGCACCTCCGCTCCGTTCTTCGGCCCCACAGGCTAACAGGTACGCGGATCCGAGGCGTCTACATCCTTGTCATGGGAATTCTTCACTCTCCTCCGGCACTAGGCTAGCTATGTCTTCGATGTCTGCACGATGAGTTGGCATTCTCCTACTTTCTTCTCCTCCTTCTCCCATTCTCAATGGCTGCATCATCCGCGCGTTGTTCAATTGCCTATCCTGATCTGTTCGCATGCTTGATATGCGATGCGACATTACTTACACTCAAGAAGAGGGATCCGTGTACTCGGGTCATAAGGCACCCGCGCATACAGTAAACAAAGCTTGCATCAGCTTCAAAGTGGCGAGAAATAGAACGCGTGTTGTCCCCTCATTACGCCTCCAGAGTTGTCTATGATATATAAAGTCCACCTGGCCGAACTAGTCTGCAAGACCCTAACCCTCAACCGCCACGGCCGTGTCCGCTCTTGACTACCCTCTCCACTAAGCGATCTGGTCGCGTGCTAGCATTTAGCAGCACTTGAACAGGACCAAGTAGAACATGGCAGAACCACCAAGGGAGTCATGGGCTCAAAGGCTACGAGGCTCGTGCATGGCCGCCGTTGGACTATGCTAGCTTCTAACACCTTCCAGATCACTGTGCCGTTCGTGGCTTTCCAGCGCCGACGTTCCAAGACCACTCCGACCGTCGAGGTGCGTACGACTTCAACCCCTTCATGATGCATTCTTATCACCTAGTGCTTGGCTGCTTCTACGGCAATTGTACTATGTGATAACCGACGATCAACTCCTCGAGCTAATACCATCCATATACAGGGAGACGCACGGCATGGACCTGTGTCGTTACCGTCAACGGAGTTCCAATCAATGCTCGCTTTTCCTACGAGTATGACTACATTGCCCAAGCCCGCGAAGACGCCGCCGAGCAAGCGTTGAGGTGGATCACGGGCGTTACCGACATTGGACAACAGCCTCCTCCCGCGAGCTACTATGCCCAACAGCGGACACAAAATCTGCAGAGCTCGCAACACCTAATGCTGTCTCAGGCAACTCAAATTCCCATCCGGAACCCAGCACAGGCTCAGCTTCAATATCCAAACCCCATCCTAGCTCAGCAACAGCACCCGAACCAAAGCCAGAACAGACAATACCCAGGCGCGAGGTGAGACACCTGGACTCCGGACGAATGACAAACACATTGGCCAGGACAGAAACTTGCCGTTTCAACCTTTTCGACTTGGGCTAGGTGTATTCAGGGAGGCCTACGTCAGTTTCAGCAAGGGATGGTTATCTTTGTATAGGGTACTGGTTGGCAGACTGTCTCTAAGTTTTTCAACGTTACTACATGTTGGTATTCATTACGATTCCGCTTCTTTGCCATGATCTTTTTATGCTTGTCGGCACCCTGTCTCTGCGGCATTCTCAAGTTCCACTTCGTTGAGAGACATTTCCACTGTACGTATGATAAGAACTCTACCCAGTTATACTTCCTTCGTCCTCTGAATATGCATATCACCCTATGACCAACCTGAGACTCGCAGCCCAAAAAGGCACATTCGGCCGAAGTCCCTGCACCCCTTCGCCAACTCAGCCCGTCAGCCCTACGAAGGCCAGGCCACGCAGCTAGACTTTGCACAACATAAGCCGCCATTCACGCTCCCACCTGCCTTGCCCACTTTGTGAACATTGTCATTTTTCGCCACCCTCGTAACGCAGTTGCACCTTCCTGGCCACTCCCAACCCTCCGTAAAGAGACATCTAGTACCGCACGGACCGTAGTCAACCTTTACCTCCCCGTCTTCCCGATGACTTTACCACCAGTTTCCAACGCCACCCTCCTCCCACCTTTCGTATCTGCTCTCATTTGCCTCTCTGAAACGAGGTTCTCTTTGCCGCTCGTCACAACCTTGCTGGGAGCATTGCCGAGCAGTGCTTCCCCGAATATATCTGGTTGACGCTCCGACGTTATCCTTGGGGCTCTTCTGCAGCAGCTTTCCTTCGAGGCTCACCAGCTCACGAAAATGACACGCTTCGATGCGGCAGCAATGCATGATACGAAAGCCCGACCTTGCTAGTCCAACTCGAGAACCCGGAGGCGAAGGGGTGCAGAGAGCCTACCTTGACCTCATGTGCTTCACCTGCGACACTGACTCAACTGAGTAGTTGCGTGTCTAAGGAGTCCCTCGCCTCTTCCCAACCACGCGGATATCCAGCCAACACAAGTAATGAAGTCCGGGTTGCTCAGCCTATTATTTCTAGCCGTACTGTTCGTCGATCACATTCCAATCTTCACCTTCCAGCCTGGGCTCTATGCGGCAGTTGACCATATAGATCCAACGAGTCTCTCATCATGATACCAATTTGGACTCCAGGTCACACTTTTGCAGTGCCTTCGGCCCGCTTTTCGGAACGTAAGCTCATTCGGCAAATATTACGGAGGTTTGAACAGTCATCAGGTCCTTCAGCCCCATGACATAGGCCGCCGAAAGCGAAGATGAAACCTCTTGCTATACACTCGACTTTTGGTCAGCGCTTAGGACAACTCATACTTAACATCAGATAATCAATCTCTACGGCAATGCTTTCCCATCGTGGTCTCCGTTGGGCTTGTCTCATCGCAGTCTAAATCCTTAAACTCCTCTTAACTGGCTCCAAAAGATGCGCACACCCAATCTGAGCTCTCTACGTTCCGCATCCTCAGCTTAGGCAGCAATGAGTTAATTATGAGTTTCCGCACCATCCGCATGTATGCCTCCTCAATGTTCTCAGCAGTATCGTTTTCATCTGCAGGACGTCGTCACGCAGTTCTATCATATTTAGGATTAAGGCGCGGACGCCTACCACGGCTGTCCCGAAGCCGCTCCCGCTGTATAACCCCTTACGGTGATACCGCGATTAAGGACGCGGCGACATAACATACCCTTAGACCACTCCCGTCAATACGACATGCAAGAGTGGCCGACAACCCCGCAAACCACGTCAATCGCCTAATGCTCTGGTTCCCGCGTGGTAGTCTGTGTGAGGTGATTGTTGGCGCCATGTGTGCGCTGGCACTACTTGAAACTGCTCATCGTCTCCTCAGGAGTGTCTGGGCCAGCCACGGCCCATGTCAACCAGCCTTCGGGGACACGGAGCTCTACATCCGCAGCCCTGGATTTCTGCTCACAGACGTGGAGCTAAATGGTGCATGAAATTCTGCGGCATTTACGATGCTGGCCACATCACACTCCTCAACGTGGTTGACGTCTGCACTCATGGACGTATAGGGAAGTGCCTACGCCGATTGAGGTGCTCAACATCATGGTAAACAGTGGCAGCGGACTCCGGCCCCCTCATTTCCAGCCCACTGGGTCCTCTGTGGCTCCATGGCCCGCATCGTACAGCAACTCCGCCTTGCACTACGGCCGGTGCGGATGACATGGCGGCCGTGAGAAAGTACTGTATGCATTCAGCATGCCATCTGCTGGTTCTACCAATCCGAACAGGAGTAACAGATAGAACAACAAACATGTCGAACGATGCACGCGGTCCCTTCAACATGAACTACGGGCGTGACAAACCAATCAATAGACCACTCCATCGTCTCCAAAGTCAGCGGCCCCTCGAGATTCGAGACTTGTTCAACTACAAGGATGAAGTGCAGTTGCGGAGTCCAGTAATTGCAAGGACTGGGCTCGGATATTCATGACGCGCTTGAATGGCACTCTCAGGTGAATGGAGAACTGCCTGAGCGTCACAAGCTCAACATGATTCTATCGATTTAATCACCGTTGTGTACGGCTTTGCTATCATCATATATTATAACTCAGGTCATCTTGCCTCAACAAACAGCGGGCGCAATCAGGACGACCTGGGATCCAGGGCGCGTATTAACCTCACCATTGGCCGCGAAACTCGGGGGAGCACTTCGCGACGAAAGAGGACGACATATGGAGACACGCATTACAGGAGCTAGCCCTTCTGAAATGAACTCTCATTACCCGTGAACACATATACAGCATTCAACCAGCAAACTCATGCCGTAGAGGTACGGTGGCAGGAACGGTGCATGTGTGCGAGACGCTCAAAGGGCACTTGCACACCCCAGCCTGCATTTCACGGGAGCGCACATGGTCCGAGCACACTTCGGCCATCAAGCGCCGTATCCGCCAGCTTGGGACAGACTTCTGTGCTGTCCCCTGAAGCTGTGTCTCACCTCAGGCTCTACCAGCTTTTCCTCATCAAATCTGGTTCTCTTAACCTCGAGGTGTCTTCACGTTAGGAATGGGTTAAAACGGACACACGAGCCACTGAGATCAGTCATGCGGAATATGCCAACCCCAGCCTTTCGCGCTCATGGTCGAACTTCTCCCTGGCCGATAGAAATCCCTCACGGAACCTGATCACCCTTCGAGAGACTCCAAGAAGGCTCCGTTTCCGAGTCCTGACCCGCTTACTGCATGAACTGTGGCGTCGTTCACGGAAGATGGAGGTTATTCTTCAAAGCGACTGCCATCCAACCTCTATCAACAGCCGTCGAGACCGTAAACCCATGATGCCTCATTGTGGGTTCACACAGCTTCTGCCATGGTGGCTCCTCGGGTCTCATAGGGAGAATATCTTGCCATATTTGTACGGCCTGGTGGATACAGCCGTTGCCCCAGCTGTCTCTGTTTACCGGCCACAGGTAAGCCGTCCCATATTCTTGCCCATCACTCCTATTCTCAAGACTCAAAAGAAGCCGTTTCTCACCCTGTGAGCATGACTGACACGTAAAGAGCCGAGAGCCTCAGGCTGTCCCGTCTACATCATCCTCAGAGCCGAACCCACGAAAACGGCCGACGATTCTCTGCCATTACGCCATTCGACCCACGCCATTCTGGGGCGTATCCGACCCTCTTCAATCTACTATTATCGGTCTCACAACGGAGAAAGAAAGTTGTATCTCTATGCCTTGGCTATGCTCGCCCCACACGGTCGCCTATCCCGCTCGAGAACGCTCGTTGTGCAACAAGCCAATTGTGTAACAACTCTTCTTCTGAAAACGACGGTTAAGCGCCATTTCCCCCATGAACAAGCCTCCCAGGGTACACATTGGACATGATGATCGCGGTCTCATGCAAACAGTTCGACGCCTGTTGTTACACGTAACGTGCCCGCCGGGCGCGATCGCAAACGTTGTGTCTCGGAATCAATGATGCTCAGGAGAAGATGCATGACGCGTGGCTTAATACCATAGAGGTGGGGTGGGCGGCTAAGAAGAAGTCTACAGCGTCGATGGCGAAGTGAAGCGTTCGTTTCCGACCGGGCGCGTCCACACGGTGGATTCTAGAGCTCGAGCGCATCCGACTTGGAAATAATCAGTAAAGTACTATGTACTTTGACGCTTCGTACACTGAAAGTGAGTTATCAAGTGAGTATCGCTAACCTAACTGTAAAGGAGCCTTACGATTGACATGAGACAGTGCGGCGGTTCGTACTTTGCGTCCAGAAAGGCCCAGGCCCGAATCGTCGACATCTTCGCGCCCCGTTGGCGGTGGAGCACAGTTTTGTAACGGGAATTCCCTGCACAGCACGTTTGACAAAGTAGAAGACTGGTGGAGAAGTCCCGGCCAAAAACTGTTTCTTCAAAGTGGTCAGATTATCGTCCGCCTTACCAATTTATAGCGGATAACGACTTCGGACAACATGTCTCCTGAGCGTATGCAACAAGCCAGACAACATCGGGTTCAGTCCCAGCTCTAATCATATTCTAACTATATCTGAACAGGTTCCTGCAGTCTGGGACAGATGTAGCAAGCGCTGGTAGGTTTTCCGCATGCGAACCCTCCTATAAGTTAGTGCGAGGAGATTTCAGGATCTGACACATTATAGGGCCCGCTTTCAATAATACTCGTCTTCCGTACACGGTAATATGGCTTTCATGCTGATTGCGCACACTTCTCCCATTCTTCACTCAGAATCAAGCTGGGAATACCGGTTGCGAGCCAACACCCCCTCTTGCTCATAAGCGCGCGTCCTGGCTGCCTCCAACCTCCACTACATGTATAGGGAACTGAAGCCGACCCCTCACACCGTCAGTCACCGTTCAGACATCACTCTACCGCGCGGGATATTTCCCGCCTCCGCGCCCGCAGAGAGCCGCACAGGCCGCCCGCAGCTGGATCGCTTGACGGATCGTCTCGAGTCATCTGCCGTGGGAACGGCTGTGCGCAGGCTCCCCGTCTGCTCTGCCGTTCGATGACAAAGTCAAGTCACCCTATTCAGTGTTGAGCCGTTGTCGCCTACCTCCGACTTGATCCCGTCGACAACAGGAAAAGTAAGCTCTGCTCTCTGGTGACCAACTGTCGGAAACATGAAGACGATGACAGATCCGTGGGGGTGACCTACAGGGATTCTAGTCAGGACACATGCGGCTTCCCACCATATCGGCAACTATCCCAGCAGCCGAGCAACCTGTACCGTTTCACATTGTCCCCCCTGTCCATATTTCAAGAAAGAGGTGGTTGTGGGAGAGAGCCCTTGATAAGTGGTAGACACCGCGGCTACGCTGGCCATTTCAATAGGAAGTTTCCCGGTCCTAGTGTTCCTCTGCACCAGCATTTCTCTTTATCCGGAGGATACATGGAGAAAGTGTACATTCGCACAAGGTTTGATACCGCCGTTCAAGCATTGGCTTTCCTGCTTCCTCCTTGGGAAAGGTATTGTGTAAGTGCGGACGCCTCTGCTGGTTACAGGGGCCTCATCCTTGGGTACTTCCAGCTGGACCCACCATGTCGCCTCTTTTCCATCTTCGACATGTATGAATTTTTCTCTGGACTTGCACTCTCAGTGGGCAATGATCAGCGTTTCACCCGACTCCGTGGACTGCGCGTCTCACTTAGCATCTCAGCCTCTAGGTACCAGATGAGAGCAAGATGGGGCCGAGAAGCTGGTGAGATGCCTTGGTCCTTAGCACGTTTCCGAAGAGGAAGCCTTCTCTTGAGGGCTTATAGGGAGATACGACGATGAAGAGTCCTTTTGTTCGATTCCGAACTTTGCACTGTCTTCGGTGAAGTTCGGTCACAGGAAGACAGTCTTGGCCTGTTCTGGAGCCAAGCGAAAGGAAAAGGAATAGAGAATCAAAAACCATAGGACTGAAGAAATCTGGTGCGGATATGTCACCTGCTGGGGAATATCTGAAGGCGATTTATTGGGCTAATTGCGCAGGAGGTCTTGCAACTTCCTCTCTAGACGTTTCCACCTGCTCTTTAACACCAAACATTCCTCAATCCCTAAGACCCGCGTTTTTGCACGGCCCCTCATCATCGAGAAAATGTACCATTTTGGAGGATGACCTTTGCAAGCAATATCCGTCCAGCTCCCGCTGGTGATAATCATAAAGCATTATAATTAAAATTAATCTAGAACCACCGATATGCACGTAAAGATTACTTTGGTCCTATTCTATTCTTCTCTTTCTGGAATGTATGCTCTCTGTATCAATTAGGACGAGTATTTGCAAACGAGACTTGTATAGGGACGAAGGGCCATATCCCCTAGGCTAGTTTTAAACAGAGGGTTTATCTCGGTGGTCAGGGAATGTGTAGGATCAGAGCTTTTGACATAGACATGAGGTCCAAATGAAACAGGGCATGCGGATGCCTGCGTCCTATAGTTTAGTATATCCAGGCCTCGTCTCACAAGAAAATGTAGAAGGGTGAAAGCATTCAGCACTTACTAGTTTTCAACAAGAAGAACTAAAGCCTCCGGTAATAAGGTGGCGGAAAACGTAAAAAGGGGAAGGCAAAGCCTCAAGGGCATCGCAGAGACGCTGATTAGCCCTCCATGCCCCCTATTACTAGCCTTTCTACGTAGCCGTCTCAGACGTAGAGGATCCCACGGCGTCCATTGTCACTCGTACTAGCAGCTACAAGTCAATTGGACACTGCGCACAAGACCTCCTGATTGACTATTGCGTTGCGTGTAGGAGAATGGACGTTAGCACCCTCTTTCTCACTACAAGTAGAAATATGCTCGTATTTTCAAACTCGGCACCGTGACATTCTTTGTCGGCTATCAATAAAGCGAAGGCGCAGTTCCCAGAGCTACAGTGGTTCAAATCGTGCATTTCTTACGTCAGTTTTTCCACCTGGGAGGTATAGGTAGTCGGAGCAGTGGCTAACCTAGGGTTAACAGTTGAAAACAGCTTTTGCGCCGTGAATGATCTTATCATCTGTACGATTGTACTGTCTCTCTCTCTCTGTGTTCATGGAAGATCCCTTGCGCAATGCTCTGTACTGCAGTCTTCTATGTCCGTTTGGATAGAAAGATCGGAGGGATTCTACATCCCATGACATTAGCTTTTCATCGTCGCTGTCCAAGCTGAATAAGGCTCGAAGCCTATCTTTACAGTAGTCTGACCAGATGTAGTTAATCGACCTGCTTTAAACAACAGATCAACCAAAGAGAAAACGCAAGACGGTGTCCGTTCCCTTCGGGTCGCGATAAAAAGCCCTCCGTAAATCAAACTAACCGCCCTCTAGAACCCCATATGTGCATTTTCAACTCTTGTCCCGCGCTCCATTCTTCTAGAAAATCAATGCGATCAATCGCTCCAACACGATCTCGGCGATATTGTAAAACAAATAATGCCAGTCTAGCGATGGATGTGTCTGCCTCCGCCCGCAATTGGATATTGGCGTTTCTTCTTCTAACTGTAGGTTTTCCCTTTGCTTTGTGCGGGGGTTTGAGTGGGTAAGTATATAACAGTTTAGGCGCCTGCGGAATTCAATTCGTTTCGATCCTCTTTCCATGCGACACTGTAGCCTAATCATAGGAGGGGTAGAGGCGCGGGAACATTCCTGCAGTATCGATGCGTATTCGTCGACTACCACAGATGAGAAGTATACGAGTAGCCTGACCTAGCAACTCTTCTGAATACGGCTTGATAATCGCAATGGCTCAATAGAGTACATGAAGACCGCAGCTGTAAGTCATGTTTCATCCGTACCGTCAGGACAGCCCAAGTTAGGATGGGAATTAGCAAAACGACTGCCCTAATGTACACCAAACAAAGCAAATCCTAATGCATTAGATTCGACATATTTTGCATATACAATCAGTACGACAAAACCACCGCATGCTATGCATATCCATGACGTGGACGTTGAAGTCCCTCTGAAAGGTATCTCTAGCCCCCAAGACCGAGCAATGCATGGAAAACCCAAACCCACCTCCTACACAATCACCAGCGCTTTCCTACCGTTCCCCAATACTTTTACTCGCTCTTCCTCCCATTCCCTCCCTGCTTAACAAGCCAAGTCAACAAATCCACCTTCGTCACCACCGCGCTAGCCCTCAACTCGCCCTCGGGTCCCCTCTCCGTCACAACCGCCGCACTATTCCACTCAAAGAACCGGTTCAGATCCCTCAAACTCGTATCCTTGGTAATCTCCACAAACTCCCTGCGCCCTTTCTTGGCGCTAGCGCCCAAGTCAAGCCGCCCGAAGTCAGTCACTACCTCGTGCAGTTTGCGGAAATCGAACATGACTTCTTCGACTTTGGATTTCGGGCCCGCGCGTCCAGAGGACATGTAGCTCAGGAGGTTGCCGAGCGTGACGAGGCCGACGAGGCGCGGCTTACCCCCGGAGGTGTACGAGGAGACGGGGAGCTGGTCAAAGCCCTTTTCGCGCATGGTTTCAATGGCTTCGGTGCAGGGGGAGGTGGCGGATACGGTGGTGACGGGCTTGAGGCGGAGGGAGGAGATGGTCGCGCCACGGAAGGGGTCATCGTTGGTGGAAGTGGAGCGTGTGCGGGTTGCCGGGGAGTTTTCGGCGGTAAAGTCCGAGGTTGGGGGAAGAAGATCGTTGGCAGCGAGCCAGTCGTCGTCTACGAACTGGGTTGTGTTAGTGCTGGGTTGATTGAATACTTGGAGGCAACTGGCGACTCACCTTGCTCAGGTAGCTCCTAATGCTATCCGGAAGGATCACAACGACAACGTCATCTTTCCCAAGGTTGAGGTCTTTGATAGCCCGCATCGCAGCATCCATGGCACTTCCACTGCTGCCACCGCACAAGATACCTTCTTCCGCAATCAACCTCCTGGCGTACTTGAACGACGTCCTGTCATCCGTCTTGTACCACTTATCAACGACTTTCTGCTCCAACACATCGGGTATGAAATCGTACCCAATACCTTCCACTTTATACGGCTCGTTCTCATGCTCCTTGTTCAGGGTCTCCGGCAGCGCCAAAATACTGCCCTGCGGATCCGCCGCCACAATCTTAACATCCGGTCTATGTTTCCTGAGTCCTCTGGCGATACCCGTAACTGTACCTCCCGTCCCCGCCCCAGCAACCAAACATGTCACCCTCCCCTCCGTCTGCGCCCAGATTTCCTCGGCGGTGCCAAACTCGTGAGCAAGCGGATTATCCGGGTTGGAATACTGGTCCAAGATATGCGCATTCGCCAACTCCTTCTGCAGTCTACGCGCAACTCCGATATGGCTTTCGGGACTATCCCACGCCGCTGCCGTCGGTGTTCTAATAATCTCCGCGCCCAGAGCCTTCAACACGGCGACCTTCTCCGGGCTCATCTTCTCCGGCAACGTGATAATCGTCTTATATCCCTTCACAGCGGCAACGAGTGCAAGTCCAATGCCAGTGTTTCCGGACGTGGGCTCAATGAGCGTGTCTCCCGGTTTTATGCGGCCGGACTTCTCCGCCTCCTCGATCATGCGCAGGGCAATGCGGTCCTTGACGGAGCCGCCTGCATTGAACATTTCCAGCTTTGCGTAGACGGTCGCCTCGATGCCTAGAGACTGGGGGATCTTGTTCAAATGCACCAGAGGCGTGTTGCCGATCTGTTGCGTGATGTTGTCCATGACCACGGGAGGTATGGCGGGCCGCGTCTTCGTGGACATGATGATTCGTCTTTTTATTCGTTTCTCTTCCTCGTGGAGTCTGATTCGGTGCTAGGTAGGTGATTGAGGAGCGAGTGGGATGGTGCTAAAGGGCGGGAAGAAGAAAAGAGTGACAGCACGCCAAAAACAAATGGCGTCAGAGAGAACGACTGCCCCAAGTAGCCGGTGCTACCCGCCCCTCCCGTTCGCTGTCGTTCCAGCCACGACTGTGCCACAGCTGTGCCACACCCCTCCTAAACCCAATCCGACTGAATGTTGATGTTGACCTTCACTCCGATGCATCTTCCAATATTTCCCACTACGACCATGGCTGTGCTTAGGGATACAGGGTCCCTGAATGCACCCATTATCCCACCCCCATTCTGGAAGCATCAGCTCTGGGAGCCCAACCGCTCCCAACCATTTACTCTCAACGCACTCCGGCACTTCTCCCCAACTGCCGGCAGGGCCATATATCACCCAACCGAACCCTCTCAAGGAAATGATAATCCTTCAACCCTTGCGGGAACGCCGCCATGTTCCCAGTAATAAACCCACCGCGCGGGTAATCGCCGTACCACGGCATGCGGCAACGGGCCCGGGGGGAAAGCACCGTACCGCACCGCACCGCTTTGCAAGACAAAGCAAGGCAAGGCAAGGCAACCAACGCGAACGGTGAGCCGGGGACTGCGCATTATTGCATGCTGTGGATATGAACTCACCCCTCCTCACTCCTCGCCAATGCATACAGGGAACTGCACCAGTATCCCTGCTCGACGCGGTCAAGGGAAGGAAGCAGACCGGTCAAGCTGAAACATAGCCAGGGCTCCGAAAGTCAAAAAGTCCGGTTCCATATATTAGATGGGCTTCCTAGACACGAGCTTTGCTGCAGTATCAAGCCAGGGAAAGCGAGCAAGGCTGGGACGTCATTCGGCTCTCCAGACAAACTTGCGTCTACGGTCTCCGTCTTCACTCCTTCTGTTGGGTGTACCCCTCCCACGAGGTGCACCTCAGTCTCTCGGTCCCAGTGAATCTGGTCCATCCTGCGGAGGTGGCCCCACCTGTTTCTCAACAGATGCACTGATCCTCTTGACCTTGGCACAGTGACGATATACACAGTAGATAAGCACCATCTGACTTCCGCTTACACCCCTGCCCCGCGTTCCCAGCTCTCATCACGGCACCGGCATCCTCCTTTCCTTCCCCCCTTTGTTCGCGGCGTGAGCGGGCGGAGCATGCGGAAGGTATCCCTGAACGGGCTCGCCCAGGCGTACAGTCGAGTCTCGCTCATGATCGGACAACGATGTGCTTGGCCGTGAGATGCAACCCGGCAGTTGACGTGGATGTGATCGAAAGCAAACCTGAGTTAGGTTCGCTCAAGCTTCTCTGATGCTTCGCTGTTGTGGTACCTACAGCACGCGATGTACGTGACACAGAACTTCCTCAGGAGCGGGAATGCTGTGTGACTCTGAAAGTCGGATCTCGGGGTGAGTGTGGTTTGAGTTCGAGTCACAACCTGTGCGGCAAACGATTAGATTGATCAGAGCACAAAGTGCCCCGACAATCGTACATGGTCGAACAGAGCCAGGCGAAGGCAGGACCGTAAGCACGCGCCGACTCCGACGGCGAAGCCTAGGGATACGCAGATACTGATCAGCTCCCGTAGGGCTGGCCTGGCGTGGTCCGGGCCGCCCTCAGCCAATATACTGTGTAAATGTCGACGATGACAGCGAATGATCCATTCCTTCGCCCTGTGCTGGGTGCACTGACCGGTGTAAGCAATATACTCTCACATGTAAACGGTCAGCCGTTGACCAGTAACCAGTAGATTGGGAGGCTGCGGAAAAGTCGAATCAAATAGCGAGATATGGCCATGGGACTGGTAGTGCATGCGTTTGTTCTTCCCTACTCCACCACTACAGTCACTTCTGCTGCATTCTCGAACAGTAATGTTCCCAGGCGCTGCAGAGCACCACTGCTACTGCATCGAGCTTGCTTCGCATGTCTCACCGGCGTGACGGCGGCCTCAGAGGAAGGTCGCCTGATCTGCAGATTAGGACGGTTGGGATCCTCTCCGGCAGCATAGAGGATGGCTGACAACTATTCGCGCAAAATGGCTTGACTGCAACGCCCTAGAGGTGCTCCGCAATCCATTCAAACCAGCCCTTGACGTCGGACCCCTCGGAACCCAGGACATTACCCCCCAAAACCGTGACGCTTGTGCCTACCTCCTCCATCTGTTGGAACTCAAACGGGCCCTCGCCTCCCTCACCTAACCATTCCCTCTCGTCCTCCATTGCGTCTTCTTCGCCACCCATGGCAACCCCCGAGTCCTTCAGGCCTGTCGCCTTGCTCTTCCTGATTCGTGATATCGCCTTTTCCAATTCCAATCTGGCCAGGTGCTGGGGGAGCGCAGTGAATAGATCTTCCTTATTCGCAGCAACCAGAACAGGGATTTCCTTCGGTCCTTTGCTCGTCTTGGCGCCAGTGTACCGCTTCTGAAGCGTTAGTAGAACATCGTGAAGGTAGCCTGCCGCCTCATTCAGGCCGGCTTCCTCGGCCACTGCGGCCGCATCCACCACAAACACTATGCCCCGAACATTGCTAAGATCGGCTAATTGAGCGGTCGCGAAGTGCCGCAGCTTTCCGTGGCCAGGTGTGTCGACTAGTAGGAAACAGCGAGAGCGCTCAAAGGTAGGATCGCCTGGGGAACGGTAGTGCGAGGATGCGGGAGTGAAGCCTTCCGGGAGAAGCGCTTCGACGGCCAGGGGGGAAGTTGAGGTTCGTGTCGCGGCAACCTGGTTGCGTTCCGCCTGTCGGGGTTATGCATATTAGCGGGCTGGTGACTGAGATGGCCGCGGTGCCCGGCGGCATGGCGAAGAGCATGATCAAGGCGCAAGCAGGTCTGGAGCGGCCCAGGAGGAGAGGGAAGCGCACGTACCAGAGTCAGAAGCGCAGTCTTTCCAGCGCCGCTGGGGCCGAGAAGGAGGAATGTCGGCAGTGTGGTCGGGGTGGCCCTTCTGTAGATGAAGTGATGCAGTAATATCGGGAGTAGGAGGGTCAGCAGCAGCGTCACCACAATGGTCGACAGCTTTGGGGCAAAGGCGGCCGTCAGCCAGCTGTCCTGATCATGCCAGGCCATTGTGCCGAACCCGTGATGCGTACTGTATAGAGGCACCCGAGAGAAGGAGGGAGGCCAGAGACGACAGCTGTTGGTTGCAGCCGTGCGAGACTGTTGAGCGTGGGGAAAGTTTTGGGTGACGCAGCTGGGGAAAGGACAAGGACGTGTCGGCGGGCTCAGGGCTGCCAAGCCGCCGAGGCACCGAGCGACCGAGGTCAGGCCGAAGCTAAGCCACAGTAGGCCGGCGCGGAGACGAAGCCGCGATCCGTGGCGGAAGCTAAGAACAAGCCTTTGACTTTCTTTTGACCACATCCAATACCCAATATCCTCCACCCCATCATCATTCCTCCAAGGCATTCACCACCTGTATGCATTTGCGGGCATCTTCACACGATGATGACACGCTTTTGGATGAATTAGATAATCATACAACGCACAAGGCCACCACTATCTGCTCAGCCGCCACTTCTTTGACCCTCCAACCTATGAATTCCCTTTCGTCATAAAGAAAAGGAAAGCCGTACCCATACCATGTCCATGACCCATAACTCGTACAGCCGTAACTAACCCATCCACGCCGCGCCTCCCGTGCTTCCCGTCCGCTGCTGGTTGGGAAGTGGAACGAAGCGGCGCGCCTGGATTGAGAAGAGAGGCAATAACCAACGCTTTTTTCCTTCCCATATGCTCCATGCGCAATGCATAGCCCGAACCAGTTGATTACCATGACCACACGCAATATGTCGCCAAATCCCAGCCCAATGCTGGGACCAACCACGATAACAAAGTATTAGAATAGGAAAAACAGAGTGGCAGAACAGGATGAGAAGGAAGAAGGAAAATAGGGCATTCATGCAAGGGGGTCGGAGCAGTCGTGGCGGAAAAGGTCGCGTGTTGATGTGGGATATTTTGGCTGAGCGCAGAGCCAACAAGGAGCATGCCAAGATGTAATAGCTGACCCCGGCCTTAAGTCTTGAGGTATCGGTCTTGAAGTGAGGGGATTCCAAATCCGCCGAGGCGCTGAATCTTTTCCTTGGCGCTTAAGACATCTGGTTCTGTGGTTCATGCGCGTGTCCTGCTAGCCAGCCATGCCAGACATACTAGCCCTTGCGCCATCAGTGTCATGCAGGAATACTGTCTGTGCGCCTTTCGACCAGAACTCAGCCATCCTGATGGAAGAAATGAAGTGCCAAAGTGCACAATGTCAGGGCTCGGTATTCTGTAAGTGGAAGCGACCAGCGAATGCGGTTAGAGTTACCGGTGCTGGTTCCGGAACAGTGCAAGGCTTTTCATCAAGTTGGACGTCCGCCACTGTGCAAGCCGGTGCAGAATGTTCTGATGCCACAGAGAAAGAGAGCTTCTGATCAATACCCTAGGTGAGCGTGGACATCGGGGTAAAATCCACGGCTGGATTCCATCCCCTGGAAGCGTCCGCACCCACCTCCTGACCAGCCTGATGGAACGGCGGTTGCGCCAGCATACTCGTCCTTGACCCTCCGGTCGGGGTGGGGAAGACCGGTTCCCTCAAGCTTCGCCGGAAGACTCTCATAGATGGTATGCGGGTAATATTGATAACCCTCAGGTGCGTGGAGCGGTTTGTTCTCTTCCTCATCAACCATGTGTTGGTCTACGAGACCTTCAACTGGTCCTCCGCTGAGAGAACTGGCGGAGCTGACTGAGTGACTGCCAACGGGACTCGGGTCAAGGGAGTAAGCAGTTCCACGGTAAGTGCTGCCACTCATTGTGCTCGGGCCATTTAGGCCAAGACGGCCGTAAGAGCCACCATAAGTTGGCCCACCATTGGAACCCAACCCTTGATGTCCCGAGCCGCCCATTCCGGCGGCACCGCCACGAGAACCATGAGAGTTGTGAGGGCCCTCGTTTTGGTAATGGCTGGGTGAGCGACCACGGACAACCACGTGTGAGGAAGACTTTGTGGCGACCTTGACCCACTCTGGCTGAGAATCGCGGGGGTTCTGGACGTTGGCCCATAGCTCGACGATCAAGTGATAGTACTGTTGCTGCGCCCGCCTCTTGCCATTGTTAGCGGTAGCACATTTGAACTGAATCCTCTCAAAGGCGTGCTGGTAGTTAGTGCTGCTCGAGTGGCCGGCTTGGGAGTAGCTGTGGGACGGTTCAGGCTCGTTCTGCAAAGGTAGCTGGGGACCAGGGACGGATGTGTTCTGATGGAAATTGGTGAGGCTGTAACTTCCAGTCTCGTGCGTTTTCCCTGGCGGGGTCGGCAAGAGGAGCTCCTTCTTGATGGCGAGCTGGGGCCCCCTATCACGCTTAGGAGTGTGTTGGATCAATTCCACGGACTTTCCATTCGAGTTATCAACGGCGGCGGCGAGTGAGACGGCCATGGATTGCACTTGTTCGGGTCCTTTTCCGGAGCGGGTGATGTAGAGGCGGCCGTTGGGGATCCAAGGCGACAAAGTGTATGACACGGTGACGGCAAAGTAATTTCTGCGATAGCACGTCCATACACGGTCGCTTGACCAGAAGAAACCTTTTTCAATCTTAGCTTCGATGTTTGGCTGCACTGGATTCCCTTCACAAGTGATCTCGACGAACGTTTCTTGAGGATTGAATGGCGGGCTGTCTGGGATCTGGGCACTTGTTGTGTAGCCAAGCGCACCAGTGCTACCATATGCACTCGAAGCGGGTAGGGACATGGCGGTCGACAAGACACTTCTGGGGGTATCTGGCAATGAGCTATAGCGAGAGACGTCTGAAAGTCGAGGGGAGAGCGTATGGGAATGACGGAGGAGTCCAGGCGTCGAGGTGGTATAGTTATCTCTAGCTGCGGATCCCAGTGAGGGTGACACTGGGTTGTTTGGAGGTAACATGGTTGACGATGAGGCATCCGCTCTATCGTGTACGCTGTCAGCTGCCATGCATAAAAGTCAAGTTTTACACGCACAAAGGTGCGCCACAGAAGGTTACCTACATGGATGAGTTCCTCCGGATCGACGACATGGGGTTGTTGTAAGGGTACGCAAAAGGCGCTGCCTGGAAATTGTTTGCTACCGAGATTTGGGGTATTTGATTCGAGTAGACTGCTGCTGTCGGTGTGAAGGAACTATACGCCAGCGACGATGAGGCGCTGGAGATGGGCGAGGCAGAAATAGAGCCTGAGCCCGTATCGGACAAGGTGGTGCTGGAGTGATACCTACTGACAATGGTTAGCAAAACAGATAGCAAGACGGTGCTATCAGGGCGCGAAGCCAGCAACAGTGATGTGTAACAGGGGAGCAGGGTGGCACAGTATAAACTTGTCGGACAGAGACGACAAGGGCTTGTCGTGTGATCAATGTGACAGACCAGCCTGCTGGAGGGGCTAGGCGCCCCGTGCATCTGGAACGTGTGCGACAGGAGAAAACATGAAGGCCATGACGACGTGTTTGTTTCGGCGGTCGTAGAAGAGGGAAGCTTGGGCTTGGGCACCTCCCAGCAAGGAGGCGTCGACAGGACAAGATGGGGCAGGGAAAAGGGACGGGGGCGGCAGGCAAGGCAACACTGCTCAGCCCGCAACGACAGGTCGGATCGAAGAGCCAATAAGAAGGGGTTACTCACGGTGCTTCGGGACGAGGGGCGCTGTAACGGCCTGTATTGCTGCCGGGAGGGAGTGTACTGAGGATTCTGGTCGTTGACTGGCCGAAGACCCCGTCGCGCCTCAGCTGGTCGGGAGGGCCAGCTGCAGAGAAACTATGATGCGCATGCCCACCAATGTGGTCGATACATTCCTGCTCCGAGAAGGGGTTCTCGGATGCCAATGGCCCTGGCAACGATTGTTGAAGCACTGCGTAGCCCAGAGAAGTCAGCCAATCGGTCCTACCCAGTCGGGCGTACTGTTGAACAGGCGATGTGGGACAGAAACGGAAAACGTGCACCCTGGCCGACGAAGAGTCTCTGCTGGAGCTGTGCGCGGGACGGTCGTGGTACAAGGCTCCGCGATCGGGTTGTTGGGGGGAGGGGGGAGGGGGTCCAAGAACGCACTACATGAGTGCGCAGACAGAGAGCGAAGGGACCCGCAGTGTGTAGCGATGAATAAAGGAAGCGGTGGAGAGCTGTCGCGCGGCAGCGCGCTGCAGAGCAATATAAGAGGGATATGCGGGAGGAATGTGAAATCAATAATGGAAGAATGCGGAGAAAGGCGCCAGTCGAGGGCTCGAGAACAAGGCGCCGAGGGACATGAGGAGGAATAAGAATGGCTTGTGCACTCGGCGAGACATGGGGCGCGGTGGTGAGTGTTTAAGGCTGACTTACCTTGATTCATTATTGCAGCTGCTTCTCATGCGGGACTGCGCACCCTCCTTTTGCAGCACTGCTCCTACTGGAACGGCTGCCACTCAGGCTCAGGCTGCCTTGACTGCGAATCCGAGTCGCTGGTTCTGCTGGCAACGGCGCGCCGGCAGTGGCGAGCGTCCTGGTCGCTGACGGTGCTGATCCCGCCGCTGACTCTGATAGCCCGATCTGGCGTCGACTCGAGCTCTTTCGCGGGGACGGGACCGTTGCGATCAAGGCGTTCGCGACACGGGCCCAAGCGCTCCAGGGGGCTTGAACAGGCGTGTGTGGTTCGGTGCGGTCGAGACAAATGAATGCCCTCTGTTGGTTCGCTTGAAGGGGAATCTGGGGGTTTAGCCGGCAAGGGGCGTGATCCTCAACTAGCTGCCGCTGCCAGTGTTGCTCGTAGTGGCTGCCAATCCGTCAATGCGTGCTCTGGTTTGAAAAGAGCCCGTCCCTGGCCGTCAAAAGCAGCACTATGCGCACTTTATCCAGCAGGGTGGGTTTGTGATGCGCGCACTTACCACACCGACTCGTTCACTCCCTGCTGCCGTTCAGCGGCTGGGTCGCAAGCTTTCCAGAAGGCGGTGGCCTGATGTTTTGGCAGAGAGGAGTAGTTGTCGATAGATGGCTGTCCAGCTGGAGGCAGCGAGTTTAAACCTTGGTGAAGCGCTGCACCAGGACGGAACCTTGGAGCCGGAAGGTACCTATGCACCGTGTTTCTTCCCGTCTCCACAGCAGATCTGGATCTCGAGCTGCGCACGCACAGACAGGTACTGACCGCTGTTCCCCGGTTGGTGGATGCCCTGCTCCGCTCGTTGGCCCAACTGCGACCTGTCAGTCTTCTGGCAGCGGTCCAAGCACTCATGTCGCAATCTCGTCGAAACTTACCAGGCTCTGCTGCAGAGCAGAGGAAGGAGCGATGTGGCGCGGAACCCCCCTTGAGGTGGCGGTTTCCGAGGAGGCTGAATCGTCAAGAGCTTCTGCCGATCTGCCAGCCTTGGTTCGGAAATTTCGATCGAACGTCGAGCGCCGGTGCGATGACACTGGTGGTTCGGGTTGGCGGTGGCGAGTATAAAACGACCGCAGACGAGCAGGGTGGAAGTGGGTGGTTACCAACGTCGACACCTCGGCCTCAAAGTTGGAGAGGCAGGGAGAGGGATGCGATGGCTAGACCATACGCATAGAGGCAGAAAAGAGTATTGTCGAAAGTGCCCAACCCTCCGCGAGAGGAAGTGCAGTGCAACTGGGGTCCCAGGTTTTCCAAGCCGTGATATTGACCTCGAAACGTTGAGGTAGAGGGTGAGGGAGCAGAATATGAGAAGAGGATACGCGAGGGTCGGAGGATGGTGGAAACAGAGGAAGCTTCAAGCTGCGTCCTGCGGTCGAATGAGGAGCGAGAATAGAGGGCGGGCGGTAGAAGTACAGTGCAGGACAAGGCAGTTAAGCCACTATAGACATGCGGATTTGGAGTGAAGAGGTGTCGGGTTGTTTGGCTCAAAACAGCAATGACCCCCTCTCCAGACAGAGCATCCTGCGAGAGTCGATCAAGATTCAGCCCCAAGAGCAAATGATCCGTATTGCGCGGCTCGTGGCCGTCATCTAGCACCACGGTAGCATTGGCAAGCTGCAGCAGCGACCCTTTCCCAATGCGGCTTCTCTATATTTCCGACGCCAGGGAGAATGGTTTGGCCCGGGGCCCAGGCTCGAATCTTTTCTCGAATTGTCTCTTGTCCACGCTACGCGGCGCATTCCTTACACCGGATGTAGGGCCCTCTGGTGACGACCGGAACGGTGCTCACGGCAGGTGAAAGGAAGGGGATTGGCTCGTCTGTCGAGCATCACAGTCCCGTGCGGCGATGCAGGAACACTGGCCACAGGGCAGCAGTCAATACACTCGACACGGCAGGCAGCGTCCGCCTGCTTGGGACCGTAATGTTTCATCCCAACCAGCCCGGCACCCCCCAAGTAGGTCCATGCAGTGAACGGATGATCAGACAGCCCGCAGCAAGTGACGGATTGGCTCAGCGCGTGTACGGGAGAGCCGGTCAGCACTGATGGATAGAGAAGGCTGAAGAGGATACAACTGCGGGGGATGGGCGACATTTGGAAAGCAACGACCGCATACCAGCAAAGGGAACAGAGCAAAATAGAGAGTACGGGGATGGGTTGACTCGAGGCCGTTACCTGTCACAGGCTACTGGAAAAGCAGAGTGCCAGGGTGAGCGGGAGGCGATGCTGGAAAAAGACGCGGTCCACACAAACAGCGCCACGGCTTCTGGGCGAGGCAGAGCGGACAATGGAGACGACACGGGCAGGCGATGCAACCCTTCGTCTGGTCTAGCAGCTCTCTCGGTCACGACGCCATGATCCGGGCTTGCTGATTTCCAGCACAGAGCGGGCCCGACAGAGCGGGACGCTGCGCAACGCTCCGAAAGTAGCCAGGCATTGCACAGCTGCAGCTCGCCGGAGCAGGACGAGGACGGGAAGAAGGGGTCGAGGTGAGCACTAGTAGGCTTAAGACGAAGACGTGACTGCAGGCTGGTCGGATCTGGCAGCGGGGGAGAAGCGCAGATGTACTGCAAGTTTCGACATAGAGGCAGCGGACTCCCTTTGCGTTGTTGAGTAGGGAGTACGGAGTATTATGTAGATGGTTCGAAGAGACGGAGGGCGGACGGCTGGCGGACGGCTGGCGGTTGGACTGACTGCGGACGGCGGAGGGCGGTTGGGGGCACGGGGAATGTGTGGGTGGGTTCAATGTTGGGGTGGTTGGGATGAAAACCGTGTGGGTGACGTGCAGGAAGGATGCGCGGCTATTCCTCCCCGCCAAGACCAGACCCCTGCGCTAATGGAGACTAGCGTCACACTAATGGAATCTAGGACAAAAGCGGGATTAGCCTCCTCCTCGCGCAGAGACGTCGCTCTCATCCCACAGGTCACTGCAAGACTCCCTCTCACTCACACACTCACACACACTCTCTCTCTCTCACACTAGCTACCACTGGGCTCTCTCCTCGCGCACCCATCCACGTCGCACTCCCTATCATTGCAGTCGGCGCTTCCCAAAGGCCCACTATCCCTTATCGTAATCACAGTCTGGTCGAATCGCCCTCGCATACCTCCCTTGCGTTTCCCTGATTCCACGCGCCTCGACGTGACATGACCCAGTCCTCTCGCACGTTTTCTGCCATGACGGGGAGCTGCTCCTCCAAGGACGGAGAACGCTGACTGACAATCATCGCATGCCAGTGCGAGTGGGAGCGCTGGGGAGCCGCCCCCAGAGCTCTCCACTAGCACTGCAGCTCACCGAAGGCCTGGCGGTAACAAAGCTGCCATCCATGTCCTCCTCGCATGATTCCTTGACGGCCTACCATCATCTGATGCGACAACTCCCGCCGACCGTCACAGCGGCCTGCACGCTCAGCAAAACTGCTGCGCCCTGAGCACCTGACCTCGGCTCCTCCCAGAACATTTCACTGCATTCTAGCACAGCAGCCCGTTGGCCGCCAGCGCAGATGTGGCTGAGCGGGCAATTTGGGAGATCGCAGCCCATCTGGGTGGCCGCATCGCATCACTAGCTCACAAGAGAATCAGCCAACCTGCAGGGAATCCGACTTCGAGGCACACCAACCTGCAGCCACCCGTCCCTTCCCCGTGACGACGAGGGCCGCTGTCCAAGCAGCTGTCCAAGCAGCTATCGGGACCAGAGAGCTCGCTGGCTGCCTGCAGAAGCCTCGAAGATACTTCGGAAGGAGCAGAAATCAACCTCTCAGGCGACTCGACCAGCAGGGCGTAGTGCCGTTGCTCACGATAACGAGCTGGGCCGGAGTTTGAACAAGGCATGGTGCCGGCTGGGCGTTCTTCGTTACACCAACCGCGATCATCATTTCTGGCAGCCCAAGACCAGCAACTGGCGCAAAACGGTTGACATGATGCAGTGCTCAGTCTGAAGAGAAACGTCTGTCAACAGCGGTTCGGGCCGCCTGTTTTGAGCTCGAAAGGCTCTCTATTGTGACCTCTCCAGACCGGATGACAGTGCATAGGCTCTGAAGATGGTTCTTCTTTCCGAACTCGTTCAGTATCTCTGGCTAGTGTCTTGCGCTTTTCAATCTCCTCTTCAAAGTCTTTCACCAGATTCTCTTGATCAAAAGGTGTAGCAGCTTTCTCATGACCTTCATGATGACTGCTTTGCATTCACTTCGGTCCCATGAAGCAGCATGCTTGAAGCAACAGCGGAGGCAAACTACTCAGGTCCAGGGACTCGGAGCGAACATCACCCTGACACTGTGCTCTGGACCTATGTGGTGATGGTTCCTATCCACAATTGCAGATTTCATCGAAAATACCGCCGTTTTGCAGCCGTGTCGTCGGAGTTTCTGGAATGTATATGTCCACAGAAGATTTACTTGCATCCTCTTTATCTTCAAGAGTCAGTTGGTTGTTTCTTGGCCTGGAGGCGATGAATCTCGAACCTGGACTAGTTGTCTTGCGGGTAGAACGAGATATGACTATCCGCCTCCAAAGGCCCAAAGAACGCTCAGCGACTTGACATACATTCACTTCCACCCAACCGTGTATCGGTCGAGCGGCTCCATTCACGAAATTTGGAATTATCCTTGCGATTCTTGTTACGAAATCTGCCTGTGGGTCTTAATCTCAAGTTGATCGTGAGGAGCTTTGCTTCTAGTCAATTGATGATACACGTACATATGGCCAGGAATTTGTCTGCATCCCTGGAACTGGGCCTCGGACCGGTCCGGTAGCGAAGCAGTTTCGTTTCACGAGCAATACCGTCCAGGAGGGTTGTGACGACTTGTTGTTCGGTATCTGCTCGAGTCACACCCTGTATGCGCCTATCCTATCCGCATTGACTCCAGATGGTGTTCAGATCGCGTCTACTTGTTGCACCCTATGGCAGATGAACCCCCATCCTATACACTGCATATGCTTTGCGGGACCTCATCCTCGGCATACCGTGCGTGCCATTCATTTCCCTGGACATGGGAACCTCTACTCTCCGTGATCGATATGGCCTGAGGTCAGCATTTGCCTTGTTGAGGATTTGACGCCCCTGCGGACCTTGCACAGCGTTCCAATGGTTCTCCATACAGGGACAGATGGGCTAACAGTCGTCCACCAGGCATTCGGTCACTACCCGACTATCGAGAGCACGGCGGAGCCGCTGTAGAACCTCCAACCCCTCAAACCGACAGCGAACGATTGGCCCGTGCAAATGCAGTGATTGCGAAACTAGAGACTGTTCAACCTCATCATGTTGGGCTTACTCCCTCTGGAGGCCATGTGATGAATGTTTGTCACATTTGCCAATCAATCTTACCAGCCAGACCATGTATCCGGATTTTGTCTACTCGCCCCTCCGCATCTTTCGCAACACAAGCATCCCAAACCTGCCCGCCATCAAAGCGAGCAATTGACTAGGAGACGATCGGGAGACCCTCAACGAAATACGCCACAGTTCCGCAGCATGAGCCTGTGCATTGTTGCATGGACTGATTGACAACAGGATCCATTGCACGTATGGGGTCGCAAGACCCTGATAGGGGTTATCCCAATTCCTCACAACAGTCCACGCTATTCAAGCCGAGACGGAAGAATACCTCGTTGGGATATCGACACGCGTACTGCTGGCTCCTGTGGGTTGGGAGTCTTTGATCTGCTCGTGCTGGAAGATACAGCTCGCCATGGATACCACGACATAACCGGTGTCAGCTGAGCACCATCATCAACACAAGCTTGACCACCTCAGGCAAGCCAGTAACGGTTCACTTTCTGAGGTTTTCAACCTCTCACTGCGTATAGACTCTCCAGCGACGGTGTTCTTCATCTTGCTGCTGGGAAAAGGGGCTCAACACACAGATGCCCCTGATGATACACTGTGGAGCGACGAGGTGGGTCCCTCAGACTCCAAGGCTTCTGGATACTAAGCCACATCCATGCAGCTTCTAAATGTATATACGGTGCTCACCCTTTGCATCCGCCTTGGTCAACATCCGGCCTGCTCTGGGCCTGATTACTGCACAAAGGCTGAACCCATCATCGCAACATCTGGAGCCCTCTCCGACCTGCGACGAAAGCGCCCTCCATGGGCCCTGATACTGTTTCAATTGCTTTGACCCTGCCTAGATACTTGCTGGTCCAATCAAACCCTACATCTGGAAACATTCTCCACATCCATTCTCATCCCCGACGCTATTGGCGCCCTAGGCCCAAGGAACCACGAGAATCCAGGAACATACGTGTGCGACTCCTCGCCTGCAAGCCTTTTCTAGCGCTCACACACGTTAGCTCGTGCTCCGCTAAACAGGCTAACGAACGTGGCGCTTGTGATTCCACACTCATCCAGTGATCAGGCCGTCGTTGAGTTGAGACGTCGATATCTCGTAGGATCCACAGTGACCCCTGCCTTCGTTGGATAGTACGCCATCTAACTCAAGGGGCTCTCTTCCAATGAGCTCAACACGATCGCCGTTGGCGCTGAGTGTCCCGCAGCCATACCGTCACACCAGCGAGCAGTCAGCCCGCAATGTCCGGGAGCTGTAGGCTCGTTCACTCGGTAGCCTGTACGGGAGAAAGCCAATTATCTAGACACCAGACTAAACACAAGCACGATGTTCGGTCACCGATGATGCGATTCTCTCACGCAAATAGCAGGATCCCACCCACCAAACTACAGATGATAGCGTTGGTTCGTCTTATCATCATGTTCTTGTCCCGGCCAGGCGCCCGGGACTCGAACGTGGAGTTCTGTCCAGTGAGTCATGTCGTACTGCGTTCCAACAAGCCGAATGTGTCGGAGATTGAGAGCCCCTAAGTTCCGTGTGGTTCGTCTCACTCCGTCAGTCAGACATATGGGGTTGTGAAGCTAGTGAAGGAGAGCCCACATCGGGATGCACCGGTCGTTGGAGTGTAGTGGTGTGGAGGGAGGAAGTTTCTCCGGGCGTCTCCGACTTACATGATCTTTTCCTTCAGCTGGACGTGTTCCTCACGCCTACATGGATCAGGGTGACTGCTTTCGAGTGTCTCCGAGATGGTCAGATGGAGGGCTACTAGATTTTAGTGCGCGGGTCATTTCCGCCTTGGTGGGTGGAAGATCAGGCTACACTGGCACATGGTCATGGCGAGCGGGCGGGTAGCTAGCCTGTTTTCTCGCTCCTTTGTGAGCGCTGCGACAGATCTTGGTAGGTTTATGGTGACGGTAGTGATGATAGTGACGATTGCAATGGACATAGGACGTCCGTCAGAGAGGTAGAGTATAGTAGGTGGTAAGTAGCTATGCGGCTCTTTGGGGCGATTGTTGGCGTGTAGCATGTTTGCTCAGCTTGTCCGTGTTGATCGTTTGAATCATCATCTAATTTTTGCTGTTGCTACGGCAAAATCATTTATTTGCGGAGATTGGATATCACTTTCATTATGTGCAACGTAAACACAACTCTCAACGTAGACGCAACTCCCCATCCGTCCAAACCAAAAGATCGCTGCATCTCCGGTAGCTTCTCGAACAAATGCTTCTGGCAACATGCTCCTATTGTAAAGGGGTTGTCGTTCATGCTCATTGACTCATTGGAGGTGCAGTGAGACCCAAAACGCGCATTCCAACATTGTTAACCTATTTACTCTGAGCACAATATCTCCCTGCCTTGAAAAGCCGCGAACAGCTCTCTACATCTCCACATTCCCAGTGACATATCCATTTATTGCCCGTTTCGTATCTAGATTCCGACATTCAGATCCACACTCACAATCATACAGAAAAACAAATAACCTTCCTGTCCTGCTACTTTCCCTTCCACCCTCGACCGATAAACCGGCTTCAGCACCGACCGGCAGATAACACCAGAAATCTCGGATTGGATATTTAGGTCCTCAACCGAGCAGGCATAGAATTGCTCAGACACCGCTCATGGATGGTTTCGAGGGAAGGACAAAGGATTGCGGTGGACAAAATGGCATTCTTTTTCTCTTCTCACGCTCAACTCGAGCAGCTCAGTCTTTTCTCCGTTGGTGACAAGAAGTTCTATGACTCTGATATCAGCAGCGTACATGGCCAGATGAATCAGCGCCGCAATTTCCTCGTCCTCTTAATGTCCGTACCATCATTTAAATCCCAGCAAGGACAGGCATGTCCACTACACAAGTCTAACTTTGTAAAATCCATCTGGCCTAGAATGGACATTGATCATATTCACGTCACTCTCTCCAAGCCCGCAGTCGACTAACGCCCTCATCGACATCTCAATCTCTTACTTGCTGGGAAATGAAAGAGTGCATTGTATGATGCTGGGTATATAGTTCACTTTCCCCCCTGGCCATAAAGCCTCTGACTCCGTAATCCCCTCAATCCCCTCCCATATATATCCGAGAACCCCGCTGCTAGTCAAACCGCGATATCTTACACGCAAAGGAAAAGCCCCTTCCCGACTTCCCTTATTTCCTTATGAAACTAGCGTCCGCATTCCCCACACTTTCAAAATCCACTCATACACCCGCTATTAAAAGCGTCCACTCTCCCTCCTCCCCACCCCCAACCCAGAATACCCCTTACTCATCCTCTCTTTGACACCCACTCCCTCCAAGCCCGACGCAAGACCTCCCGGGGTACTCATTCTCTTAAGCGGACTACCCTCCCTCTTCGTCGGACTGCCAGCTCTCCTCTCACCTCCCATCCCAGTCCCCGCGCCGCCTAGACTCTCCCTACTACCAGTTCTATCATCGCGGAGATAGTTTGCGCTCGCAGACTTGCGAAGCGGGGAAGCAGCATGCGAATACACGCCCAGACTGCCGCCGTCTCCGGAACCGACATGCGAGGTGCGGAACTGCGGCTGCTGAGTGTGCCGGAACGGGTTGGGAGTATTTGACGGTCGTATGGGTGAAGAGAAGTCTGCTCCTGTGGTTGTGGTAGATGCTGTGGTGTACCTAGGATTGGGAATGGGTCGATACGAGGGCGTATGGGTAGTTGATCGCACGGGGCGAGGGTTTGGCTGCGACGCTAGATTATCAGGATCGTACTGGGAAGCGTAGGCTTGGTTGGGGTTTGTGTGAAATCCACGTTTGATTATAGTGGTTGGGGTGTATATGTCGACTTCGGAGGCAAGCTCACTGCCTCCAGAAAGCCTCTGCCGCTTGTTGGTGGTGATTGTTTGGATGCCCACGTCTCGGTACGGCCGTTGTAGATTGGGGTGGACGAATTTGGTGTCGTATTCGTTGAGCACTTCCCGATGGATGACAGCGGAGTCCTTGACTTGTCTCTCGAAGGAGCTGCAGAGGTAGCGTAGCTGTATTGAGAGAAGCGCGGCAATGGCAATCGTCGTCACAACCTTGACACTGGGCCGCGATTCCAGCGGGGCTACTGGCAGGTTTAGAAGGTAGAGAACGACGTGTAGCGGACTGAAGAGACAGAACAGTCTCAAGCAAAGCGGATTGGGGTCCCAGACAGCAATCTCCCACACATCTCGTGAGGCGTCCGGATGCGCGCGAGATTCGGCGGATTCAAAGCTCATGATGTTCTGAAGAAAGCGGAGAGGGGAGGCTCCCGCAGGGGAGGAATCAACGCGGACCCGGTGCGCGGATGGGGTGGAGGGGTTCGTTTCGATTGGCTGTTCGAAGAGTCGATAGTGCCGCTTGCGATAGAAGGTGTAGGAGGCGTTCAGGAACGATATGAGGGCGAGTACTAGCACGATAATATTCATCTAGTGAAAAGTGAGCCTGGTTCTGGTCATAAATGGGGAGCCGTATCTTACAAACAACTTCAGCCAGCCACTGCTAGTCGTCTTATACTCTCCGAAGACATCATCTCCAGCACTGGTCGATTTGCCCGCATTCGCTTCCGCGATCATGAAGACGACATTCATGACCAGTCCAATGGAATTGGCATAGCTGTCCGCAAAATCATCCCAATCACTGCCATTGAACTCCTCCGACAACCACATCAACCAGTCCCATGGATCAAGGTAACTTTTGATCCTCTCCAGAAGCGGAGCGCGACGGACAAGGCGTGGCATGCTGGACTTTTGGGACTGATGTGTCTCGGGGGATGTCGTTGTCGCAGAGATTGCGCAAATATCCAGACGCAATCAAAAGATCCTTTGTTCACGTCATTGTTGGTTTGGGTCCGGTGGTGTTTGCGGTGTTAATGAAGCTTGGGACATAAACAATGGATTCATGAAGCGACGCGGCTAAACCTCGGACCGCCGAGCCATGACGACTGCTAGCAGAAGCTCCGGCAACAACAGCGCCAGCTGCTTCCCTCCACGAGGTCGCCGGGGGAGTCAGAGTAAGGAGAATATACCGGCAATGGCTGCTCCAGCACAGAACAAGGACCGCCAATTCCTGGCTGTTATTGGGGATGAAGTGTGTCTCCGCCCAAGCCCAGCCCCGCTGCCATCGCCTCCAGCTTACCAGTGCTCAGGATACAGTAACCGGACTGCTTCTTGCAGGCGTTGGCGTATGTTTCCCTTACCACCCTTTCCGCGTTGATTTTTGGGCTGACAGTGGAATAGCATGTTACTGCGCCGCCCGATTCGCAGAAGAACTTCCTCGTTGTCGACAGCAAGACAGAGAACAGTGCTATCGAAGCGGCCTTTGACCGGTTCACAACAGAGCGAAAAGATATCGCGATCTTGCTCATAAACCAACACGTATGGGAACCCTCGGACCGCCAGCTCCCTGCTTTGGCTTTCAACCCGGCATGCGCTGACAGTGGGCAGATCGCCGAACGCATAAGACATCGGGTCGAAACGTACACGGCAGCCTTTCCTGCGGTGCTCGAGATTCCTTCGAAAGACCATCCCTATGACCCAGAGAAAGATAGCGTGCTGAAGCGCGTACGGAGACTATTTGGAGAATAGACGGGGGATATTCAGAGTCTGGTGGGTGTGAACGTGGTGGCTGCTGCAATGATATCCGGACACTATGACCACGACATGTTTCAGATGTCGTACGACACAATCATTTCGTGGATTTGGAAATACCATGACTTATTGACGTGAACCTTCGTGAACCCCCTTGGTATGGTATGGACGTATCGCTAATACCCAACAAATATGCAAACACATGCCATTATTCCCCCAGACAATGCGTCTTAAACAAGAGCCCTGCCATTATAACTCGTCTCGCCTATGGATCCGGTCCTGCAGTATGTTTACACCCGGGCCAGACAGCTTGAACCTCCGGCTCCCAACTTGGAATGATCTATGGAGTGGTCTCAGATTTGCACTTCCCGCGAGTTTCTCGTGCTGCCGGCTGGAGATGTTTACCGGGTGAATTGGACGGTGGCCGTTAGGCAGGTGATCTTGTCGCCATCCTTGGTGTATACGTCGGCCAGTACAGTGTACTTTCCCTTCACGTTGTCAGCGGTTGAGATGGTGGAGTGTGCAGATGATATACGCACAGGTGGGATCTGCTGGGGGAGGTTGACATCCTTGGTCAAGCTCATCTCTCCCTTGTCGAGCGGGCAGTTCAGGTCTACGTTGGAGATGGCATCGCAGAGGTCGGATTCCTGGTTGATGAGGGTGATGAGGCCGTACTTGACTTGGACGTGGACTTTGGCGCCTTCCTCCACCTTCTCCTTGAAGTCGCCGCTTGCCTTGATACTGAGGGTCTTTCCCCTGTAGTCGTGCATTAGCAGCAGTCACAGCCAAACATCTGCAAAGGAGAAAGACAGGGTAGACTTGACGGCAGGCTTCTTACGGTTGGGGCGGGTTAGGTGACAGGTCCACCCTCTCGATGGTCAAGATATCATCCTTGGGATCTCCGCAGAAGTGCAGAGGATTGTCTCCTGGCACCTTGTAGTCCTCGCTGATGGCAACCTGGCCGGGTATCCATGAGGCGGCAACGGAGAGTGCGCAGAGGGAGGAGATGACGACGGCAAGAAACCTCATCTTGAATGCTGTTGCAGCGAGTGCTGTGACGAGGTATACTGTATACTGTATACAGCGGTAGGGGGGGAGGCACTGTATAGAGTCGGCGTTCCTGGACGATTCATAGATTGGAACGAGGCTGGGGTGAGGGACTGTGAGGCTTGAGCAGGCGGAGTGCAATGCCAAGAGGCCCGTGCGCACGATGACGACACTAATGCTGGTCATGCGAACTGCCCTCTCCGTTGCTACTCCATGATTGCTACTCCTCTGGTACCTACTGTACTACTTGTACTTATTAACATTATACACAGAGAAGTCCGGGAATGGAGAGCTAATAGCTGCTTTACCTGAATGTAACTGCTGCGCCTCAGTTACCACGCCCACCCCGAGCTCTTCTGAGAAGCCTCCTCCTGTTGCAGCCATCGCCCTGCCCAAATACGACGCGATCACAACAGGGAGAGGCTTTTCACAAATTAGGGACGACAACCGCAGTTGAAGGTATACACGAGCAGAATGGATGACATGTCTCTTGCACTCGCTTCGCTCGAGGTGTTGGAAATCCTTTCCATTCCTATCGAGTACTATCTTGTCTAATCTTGCAGCATCGCAGCCTCATTCATAGCCTGGGCTCCCCTCCCACCAGCTTTGAGCTAAGCGCCCATAACTTCTCTGCTATTTGCGGGTCCGTGGCATGCGGTGCTGTCGCCTCCCAGTATTGACAGTTGTGCAGGAACACAGCTTTCGGCTCTGGTCCTATACATTAGTATGCATCTTCCGAATCCGACTCGGGACTGACCGTCAAGCTGCGGATCAAATGCTGCAACCAAGGTGGTCGCAGCTCCCTGATCATGATTCTTCCAGAATGGACTCGTTTTACGCATTGTGCTCTCGCCATCCGGGTCGAGATCTCTGCTCAGACCCGTCCATATTGCTAAAGTTTTTTAGCATCGGCTCCAAATATCCATATTTCGAGCACGACTTACAGCCCGGGTGTACCGCATAACTCACGATTCCATCCTTCTTTAACCGCTGGTTTAAACCAACCGAGAAGAGCACATTTGCGGTTTTTGACTGGCCATACGATATGTACCCATTGTATGGCTCCCCCTCCTTGCCTTTGAACATGTCTGGTATGTCCGCCGGCGGCTTCTCTTCATCTGGAATCGGCTTCCCTTCGAAGTTGTAATCATGGAACCGAATGGGGCTAAGACGGTGTCCCAGACTTGTCAGGTTGATCACGCGAGTGGCTCCTGGCGGGCTTGACTTTGCCGACTTCAGCAACAGGGGAAGAAGCAGATTGGTAAACAGGAAGTGGCCTATGTGATTGCTCCCAAACTGGGCTTCGATGCCTTCGGCCGTATGTTGCAACGTCGAGGTCATCAAGCCAGCATTGTTGATGAGGATGTCAAGACGATCAGTGATCTCTGACACTTGAGCCGCAGCCTTTCTTACGGCTTCTTGCGATCCGAGATCTAGGGCAACGGTGCGGACGGCCACGGCGGGATATGCGTCTCTGAGCTTTTCGGCGACTTGGTCCAGCTTGGCTTGCGTACGAGATGCCAGAATGAGAAGAGCAGGGGATTGTGATGCAATGGCCTGCGCGGTGGAGGATCCGATTGACTTGCTGGCTATCAGCTCTGGAATCCCTGACTTTGAACTGGTTGACCCACCTCTGGACTGACGCCTGTGATCAAGACTACAGCTTATTAGTATTTGCTACTACAGAAAGCTGCCGTCACACGAACCTTTCCTCCCCTTGATGCGCTCGGCGAGCGCCTTAGCAACCTCGAGGCCTCCGGTTTCTTGACCCCATTCTGGGTGTGACACTGACATCTTTGAGTATGGAAGATTCTGACGAGTCCAGGGGATTCGGTAAAACACAAGCTGTCAATGTAGAGATACTATTTCGACAAAAACTGAGACGTCTCCCAGAATTCCTCATGTCATATACAATCGAAATGTATACATACTATGCTATCCACACACATGCACAGACCATAAGTGAATACTAAACCGAAACCAGCTAGCGTGATCTCCAAAACCAAGTGCGGGGCACCAATCTGCGGGGGACTCTCTTAATGTGGGGCATCGCAGCGATTCATCCGAACACCTCACCACCACGCACCACGCACCACCAGCCACAAGTCAACTGTACAGGTCTACCGCCGCAAATAAAGCCCGGCAAATGTGCTTCCACCCCGCTCCCACCATGTCTAGGCACAACACCCGTGTTCCCGGGCTACGATGCTCCCAAGCGGCACCTTCGAGACCTCGGGAGCAGCTGGAGAAGCTACCCACGCCGGCAGTGCGGACATAGCACAAAGCTCCCAGACTCAGGAGAGAATCAAATCAGCACCCCGGCCGAGGACTCTGGTGTAAACCGGGATCGCGGAGCCCCACACCCTGGAAAGGAGAGAGGGCCTGCATATTGAAAGTCGCAGCTGTGCTTTCTCGATTTCCAAGTTTTGCAAAAGCACAAGATACCTCTCACATCAATTCCCATGCCCCTTCGCGCAAAGATTCTACCCGGCAAACTCCCGACAATGGCAGAGCTCAATGGGACCAAGCCGCAGACTGGCATCAAAGTGATCATCGTCGGAGCGGGTACAGCGCCAGAGGAAATTTTCTCCATCAATGATCATCTTGCTGATTCATTCTTCAGGTTTCGGCGGTCTCACAGCGGCCATTGAATGCAAACGGCAAGGCCATTCTCCAGTCATTTATGAGGCTTTCCCCGAGCTCAAGCTGCTGGGCGATATCATCTCTTTTGGACCCAATGCAGGCCGCATCTTCTACCGGTGGTCCAATGGCGAGATTGTGAAGAAAATGCGAGATGTGTCCATTGATCTGTCAAGCTACGGGTTCAATATCCACAAGTGGGACACGGGCGAGATTGTGATCAATCAGAAGACTGCGGCCAAAGATCCAACGGCGCCGAACTTCAATGGCCACAGAGGCGAATTGCATGAGATTGTTTTCAACTACGCAAAAGAGCTGGGCATTCCCATTCACCTTGGGCACCGTGTAGAGAATTACTGGGAGACTGAAGAGGCTGCGGGGATTGTGCTGGAAGATGGGACGAAGATTGAGGGCGATGTCGTCGTAGGAAGCGACGGCGTGAGAAGCAAGGCGCGTACCCTCGTCCTCGGATATGAAGATAAGCCCAAGTCTTCCGGCTACGCTGTTTGGAGGGCATGGTTCTCGAACAAGGATATGATTGCGGATCCGGAGACAAAACACTTCTGTGAGAACGGAGACACCTTTAACGGGTGGATTGGTACGCGGCCGCAGATGGTTACTTTGAAGCATACAGATGCTGACACAAGAGACAGGACCGGATGTACATTTCCTCTTCTCCACCCTGAAAAACGGCTCCGACTGCTGCTGGGTCCTGACACACCGCGATGAAGCCGATATCGCCGAGTCCTGGTCTTTCCCAGGCTACCTCAAAGACGTGTACAAGGTCCTTGAGGGATGGGACCCAATGTGCAAGAAGATTGTTTCCAAGACGCCAGAATCCGTCCTCGTGGACTGGAAACTCGTCTATCGCGACCCCTTGCCTACGTGGGTTTCTGGCTACGGCAGTGCTCCAGGGCACGGGCGGATATGTCTTCTCGGTGATGCTGCACATCCTTTCCTACCAACGAGTGCACAGGGAGCAACGCAGGCATTGGAAGATGGAGTTACATTGGCTGTGGTGCTGCGGAGGGCAGGCAAGAAGAACATCAGAGGCGCATTGCGAGCATATCAGGAAATCCGTTATGACCGCGTCCGCAAAGTGCAGAAGACCGGGGAAACGACGCGAGATCTGTGGCACAAAACCGACTGGGAAAAGGTCAAGAAGAACCCGGAGAGTATACAAATGCCGAGGGAGGAGTGGATCTTTGGATTTGATGCAGAGAAGCATGCGGAGGAGGTGGCTGACGACCTCATCGCAAAGGTTTCCGCTTCGTAGACCTCGGAATGAGGATCGGAAGTTCGGAATTGGAGACAGTAGGACGGACGGACTTAAGCCCCACCACCAGGATGTGGGGTACCAGGTAGAGTAATAGAGTAATTCCCGTGTCCACGTTTAGGTCTTCCATCAGGGCACAGGTGATTGGTTTCTTAATATGCCGGACAGACATGCATTCAGAAGCTTGGTTGCACTTCCATCATATCCTTGTTGAACCTTTTTGACTTCGTATCCTCAGTTCGTGCACTTCTCTTGTCTAGCAACGTAACAACAGGTCGCAGCTATGGCTGTCGAACAGATCTTTGGAACACTTCCTTTGCACTATGTACAACATGGCATATCAAAGTACGGCACCGGGACCGTCATCATGGCCCTCGTGGTCACTGTTGTTGCCGCAGTGCTTGCAGACTATGCACGGATGCTCTACTTGAGGAGTAAAATGGTGAGCCTCTCCTCAGGTCCAGTCCAACGGTATGGCTAACTGAGCTCAAGCCTCCGGGTCCATTGCCTCTCCCCATCATCGGCAACACGTTCTCCCTCCCGGATAAGAAGCCATGGTTATACTTTGAAAAGCTCTCCAAGCAATACAACAACCCACTCATAACCTTCTGGATAGGACGGTATTCTTTGAGTTGAATCCAGACAGCGTTATCAGAATACTGACCCACCCAGTCACCCTACCGTTTGGATCAACGATGCCTGGACAGCCAACGAGCTTCTTGACAAGAGAGCTGGCATCTACTGGTATATACAACATGTCTAGTCAGCCACCCAGTGCTAATACCACTCCAGCTCCCGTCCCCGCATGGTCGTCTTCGCCGAGCTCCGCGCCGGCCAAAACAACCTGGTCAACATGATCACCACGACTCCCGCCCAACGTGACCGCTTCCGCATCCAACGCAAGCTCATGCACCAAGGCGTCGGCATTCAGCAAGTCCAGCGATACCGCTCGTTCCAGAACGACGAGAGTAAAGTCGTGGCTTATGATCTATTGAAGAACCCAGAGGACTATGTAGCACATTTCGAAAGATATGCGACGAGCGTGGTCAGTATCATTGGGTTTGGGCGAAGGGTGGGCGACCCTCAGGATCCGATTATCACGGAGGTGATTCAGGTGATGCATTTGGCGGCGGATCTGAATGTGCCCGGGAAGACGTTTCCGATGTTGATGGAGACGTTTCCGAGTAGGTCCACCTTTCTTCACTGAGCCATCTCACAGGAGTCGGTATATTCTAACTTCCACCGCCAGTTCTCGCCAAAGTCCCCGACGCTATCGCCCCCTGGAAACGGGGTGTAGGCCGAAAAAATGGATCCCACCGCGGCCAGGACTTCTTCTACTCCCTCGCCCACGAAGCCGCCACGCAACCGGGCCACGACGACTGCTACGCCAAACACCTCTTCAAAGCCGCCCCTCAATACAACCTCCGCCCACAAGAAATCTCCGCATTGGCAGGCAACCTCTTCGGCGCCGGCTCCGACACGTCCTCTAGCACCCTCATCACCGCCATCCTCGCCATGCGCGCCTTCCCGGAAACCCTCCTCCCGGCCTGGGAAGAACTAGACAGGGTCGTGGGCTCCGAGCGTTCCCCAACCTTCACAGACGACGCTTCCCTCCCCTATGTGCGCGCCTTCGTCAAGGAAGTCTTCCGCTGGCGCAGCGTTGCCATTATCGGCGGCCAGCCCCACGCGCCCGTGCAAGATGACTACTACAACGGGTATCTCATCCCCAAGATGACGTGGGTGCAGGGGAACGTGTGGGCGATCCACCATAACGAGCGTGAATTCCCCGAGCCGGATCGATTTAATCCCAAGAGGTTCCTCAAGGGGGACGAGGCCTCTAGACCGTTTCCCGGTGAGAGGGGCTACATGACGTTTGGCTGGGGGAGAAGGGTGTGTTCGGGACAGGCGTTGGCGGAGCAGGGGACGTGGGTCACGGTTGCGAGGTTGTTGTGGGGGTTCAAGATTGAGCCTGCGGTGGACGAGAAGGGGAATGAGATTCCGGTGGATATCTTTGCTTATACGTAAGTCTTTAAACACGCATTTTGCGGAGGGGAGAGTCGGCTAACGTGCGTAGAAATGGGCTGAATATGCGGCCTCAGCCGTTCAAGGTCAAGATTACGCCCAGGAGCGAGGCTATACGGCAGACGATTATTCGGGAGGGGGAACAGGCTCTTGCGGACTTGGCGCAGTATGAGGGCGAGACGAAGTATAGGATGAGTACGTTTTACACGAAGTGATGAATGTCATGTCAACTTTAGAATAGAAATATCCACATTTAAACTACCAATGAACCGACTAAACTGGGTGGGATGTTTTGTGCTTGTGATTTTGCATATCTTCACCATTGTGTCGACAGAATGGAAACAGGTTGACGGGGCGTATGCTGAATGAAGGGGGCCGGGAAGGAGGGTACCAGACCCCGTTCTTTTGAAGTGTTCGGAAAAGCCTACTAATTGCAAGCGTTGACCCTAAATATACAAATGTTATCTGTTAGGGTTACAACCTAGTTCAACGCATATTGAAAATGCAAAACAAAGGTTCAAGTGCGTGTCAAAATCTCTGCTGTTGATTGCCCGCGGCACGGCAAATGTCTTACACTGGGTGAATACATATACCTCTAACGAACTTCTAATAGTTAGTACAAGTTGCGAAAGATTGCGTCTTACCTATTCTATTTCTCTAGTAGCGTTTCTGGGTCGAAAACCTACATTCCCATTGGAGGCCGATATTTTCTTCCTATTCTGAACCGCCTATCCCGTTTCATGATTAAGTGAGGCACCTCTGGCCTGTCGGCGTTTCTTCGATGCGGTTCGATCAGATCCCGCAATTCGGCCAAAGTCGGTCTTTTATCTTTGTCGTAAGACAGGCATCTTGCCACTAACTGTCTTAATTCCGGGGGGTAGACGTATTTGACGAGATCAAAATCCGGCTCTCCTTTTTTACGTTTCACGAGTATATGGTCCTCTGCGTGGGTGTGTTTACAGGCAAAGATGCGAAGTTCCTTTGTCTCGACTCGTATGGCATTATCTCCCGCCCCTGTCCTCTTTACATATGTCCATTCGCGTGTATCTTCAGTGAGGGGTCCCAGGTCACCTGCATGTTCTCGTCTGGGAAAGTGATGGACAATCAACATGTGAACAAGACTCGCGATCTGCCAGACATCCGACTTCTCATCGATTCGAGTAGTACTTTTCCACTGCATTTCCTAAGTACAACGTCAGTCACTCCTTCATGGGAACTGATGGGTTAGACTTACAGGAGGATATCGACCCCCCCCTAGAGTTGGGCTCCACAACTTCCATAGAAACGGGTTGTCGTTGTGTTCGGGGTCTGGTACGTTGTTGTTTTGCCAGATGTTTGGGTTGGCGTTACCGTCGGGGTTGGCGTTGTCCTTCTGGCTGCGTTTTCCCTTGTCGTTGTTTTGGGGGTTTGCAGTATTATTTGGACTCAATTCATGGAACGAAAAACCTAGATCTGCGATAAGGAACGTAGGCCACTGTGATTACAGTCAGCATATCAGCCATGTTTTTTTAGTGAACATGCGATACCTACCGTTGCTTTGGATTGCTCTCCGTCCACATTTTCCTCGCTGTTGTTGCTCTTCTCGTTCTCTTCGCTGTCCTCGCTGTCCTCGCTACCCTCACTGTCCTCACTGTACTCACTGTAGTTGGTAATCTCGCCTTCCAAGGGCTCTGCCAGCAGTACGTTGTTCCAATTACCTAGGTCACAGTGCGTGATACCTTTCCAACCGTCCAATCTCCCACCTACGCTTCCCTGCTGCAATACCAGACAAGCGTCCACCAGCTGCGAGAAGAAGTACCAGATGAATTCCATTGGTGTGTACGATTCGTCATCATACTCTCGATCTTTGCGTCCCAGTGGATCTTTGCGACTATACGGCCTTACAATCTTCCGCAGCGCGTCATGAAGGTCTCCGTGGGGCGCATACTGCATGTATAACCTGTATCTTTGGTGGTGCATCATAAGCCTGTGCCCGAACACCTCAACAACATGACGATATTCCGGTGCATTTCCTGTCGCTCGTCTTCCTGCTTCTATAAGCTGATGGAGTCGGACTTCGCGAGGGAGTCGATCCAGCCAATTCTTTGCGGAATGCCATTGGTCTCCAGACCAAATGCATTCCTTTATCACCATCCGCTAATCAAACTGTCTGTTAGTTTGCTTGTTGCAACCTTCCGGACGCATGCTTACCTCTAGGATATTCCCACTGCCGTTAGTGCGAACCCAGAGCCCAGCCCGACCGTAACCGCCTTTGCCTAGCATCTTAGCACCATGCCAGCGTCGCACTCCATCGCCTCTCTGCGTTCCAGAGTGCAGGAAAGTGCGATCTCGCGTCATCTCCCATCTCTCGTCGGTCGGGTCGCTTTCATTTCCCAGCAGTTCACCGGGTCTCTCGTTGGTTTTATCATACCTTGGATTCACACACATACGTTCCATGTAGTCTGACGGCCCGAGGGTCTCTCTCCATGGACGGGCTGGAAAGAAAGACCATGGGTACACTTCTGCCTGGGCATTTGGCGCAGCTGCTGTAGCAGGAGCAGCAGGAGCAGTAGGAGCAGTAGGAGCAGCAGGAGCAGTAGGAGCAGTAGGAGCAGCAGGAGCAACAGGAGCAGGACGAGGTGGTGGCGGCGGTGGAGGCTGGGCAGATTGAGGAGGAGCACCTGCAGGCGGAGCTGGAATTATATGGAATCCCGGAAGCGCGTCAATGTTCTGGCCCAACGCTCTTGCTTTCTTTGCTGCATTGGCTTCCTTTTTGGTCGCCGCTCTTGTTGGTAGGTCGAAGTTTAATTGCAATCTCTGATTGCTAGCCCCAGCTGCAGCTGCATTTTCGAACGGCGTCCTGTCGACACCAGGGTGATGCCAGAGCCATGATGCCGTCTGCACTATCTGGTCTGTGAAGTATCAGCTCTGTATTCGCAGGTTTTGAGAGTAGACGAAGGAATTGTTGTCATCTGGGTATACTCACCATTACTCCAGTGCTGACTCGGTCCGTTGGCACGCAGGGCCGCCTTGACCGAGTGAAGAAAATGATTCCAAGCATTCGGCATACTGATCTAAATCATGAAAAAAAAAATTGTTCTTGGGGGAGTAAGATTGCCGAAAACTTTTGAGGAAAACATTGCGGTATTGTATATAATGATGTCGGCGCGGGCCACAAAGGAAGGGTGCTTGTACCCATCATAAAGACAGAACAAAGACTTGCGTCAATGGAGACAATACTTAATAGAGTTCATTGTCCTCCTCGAATCTATGTGGAGCTTTCTGCTTTGGCCGCAAATAGGTGTCAAAGACACGCTCGCTCAATCTCAGGCCCATTGAAACGTATTGTCTTAATATAGCAGCAATACCATCGTAAGCCACAGCTTGGATAGCACCTCACTTAACTGAACCATATTCGAGAAGGCTGTTGAAATACCCTGGGCCGGAAGGGAATCGAGAAAGTCCACGTGCCCGGGGATATACTTAGCACGTGGATGTTCGGCCGAGTTGACACCTGGTAATGTTCTTTGGTCTATCTCTGCCGCTTGACAAGTCATCGCTCACGGAGACTTGGTGCATATCTAAGAAGGCGAAACGGAGGTGGAATGCGGGAGACATGTAGATCTTGTGTGCTTTTCGGCATCGGTGTCGGTGTCGTGGGTGTCGCAGTCTTCACGAAGTAAATAGTTTACACCTTGCAAATCTTGCAGATCGTGTGTATATACAAGGATTCCAGACTCATTCCAGACGCCCATCATTATGCGTTCGCAAAGGGTGAAACTATATGAAACTATAATACACGCATACGGAATGGACACTTAACAGGCAATCCAACCTTGAAGTCTTAAGAAGCCATATTTTAACACCGATGCCCAACGCATCGTCATAGAGAGTCATAAGCAGTCGTGTAGTAATTTCCAGTGATACCAATCTTCGTCGTCAAAACATATACATACTTACCCAAATTCCAAACTCTCGCACCGTTACGCTTCCTCATCCCTCCTCTTCTCCTTCAACGCTTGAGGGTGCATTGACCCATCCATCTGAAGGGTCAAAGAGCCTCTCCGTCCGCGCATAGATCCACCCGTCAGCGACCCCTTCCTCGCCTCAGCGACCTGTTTCCTGGTCTCTTCATCCAGCTCTTCGTCACTCGGGAACACAAACTTAGAGCTCTTCCAAGGTGGCACTCCGAGCAGGTACATGGTGTCGAGTTCCTCGAGCGTGCGACCCCTACCCTCAATGACGAAGAAGTAGACAATGCAAGCGGCTACGAGATTGCATCCTGCGAACACATAACCGTATTTGAAGTTGATTGCCTTGGTGATGAAGGGCGTGAAGAACCTGCCATGACGTGCGAATTAGCCTAGAGTCGCACACACGAAGGGCGCCAAAGAAACCTACGCAAGCAAAAAATTCCACATCCAGTTGCTCGCAGTGGTCAGGGCCATGGCCTTTGCGCGATACCTGCTGGGGAACAGTTCTCCACAGATAGCCCAGACCATGGGGCCCCAAGTGGTGGCGAATCCAAAGATGAAGAAGCATGCAAAGACGATCATTGCAATGGATGCACTCCGCGTATTCGAGGGGGTGGTCCGGTCGAGTGAGAATGCGCCCACGGAGGCAAATACCATGAAACACACGAACATCCAGAGGGAGCCAGCGATCAGCGACTTACGGCGTCCGTAATGTTCGACGATGTACAAGCCGTAAAAGGTGGTTCCGAAGTTGATACCATTCCGTGCATCTCCGTTAGATCAGACTGACTCAAGACACTTGCGGACTTACAAGGATCATTTGCGTTACGAAGGAGTTGTTTATTCCTGTACCCTGGAATATGGTAGTGCCGTAATAGAAGAAATAATTCGCTCTGCCAATGTTAGCCATGGCCCCATTAAAGTCAGATCTACCTACCCTGTCAGTTGCTGGAACATCTGTAGGCCCATTCCGATCAATAACCTCCGGGCCATCTTCGGCGCCTTCCACATACCAAGCCACTCTTTGACGACATTGCCTTTAACAGACTCGGCTTCGAGCTTCTCCTTGATTTCCTGGAGCTCAGTATGGATCGCAAAGTGGTTTTCGCCCACCCCGTACACCTTCATCATCGTACGCTTGGCCTGCTCAATCCTGCCTTTACGGTAATTGAAACGAGGTGTGTCGCTGAAGAATAGCATGCCAAAAGCGAGCATGGATGGAAACACGAACGTTATACCCAGAGTAATTTGCCATGATGCGGCCTTTCCGGCTTGATGTTCCTCGGCAGCGTAGTTGAATATGGCAGCAAGAAGAATACCGAATGTGATCATCAGTTGATATGTCGCTATAAGGGCGCCTCGGATGTGCTTGGGTGCAGTCTCTGCTTGGTACATGGGGACGAGGAGAGACAAGGCCCCAACACCGAAGCCAGCCACAAGACGGCCAAGCATGATTTGGTACCATTTGTCGGTGGCAGTGATCTGAACAATGATTCCAACCGAAAAGATGCCGCACCAGAAGATAATACTGCGTTTGCGGCCAATCTTGTCTGCGATGGGAGCCGCCACGAGTGCTCCGATCAAGGTACCAATGGAGAGGATGGCCACAATGAGACCAGAGCGGACGACTGAGAAGTATGCTGTGCCGGAAGGAGTACGTTGGCCGAACCGGTCCTTGAAATCGGTCATGGCCAAGAATCCAGAGATCTGACCAGTGTCGTAACCGAAGACGATACCGCCTGTGCGAAAGTGAGTATAGGCAGCATGGCTTGAGTTGAACAAAGGCAAAAGCTTACCCATAGAAACCAGGAGGCCCATCGCAAGAGCTGCGCCTGTTATGCGAGGAAGAGGACTTGTGTCCAGGCCTGACTGCTGAGCAACCTCTGCCTCCCACGGCGTCATGGCACTCGGTACTGAGTTGCGACGGCGAAACGCCTCCATTGGGCGGCCCAACTTTGCAAACTTCATGATGCCAGAACGGTGATGCGATAATGAGCACAGGGAGGGGAGGTCAAGCAATAGAGTAAAACCACCACTTATAGCGCGAGACGATGAAGTGACATTGGTCTCATGTCCATGAGGTCATGGAATAAAGCTACGAGCCAGTGGAGCCAGTCAGAGCTCTATTAGTTCGAGGGGCGAAACGGTGCCGACATCCATTCAGAGATTGAGCTAGTTTACTGGTGGCATGCACGGTGTACTGTATGGTTGGAAGGGTGCCCGTTTTCGGGCTCCTTGGCATGGGTTGTGGAGGAGACAAATGGGGAACGTTTGAAGGGATTGGCAAGGCGTGGTTCGCCGCCGTGGTATATTCTGACTGAGGAGCAATTACAATATCGTAGTTACCCTGAGATTGATGATGCGCACATCAGCAGCCATGATAGGTGCATAGTTGTACATCGTCGTCGGCGCATCAAGACCAAATTTATGGATCCGTATTTCCGAACCCTGGAGGACCATTCTCAGCAACTGCGGCCGTTCCCGTCGGGCATTGCGTCATGTTGGTCATGGGAGCAGAATCATGTCGGTCCTAACGGCCGCTTCGGCCGTACCCCATCCCTGTGAGTGGCCATTCAGACAAAGACTTTGGACTGAACAAGAGAACCGCTTACTGTGGTAGCTCAGAAGTGGCGCCTCTAGATGCAGGAATTGTTCAGGATGGACATTATCTTCGAAATGCCGGTACACCTTGAACTGGCAAACTCGAACGCTTTTGTGGCTCCTGGCTGTGGAGAATGCAAAGCAGAGTATGGGATCCTTCACTCCTTGCCATGCGTCTGCTTCCACTTCTTGATCCTACGCTTAAGATCGCCTTCGCTCTGTTGCATCGGATTCAACTTCCGGTCCCACACCATCTTGCTGTAGTTGTCCCCGTACTTTTCGACGAGCCTCTCAATCCACTCTTCCTCTCGCTGGCTTTGCGTTCTGGGTGCTTTTCTTGCGCCATTCCGAGCTGCCTCTTCGAGCTGCTGGATGACGGGATTGTCGCTGGGCCCTGATTCAGGCACCATGGCAAATCCATTCCACTCCTCTCCCTCGCTGTCCTCCAGTTCATTCAATGGGTCGTTCAGGGGGTTATCTTTCCGCTTCGTGGAGTCCTCAATGATGCGTATGATCTTGCCCGTCTCCGGGTCACGCTCGACCTGAACTTCCTCTATATTTGCTCTTTCCGGCGGTCTGCTGACAATGTTGAGTTTGTTCGCTGTGCTATCCGCTGCGGTATCGGCTCGTGAGGAGTGCGCGTCGTTCAAGCCAAGCAGCTTGATGGTCTTCTCGGTACCACCAGTTGCGTGATTCAGGCGTGCGGTCAGACCTAGTCGACGATAATTTTGTGAGAGAGTCTCCTTCTGGTTCCTATGTAGCTCCTTGGTCAGCCCGAGTGAGCACAGTGCAGCGAAGACGGGCACGCCTACCAGTTGGCTGCAATGATAGGATTCGCAAGGATCTTCTTCTTTGACTTGGGCTTGTGCCTCCGCTTCGGGATTGAGGATTTGTTCTTCTTCTTCTGAAGTTCGCGACCCATGATTACCCAGAGATCAAGGTTGTGAAACAAGGGGTCAAATATTCGTCGATGGCGGTCGTGGGTGGTGCTGTAATTCACAGATCCATAACTTTTTCGATCTTGGCGTACCATGTCATTTTAGGTTAGGCGCCTCTCCCCGCGCGCAATCCACACCTTGGACTGTGTACATAGTAGTCGAAGAGGTATGGTTCTATCCCTAGGGATATCCCATCTGCGGTGGAGTTTTTGCTCTTTCCTCATGCTCAATCCGCCAAAGCATCGCTGGCCGTGGCAGTGTCACCTGTCCATTCTGGACCGACCAAGTGCGAAACCTACCTAGGTAGTTTCATTTCGATAGGGTGGGATATATATATACAAGTGAAGATAGACTTGTGCTGGAGGTATAGCTCTGTGATCTCCACCATCTCAGATAAGAATGCTAAAGTCGGCACTCTGGTGTACTTGTACTTGTAGATATGTACTTGCAATTGTAGGATCGTTCATACCAAATGCCAAGGTCCGGTAAATGCCCAACCCCGAATAATCCTCATACCCTGCCACATTTATATACACACCACTATCCGCCCACCAGTACCATGTTGTCCCGCCGGCGCAGGACCCTCGCTATCCTATCAACAGTACTGGCGGCCTGGGCCTGGTGTGCCGCCGCAGCGCCTGCTCAAGACAATGTCAAAGGCGCCGCGCCTGCGTTAGGAGATATCACACAGCAGCTGCAGGTATGAGAGTCGCTGAGGTCTGACAGGAATAGAGTTCTAACTTCGGATTAGGAGTGCGCTGTTGTCCAGGCTCTGAATGAACAGAAAGTCGCCTCTACTCCAGAAACGTCGTCCATCACCTCGCACATCTTCGCCGCCCTCTTCCCTGGCTCTCCTGCCGTCAACGCGTTGCTTGCTACTCTCTACATCTCAGGCCCGCCCAACTTCCTCCTTGCACTATGTCCGCCGAACATCGATCCCTCATCCCTCTCCGTTATGGTCGCTTTCGCTGTGGGTGGACTTCTGGGAGACACGTTATTCCACTTGTTACCGGAGATCTTCCTGGGCGAGGATGAGCATGACAAGGTCAAATTCGTCATGGTTGAGCCCAACAAGAACCTGTTGCTAGGTGCCGCGATCCTTGCTGGCCTCATCACCTTCGTGGCCATGGATAAGGGCCTGAGGATTGCAACTGGTCATGAGGGTGGCCATAATCACTCACACAGCCACGCTCCTGAGGTCGGGAGCGAAGTTGCAAAGGCTTCTGGCATCGATGAAGATGAAAAGACCGCTCTTCGCGCGCGCAAGGCAGCTGGAAATGGAGCTATATCGAAGCAGACCAAAGTGGCGGGAAGTGAAAAGGAGGTCAATGCGAGCGTGAAGCTCGGCGGCTATCTCAACCTGATTGCAGACTTCACCCATAACATCACTGATGGACTGGCTCTATCCTCTTCCTTCTATGCCTCGCCCACTATTGGCGCAACCACCACGGTCGCAGTCTTCTTCCATGAGATCCCTCATGAGGTGGGCGACTTCGCTTTGCTCATCCAGTCTGGCTTCTCCAAGAAAGCTGCAATGGGCGCGCAGTTCGTCACGGCCATTGGGGCCTTCCTTGGAACATGCATTGGCATTGCGATACAAGAGTTTGGCGGAAACTCGGCTACTGCTGATGCTAACAGCCCGGGACTTCTGGGCACCAGTCTCCAATGGGGCGATCTTCTGTTGCCCTTTACTGCAGGCACCTTCTTGTATGTGGGAACAGTGGCCGTTATCCCAGAACTTCTAGAGACCGGACCCGATAAAGCAAAGGAGCTCAGAAAGACTTTGACTCAGTTTGCCGCTATCTTCCTGGGTGCGGGAATCATGCTTGCGTACGTGGACACATTCATGCGACGCAGCCATCTAGCTGACAGCTCTCCAGGATCTCGTGGTCTTAACAACTGACGACTATGGAGTCTCAAAGCATTATTACATAGAGTTTTGTTTGCCTTTCTAGAACTTGTATTGTCTCACCTTCGGTCTGGCCAGCTACTTGTATGCATTCCAAGGTTGTTCCTGCAAGCATGTACGATACCTGACGCAACAGCAAGGTCTCCTTGTCGGAGCCCATGTGCTCATTTATTGTCTCAAAATTCCTCTCTGTAGGAGTGCAAGATATCAAATTCCGTTTTTCGGCCGCTTGAGCCATTTGTTGGATTTTTCTGGGCTGCACGGGAAGCATACAGTGTGCTCCAACAAGTCACGACGAAAACAAATTTCCCTTTATCTCCGACCCCCAGATCCACCCAAGATCTGCAAATAAACGTTCTAGACTGGCAGTTAACATAAAGAAGGGATCGATGGCCGAAATACTTCATCCTTCTTCTTCGGTGTCGCACATCCTCGGACGGCAGGACAATAATGATTGTGAATATTTCTCCAGCAAGTTGAAGCAGAAAAATTCCTGTCTGTCCTGGCCCCGACGATGGCTACCTCTTTGAGCAATCTAACGAATGGATTGACGATGAAACACAGAGGATTCATAAAGTACGAGGCGTTGGGGCTAAGCATGGGAATCTTAGCTAAGGGCAAGCCTCTCGTCAGACGGTCGTGCGCTGTAAAGCCAAGGGGATGAAGATGCTTCTCATTGGCCCACGGCGGATGCCCGCGAACTTGTTCAGCCCAAAACGGGCTCGGGAGATTTCCAAACAGTTATACGAGCGCCAAGGGGAGTTGTTGGCTTAAATTTAGCGGAGAGGATTGGCTGTAGGGCATGCAAAAGTCCTGCTCTTGCCAGGCTCCTGGGATGGCTGAGATGGCTGGTGCTTTCACGACGATGACCGCAGATCGGTCTCGTATGGCTTCAGGAATCCGAGAGACGTGAAATGCATCATGTTTCTGCTTCTTGCCTCTTCACTCTCCCCAGTCATTCTCCCCCCATCGTTTCATCCGGAAGTGGTTGCTCCTCCTCCCCAGAATCTCCTTGTTCATTCGGTATCTCGCCTTTCACGCCGGCCTCTTTCCTCTCAACTTTCTATTCGACCATGAACAGTTTAAAACCTCGACGATCCTGGCTTCAACCTTTCCTCGTCTTCCTCGGCATCTGCGCTCTCCTCTACCACAGTCTAGCATACTTCCCTTCAGCAACGAATTGCATCAGTTCCTCACTCAGATCACTTCTCCAACCACATGCCTTGCCACCCATCCCATGCAGCAATATCGGGGAAGAGAGTCCGCGAGAGGTGCTCCTCGCCGCCACATCCTGCCTCGACGAATGTCGAAAGCTTCACCTTGACAGAGAGACATACCAATCGACAACAGACTACGATGAGTGTAAACAGGAATGCGTCGCACGTCACCAAGACGCCTGTGTACGCAACCAGAAAGAGACGGCAGAAATAGGGAACTCTCTCCCAACCCATTCTCACAACTTTCGAATCACTGGCCGTCGCCTCCGACAAACACGATGATCTTGACATCCAACACTTCAACAGAATGTGGTTATCAGCCCAGTCACAAGCTGCCTCGTATGCTGAGGGTAACAAGGCGTATCGCCCGTACTCGAACCGTGTTCAGGAACGGCAACGACGGCACCACGGCTGGAGAATCTGAGCAATGATATTGAAACTGCATCGTCGGATTTTCAGGGCGTGTTGGTTGCGAAAAATGGCGTTAGGGATTGGTGGCGCATCGAGATGATACCCATGAATGATTATTTGTTCTTGATCGACGTGCGCCATTCTGTCAGGGAGTGTGGGTTTCCCCTTATCTCGCCGTTTCTTGCTGCTCAAGTCACTCCAAGAGTGGTCTTGCAAGGACCTTGTCGGAGGAGCCAGTCGCACGACATAACACTGTATTCCTTTGACCGGGTGCTCTTACCGAAGCGTCACAAACATTCGCTATCAAGGGAGGAGACGACACAGGAAGAGCAACCATACCAAAGGTTACAATGTAGCGACAGAGTGCGTTTGTCTTTGACGCTAAGCGCACTGGATCCGTCCTACTCCGACACAACTTGCGAATATCAAGGGATCCCCTCCGCCTCTCTTATTTGTTCGCTGCATCAGATCCCCAGTACTTCCTCACGTACTCCTTCACTCCTATGGGCCTCACATCCGGGCATAATTGATTCAGCACCGGTTCCAACACACTCTCTCCCACTTCCTCCCTCGCCATCATCTCCTCCAGCTCATACCAAAACTTCCTATAAAAATGCCCCTCCTCCTCCTTCTCCTTCACCACAGTCTTAAACTCCCTATACACAACGTCCATCTTTCTCCCTCTCACTTCTTCGGCAATCCTAACCACCTCATCCATGTCCACCGTCTCTCCGACCATGCTAAAATCCTCCTTCCAAGAGCCAAAAGGCAACAAACAAGCCGCCGCGGCAAATCTTCCTACGTCTCGGATCTCCGTCAATGTGCACTTCGGCACCTTCCCCTCCTTCGTCAACGGAATCTCCGCCTTCATCTCCTTAACATGCCACCAACAATTCTCCCAATTGTCGTTGAACCCGTGCAACGCATCTTGCTCATCGGGAGCCCCGTGCCCGAGATAATTCATAAACGCCCCGAGGCGGAAACACGCGAATTCAAAAGTCGAAGGATGCTGTTGCTGGACGGAGCCACAGGCTTCCCGGACGCTGAGTTGCGGTGCCAGCATCGAGATCCGGTGTGCGGCTAATGGTCCGGGACCCCATTCTGCGGGCGCGAAGCGCGATACGCCTGCTCGGAGGGAGGCGTTGAGGAGGCGAATCTGCGTCGAGTCCCAGGTGCCGTCGCGGACGAGGAGGGTGCAGAGAACCTGTATGAACGAGAGCGTGTTGGTCATGCTGCGGACGTATAGTCGATATAAAAAAAGGGACATGTCGTTCGGTCTGATGTTACATGAGTGGACGAAGACCTACCGTGTTCACGCCTTGCAAAGCTTCTACAAGAGCGTCTTCGGACCCGTAGTCTACTTTGCGCACCTCAATGTCGAGATCGATGAGCCATTGCGGCGTGGTGGATGCATGTCGCGAGAGGACGACGGGTTTAATCTCATTGGGATGTTCCTTGAGGGCTTCGAGGATCGAACGGCCGAGGCCGGGAGAGGTTCCGCCTGCAACAGCCACTGTAATCATTTTCGTTTTGATCTGTGTTTTAGGAATCTATAAGGTGCGTAGACTGCTTCGGTGTTGCTCTTGACAGTTTCGATGGATGTGGAAGCCTTGGTTTATGTATTGACGAGCTATAATTAGTACATATGTGAATACATTCCCGCGTCTTGCTAGAGAAGAAAAGATCGACGAGTTTGACAGCATATTTGAACGCGTGAATATCGCCAGGTCAGCTGATTGGAACATTCCAGTATGTATGACGTGGTGTCCTTCGAGACATCAGAGTTGGATCCCAAAGACTCCAGCCTCGCATTCCTCGTATCTACAAGTACTACTCCGTATCGGTTTGTCAGACAACTACCTAACCACCCACCCCAGTCCCACCTCGGCAGAGGGAACAATTCCCTTGAGGTTTTTGGCTAGCTGCGCCACAACACCGATCCCCAGAGTTCAGTTGCCAAGGTACGATGAGAGGCGCGGCGCAAATACACACCGGTCGCGCGGGGGACGAGGCTGAAAACCGGCAATAGGTCGGTGCCTCAGGTGGTATCCGCAGAAGAGATATATCCTCGGTCCCGTCGCCATGGCCGTGAGCGTCTCTTGTCCCCGTCGCAGGCTTCGCTGGAGTCAGAGTTACTGCGCGATTGCGGCTTCAACCAAGTGCAGTCGTATTGAAAGACATGCAAGCGAAAATGGGGATGGGCCGGGTATGGCCTTCGGCAATCTCAGTAATGCTCCTCCTAGCGTCCCACCTCGTGTCCGCCGAGCTGGCTTCCTTCAATGGTGGATTCCTTGATAATCTCACTGGAGGCCTTGACGATTTTGATGGGGAGAACGGCGGGGACCTCCTCCAACTAGTTCGGCGCCAGCAGAGGTACTGTCCGGCCTACGCACCCGTTGATTGCGGTGCCAGCGGCGGCTGCTGTAGGTCTGGGGAATATTGCTGCACGAACGTCAACGGCTGCTGTCCCGTCGACTCGAACTGTTATAGCAACCCAAGAGGATGCTGTCCAAAGTCCGCCGAGACCTGCAACAAGGGGTTCTGTCTTCTACCAGGGCAAACATGCTGCGGTCCGGCGGCTTGTAACAAGGGATATATGTGTATGAAGTCGCCGAGTGGAAGGGAAACATGCTGCCTTCCGGGGATGACCGCCTGCAATGATGGATCTTGTAAGCATCTCGAGCGACCAGAGCTATCCAGAACTAATGGCATGAGTACAGGTTGCTACGAGGGGACCACATGCAGCGCTTCTAACCCTGGGAAATGTGAGCGCATACGAACGAGCATTTCGACTCTGTCCGAGTCGTTGCCTTCTAGAAGTGCGAGGCCAACCTCACAACCAAATCCAACCCGTCCGCCGACGACAGCAACGAGCCCAGTGAAGAGCCAGAAGCCTCCTAAAATGAAATGCAAGAGCACGCCATCATATTCAATTCCGAACGCAAAGCGCACTGCAATCCCAGAGCTAGCCGCAGACCATGTCGCCGCGATCGCCGCCGGAGCGCCGCATTCCAAGCGGCAGGAAGAATCTGGCAGTGCTTTCGCGGAATTCTGCGAAACGGAGGATGAGAAGATTCCTGTTATGCTTTTCCCTTGGTTCCCTGGCGAGACGGACGAGCTGATTGAAAGTACATGCGGAGGTAGGTCATCATCGATTCTTTTTGTCATCGAATACGACTGATGATTCACAGGGATCCGCCAGTTTGGTGGCACTGACGAACTCCTTCTCACTTGGGCCGGCGACGGCCCAACTGCAGCAGGGAAGAGAAGAGCGAAGAACTGTCCATCGGGATACTGCTCCAGTAAGCAGGAATTGCCGCTCGGTAAACCGATGGCTAACGTCATGCGTAGGCATTGGACAGAAGCAAAATGCCAACTACGCCCGAGAGAATGAATGCGACGAGTTCCCACCAGGTACCCCAAATGGACCCTCTCTCTCTCTCTCAAACCTCACTAACTTGCCACAGCTAGTACTGTCGAAAGCGCCCAAGGCTCTCACGTCATGTGCATCGACCGACTCCAGAATCAACTCGGCGGCAAGCTCATACTAAGCTATCGCTGGATCTATAGGCTCCAACCGAACCAAAAGTTCATCATTCGAGTGATTCCGAACTGCAACTATTTTGCTAAGCACAAGCGCTCGCCAAGCTCCAATGATGTCGAACGTGTACAGAAGCGTGCTGAGACGGATGCATTCTCCGGATCTGGCGGCTCCTGGCTGCAAGACCGTCGACCTGGCGCCGAGATGGGCGTTGGCTGGGTTTTTGGATCCCTTCCCGAGTTGTCGGCTGGAGCTTACAACATCTCATTTGATTTCAAGGGAGCGGCTAAGGACCTCTCCGTCTTTGACTCAGCGGGCCTCGAGTACCTCCGATTAGAGTCTTCGGAACCGGGGCAGTCGTTCAATTTCACTGTTGCTGAAGGCCTGCCTCTCGCCGTTGCGGCGTACGCGCGGGAAGATGCCAAAATCGACTTGTCGTATAGTGGCAAACGAATGCCTAATTCGACGACGAAACCTTCACTTGCGGTGTCGGTCAGAAGCTCATGGGACTTCCGCTCGATGGGCCTGGGTTTCTTGATTCTCGCCCTGTTGACGTTTTTCATGTAGATTGTAACTTGATACCAATGTTATTCTAATTCAAGTTCAGGGAAGTTTTGTCTTACAAAGTGCTCATCTGACTTGACTGCATGCATTGTTGGTCAGTATACTGGAGAAGGGAACCTCGATATCTTTGCAGATTCAAGTTTAACGAGACCTTACACGCGCGCTATGTGAGTTGTCGAGGAATCGATTGATCTTGTCAAAAGTGCTATATTCCTCCTCAAAATTTGCAGTGGTCACTGAAGGATGCAATGAGGTTTAAATAAGGTTTTGCAGCACTTTCCTGAATTGGGTCACTCTGTCTAAGGAAGGTACGTCTGCATGGGAAACAGAACTTACCCCTGCAGCACACAAGCATGACTCCAATTCTCCCATTACCCATTGATGTGGTCTGATTATGCACTAGTGTGCCGTAATTTCGACTCCAGGTGCGGTATTTATGGTCGTCCAGGAGTGAGAATCGTGCGAGTGCGGGTGGACGTCCTCCTAGAGTTGCGATACACTTGGGAAGAGACATTGTATGCTGTACGCCCTTATTTCACGCGAGGATGATGAAATCTCTTCAATCTATTACTATTTTATTCGAGAGCACCATTACGCCCAGTGAATTTGGGACCAGCCACATTCTATAAAGGGAAAACCCTTAACTACCCTACTTAATCGGCTGATTGCCTCGCAGATTCAATCCATGACGTTACATCCACATTTCCTGAGGCTAGAAACCGGGTCGTGCAGCTACTCCTTATCAATGCAATAGATCTTGGTCACTGTGCGACGGCAAACTGGCGCTACTTGCAACCAAGGCTATGGATTTTTGCTATATAAGATTCGAAAAAAACAAAAGTTTCAATAACAAATGGCTCGGTAGTCTAGTTGGTTATGGCGTCAGTCTAACATTCGTTAGATCCACTGAAGGTCCCGAGTTCAAACCTCGGCTGAGTCAACTTTACTTTTTGGAAATTTTTTATCAAGTGGTTGGTAGATATCCGCCTACAAACCTACTTTTTGTTACCTCTACGCTTCTGGAATATTTTTACATGTTTAATATGAAAATATGGATGTCAATCAACGAATCGATCTACCGATTTTAGAAAGTCGCAAAAGGTTCTACGTTCGCGAGAGAAGAAAGGTCTAAGTCCCAACCCCCCCGAACGAAAGGCGCTCGCACCTTTTCGTACGATGGTGTAATATACAAAAAAGCATATGCCAAGTTTACAGAAGCTTTTTCTGGTCCTTGATTCTGCCGGACATGGGGAGCTGTGTTTTTTATCGTTTAGCAGGAGAGCAATGCGTTTTGCGATTCCCTACGTGATGGAGTAAACAAACCACGGCCCTTTTTCTCTTCTGCACAATTCCGCAGTCGAATGCTGTTGCTGGAAGAATTGGCAGTGAGAGTTATGTGATAATTGCGCGTATTGAAATGATGTATCGAGAAAAGATGTTTTAATTATAAAGTTACTGAAAAGGTTCCAGCCCAGGACCTTGCAGGTCACCACCATTGACATTGCACACAGTTGCACAGCTTGAACACTGCCACAGGCACAATCAATAACCGCTCTTCCCGCCCGTCCAGCACCGTGGCGCGACTCCCATGCGCCACCTCCGCAAACTCCCAAGCTCATCGTTTCCGCTCAAGGCATGAAGGACCACACCCCAAAGAACAACAAGACAATCCCGCTGACAATGACGGCCACTTCTGGACCCGCCTTGATCGTTATGGGGACGATATTATCAAACTGCAGGACGACGCTTCTCGTGAGATTCCTCTCTGCCTCTACAAGTGCCACCGTCGTGAGATTGCCGCACCGGTCATTCAGGCCCTTGTCGACAGTCATGGCTGGAAGTGCCAGTTGGGCGGCCTTGAACATGGCGCCGTCCTGCATGGTTCCGGAGAGAGAGCGGTGGTAGAAGGCGCTGCGGTAGCTGCTGTTGGAGCCGACGACGGACAAGTTGGCGATCCGGCTGTAGTCCAGGCAGGAGACTTCGGAGATGGGAGCTTGAGCTTGCCGGGGCGTGAGAGTAGGCCCTGGGGCAAATGGGTTGTCTACTCGAATTTCAGGTGCCGCGAGGGTGAGCGTGGAGAGGAGGGTGAGGAGGAGGATACTGAACGAGGTGTTCATGTTGGCGACCGTGAAGTGGTCCGTCTTAGGTGAGTCGGTTTCGTATGAGTTTGTCCAGCCCAGTAGTCGAGAAGTAGGAGTGCTTGTGAGCAGTGCGTGTGCTTGCAGAGACTGTCGAAACGGAGCGGCCAATGGAGAAGAGAAGAGAACAAAAAGAGAGTGAACCAGTCACCGGACGAATGAAGCGTAGAACAGAACGCGAAACGAAAGGAAAGAAGGGTTGCGAGAGAGCGAGAAGCAGAAATCAGGCCATTTCCATGCACGCCAGCATGGCATGGCTGTAGTATAAGAGATCGTGGTTGCGGCTCGCCTGGCACAACATCTGAGACAGGGGTTGCGTAGGTGAGGCAGCGGATGCCCCAACAACACCATCATGACCCACGCCCTGTCTCAGGTCGCATTGACGAGCAATACACATATTACCGCCAGTAGGCCTTGAATGCTTTTGTGGAGAGGGCAGGGCATCCCTCATGAGGCATTCAGACACTGGATGTTGGTGGTGCGACGGTTGGATCAGAGGCAGAGAGTGTTGTCGAGTTGTCGCGATGGGTGCATATGCAATATGGCAAGTCGAGTGCCAATCGAGCCTGCGGAAGAGTAGACCACAAGCAATAACCCAAAACACGCAAAACAGTGGTTCTCCGGTAGCTGGACGCATCTGCGTTGAGGATAGTCGATGAGGGAGGGCTGAAGCATCGGGTATCTGGCGAGCCGTGAACCAAGCGCTAAGCGAGGAAATGTCTGTGCCTGATCGTATTCGTCTTTTTGATCTATGGTGCAGTCGTGGGGTATATTGATGCGCTACATTCTTCCAACCCAACCCCGAATAAAATGCTTTCCCGCGTCTATATCCTCCGAACGTAAAACGCGCCGTCATAAGCATCCGGGGTTAAGAATCGATGGCCATGACCATAGTATCGTCTCCATCCAATCCAACAGGCGGTGGTTCCACCACCACGCCACGTCCTCTGCCCTCCAACAGCTCCCGCCGTATCTCCGGGCTGATGCTCTTGTGGCCCCTTGTTAGCAGGAGATCCAGCAGCGCCTCTCTCTGGTCTTCCGTGATGTCGTTTCGGTAGCGCTGGGCGAAGGACAGTAGGCACTGATGCCAGATGACGGGCAGCTTCCCAGCGCCGCCCAAATCTCCAGCAACCGATTCTGTGTCCATAGCATCGCCATTGCTAGGGCCTGCAGCACGGAAACGGAGAAAGTGGAAAACAAGGGCATCGATGACCTTGTAGGGGAGCGCGTACTTCTTGTCGAGCAACGTCTTGATGAAGATGTTCACAGGCCCGGCACTGTCAGGGTCCGAGCTCATCTGCTCAGCGGCCAGTTCGCACAGCCTATGGAGAGCGGCGGCGGAATGCAGAACGGGCACGCTGACCTTGGCAACAACGCTTGCGACAATGACGGCTTCACGCTGGGTACATGTTCCATCGGCCAGAAGTGGGAACACTACTCCCTTGAAGAACGCCGCAGGCTTATAGAGGCTGATATGGGTCAGAATTCGCGTGACAGATCCGAGCTCGTTGGACTTACGCTTTCTTTAATGCGTTGTACAGATGGACATTCAGCTTTTTGGTCTCCTGGATATTCTCCTGTACAGCAGGCAGGAGGACCATGTTCAAGAACTGTTGTGCTACAGCGGGCTTCGAGGAGATGAACAGGCGAGTGGCGGCGAAGACGGCATTCGGCGTCCACGAGTCGGGTCTGGTAACAGAGATCAACGTCTCCCACGCCGGCACAGTTGGCAGGATTTTGAAGGGTTTGGGCAGCTTGCCCGACTTGTATCTCGACAAGATGAGCCCAATCTTGGAGTACACTTCGACCACTTTCTCGGGGAGCTCCACTGCGTCCTCGGGATCGCCTCCTCCCTGGGTGTTCGGCTGCGAAGGATTGGCGGCCTCGTGCTGTGCAATTTTCTCAAGGATCAAGGCGGCCAGGTCGGTCCCACCGCCTGAAGGTTGGGTCTCTTGACCGGGCCAGACGATCGGATTGTCGTCGGTAGGTATGAACTTGTTGAAGGTCGCAAGATCTTCTGGGTCTATTTCGACTTCCTCGACTTCCTCTTCTTCCTCCTCTCCCCAGGCCTCGTCGTCATCATAGTCGGCTGCAGCCTCCTCTGCGTCGTCTTCTCCAAGCCGAGTATCAAAGTCGAAAGCCGGGTTTGCAGTGGGAGGTCGCCGCACCTGGTTTTCACGCTCCTCCTCCTCTGCCAGATCTCTACCGATCTCCAAAATCTTGCGCGAGGCCTTGGAGTCAATGTAATTCTCTTCCTCTGTCTCACTCCTCGACCGCTTTTGCCGCTTGGGTGCCTTTTGCTTCCATGGATTCGACGGGACGTACTCTTCGGCGAGCGGGTTGTGGCGCTGGGCCTCGCGTGGGCCTGCTGTCTTATGTGTTTTCGGCATGCTGTACACTTGCCGACGATTTGTGTAGATATGCGTATATGGGTGTATAGGTGAGTGTGCGAGGTGTGCGGGAACGAGGGCGGTGATGGATGCCGCAGCGGGACCACCAAAAATTATTGGAGGCATTTGCGGAGGGCAACTTTTCGCGGGTGTCGGCAGAAACTGCCCTCGGCATCGCCTAACTGTGTTATGGTGCATCGCGCTCGACAGCTTCGCAGCATTCCTGCACATACATTGCTTCTCCTTCCTTCTTGCTATCCGCTTCCCAGCGACGATGGCGGACTCCCAGCCAGGCTCTCGTTCCAATACTCCTTCTCTCGCTCTTCCAATCAAGCGCCAGCTAGAAGAGGACCACGCGCCCGCAGTATCATCACCGCTCAATCCGAACATGGACGCTGCCCGAGCGCGTGCGCGAGCTCCCCAGCGAGAACAGAGAGAGAAGCGCGACACTCTGAAGAAAAGGGAGGCTTCCGCAAACACACGCGCTAGCACCCCCAATTCCAAGTCCAAGAAAGAGACGGTTGTAGCGGAACATCCCATGCGGTATGCCATCTCGGAGCCCAAACCGCACGATTACGAACCCCCGAAAGACTGCACCTTCGCCCCCCACGAACCGAATCCCATATTCACCCCGGACGGCCAGAGGGAGCTCAAGCGGACGGTTGATCATGCCTGGAACAAGAAAGGGTACAGGTACACACATTGCGTGGCAGATCCGCACTTTCGGCATAAGCAGTTCTTTCGCCAGAGCGAGGTGAAGCCTTACGGGCCACGCATGAGCTACGAGGACACGGACAAGTGGTTCCATTTCGACGAATCAGGTACTATCATCACTAACGAGAAAGGCTGGCGTATGAGCAGAGGCAATGTCGTCGCGAGGGAAGGGAGAATGTACTACGAAGTCAAGATCCTCAAAGGCATCGCGCCTGGCCAGGGCAAGGAAGCGGCACCGGGGCCACACGTCCGTATGGGCTGGGCAAGAAGAGAAGCTCCTCTCGATGCCCCTGTCGGGTTCGACGGCTACAGCTACGGCATCACAGATACCCGCTCCGAGGTTATGCACCGGTCGCGGGCGACAAAGATATACAAGCCTCTGCCCAAAAGCGCCAAAAGCAAAGCCATGAAGCCGCGGCCGCCTCACGGTAAGCCGATGCCGGTCGAGTATGTCCCGGATCAGGAGATACAGGAAGGGGACGTCATTGGACTGGAGATACAGCTTCCCTCGCTCTCTTTGCACCGCAAGGTCGTTGACGGCATATACAATCCCGCAGTAGATTTGGGCGACGGCTTCGACACACCTACCATGTCTCAAGACTACTGGAATCAAGAGAAACCGTTCGACATTATTCGAGATCGAATCCCTGTACCGTACAAAGGGAATACTTACTTTGAGCAACTGGATTTCACAGCCACCAAGGCAGTCGAGGCTTACCACGATCGCGGTCCAGTCCCCAAGGTCACTCCATCCCCGAATCATGAAGAAGTCAGTGTGCGTTCTCTACCGCACTCTTGCATCAAAGTGTACAAGAATGGTAAAGAAGTGGGTTTGGCTTTTGAAAGCCTCCTAGCATTCCTACCTCCTGCGAGCCAGCCATCTGTGGAAGCTATCAAGTCTGGTGCGAGGGTAGGATACGACGATGGCATGTCGGGCTACTTTCCTGCTGTATCGGCCTTCAACGGGGGTATAGCCCAGGTCAACTTCGGTCCGGATTTCTGGTGTCCGCCCCAAGAGCTTCAAATCCAACGGGAAAAGGACATCCAGATGGCTGGGAACGGCACCAACGAACCGCAGATACCGCTGGGCCGAAAGCTCCGGCCTATTGGCGATCGGTTCAAGGAGCAGATTGCGGAGGACGTAACGTGGGACATAATCGATGAGGTGGATTTCTTCGTCCAGGACGGCGGGTGGGAGTACAAGGGCGAGGACTTGGATAAAATGGCGGGGAGGTCTGCGCCCAAAGCAAGAGGATTTGTCAATCCAGACGAAAATCTCGGGGTCGAGGTAGGAAGGCGGTACTAGGAGGTCGCTTAATGTGTACTTCTGGAGGGTAGAAGGCTTGATAGTCCATGCCAGCATCCCTATTGCTACATATTATAGACGATAGAGTTGGTCGAAGTCGGTTCCGAGACCAAGTCAGTCCTCCGTACCGGCATCGGCGACGGCGTCTCTCCAGGGCTGTGAAAGTCTGCATTCCGCGCGGCTAGACCTAAATAGGAAACGGTGCGGAATCCATTGCCACTATGATCACTCCTATGCCTAGGCATGTCGTTGTGAGTACAAAACCCCACTCACACTTTCACGCTCACTTTTCAATATACAACCTGGCGTCACAACCATCTTTCATTAAAGGTTGTACGGTCCAGGCTCTCTGTCCCCTCGTTCACATCATTCGCTCCACCAAGGCAGGCGTTGATCCTCCGCCATGGATCCGAAACAATTCCGAGAGGCAGCTCAGTCTGCCATTGATGAGAGTAAGATCGTTCAGAAAAGCCATCAATGTCTGTCTAACTTCAGGCAGTCGCCAGATACTATGAAACAGTAGCAGACAGGCGAGTACTGCCGTCCGTTGCTCCTGGCTATTTGCAAGCCCTTCTTCCTGACGCAGCGCCTGACGAAGGCGAAGAATGGAACAAAATCCAAGCAGACATCGACCGTGTTATCATGCCCGGATTGACTCATTGGCAATCACCCAAGTTCATGGCCTTCTTCCCGTGCAACTCCTCTTTCCCCGCTATGCTCGGCGACATGTACTCTGGAGCCTTCAATGCGGCTGCCTTCAACTGGATATGCTCCCCGGCCGTGACCGAACTGGAGACGATTATGATGGATTGGGTTGCGAAAATGCTCAATCTACCGGATTGCTTCCTCAGCAAAGGTGAAGGAGGTGGCATCATCCAAGGCACTGCAAGTGAGGTCGTCGTCACATCCGTCGTGGCGGCACGTGAGCGCATCATCAGGAGGAGACTGGCCGACATGCCCGAAGGAGAAGAGAAGATGGACAAGGCTTCCGAAATGAGAGGAAAACTTGTGGCCCTAGGGTCCGAACACGCCCATTCGAGCACCCAGAAAGCCGCCCTCATCGCCGGTACCAGGTTTAGATCGGTCCCCGCCCCAAGGGAAGACGGTTTCCGCGTCACTGCCTCTGCTCTGCGCCAGACGATTGAGTCTCTCAAAGCAAAGGGTCTGGAGCCGTTTTACTTCACAATCACTCTAGGCACAACAGCCACATGCGCCGTCGACGACCTCGAAGGCATCGCCGAGCTGACCAAAGACTACCCTGACCTCTGGATCCACGTCGATGCCGCCTACGCCGGCTCCGCGCTCGTCTGCCCCGAATACCAGCACCACTGCAAGCCCTTCGCCCACTTTGACAGCTTCAATTTCAACCTCCACAAATGGCTCCTTGTCAACTTTGACTGTTCCGCTTTTTTTATCCGAAAGCGCCGCGACCTCACAGACACCTATACCCTGACGCCATCCTACCTCCGCAACGAGTTCACCGACAAGGGCCTCGTCACCGACTACCGTGACTGGCAGATCCCCTTAGGCCGCCGCTTCCGCAGCTTGAAAGTTTGGTTCGTCCTCCGCAGCTACGGCATCAACGGCCTGCGCGCCTTCATCCGCAACCACGTCCAGCTGGGCGAGTACTTCCACTCTCTCATCGCCTCCCGCCCGGATCTCTTCACCGTCGTGTCTGGCCCTGCCTTCGGCCTCACGACTTTCCACGTCAATCCCCGCCGTCCCGGGGCTTCCCGGTCGGAGTCGCCTTCCGCCAACGGTGCTTCCTCCTCCGCTACCACTACGGCCGATAAACCGAATCCGCAGCATGAAGCGTATCTCAATGACTTCACGGCAGACGCCAACGCACACTGGCAAGCTGATGCAAATCAGCTCACCAAGGAAGTGTATGAGCATGTCAACAGTCAAGGGGAGTTCTTCCTCACAAGCACGGTTGTGGGCGGCGTGTATGTCATTCGTGTGGTCAGTGCTACGCCGACGGCCGAGGAGAAGTATCTCAAGAAAGTCTTTGAGAGTTTGGTCGAGGCTGCGGCGGAGAAAGTGGCTAAAGGAGGAAAAGGTAAGGGAGATTAATGGGTGGCTTTGAGTGAAGTCGTCTAGAAGGAGGCAACTGGTCGGAGGTTTTGGGTAACTAGAGCGTGGATGAATGTGTTTCTGCCATCTCGGGATTTTGTGTAGTGTATTAAACCGTGTATAGGTGGCGTGCTTTTTAGATAGACAATGAACCTTCTATTATCACGTACCCAAGTGGATAGCAAGTGTCTGCAGGAAAGGCACTTCACCGTCTAAGCGAATACTGTAAATCCGATTCCCTAGATAATATACTACGATACTACTAAAATGCGTAAGAATTGTAGGCATAATGCACAATTCAGCGGCTCTATGGATGTACACCTTTGATTCTCTTGGATACTAGAAGCGAAGACATGATACGGATGGGCGTGGGTAACGTGTGCCTCAGCAGCCGGGTTGGTTTGTGGTGAAGTGTGGAGGTAAGAAGTCCCAGCGGTGAAAGCGCGTAACGGACAGGGCGACCACATAATTGCGAACGGCTTCCTCACATGGCATCCCTACAATTATCACGCAGTGCTCTATCTGCTAACCGTCAGTTATCAGTCTCTTCGTTCACCACCTTACACGTCCATCGCATCATCAACATACCGCCGCAACTTGCATAGTCGTTTTTTGATTCTCTCCACCGCTTTGCCTACCGCCATACACACAATACCGCCCCACATATCTTCATCAACAGCCTCTACGCAACCCCATTGAATACGAGAAGATAGTCCGAAGGGCAATAAAGTAAAGCACGGAAATATAAAGGAATCCCGTCATTCTAAATAATGGACTAAGTTCCAACCACTCTCCGCCTACCAGTTGCAACCCGTCTCCTCCATCTGCGAATAAAAAAACACGTCAGTCCAAAACCCATCAACCCCCGTCCCGCAAGTCAACTCTTTCGAGCGCTTCTCCACACGGTAACATTTCTTAACATTCGCATCCTTCCAAATCCTATGCATCCTCCCATGGATCCCATCCCCTCGATCGACGCAAACGGTCTGCGGCCTGCCGCCGCACGAGGCAAAGTCCACACATGCACCATTTGCATCCTCCGTCGGAAAGGAGAGGCATTCCCCACAGTCGTTCACCCGCAGCCGCCAGCCCCCCAACCCCGCCAGAAAGTCGACAGCGGCGCTGTTGTCCGGGCATAGGCCCTCGTCGCATCCCGACGTGGCCGACGTACTGTTTCCTGGAACGTTTGTCAATTGACGGTTTAGAACAGAGACGATGGTGGTAGTCTCACGCTTGTCTAAGACAGGTTCGCCACCCTCAGCGATAACGTTGCGGACGCTCCAGGCCGTGATGAGCGATGGGAGGAGGGCCAGGACGAGAGATGACTTCAGCAACATTTTGGATAATGATAGCTCCGCAGATAAAGGACTGAGGGAGGATAAAGGCTTGGGAAAGTATAAAAGGGAGCAGATCCAATTAATGGCAGATGTTAGGCCTCGAGGGTAGAGGGAAGTCGAACCTGTAGACTCTACTGCATCCTCCTGGGTGCGACTGTAAGTATGTTGGTTTTATACTCTGTACCTGGGGAAATGTCTATTCGTAATGTTCTTAGGGGCATGCTTCTCTTGTCTTACTAATTAGCGAGGCCGGAAATAGCGACTTGTTATGCTAGGTTACGTTGAGCACAATGTGGTCATTGCTGCAGCGTTCTGGTGTTGGATCGGTTGATCATTCAGGGGATACGGATGCTACCAAATCTTCTGGTCACAAATGCCATAAACTAATAACTGTACCCACTCGCCCCACGTGCCAACCGGAGTAAGTGTAAAGTTTCACCACTATGTAGCGGAGCTTTTCTGTTTTACGAAATGCTGCGCTTTGCGGAGGGAGACCACCGTGCCCTATCTTCGATCCACAGTGGAATACCTCCAATTCACCGTGTCGGAGCTGCAGGCGGCAAACAGTGAAATGAGCCAGGTGGATGGCGAGCTACTGGACGCGATGAGGCGCGCCGAGACTGCCGAAGCGGTTGCGGAAGAACTGCAGGAGGAGAATCAGAGGCTGGGGCGAGAGAATCTGTCTCGTACGTTGCTCTGCTCTTCAGACATATGCCTAGGAAACACTGCTAATTGGGGCAGTGCGCGCAAAAGTCTCGCGATTGGACTTGCAGCACGCCAGCCACTGGAAGGACTTGGAGGATAAGGATTTCCAGTACCGTGACACGGCTGCCCGGTTGGATGCTGCCCAATGCTCGCTCGTGGTGTCAGAGGGTCAAAGGAAGTCTGTGGAGCGGGAGAGACAAGAAGCACAGGAGAGACTTTGGGAAGCAGAGAGGAAGAATAGGGAGCTCGAGAGAGACGTTGATAAATTGAGTGGCTTCCTTGATCGATTGGACATTAGCATGGACCGGATGAATGATGATATGTGAGACAGCGCAGTTGAGACTGAGGTTCGTTTGAGCTGGAGGGAATGGATTCAAGGAGTACTTCGACTTATGTATTGGTACAGACCTCCTGCTTCAGGATCTCAATGTATATACTGGTATCTCGACATGAATGTGTGACTAGTCCTTAGAGATGGAAGTAAGTATATGGACTAGGAATCGGGAGATATTACCATAGTAACGCACAACCTAGCATTATCTGTTTGCTTTGAAAAAAGGGTACATGCGATGATCACTTTAAAGTCTACGCCCGTACATGTGAGCACGGCAAATACACTGAATCGGTTCGCAAGCCAATAGAAATACGAACTGTGACAGTAGAATCTCAGAAAGAAGCTGGATCAAGGAGAATCATTTCCTCCGATAACTATACGGCTCTTATGGAGATCTTGAAATGAGTCGTGTTCCCATAGCATTAAGCACAGACGAAAATGAACACTTTCTTGGCAATAATTCTCCGTTCTCCCCGGTGGTCGGTGTCACGGTGACCTGCACTTCCCGTTCTATGGGACGACAGTGACCGATCGCTGGCCGGTAGCTGTTTGCGACTCGGTGGGCTGTTGGGTAGAGGAGGGACGGGAGGGAGTTGAGGGCTGCGACGGGGCCATCGGGGCAGGGACGGAGGACGAAAAAGAGGACGGCCGGGTATAGGCATACGGGAATTCTGGCAGGTCTGTCACAGCCATGGAGCCCTGCAAAGAGGGACCTGAGGAGGAGGAGGAGGATGATGATGATGAGGAGACAGGGCGACGTAAAAGATTTGGAGAGCCAGAAGCGGCATTCTGTCGCCGTTGAAGGGAGTGATTGGAGGCGTAAGGGGAACGGCCGTTCAACGTGGAGTCTCGCTGCAGTTTGGTCCATGCCGCCTGGGACGCTCGTGAAGGCCTGAACATGTTAGCGTGTAATCTCTTCAACAACAGAAACAGAAACTTACGTATGCTCGTCAGAACCCCGGAGAAGCTTTGCAGGCCGGCCCATGTCTTCCTGCGCATCCACAACCAAGCTTGCAGTCCGCTTCTGCGGCGAAGTCGCTACCGTCGAAACACTGGCTTGAAGCGAAATAGTTTGCTTCTTGAGCTGTTTCGTCAGACGCTCATTCTCCTCCCGCATTCTCTCCCAAGAAGTCCCCGTTCTGCGAGCAAGCTCAGCAGTCCTTCGGTGCCTTTCCTTCTCCCTTTCCATCTCGGTCGCAAGTTCGAGCGCGAGTGCCTTCGCCTTTTCCGCCTCTTCCGTCTTCGTCGCGAGCGCCTTCTCCGTCTCGTCTAACCGCCATCTGAAGTACAACAGTGCGTCTGCCTGTCTTCCCGCTTTTCCCTCCGCTTCCATGACCTGGCGGTGCAACTTCAGCTCCAGCTTCTCCGCGGTTCGGATTGACACCCTCATCTCTCGGTACTGGGTTTGAGCGCGCTCGATGGCGGCATTTTCGCTTGCTTTGGCGGCGTTGAGCTCGGCTCGCAGGGCTTCCAGTTGCTGAGCCAAGTCTGTCGAGGTCATGATGACGGGGTTGCGGCCTTGATATTATGATGGTGTTGGTGGTAGTTGTGGGTGGAGGAGGTTGAAGTGTTGTGTATACGACGGGCGAGGAAGGTGCGCGCTATTGTCTACTTCGAAGCCAACATTGCGCTCAAGGTGACCAAGTGTTGCCGGGCAGCCGGTGAAAGACTGCAGCGGGACCACTGCACAAAAATGCGGTAACTCAACGGTTCCATCGCTTCCAATTGTTCATTGAGCTTTCGCGAATACGTAATATTAAGCGCCAGTCCGGCCCTGGTGTGGCCGTGGCAAAATGTTTTCAATTGAGCAGTGAACGTCACTGCATTCAAACGTTGGTAGGGGCAACTCTCCTTGGAGGCATAGTCGAATCCGCTTGGACAGTGTATCACTCCTGGGCCTCACTTGCTCAATCAGCCAAGATATGTCCCATGATCCAAGCCATATACCTCCCCTGGCGCCAGAATGTCCTATATAGGACACTTCTGTATCGAAACTGGACTACTCAGCATCCCGTCCTCAGCCATCCTAGCAGCCTCCACCTATGGAGGGAATTTCGGATCAAACTCTGTGGTATCCAACCCCCAAATCTCAACATGCTTCACATCCTCCCTCTCCAGCCTCGTAAGCTTCCTAATCGGCCCTCTCAGTCGCTCGCTCATTGACTTTTGCTGGCCCGGCGGAGGTAGTGGCGCCCCGCCCTTCGGCTTGGGCGGGTAGACCACTTCTCCCACTTGGAAAATCAAGTCACCTATACCGATGTACTTCAGATTATTGAATTCCGGCTTCCACAGCTCGGTTGAGAGCGCGAGTTCGTGCATTTCCGCATCCATCGAGTCCATCTGATCCGCAAAGGGAGTGCCGGCGCGTATCAGCATACGGACGGCCCATAGTTTGGGTATGAGGGAGAAGATGTGACCAAGCGTTTCCAACGGAGGGACATTGGATGCGAAACCAAACTGCTCCAGGTCCGGGCAGCTCTGACAGAGTCTGAACAGGGCATTGTCGCTGAGAACCCAGTTGTCGGCGAGGAGAAGATGGCGCATGGTGCGGTGGTTGGATTGGATGACGGCCAGGACGTCACTCGCTAGACTTTTGCACTGTGTTTCGCTGATAGGGGTGCCGGTTGCGCTACAGCCGGCGCCATTTTGTGCAGGAGTCCCTGCAGATGTCGGTGGGGCGGGAGTCACTGCGGTGCTACTCGGCTTCGACGTCTTGCTCCTGTTTACGATGTATAGTCGTTCCATGCCGTACTGTCGCGACATCATGGTAATCATATCTTTCTCCACCAGGTCGACGCGCAACATTTTGAGATTTGGAGGAAAGGGAGCGGCGTTGTTTACTTTCCACGTGTTATCCAGGAAAACGGTCGTTGGGTCGGAGCTGCCCATGCAATTCATGAGCGTTACTTCCTCGAGCTTCTCCAAGTCTGTGCAGTTCTCGAACCCGTCGCCAGAATTGCGCGCGTACAAATTATAGAGGGCGATGCGCTTGAGTGGCACTTTGTGCTTCGCGGCCATACAGCGCCCAAAGTAATTTAGGAGATTTGCAGACTCTTCTCCACTGTCTCGCATTCTGGGATTCCAATGCAGCTTGAGATTATCCAGTTTTTTGGCGTGTAGTAGGAGGAGCGAGATGTCGTCAGGATAGCAGAGGGGATCTATGTCGTAAACGACCAAGGTTCGCAGATTCGGGAGAGGGGGTATCACTGTAGTCGGCCGTGGTATTCGTCTCGTCTGGAATCGCAACGTCAGGCACGTGATGGAGGGCTTCGCCATGATGCTCTGGTATACAGTCTGCATTGGTTTCGTGCTCAGCTCCCAGCTATAGACATCAGCAGCTCTCCCTTCACAGCTCAAGCGTCAAGGGACGTACGCGAAGCTCTCCAGATTCTTCATCCTGTCTAGCGCGGCGCGCATAGCTATCTGGAGCATCATGCTGTTGTCTGGCACCCTGCCTTTCGTGTAGTCGTCGACATCATGTTCTCGCCATTCGCCCACTACACGGAAGGACTTGACGTAGTCGGTGAAGGGTCGCGACACGAGCGTATTGAGCCCCACGGCAAAGGGACTCCCGCCGCCATACCCTTCTGGTCGGCCATCGATGTAGCGAATGTCGGAATAGGAGCGGAGGGTGACGTTTTCGTAGAGAAGGGGCAGTGTCATATAATACAGAAGACGCGAAGTTCGTGTGACTCTGGCAAGGTCGCCAACATTATCAAGCTGGATTCAGCAATCAGTCCATGTTCAATCCACAGATGGAAACTGTGATTGGAAAGTAGGTACACACATAAGACAAGATCAAGGCAATCAGATGGAGCGGAAGCTCCCTGCCTTGTATAGTTCCGGCATGCGAGCGCGCAGGCGACGCAAACCAATGTGGAGCTTGCGTATTTGGTAGAGGTCTTCGAGGTATGCCGGGCTTGCTCCCCGCAGTGATGGTCGGCGTACGACGGGTCTCGGAATTCTCGGACTCGGCCGCAGGCATCGTGGGGGGATGATCACGGGTACGGGGTCATGGTTGGGAGACCTGCGAAGCATGCGACAGCAAGCAGCGGAGGGCAGGACAAGAATGGTGTTGAAGGATTGGATTCCTCCATGTGCTGCCAAACGCCTTTGTGAAAACAAGCCCTGAGGCGCCGAATTCCGACCGTCCGCAGCTGGTCCGCTGCCACGCTCATGATCGTCGCAGGGATTCTTCTAAAGAAAAGTCACATGCCAATCAGAGTGGTCTCTATACGAATCCACACGCTGAACTCTGCATCATTTTGCACCCCTTTTCTCCAATCTTACGCTTCCTTTTGGTCTGATTGGAGAGTAGACTATACTGTGAATTACCTCACGTGACTGAGCGGTGATACAATTTTCCGAAAGCTTGGCGGGAACGTGACTCACCTCCGAAAACCACACATGCAGCCCCGGGCTTAGGAGAGTGGGGTGAAGGGCCCCTCGTTCGGCCATGCCCCCTCCTCCGTCTTTCCTCCGCACCGCCATCCGAGCAGCCTTCTTCTCCACCATTCGGCGCACAATGGCAGACTCGAAAACGGCGAAAGAAGGTGCGCCACGGCCCGCAAACTCACTCAATTGACAACTGTTTCTGACCGTCGAAACAGCCGCAAAGGAAGCCGCGAAGGCCGCGAAGGCCGCCAAATTCGCTGCCAAACAGGCAGCCCAGAAGCTCCAAAATGCTGCTTCTGGCAAATCTGCTGCCCCCTCCAAGAAGGATACAGCCGCCAAATCCCAACTTCCCGCTTTCGTAGAAGATACACCCCCGGGCCAGAAAAAACCTCTGCGTTCCTTCGACGAGCCTCATTTCACGGCATACACTCCGGCGGCTGTCGAGGCAGGCTGGTACGCCTGGTGGGAGCAAAGCGGCTTCTTCAAACCCCAGTTCACTGAAGACGGGTCCGTGAAACCCAAAGGCAAATTCGTCGTTGCGCTTCCGCCGCCCAACGTCACCGGCGCCCTCCACTGCGGTCATGCTCTGGCAAACTCGTTGCAGGACATCTTGGTAAGGTGGCATCGAATGCAAGGATACACAACCGCTTGGGTTCCCGGATGCGACCACGCCGGTATTGCTACACAGTCGGTCGTTGAGAAGGCGCTGTGGAAGCGGGAACAAAAGACCCGTCATGATCTCGGCCGTGAGAAGTTCGTCGAGACCGTGTTGGCGTGGAAGGAGGACTATCATAAGCGCATCAACAACGCGCAGAGGAAGATGGGCGGCTCCATGGACTGGTCGCGCGAAGCCTTTACCATGGATCCCAACCGGTCTCGCGCCACCATCGAAGCCTTCGTGCGTCTGCATGAGGACGGCGTCATATACCGGTCCTCAAGACTCGTGAATTGGTGCACTGCCTTGAACACAGCTCTGAGTACCATCGAGGTTAAGAACAAGGAGATCCCTGGCAGAACCCTTCTCTCCGTTCCCGGGTACGACAAGAAGGTCGAGTTCGGCACAATGACCTACTTCAAATATCCAATCGAAGGATCGGACGAGACGATTGAGGTAGCTACAACCCGGCCGGAAACTATGCTCGGCGACACGGGTATTGCTGTCCATCCGCAAGACACCCGTTACCAGCATCTTGTTGGGAAAGAGGCTCGTCATCCCTTCATCAAGGACAGGTAAGGCTGGACCATCTGTGTGTCCTCGGTCATGGTTGACCTGGTCTATCTAGGCTCCTGAGAATCGTAGCGGACGAGTACGTGGATCCCGAGCTCGGAACTGGTGCCGTCAAGCTCACCCCCGCGCACGATCCCAACGATTACAAGCTGGGCCAGACTCATAACCTCGAGTTCATCAACATATTCAATGATGACGGCACCCTCAACGAGAATGCTGGCTCTTTTGTCGGTATGAAGAGATTCGACGCGCGATACGCCGTGGTAAAGCAACTGGAAGAGATCGGCCTGTTTGTCAAGAAAGAGTCTCATGCCATGACAATACCGCTTTGCGAAAGGTCAAATGACGTTATTGAGCCGTTGATCAAACCCCAGTGGTGGATGAGGATGAGGGAATCTGCTGATGCTGCTCTGGAAGCCGTCCGAGATGGACGGATTACCATTGCCCCTGAGCCCGTTCGAAGAATGTACGACCGCTGGTTGGAAAACATTAGCGACTGGTGTCTCTCACGTCAGCTATGGTGGGGGCATCGCATTCCTGCGTATGCCGTGATTTTCGAGGATGAACAACCGGCGCAAAACGATGAGGAACCTTGGGTCGTAGCGAGGTCGCCTCAAGAAGCAGAGGAGAAGGCACAGAAACTCTATCCCGGACGCAAATTCCGATTGGAACAAGATTCTGATTGTCTTGACACGTGGTTCAGCAGCGGGATTTGGCCCATGTCTATCCTCGGCTGGCCGAACACAGAAGTCCCCGATTTCAAAAAGCTCTTCCCTACCAGCCTGCTCGAGACCGGATGGGATATCATTTTCTTCTGGGTTGCCAGGATGATCATGATGTCTCTCAAGTTGACGGGACAGGTGCCCTTCACTGAGGTGTACTGCCACAGTCTGGTTCGGGATTCCGAGGGTAGGAAGATGAGCAAGTCTCTGGGAAACGTCATCGATCCTCTTGATATCATCTATGGCAAGGATCTGGAGGGGCTTCATGCAACTTTGCTCACGGGTAATCTCGCACCCGACGAAGTGGAGAAGGCAAAGAAGTACCAGAAGACCGCTTTTCCCAAGGGCATCCCGGAATGCGGAGCCGATGCGATGCGTTTCACACTCGCATCGTACACAACGGGTGGCGGGGACATTAACTTTGACATCCAGGTCATGCACGCCTACCGCCGGTTCTGTAACAAAATCTGGCAAGCCAGCAAGTACGTCCTCGGCCGGCTGCCGAAGGACTTTGTCCCACAGACTAAAGCGGATCTGTCCAACGCCACACTTTCCGAAAAGTGGATTCTCCATCGACTGAATGCTGCTGTCACTGGCGTGAATCAGGCTCTGAAAGATAGGGAGTTCTCCCGCAGCACTCAGTTTGCCTACCAGTTCTTTTATGATGAGCTCTGCGACGTTTTCATCGAGAACAGCAAGGCGCTGCTGGCAGGTGCTCCTGGGGAGCAACCCGGAGTCCTCAACACCCTGTACATCTGTCTGGATGTTTCTCTTCGATTAATGCACCCCTTCATGCCTTTCATCACCGAAGAGCTTTGGCAGCGGCTGCCACGGGGCGCCGAGCACGCCGACGTGCCCTCGATCATGCTTGCTGCTTATCCCGAGGCGAATCCCGAGTTTGACTTCCCAGAAGCGGCTAAGGAGTATGAGATTGTTCTGGGATGCGCAAAAGCCGCCCGCTCCCTTGCCGCTGAATATCAGTTCACCGAGGGTGCCCAAATCCAGATCCAGGCGACCACTCCTGAGGCACACAAGATTGTGGAGGCGCAGGCCGTGTCGATCCGGGCTTTATCTGGAAAGGCCGTGGGTCAGCTGGAGATTCTTCCGCTGGACTCTGCTGCACCGGGCCTGAAGGCAATCTTTACCGTTTCGCCAGAGCTCAATGTCTTGCTCGATGTCGCAGGCAAGACGGCGGATATGGATGCGGAGATTGAGAAGCTGCGGAACAAGCTGAAGAAAGCTCAGATTAGCGTGGCAAAGCAGAACGATGTACTTGGTCAGCCTGGCTTCGCGGAGAAGGTCAGTGAGACGGTCAAGGCCGAGGAGTCGAAGAAGTTGGAGGAGGCGGAGTCTAAGGTGCGCAATTATGAAAGGACAATCGAGCGCTTCCTGAGCGCGAAATGAGGAGCGATTTCCGCTGTGAGCCATTGCTGGAAGGCAATTCTTGTAGCGGACGGATGGTTTGATGCAAACGTCCCCGATTTTTGTAGCGACGTTACGTTGAGCAAAGGATTATAGAGAGATTATCGGTTGTAGGGTATAGAAGCCAATGCGCTTGGCATGATAGGTGTGGAATAAGATCACAATCGAGATTTCACGTCGAAGAGCCCCCGGTCTACATGACACATTGTCTACAATATCGTTAGACAGGTGAAACATTGTCACTCTCACCAGCACCTCTCACCACCTGGGCAGCACATCCAAATAAAATCTGCGCTAGTCTGAAACGGCCGGCGGCCGCTAAGTCAGCTACCGACCCACGTGGTGACGCGCAACCGCGTTTCGCGAACATAGACATCTCCTCTCTCTCCTGCACGCCTCTTGCACCCCCACGATGACAATGGCGTCTGGCTCGGACGATGAAGACCTTCAACGCGCCATTGACATGTCGTTGGCCCAGGAAAGGCCCGCACAATGTTCAGACGCTGTTGATCGGGCTGATTCCAGCTACGATGAAGACCTACGACGCGCCATTGCGATGTCAATGGACGAAATTAATCCAGGCCAGACCTCTGGCGACCGGAAAGCTTCACCAACATCGTCCATCATCCGAGGTGAGGAGTTCTCTTCCTCAGAGGGGTACGCCTCCAAAACCTCCAGCACAAGTCTTGCGCAACTCGCTCAGCGTACACCAGGCTCGCCACCGCTCTCTGGCTTGCTGGGGCTTGACCGAAGAGCAATGGAGCAAGAACGTCTTGCGCGGCTTGGGAAGCGCAAACGCAGCACTTCACCCCAACACGCAATCAAGATGTCTACAGTGGCGTCCTCCTCCAAGACCACGACAGGCGAGCCATTGCGCAGTTTCCACACCACTAACCACCTCCGACACTCGTCTCAACCTCAATCGACAGGTATTCAGTACCCGAACGGTGTCATCAAACGCACGTGGGCCCACAAGCACCCGAGATCCTCGAATGATATCACGATTTCTGAAGTCTTCCAGGCCCCTACAGCTGCACCAAACATCGCCGTCCTAAGCAGCTTTCAGTGTGACGACAGATGGGTGTTCAGCAGGTTGCCTCCAGAGTCCACCAAACAGATCTGGATCATGAGTGCCAAAGGTGAAGATGTTCAGGCCAAACTGCTGGCCGAGGCGACTGACTGTAGGATACCCAACTTCAAGCTGCATTTCCCGCCAATGGAGGGCAATGTGAGCAATATGCACAGCAAACTCATGCTTCTGTTTCACGATACGTATCTGAGGGTGGTGGTGCCTACGGCGAATATGATCAAAACTGACTGGGGCGAAACAAACGCCGATGCGAACGGCGAGGCCTGGCAGGCAGGTGTCATGGAAAACTCCATGTTTCTGATCGATCTTCCTCGTAGACATGATGGGCAAGTGGGTAAGAAGGAGGAGTTGACGGCGTTCGGCAAGGAGCTGCTGGACTTCCTAGAGGCGTTGAAGGTCGGCAAGAATGTCACCGACGGTGTGCTGAAGTTTGACTTTTCGGCGTCCAAGAACGTCGAGTTCGTCCATTCAATGTCAGTGTTCCATTCATTTCCCTTTACCATCAGTCAAACTGACTTTTTACTTAGACCCGGCAGACAAACAGCACAATTCTCCGACCACACCGGTCTCCCTGGCCTAGCCAATGCTGTCCGCAGACTGGGTCTGCACGACCTTCGCATCCTCGAATTGGACTACGCAGCATCCTCTCTTGGTGCCATCAAACCGGCCTTTCTGAGCCAACTATACACATCCGCAAGTGGCCAGACATCACAGTCACCATCCTCATCTGAAGACTTCATGTCCCACATCCGTATATATTTCCCCACGCTCTCCACCGTCAAGGAGAGTACCGGTGGCCCCAACTGCGGCGGCATCATCACTCTTGCCCGCTCCTTCTACGAAGCACCCACTTTCCCGAAACAATGCATGAGAGACTACAAGTCGACGCGTTCCGGCCTGCTCTCACACAACAAACTTCTCTTCGCACGCGGACGCAAAAAGGACGGCACACCGGTCGCATGGTGCTATGTCGGCTCAGCGAATTTGAGCGAAGCTGCCTGGGGTAGTCGGAGCCTGCTCAAGAATGGGAGTTGGGGCAAGATGAACATAAGGAATTGGGAGTGTGGGGTCATTGTTCCCGTGCCGGCGGGAGTGCTCGGGAAATTGGAGTTGAAAGATGGGGAGGTGCCGTCTATGAGCGTTTTTGAGGGGACCGTGGAGGTGCCGTTTGTGTATCCTGGGGAGGAGTATGGGAGGAAAGTACCTTGGTACTATAGGGAGCATATGCCTCCAGAGTGACGCGAGCTTGCATACATTTCCTTGGGATTGGAGTTGGATTCTGCTGCGGATATCAGCGAGCTGCGCCGGGAACGTTTGGGCGTTTGCATAGGATCGGATCTCTGCTTGGCTTAAGTTCCGTTTACGAGGCTCGGGCGTTACTCACAGGAAGAGGGGGGGTCGGCAAAAGTCTTGGATACTCCATCGTCCGTTAAGGTGGATCAGAGAATTATCATGGAGACGGCAAGTTGGAGCTTTGACACTTCAATCTTGTCTGCGCCCCAAACTGAAACGCAATTGTGCGTTTCTACGCTTTTGGCACAGAGAGCAGGTAAGTAATGGAATGGAGCCCGCACCTGACCAATGCATACTATACATTGTAGTTATTCTCCAGATATCCCTGTGTGAAGCCCATATATTCAGGCGTGGTGATGGACTTTGCCGGTTATGTAATCCTGCTGTGGGCACTCCTCCACTTTTTCGCTGTTTTCGACCTCCAAGAAAAGCCAGCAAGCCTTGATGGTCCACAACTGCGTTGCTCTGTAAGACGCTAGCGCATTCCGCGTTTTGGTCCTCTCTAAACTCGAACCAACCCTTGAAGGCTATGAGGGAGGATTTCAAGGAGTGCACCCGCTCAGACACAGCGGGTTGTCAGCACTGTGCCGAAATGAGCCCTCCCAGCCTTTCACAGCAGTCCACAACAATCTTCACCTCAATCGCAGAAAGTACCTACCCATTGCCTCATGTAACATTCAGCTAGCTACCCACCGCCTCTCTCGCAAATCAACCCTTCTCGAAAATCGACCAATCTCCTCCACCACGCCGTCGTCGCCATGGGCTCCAATGACATCCCTCCGCCTCATGTTCCCTCCTCCTACCACGCCGTCAGCACGGCTCTCCTCTTCCTTGGAGCTCTCGGATACACGTCTGCCTACCTCCTCATGACGCTGCAATCCCTGCGCGACCGCACATACGCCATGCCTCTCTTCAGCCTTGCCCTGAACCTGTCATGGGAGATCGTCTTCGCATGCTACGTGGCCGAGAGTCTTCCCGAGAAATCGGCATTCACAGTCTGGATGATACTAGATGTAGGCTTGGTCTATGCCGTCGTGAAGCACGGCGCAAGAGAGTGGGAAGCCTCGCCGCTCGTTGCCAGAAACATAGGCAAGATACTAGGAATCTGCGTCCTTTGGTGCTGTACCATGCTCTGGGCGTTCTCGAAATGGTGGATCCAGTCGTATGCCCCCGCGCATCTCGTCCAGGGGAAAATATACCTCGGCGTCAATGGCATAGATACTACGGAGCTGGGCTGGTGGACGGCGCTCGCCGCCCAGGTGGTCTTGTCCGTCATGTCGCTTGCGCAGATTGTGGTCCGGGGGAGCTCTAGGGGCGCGTCGTGGGCCATCTGGATTACCAGGTTCTTGGGAAGTGTATTAGGGTATCTGGTTTATTATGGGTATTGCTGGTGGGTGTGGCCCGAGGCGCATGCGTACTTTGTGCATCCAGTGGCCGTGGTGGGGAGTGTGACGTGGGCGCTTGCTGATATTGGGTTTGCCGTAGTGATGCTGGTTGTGAAGGCACAGGAGGATGCTGGTGGTGATGAACGAGAGGGAGGGAAGAGACAGGGGAGGAAGAGGAGATGATGCGGAGACGGGAAATGCACCTTCGAGGTTCGTTAGATGTAGTACTTGAGCGTCTACGTTGGTTCATCACTCCTGAAATCACAACGGCATAATTGAGCATAGCCTTCTGCATATCTGGATGTAAAGTCAGGAAGAGTCGTCTTATAATCATGTCGAAAGTCGAAAGTCGTCTACTGCGACTTTGCGTCCCGACTACGCTCTATGACTCTGAGACCGTATATATCCTCACCGACGAATCATCGCTTGCAACAGCGAGCTCACAAGTTCCGCTCTCGTTCTTTTCCTGCCTCTTCGGCCTCCACGCCAACTGATTAACTGTCCTCGCAGGGCTGATCTTCGCATCAACAAGAGTGACCTGCAAGTCCTCCACCTTCTCAGCATCCGCCCTTCCAATGCCGATCTCTCCGTCATCGGTACCGTAGGCAAATACCAACCCTCCGGAGGGAGCGAAAACATTACACTGCACAGCGGTAACTGCTGCCTTTGCCGTTACGGTCGCCCGGAGTTTGACCTCTCCATCTTCTGCAATCTGCCAGATCTTGACGGTCTTATCCCTCCCTGCTGTCAGGAATGTTGGAAACTTTAGTCCCGATCCTTGGCTTGAGGAAGCCCACGAACACCCCAATATCATCCGGCTATGTCCCTTGGGGTTACTGAACTTCAACACAAACGCCCCGTCCTGATTTCTCTCCCAAACAACCCACTGCCTGTCCCTCCCCACGCTCAACAGATAGCTCCCATCCGGCGAGAATTGCAGCCCGGTAACAGTAAGAGAGTGCGCCTTCAACGCCGGCTTCACCTCCAGCCACTCTTTCGTATTATAAAGACGGATAACAGCGTGATCGATGGAACTGGCGCGACAGGCCGTTGCGATGAGTGTACCGTCAGGCGAGGTCGCGACGGCGGAAATCTCGTAGCCATGGCCGTACAACTTCTCAGTCTCAGGCCAGAGGAGATGCCGCGCGAGATGATCTTCAAGCGGTGGGTGGGAGAGGGCGAGGGTGGATTTGCGAATAGTGGCGGAGGGGTCGGGGGTTGTAGCATCTTCTCCTTCGTCTTCGGCATTGGTGCCATCGGCTTGATTGTCAGCGTTGTCGTCTACGGCTTGAATGGCCTTGTTGGAGAGACCAAGAACAGGGATGTTGGCGGCGTCGGGAAGTTCTTCGGTGGTCGTTGAACGCTGGATGCCGCAAAGGTTCTGGAGAAGCATAGCCACAGCCTTTGGCTCGTCGAATACGCGGAGTAATTTCTCGTCCGCTCCTGATATGAACTGCGAATCCGTGATGGAGTCGATGCAGTTGAGGTCGTAACCGTGGATCTGTGGCCGTGAGAATTCATGCCACGACGAATGTGCGTCATGTTTCCACTCGGCGAACAGTCTCGTCGTCTGATCCGAGCCTGTTGACAGCAGATATGACCCATCTCTTGACCAACACACTCCCCTCACCTCCCTCACATGTCCCGTAATCGCCACCTGCTGCTCCCACATGTCCTTCTCCGCAGAAAAGGTCCACTTCCGCCAACTCCCCGTTCTGCCGAGAGACACTACACTCCTCCCATCAGGTGCCCAGAGGCCGATCCAGAAGCCACCCGCACTCCCCGTCGCCGTCGTCGACCCCTTCTGCGCACTAATCTCCCCCAACCGCGTGATACACACCCACACCCCGGAGTCGGGATCCGCCTCCCAGATGGCCAGCGAGTTATCCTCACTCGTCGACAGCAGCTGCAACTTCCCACTCGCATGCCTCCGCCAACTGGCCGTATAAATCCAATCTTCATGCCCCAACAACAGCGCCTCAAAAGTAATACTGTACTTGTCCCCGGCAACCGTCTCAAACCTGTGCGCCTTGTTCGACAGCGACGACCTCCCCAGCACGCCTAACGCGGGATCGTTCAAGGCGCTGCTCGCAGCGGGCAGTTCTGCACCCTTGTGGACGCGCCACAGCCGGATATATTTGTCCTGGCTGGCGGAGGCGAGCAGAAGGTCGCTGTCCTGGGAGGTGGATTCACGCACAAAATCTAGAGCGCGGATCCAGCCTTCGTGGCCGGTTAGGGTGGCGCAGAGAGCGAAGTTGATGTCCGGACTGGTGTCCTGAAAGGTGGACGACGAGGTGAAGATTTGAATGATGCTTCTTGTGCCGGCTACGGCGAGGAGGAGGGTAGAGGCGTCCAGGGAGGTGAGTGCTACGGCTAGGGGGAAGTACTTGGGGGTTAATGTGATGGTTTGGAGAAGTTGGACATCTAGTTCTGAGAAGGAGGCGTCGTGCAGGAGCTTCCAGATCTTGACGGTGCCGTCCGAGGCTCCTGTGACAAAGATGTCGCAGCCTGGTAGAGTGGCAATCCGGGTGATGGGACCCTGGTGCTCGGTAATGGTCTTTACAAGGTCGAATGAAAGGACTGGTTCCATCTGGCCACGCCATATCCGGAGGGTGTGGTCTGCGGAGCCGCTGAGGATGATGGACGTGTCTTTAGACCCAGTGGGAAAGAATGTAACTGCGTTTACCGATTTCTTATGGCCATTTAACAGTAATCTCACGCCACGAAGGCTTTCTTCCTATGCACGGTCAGGATTCTGCGATACTAATGCCCTACCCTCAACATACGGTCAACCTACCAAGGGATCCCACAGTGCAATGGCATTGTCGGCACCGAAGGCCAGAAAGCTCCCACCCTCGACGTCCCAAGCCGCAGCTGCAGGATTTCTATTTCCACCTATGGATATATACTCGGACGATATGTCCATCGCTTTCACCAAGACCACCTATGTAGGCTTGTACAATGGCGGCCATGTCCACGATGCCGAAGTGCTAGTGCAGGTCATTTCTTTCCCGCTAGGGCTCGCTTGTCTTACCCGATGTAGTTTAGTGCGCGATCAAGGTTAACGTTATCACGGCCTCCATCCATCATCCACACCCTCTCCGTACTGGAAAGGTGATTGTAGCATTGGCGAAAGATGAGTGCAGAAGTAGAAGAGGCATCCCCTGAATATGTCCCAATCACAGTGGAGTTTAGGTAGGCATTTCTACAAGTTACACAGAAGCCCGGGTGTTGACGATTTGCAGCGGCGGACTGGAGATGCTCTTCTCCAATGAACGCAAACTGAGTCTGTCCATACCCCGAAGGGACAAGGATGGCCAGAAGGCGAATGTTGCGTTCCTGATTGATTATCTTTGCCAAGATTGTCTAAAGGATCCGCGGAAAGACCTCTTCGTCTTGGACGGATCAGTGTGAGTGGCACTCTTCCCCGTGGCAGGTGGAGATGAGCATGGCTGACATGTGGTACCAGTCGTCCCGGCATTCTTGTACTGATCAACGACGCCGACTGGGAACTGGAGGGTGAAGAGAAGTACGAGCTCCAAGACAATGACAATATTCTGTTTGTCTCGACGCTTCATGGCGGATGACCACGTTACTTCCTGGAGTGGCGGTGTAAGAGCGACGAGCTCATCGGATCTCGGAATTGAACTGGTCTATCAAAAGGAATATGTGCTGCTATGCACACAACCAAGCTTTGAAAGGATTGAGGGCTGCTACAGGGGTTCGATATGATTTCTGTCTTTGTAGGTTGTATCTCCATAGCGATGCAATTACCCCGACCCTCACCGCAAAGTTGCAGGAATCTAGGATTACTCCTATGAACGCGGCCACGGCAAGGCAGACGCGGATATGAGAACAATAGGATTGACTCATTCACGAGTTTTGTACACCGCTCGTTGTTACGAGTCCATTAACGAACTGGCCTCGGTGGAGAGTGAGAGCCCATGTGGCCAACGCTGAATAGTGAAAGGCTCAGACCGCGAATAGCACGTGGCATGTGCCCTATCGGTGCCGTGATCGCTGAAAGGGCCACATATTTTGAATCTTCTTCTCTCCTTACCGCCTCTACCTCTTGCGCAACTGAAGTATACAACCTCGCCCGCGCAACAACCTCCCATTCTCAACCACTCCAATCGGAAAGCAACACAGTCGATCGATTTATCCTACCAAATATGGCCTCAAGTGAAGTCGAAGAACTCCGGCGAAGATTAAGGGAGATGCAGCGCGAGTTGCGGGAAGCAAATCGGGAGTTGCTCGATCGAGATGAGCAGCTTCTGGAAGCTTGCGCCCGCGAAGCAGCAGCAATCGAGCAAGCAGCCCAAGCCGAGGAGGAAAATGCCTGGCGTGAGTACAAGAACTCAACTCTATCACTCCTTCGGATTGTTTCTCCAGGCTGTATTGGCCGTATCACTAACATTACCCTTGAAATAGTCACCGAAATCTACCACCTCATAATGGAAGAGGGAAGCTATGCCGCCGGGTCAGCTCAGGATGTACTTCAGCAGCGCAACCAGCAACTTGTGCAGACATCCATTGTCATCGCGAAGCTGAAGGCCGAACTTCAGAAATTGCGGGACAAGAATCGAGCGTCAGAGGCAAAGTACAACAAGTTCGACAAGTTACGGGAGAGGGTGGAAGAGAAGGCCCAAAAGCTCCAGAAGGAAATGACGGATCTCACAATGGCGATGAGCAGGTTGAACTACGATTCTGCTTCGACATCCTCTCGCAGCGCAACGGATCACTGAAGACAAGGTACAGCGGGGCTCAGCGAAGGACGGATACATCATGCACTTGAGTTGCCACTGAACTACTGGCTGGCGCCTACTATTTCCCTTCTTTCACTCCGTCAATCCATACATCAACCTTCTCATTGTAGAAGCACAGATGGCCGGCGATTGGGGCGCTTTCGGCGGTGGGATATGTGTAATACCATACCAAATCCTGATACGCCTTCCCATTCACATTCACGTGGTAATAATTCGCTTTCCCCTTGTACGGGCAATACGTCTCGGTATCACTCTTGCTCAAGTACTCCCACTTGACATGGGTAGGCGGGAGATAATGGCGGGGCCTCAGGGATGTCTCCAGCAGGAAGAGCGGACTTGAACTCTCTGCGAGGGTGACGCCGTCGATGGCGACTTTGACGTGCCGGCTCGACTTCAGAATGTCGATGCGTTTGTACGGGTCTTTCGGGTGCTGGTAGATTGGCACGTCCTCTTCGAACCATTGATCCAGCTCGTTGAATGGAATCCTAACTAGGTCTTTCAGTTGTGGCGTATTGAAGATGACAACGTGCTCTGCGCTTTTGCTGCCAACAGACAGACTGGCAAAGTGGGCTTGCTCCTTGGTGCCCTTTACAGAAGAGAGCTTCGTGAGCGAAGCGTCGGATGTGAAGCTGCCAACGGGAACGTAGAATCTGCAGCCACATATCAACGGCTTGCAAGCTATTATCCTGTAAAGTAGGTACCCTACTGTGGATAGTATGGGTGTTCCCACACATGGTATGCTTCAATGGTGTCGAACGCATATTTTCCGTTCAAGAGACCACGGACACGACGTGGGGTAGGCTCGGCTCTATGGGGACCATTTGCCACAATATTCTGGGCAAGCTTCTCAAGACTAAAGCTGTCAGACATGCGATAAAGCGGGAATTATTGGACGGTAGCGTACTCCATCACTTTGGTGGCCGGACTTGAATTTGGGACTTTTTCAAGATGTATGCTCAGATTGAATTCGGTGAAGGACTTGGAGATAGGCCCCTTTAAAAGTCGAACGTTTGGGACAGCTATGGATTGGAAATCTGTGATTGATTTGTCATGCATGGCTGTACAGAGTACAGACGTGGAGGTCATGGATGTTGTGACATCAGTACGGGAGCTAACCCAAGGTGTGTTAGCCCATTCACTGCCCAGAACCTCGGCATTTTGCGACCACGCCTTACAAATCAACGCCTTCCCGTTTACTGGTATTCGGAGAATTCGTACCATGTAGCTTTGAGGTTGCAAACTGTTGGATACGTGGAGATGGCAGTGGTTGCCGAATTAAAGAGCTGGAAGATCTGAACCCACAGCCTGGCAACATACGGTTGCTGCTACATATATCCTACATACACAGTCCAGTACTGTCGCACCGAATGCTCAAAAGTCTGAGCAGGCAAACGGGAGCCCCATATTCATCATGTTCCACAGCATCCTCATCACGGGCGGCTCAGGGATACCTAGGCGGCACCCTGCTAGCCCACCTCCAAACCGCCAATCTGCCCCCCTACTCCAAACTCTACGCTCTCGTCCGCACCCCAGCTCAAGCCGAAGGCGTCCGCCAATACGGCGCTACGCCTCTCAACATCGACCTCTCCTCTCGCTCAGAAATCCACGACACCATCCTCTCGAACAACATCACCATCATATTCCACCTCATCTCTGCCTTCGGTGCGCACACAACTCCCTTCATCGAAGCCCTGGCCACAGTCCGCGAAGCCACCGGTCACGATGTGCACTTCATTTTCACTTCGGGCGCGAAGCTGTTCTCCAGTCATGCCGGGGCGCCCACCTCCCAGCCACTCTTTGATACGGACCCGAATCTCTTTGCTATTCACGAAGCGCAGGTGCCAAAGTACGATATCGCAAAATCAGGCATTGATGCTAACATCGGTGTGATTGAAACAGGGGAGAGATTGGGTGTAAAGAGCTATGTTTTCGTGCCTTGTATCGTGTATGGTCCCGGCGAAGGATTCGGCAACAAGATCTCCATCCAGACGGTTGCCGTGGTCAAGGCTGCACTGAGTGCGCGCAAGGTGTATAAGGTTGACCATGGGAGGACGACGTGGCCCGTTTGTCATGTCAGGGATACGGTAGGCTTATATGTTGAGATGCTGAAAGCTATATTGGACGGGAGGAGTATCGGGTACGGAAAGAATGTCTTCTATTTAGCGGCTAGCGGGAGTGTAGCTTGGGATGACCTTTATGAGCGTTTTGCGAAAGCTTTGAAAGAGAGAGGCAAACTTGACACTGTAGATGTTGGTGTCGCAGGGGAAGAAGATTTGAAGAGGATGGCGCAGGGGATTGGATGTGAGCCTTTTCTGGTGCCTATGCAGCTCGCTGGCCTGTAAGTCTCAGTCCTCATCCCTTGAGCTCTATGTGGCAGTCTGCTCGGACTTTCTGGAAACTGAACAAAGATTCTAGGTGTACGTTCACCGCCGAGCATGGCAAACAAATTGGGTGGACACCCCGCTACAAACCTGAGGATATCTTGGACAGGGCGGAGGAGGAAGTGGAATTTATACTGCAGAATCTCACCGCATGAAGTCTATTGCATGGCACATCCATTGTGTAGCACACGCAATAGACAGAAGGCTTCAGACATGTCCGTATTTTTTTGTTACTATACTATTAATCCTCTCAACTTTGCAGATGGGGACGCCTAAGCTGTCCTTAAACATGTAGCCGGCTTGAAAGACCTTGATGCAGACTGTGGCCATTGATACAGGTGAGTCACGCAACAGTTCGATCAGGTGCAGGACTCTATATTGCTTCCCTCTCAACAGCACGAATGAAGATTATTAACAGATATAATTACTCAATGACAGCCCTCAGAGTTTTCCACTCGTCGCAACGCTCATTCGTCATCAACGCTCATAAACATCAAAGATTACGTCCTTCATAGAGGAGGAGCATTTGGATCCATCATGCACTGATCGACGCGCATGAGCTGCTTACCAGTAGCCTTTGCAATCTGAATGAACTGACGGAGATAGGAGACGGTGCTGGGATACAGGTAGTGCAAAACCACAAGATTACCGCCCTTGTCAACATCGCGCTGGAACGCCTTGAGCTGCTGCTCGGGGGTGTCGGTCTCAGCCCACAACCAATCCTCAACGTCAACAGACCACATGGTGATGGTGGGCTTCTTGCCGAGAGTCTGCGCAAGGCGCGAACGCATGCGCGCACCCTCATTTCCGAACGGCGGGCGGAAGTAAGGGGTATGGAGGCCGTTCAGCTGCTTCTCAACAGCCTTGATGTCCTCGTTGTACTCCCAATCGATGGAAGCATAGTCAGGCAGACCCTCCATCTTGGGATGAGTGAATGAGTGCAAGGCAACCTGGTGTCCCTGCGCCTGCATCTCACGGTAGACATTGGTGAGGTTGGTCGAGGCATCGAGGAGTGGTGCGCCCACAGTGAAGAAGGTCACTTTGATGTTCTCCTCGCGGATGATCTTGAGCACATCCTGAGCCAGTTCGGGTTGACCGTCGTCAATGGCGAATGCAAACGAGTTGGGACGTTTGCAAGCGAAGACAAGGTCGCCCGTCTCCTGCTTGTTGGGGATGATGGTGCCAGCTGGAACAGAGGGGACGATCTCAATGAGCGACAGAGTAACGGGTGTGCTGCTGTAGAACCCCTTGATGGCAATACCGACAGTCCGCTGGAGATTGATGTTGAAGTGATTGATCGGGATGTAGATGTGCCCGTTTTTAGCATAGCGGGAAGCCTCTGCGGAGTCCCAGGTCTCGGGATAAGGGGCGATGGCTTCATTACACTGGCTGTTATGCTGCTGAAGAGCAACAGTGAAAGCAGTGCTGCCCGAGTAGGCGATGTGCAGATACGAGCCTTGGTATTTGCGGAAGTCGGAGCAGGACCCGGACACCTGCGTGTAGAACGAGTAATCGGCGTCTTTCGAGGTTATGGTGAGTCGGTTGCTGCCATATTGGAGGGTCATGCCTTCATCGCCGCCATGCCAGAATCCAAGAGCGTTGCTGTTCGCATTGGCGAACTTGTCGATAACAAGAGCGGCAGCAGTGCCACTGGGAGCGGCGACGGTTGACGAGGGGCCCGCAGGAGGAGTGGTCGTGCTGACAATGTATTCTGCACCGGAGTTTCCGCAGTAAAAAGCGACGGGACCGAACACAACGGGTTTGTTGAAGCCCGAGAGGAGCAGAGTCGTAAGTTTCTCGGTATTCAGAGTAGGGAACTTTGAGAAGGGAATCGTGTAAACCTTCTCAGTACCATCAAAAGTCCACCCGAGCTGAGTGGAGGTCTGACCGGCGGATTGGGCGTTGGTCGGATCGCATGAGCTGGACGAATCCAGTTGAACGGAGAAGGTAGTCCCAGCTGATGCTTTGATCCGGAGCGAGATACCACCATACTTGTTCTTCGCGTTGACGCAGCCGAACTGCGTGTAGAAGTACGAGCTGGTGTCTTTGGGAGTAAGCGTGACGCGGTTCTTGCTTGGGTTGTTTACCTGGATCGAGCTAAAGGTTCCATCGTCGGACGTTGGCTCGAGAAGCGCATTATAGTAGAGGAAGGTCAGGCGAGACTGCGACGTCCAGTCCTCAATCAGCAACGGCGAACAAGTCCCAGAAGGTTGTATGGCCGAAGTCGTCACGGTCGCAAGCGTCGTCCTGGTTGAGCTCGGGACACTCGCCGACGTCCGCGTAGAACTCGGAGGAGCGGAAGTCGGGCCACTGGTGCCGCAGCCGAACTGGATGTTGCTAAGCTGCCATCCTGTGGTGGCAGAAAAGCCAGACCAGACGAAAGCCGTGATGGCGTTTGTGTTGGCTCCTGAGAAGGAGTTGAGGGGCACGGTAATTGTTTGCGTGTTCCCGGTGAGACCGGAAACAGTGAAGAAGGACGAAGTGTACGTGGTGGCGGAGCAGGAGCTCTGGGTCTGAATTTCGAGGGTCAAGGAGCTACCAGCTGGGCCTTTTACACTAAATTGAACGGAGTTGTAGTTGTTGGAGCTGGCAGCTTGGCAGGGGAACGTCTCGTAGAAATAGGAGTCGGCCTTTGGAGTGAAAGACAGTACTCCTCCGCTGGCCGAGATAGAAGTCATAGATCCATCGTCTATTCGCAGTCAGGAACCCTCCAGCAAGATGCTAACCATGTACGCATCGGCCAACTCACCACTGGTCCATGAATTCAAGCTGTTGGTGTTGCTCGACCATTTGGAGAAGTCGTCGACCTTGAGAGACGCGGTGCAGGCGGCCGAAGCTCCGCTGACCAGCGCAGCTGCGAGGCCGAGAAAAGTATAAGTCCACATTAGTAGTTGGAGGTTGAGCGAAAGACTTGGAAAAAGCGAATGTACGGAAACCAAACAGTCTCCAAAGAAGAGGTGCGACGCCTACTCTCTCCTACTTGGACGACAAGGAGCAGGAAGAAAGCCCGTGAGGAGTGAAACGAGGCATCCGGTCTTCTCATATACCTCCCCGTCTACCGGAGCCCGGGGAGACAGTCCCAGCTTGAGGGCTGACTACAAGGCCTGAACTTGCCTAGCGTTCTTGGCCCTTCCGTACGATATCCCACATCACCGTTTTTGTGTGGGAGTTTTCTATTTCCAGCCTGTGGCTGTCCCCTAGGCGGTTGCCATCCCCGGGGCTAAATAGAAGCACGGTGCAATGGCGCCGTCATGGACGGGAGGGGCCAGCCCACGTTCCCCCCTTTCAAAAACAAGTCCACTGTCATGGTGGTGGACCAGGCGGCGTAAGACTGGGCCAGAAGAGGAGAAGCACCCATGTTCAATAATGTTGCCAATCCTCGGCTGCTCGAAACAATGCGCGAGTCGTACCTAGTTTGTACTAGCACTGTATGTATGTAATAGCCAGGAGTAGACGACGAGTCGGAGACAGCTTGGCCTCATGGATGGAACGATAACCCTGGAAGGAAAACGAAACATTTGGAGCTTTCAACTGGACACATTCTGCCAGGACATGTAGGGTTGGAAGCGTTGCAGGAAACCTCCCACCGTCAAGGTACCATGAAGACAAGGTACATACTGTGTTATTGCCGGTAGTTCGCCATTTTGAACCTGTCGTACCACGTCAGGCCATTGTGGCCGGACGTCGCGTGCTGTTGCAGCCGTTGCCAGCAAGAATGAAATATCGTGCAGCCAAGACGCTCGGCAGGTACCCAAATAGTACCTACTGTGTAGGTACCACTGGCTGTACTTTTGACGTCGTCGCACTTGTCCGTTCCAGGGTTCTACCGGTAGAAGACGGTCTCAATCCCCCAGCTGGTTCCTGTTACTAAAACGCCTGTTGTTTCAACAGACCTTTCGGCCGGGCAACGCGTTCAGCATTCCCTAACACAGTAAAAACTCTTAGGTGCAAGTTCATCTTACCAAGTGTGGCTTTTCGTGGGCTGCCAAACGTGCGGTTACCCCCAAGATCTTTGTACTTTACTGCAGGTGTCGGCAAAGGGACGCGGGAGACATGGGGCGCAACAGAGAATTTCGACAGCCGACTCCAGGAACATCGTTGAGTCGTTCCAAACTTGTACCTTGTGGACACCCTATAGGAATACAGTATATACAAAGCAAGTTTCCGTTCGACTATATCCATCGTTCTCACTCTAACTTCCCTCCCAGCTTAGGTTGAACCATTACAGGGACACGCAGCTGCCAGCACTGTCTTCGAGGAAGATGCCACCATAGACCTGGCCTTCATTGAGGTTCTTCGACTGGTATCCGCTGTTGACGACATCCGAAGTGCCCGTTGGCTTCTTGAGCATACCGATCTGGAACTGGCCACCGCCCGCAAGGTTAACCGACGTAGGACCAGCGACGGACTTGAGAGGCGCCTGGCCAACGGAGTAGTAGATCTGCACCTGGCTGCGTGGTTGTCCCGTTAGTCTAGTCAGGCTGCGAGCGGGTTGAAATGATGCTCACTTCTTGTCGTAATCCAGCTTGATGGCAAAGTTCTGCCAGTTCTTCTGGTCAATGTCCACAGAGTACAGGCTTCTTCCATTACGGTCGAGGATCTTGAACTTGTTCTTGTCCGCGGCGGACTTGCCGATGAGCTGACCAGTCTGGAATTGAATCTGGTTGGAAGAGTAATCGGCGGCTTCGTGCCAGACGTTCTACAGCATGTCAGTAAGCGTTTCCCGATTCGACTCGTCTTCCTCCCATGGCAGTCCTACCAGGTACTCATGGGTCAGGTTGAGCGGGCGCGTTGGATCCTGCTTGACGGAAAAGTGCAGCGTTTTGACGCCAATGGTTCCCGGGCCGTCCGGAGAATCTTTCAGGAATTGCAGACCCGCTCTTCTGAAGCCGTTCTGCTTCTGGAAGATGCTCTTGTCCGACAAGGTCACTTCCACGGACGTGTAGTCAGCGCCATCGAAACGGGATGCCTCTTCGCTAGGAAACTTGAGAATCTGGCTCCACTTGAGGTCGTTGCCCTTGACGTAATCCGGGTTGAAGATGGTGTTTGTCGCGTACGAGTCGAAGAACGTGGGCTCAGTGCCAACTGGAACTCGGCCATCGAAAACGATCGGGCATTTCACCTCAGCCGGAGGAGCAGCCTGCTGGGGGGCAGGGGCCGCGAAAGCGCTGCCAGCGGTGAGCAGTACCGCAGCGATAATATGGTGATACATATTGATATGCTCCTCGAAGAGACTCTGCCGTGGGAAGCCACCTCACCTGGGACCAGGTGTGATTTATACTTGCCTCAAAGCGCCCGCAATGATCACCACTTCCCCGTCGACAAGGCCAGCCATTTCCCAGGAAACAGCGCAGACCCGATCACCAACGTTCTACTCCTCACATTCCCGGCGTGCAAATTGGCCGAATATGGGTTTCATCTTCAGCGGCATCGCCATAGCCAATTGCGAAACGGAAGAATCTGGGGAGAAGCTTCCATAGCAGAAAGGTTAACCTATATTGGATTGGCAGATGACAAGTCCACACGTCGGAATAATCTACATCGCGCAAATCTGCCGCCCAGCAGGCCAAGTCCTGAGATCGTGGGGTAATAGCTGCGCCTCGGATATTGAGGCGTCGGTCCGATGAGCCGCGGAGCGAGTGACAGTTTGAGACTGAACATGTTGACGCAAAGAGGTGTATATTCCACCCAGATTGGGTTTGATTTCGAACAATCGCGTGCGATGACATTGAAACCACCATTCGCACTAGAGCATCGAAACAGTCGTCTCATAGCGGTACACGGTAGGGTAGCGACAAATCCACTTCGAAGGAACCAGAAACCTACGACTCCTCCACGAGCTATCGTTGCGATGGCGGACAGTCCTCCTCAAACGCGGCCATGCCAGTTATCACCTGCAAACTGCCGTGAGATATGCTGCATCTAGGGACACGGGCGACAGAATCCTAAACCCCTCCGCAAGAGTGGGACACTGTTCTTGATACTTCGAGTAGTCCGAGCGTGGACAGTGTGTTCGCCTGGAACCCCAGAGGCTTAATGATAATGGTTCGGGCACCAAACAGGAGCCCGAACGTTCAACCACCCTGTGCGTCATAGGGTACTGCGTTACTCCCAGTGCTGCCCCCTTGCTCTGGATGGTCAAGGACGCCCATACTTTACTTTGTCAGCTCCACCCACCAGGGATTATTTAATATTCATTTTTGGATTTGATAACTAGAAGCCCAAGGTACACGCAAAGGCGAAGCGCGAGGGTGGACTGCTCCTGTGTGTCGATGTCCCCGTCTCAACGCGGTTCACATCAATAAAAAGCAGATATCATACGACCCACATCACACACCATCCATTCCACACGAAAGAAAAACAGTTGATGCCACTTAGGGGGGTGCATCCAACCAAAGCTCTTTCACCTCAGCGCACCCCGGATTATGCACCAAAAGAAAAAAAGACAACTCGATTTAGAGAAGACAGAGGATGGACAAGTAGGGGATCGAACCCTAGACCTTCCGCATGCAAAGCGGACGCGCTACCACTGCGCTACATGCCCCTTTGCTTGATGAACATAAACCTTTTGGAATAACTATATACAACAAAATATCTTTTTTACTAAACGGCGGTCCCGAAGTCTAGGACATCCTCTCGATCAGGATGGCAAAATAGAATATGTTTCAGTGTTTAATTTTGACGATTCGCTTGACGCTCCGAAACAGGACTTTCACGCTAAGCCCACGTCTAACCATCATTATCATTAGAAGCGCCGCTGATATCGTGACTTCTTTGCCCGAATAGCATGACATGTACGGCATCTTCCTTGCGAGTGTCGCTACATACGTGGAATAGGGGCTCACCGGCCATTCCATTTCACTGGCAGCTGTAGTGCTTCCCCAGATCCTCAGCCATGCCCTGCGGACGGCAAAAAGGGCTTGTAGCGGGGTTAACGATCCCCACTAGGAGAGGGAGGCCACAAAGCGGCACAGCAGCAGATAGTAGAGTGCCTCAACGCGGAGATGGATTGATAATATAGAGTACGAAGATGACGGTCAGAGGGGCGGCTAGTAGGTTATTGCCACTCGACAAAACGCACCTTCATAACGCCCTGGTCAGGTTGAAACTGCACATCAAGATGGAACTACAATACCACGACAGTATGATGGAGAGAATAGGGCAACAAGTATCGAGCTGGACAGCATGCTGAGGAGAAGCTGCGACCACAAATTTCCACGACTTCCAGCAAGAGGGCAAGGAGGAGACGAATCGAACGGTTACCCTTACCAGAAAATTTGATAGATTTACACCGAAGGCTTTTTTGCTCAGATAAGCGCTGCCGTTCGCGCTCGTGCCGATAGTTGTACTAGCAGTTATGGCCAACTATACATCACAGCTCTATCCCATACGAAAGATTGGTATCCAATGGGTTGTTCCCAGCTAAGAAGGACGTAATCTCGCGGATTATGGATAATGGGCTCCTCTTCATTCTCCCAGTTGCAACATCAGCTTAGGAAAATCGAACTTTACGTAAGCCAGAGTCATTGACAACGCCTGGGATCTGATTGTCGGAAGAGGCGGACAGATGCTACTGAGTTAGGTCAATTTACGAGATTCTCGACGGGTGGATACTCCTCCACATAGGGAGGCAAAGAGCAAGCTACGAGATGTACACTGCTATCGCTTTCGAGACCACATCTATCATACCTATGGGAACACTCTGAGTGTTGGCGAAAGAACGCCTGGCATTCAGGTACATCACTCGAGTACGTTTCCTCAGATGGCTTACTGGACTGGGCATGCTACTCAGTGCGCTTTATGTACTGGGCTCTCCAACGCTCATGGCCGCCATGACCGGTTACCTCGCCACTTATGGGCGCTACATTAACGACGGAAATGGCACGCTGGTTGGCTACGATTTGCTCGTCTTTTCCACTTCGTCATCTGGGACAGTGGCCGCATTGGCGAATATAAACAGCCGCTCGTGGTAACCCAAGATGGCCAGGAATTGCGCCGTGCTGTCTGCGATTATAAATCAATAGTCGCAAAGCAATGATCAATCTTCATGGTCTCCGTCTTCAACTTCAACTTCGTCTGGCCCTGTGCTATGGTTGAAATGTGGTTGGATACCGTCAGAGGCAGTCGAGTGTATAAAAAGGGGAGAAGACCGGGTCTTCTGCAAAATACGCTGGATATCCCGTCGGTGCTCAGTGAAGAGCTTGGAGAAAGATCCGGGATTATGAGGGAAAGAAACTAGAGGAAGCGATAATGCAACAAGATAACCTGAGAATTGAAAAGACGCGAGGCCACCACCTGAAATCAAGACGAGGAGCTGGGCGCAAAGGTGAACCAGGGGGAGCTCATTGTGAACGCATTGCGAAGATCCACGGAAACTGAACACCTTATCACCCGAAGCCCATACGACATGGTCGCGACTTAAAGCGACTATCGCAGGCAATCGATATTACCATGATGCGTCCGTGAGAAAATTCACTTAGGATGGCCTTTGGCACATCTACCCGCCTCGCTGCTTGTGGGGCGGCCAGCAGGCAAACCCCATCGCCACCTTTGCTTGTGCTCCACACCATGCCCATGCATATATTGAAAAGGCTATCAGGGAATCTAAGCGACTCAAATATCCTGATTCACACCTGGGTTATCTGGCTGCACCAGCAGCACCTGCTTTAGCAGTTGAGGTGGATTGCTAGAACGCTGTCAGCACGCAATACTGGAATAGACGGGCGACGACCAACCATTCGCATAGAGCGCATATGAATCAGCATTGCTCAGCGCCTGACTTGTGGATAGCCTCATTGCGGCAGCATAGCCATACCCAAGATCATCAGTTCCAGGGCTATACACACCCGGAGCATGAGTCTCCTCGTGGAGGACAGTAGTCGCTTTGTCCTGTCCGTGGCAAGTAGACGTCAAGTCCGGGAGCTCGTTGAAAAAGAGGTTACAATACGTGATGAAATTCTGGGACGGGACTGTGTACGCTAGAACGTTGGACGAGCACCCCCCATAGGGATCATTGCAGTTCGTCGAGGTGGCGGATCCGGAACTACCGCAATCGGATGCAACGGCGCGAAGCCGTTCGGAAACCGCGTTCTTTGTACTGCTGCTTGTTGACTTGAAGTAAATATCAAGCTTCGTACCTGAGCTGGCAGCACTGGCGGCAGAACTGGCCAGCTTTTGGCAGTTGGATAGCGCAGTGCGAATGGAATTAAGTTTGGAGCCGGAACAGCTAGAGCCGATTACAGTGCGCTTGGAGAGAGCTTTGGCGACGGTGGCTGCCAGAGCACCGTCAACAGTCATGGAAAGCCTGTTGGACTCATAAGGGAGGGAGCCAGCCAGCTCCGTCGAGCCCTCTTCTGCGTAGGGGATGTAGCCTTGTGCGAAAACATCAAAGTTGCCTCCTTCAGAAAGAGTGTGAAGGGCTGCCGTCTCCACTGTTATCTCCTTGGACTCCCCAACTCCCAGGGCAACAAAATCCTCCGTAGTTAGGCCGGACGTCAACAGTCGGAGCTTAATGCCCTCGAAAGGTACTTTCGTCGCTGAGGTAGACGTTAATCACGGTGGTCGCTTGGTCGCTAAGAAAAGAGGCTTTTGATGAGTTATCGGGAGATCCTTGCCTGCCGTTGTGTCTCAACGAAAGCCACCGAATACGAGAGTGTTTCATTTTTTGATGTGCTGAAGACGAATTATGACCATCCACACCGCCACTTTTGTTCTCTTCCAAGTTGGCGTGCTTGAACAGACACTATTGATGGCTGTGCAGAGAGAGGTAACTTACTTCCACCAGAGGGATACATTGAGACTTTTTCCACGGGGTTCACCTCGTCAAGGAAGGTGCCTTTGCTCAAGAGGTTGAGGGCCCTGTCTCCATTGTTGGTGACAGCCACCTTGACCTCAGAGTTTCCCGAAGCTGTGAGTACAACACTCAAGGATGAGTCGCGCTTCGTCACGCTGATAGCCATCGCACTGGCGTACGCAACAAAAGCGGCGAAAGTCAAAAGAGTAAAACCCTTCATGATGAGGGGCTCTTACTGAAGTCCGAGGAAGGTGACCTTGGCGATCTGGATGGAAGACGCAAGCTTGGAGGTGAATACGGTTAACGGAATAGCTGTTCGAATTTATAGCGTGGGGAGGCTTTCCAAGAGAACGGGCCCGGACCGTCCCCGCCCAACAGGATCGACTGTATCCACTATATACCGGGCGGTGGAGTACTACCAGTTCAGGAAGTCGACTAGATACCAGCAGCCAGTTGCGGTATCTCCATATGGTCACTTGTCGAAAGATGCGGGGCATTAACCCTGAGAGTGTTCCCTCACAGCCATGGAATCGCCTCCACGTCGGGACCTTGTTGGAGGGGAGGAAGATATAGTGTACCTCCTGACATGGGGCAGGGGCAAGTATGGAGCGGGTAGACAGGGAATTTGTTGCAGCGCATGTAGGAAGAGCGAATAGTGTCACCAGCCCCCCGTACAGAGCCGCCAAATCCATGGCGTCCGCAACTATCTGGTCTGAAATTGTATATGGCGATCTTGATGGTGTGAATGAAAAGGAACAAGATAACGTCTCGGCATGCCGCTGGATTGGTGGTGGCAGGGTTATGGTATATGTGCCAACCTTCCCTCTTCCCTGCGAAACACACTGACGGCTTTTCAACGTTCATCCTGGCCCCGTGCAAAGGAGAGCCTGGCTAGGCATGTCGCAAAGCCTCCAACTAATGGATTTGGATGCCTTGGAACTGGAGTGTTCGAAAGCCTCCAAGGATCCTCAGGCTTGTTGGACAATTCACAAGCCAGGTCGTCCGCGACACATCTGGAAACTGACCACGGCGAGGATTGCTGCCTGAGGATGCGATTATTGGTGACGGGCCGTACTGCTACCGGCATGGTATTATCTGGTATATTACTAAAAGGCAGGGTGGCATGCAGGCTAAGCGGACAGACATGAAGAGAAGGAAGACCCATGACGATGGATGGGTATCGAGTGGAGAGCTTGAGGCACAGGAATCGCAGTCTGATGATCATACTCTTACATCCAATCCCCCGGGTTTGCCAACGCGGACAGAGATGTCGAGTGGGTTCAACTGGACGGCAGGATATGGAGACAGGAGGAGGGAGGAATAGTGAAAGAGGTGGAGGAAGCTTCGGGGTTGAAACAAGGTTGTCGGAGAGTTCGCGCGAGAAGCGGAGGGTGGAGCTTGCCCCTTGGCGCTAAACCCAAAAGAGGCGCTACTGGCAGCCGGCAGATGAATTGCTCCAACGTCACGGCCAATCATCCAGAAGACCTATAAACTGCGTTGTACTGTATTTGTTGTACATATTGCCCTCGAGAGTCAAATACCCGTCCGCCCCTGCATTCAGAGCCTTGCTAGTATTGGTTGCGATTGTGTTCAAGCACACTACATTTCTGAGCCTGTTCGGTTGCAATTGCAGGTCTCGCGGCTATGTACCTTCACCCAGGCTCATCATCACAGCCTCGAGGTTGCCCTGTCCTGCATTGCTGATCCCTACCTCTCGATATACCGTAATATTGTCCGAGAGTGCTGATTTGTTCTGTAACTTCCATCCTGTCGTCTAGGATTGGCTTCCGTGGCCGGTAGCTTACAGACCCCGTTCAAAGTTGCTGCACGTTTTCAATCTCGTACCTACGCGGTGGTTGCCTCTGCCCGGTTTGTCTGTAAGTATCCAGGATTCAGGCCAAATTTGGAGTCACCACTGCCTTGAATCATCCGATTCAACGGACTACAGCACACCACTTCGGTTTAGCTCGTTTTTCGCATACCAACACTACAATTGAGAAACCCACATGAACAGCCGGACTTCGGTCGTAGCAGTCATTACTCTCACCATTCCGGCCGCGCTGTATCTATTCCAAGCGCTCTTTCAGCCTGATACAATGGAGGCGGGAACGCCTGGCAGCCCAGTCAACGAGATTCCCGGCTTGCAATTCAACCTGTCTCAGATCTCAAAGAATCCCCCTACTCTTCTCGTTACAGTCAGAAACGGCCATCCGTCCTCGACCTACACATTCCTCAAATGGGATTCCCCCCTAGACCCTCAAGCAACCAACTTGGGTGTTTTCAAGCTCCTGCATGTCCCAAGTGGGAATGAAGTCGCAACGGACTTGATCAGAATAAGGCGAAAGATGCCGCCCTCGAGAGATGATCTACAAGAAATCGCGCCTGGAACACAACACTCCATGGAAATCGTTCTTGACAAGCCTTGGATGCCGAAAACGAAGCCGACAGAGTACAAAATCTGGGTCGAGGGCGAGTTCCACGGAGTGTGGGAGAAGGCTGCAGGCAGTGTCAAAGATGAGGAGCTTGAAGCTTACACCGACACCAACTATGATGGGAGTCGGTTTCGGAGCGAGGCGACAACCATTATCGTTGAGTGACTGGCAGGAATACGAGCATTCAACAGCGGCCACCCGCAGCCTACTGCTGCCCGTGGCAACTTCGAGAGGACGTTAGCCACCTGAAATACTCTTGTCAACATCATGGAGTTCTTCTCATCTCAATGCTGTTGAAGAAGGAATGTGAAGTACTACCAAATGTCGTGTTATGGGAAATAGCTGCTTGAAATCCCTGCGGCGACGGATATGTCGAGCTCATATGTATACATCAAATCAGCGTACCGACAGTCTAGACAGCTACGGATACGTACATCAATAGGCTCCAGCAGTCAGTATCGCCAAACAGTATGCTATGCTTTATAGCAGTAAAACAGTCATGCCACACCGCTCTTCGTGCGAATACAGTGAATGCAAAATCGGCACAGAGGGCTGCGTCCACTCGATCGGGCTAAGAGGGTCCATTCCTGATATCGTTCCTGATATCGTTCCAGAGATCATAGGGAAACCCACTGTGGCTCCCCGCCCGACCCAGCCACATCCCTCAAAGCGCTCCTCCACCCAAACCACTTCGCGTCTTGAAAAGGGAAGATGACGGCCAAAACTTTCCCATATACCAGCGCTAGCGGCAGTGGCCCAAAAAGTCGGCTATCCCTGCTCCAATCCAAATTGTCTCCGGCGACCCAGCAATGTCCCTCGGGCACTCGGATCATGTCGTCCCTGAATGTTGTGAATTCCTTCGAAGGGTCCTCCTCTTTCCCCACATCCTCGTCCCGTTTCCCCGGTGTCACTACGCAGACGAGATCTCCAGGCATACCGATGATGCGCTTGCATGCCCTCTGACGCGGCTGCATGGGGTGCTCGAAGACGATAATGTCGCCCACGGCAACGTCCCTGCCGTACCGATGTCGCATGGAGACGAGAAGCAGCGGAGGGAAGCCCCTGCCATAATGGTGTGGTAATGTGGGCAACATTGAAACGCCAGAGGTCGAAGCGATGCAGTAAAAATATTTTATGAAGAAGTGGCCGATGAGACCAATCTGTGCACATTTGAGCATGAAGCCTGGTCATTCTGTTAGTAGAATAAACTGAATGGTCGAGAAACGGGGCCTTACGGACAAGTGGGGAGAGCTGGGATTGGTGGTGAGGAAAGGTTGGGGCACGGAAGAAGGATGGCGGTCTGAAGGGTGAGCGGACATGGCTGCGCAGCCGCGCGAGAAGGGGGATCCGAGGAGGCGGCATGGTATGGGGGAATATGGAAGACTCTGCTATGTTCCCATCATGGTTTGCCGTGAAATGGACAGGTTGCCGTCGATGCGCCTGCCCGGGGGAAAACCGACGAAATGGGAGGTCTGGATCTGATGGGATGAAAGGAAACCAGAAGTCGAAGACGCCAAGCCCTTATCGATAACTATTATACACAGTACAACGGAATAAGATTCCCTTCGAGGTACCCAGACTTCGACCTGTCCGACCTTCCATGCTCACAACACCTATTCCTGCTATATCCATTGAGGATGACCTGGTACCGCGATGGAACACATAATCGGACTTGAAGACGCGACCATGGCAAGGCCGAGGTAACCTGTCGCATTCCCTCATGAGGCTTTGAAAAAACTAAAACTCGAGACTGCAGGCCTGCGCCTCGGGGCTTCAAAGGAAACCAGCTCAACGACGCTGTAAGAGGTGCATTCCAATCCATCTTCTCCTCCGAAGCTGCAACTACTCGTATCCTGGCATATCGACTTGAATCCCCCATCTCGTGCTGTTCATTTCCTCATTCCTTACTCCAGACCTCATCACAACCTACCACTCCCTCAACAGTTGCACCATAACCACGCTGGACGAGGAGCCTTCTCCGCTCGAGTTCATGCGCCATGTCTCCACCAATCGCCCTTTCGTCATTCGCCGAGGTGCCTCTCTCTGGCCTGCGTGCCAAAAGTGGTCTGCCAGCCACCTCAAATCCATCATGGGGGATGAGCCTGTCAATGTCGCCATAACGCCGCATGGGAATGCCGATTCGGTACTCCAAATCCCCCGAGAAGATGGTGAGGAACCTCTATCATTGTTCGTGAAGCCCTACGAAACCATGGAACCGTTCTCCGAGGTGCTTGATACGATCCGTACCCAGCAGATCCGTCGCCAGGATCCCCAACGTCCCAATAGGACTCATGCAGTGAACGCCTCCCCCCGGCCCCCTTCTCCGGTCCGCTACCTGCAGACGCAAAATGACAACCTCCGCAACGAATACACAAAGCTCTTCTCGGATCTGCCCTCGTCGGTCCCATTCGCACGCATCGCACTCCAGAAGCCTCCAGACGCCATCAACTTCTGGCTCGGAAACTCGTATTCCACGACAGCACTGCACAAGGACAACTACGAAAATGTATACGTCCAAGTACTTGGCAAGAAGCACTTCGTCTTGCTTCCCCCCGTAGAGGCGCCCTGTGTGAATGAGAGAGCGATACTGAGCGCAACCTATCGACCGGTGCCTGAAGCTCTTAGCAGCACACCGGCCACAGGCGACCCATCTCTTTCTGCAACCGTTGTACCACACATTGATGAACCTCTCACATACACTCCATTCTGCACCTGGGACCCCGACGTCCCTCACCGGAATACGACTCCATTTTCTTCGCTCTCGCAACCGATCCGCGTCACTCTAGAGCCGGGCGACATGTTGTACCTCCCGGCGCTGTGGTACCATAAAGTGGGCCAGAGTTGTAACGAAGAGGGCATCTGCTGTGCAGTGAATTACTGGTACGATCTTGAATTCGGTGGTGGCTTTTGGAGCATGGCTGCATTCGTGAGGAGTGCAGGCTTATTGGCCCTGCCCGAACATAATCATAATGGCGACACAAAGACAGAAGAACGCAAGGTACCAAGCCAATGATGTAGAGCCATACAAGGAATCATACAGGAATCGCAACTCAATATTAGGGGGTATCTAAAACTAACACGCATAAACGCCGCACTACCGACAGTATGTACCTCTATCTTCGGACGCGAATCTTGACTCCAGCTCCTCGGACACTGCCCCACACACTCTCACTGACGCGGAGGGGAAGCTTTCGCCCCTTGAGCCTCTGATCGATGAGCCACATGCCAACGACAAACTCCTCTCTCCGCAAACGGCCGAGCCCCCTCGCATCCACCAGGTCCCACACTTCTTCCAACACGTGGTCCGCTAGTCGACTCCGCTGCCAGATCTCTCTGACCACCAAATTCAGGACATCGTGCGCGGGGTCATCGAGGTAGATACTGCGTGCGGCCTGAGGAGCGTCGGAGGATGGAATGTATAGACCTTTGTTCGCCGCCCATACGCCCTCATATCGCTTACGCTCGCGCTCGGTAACAATGTCGCGCCAGCGTTTGCGAGTGCCTTCATGATGCTTGTTCGGGTGCTTCTTCCTCATCCCCATAACCCTCGTACCTTTTCTCTTGTACTTCTCGGCGTCGTCCTTCTCGTCAGACGAGGACGGCTCTTTCCGGAGCGTTGTTCGCAGTTTACCCGTCGGCTTCTGAGGCGACGGTGAACGATCGTGGTGCAGAGGCAAATGGTGATGATGAGGATGATGAGGATGATGAGGATGATGTTTTCGAGGAGGAAGTTGGGCGCGTAGAGCCGGTGTCGGTCCAGGAGATGCCGTCCGGGAGGAGGCTAGGGCTGCACCTATCATGGCGTTGGAAAGAGACTCCCCCGTGAGGTGTCTGGTCACCTGTTTAGCTGACTGCCGTTGATAATTGGAGTGGAGCGCCGTTTCCACCGGTGAAGAGTGGTCTATCCTAGAGATAGGCAAGGGAAACTGGCTGTTCGATGCTGGCCTTTGAAGGGGTTGAGGCGGTTCTGGTGCTGCTTTCGGACGATCACGGCTTGCGAGTGACCCACTAGGCCCTTTGGTAGACCGGCGAGGAGGTGGAGGCACCGGCTTGCCCTTCTCCTTTACTTCTTCCAGCTGCTCCTGAGCGGACATGTAGGACGATGCTGAGGATGCATTTCCAGTACTTTCTACAGACATTGTGCTGGACACACGACTCTGGATACGAACTGGACGAGTCGCGTTATCCAGGTTTACCTCAGACAAGTGGTGTTTTTCCTGCTGCGGTGGTTTGGGCCGAGCAATAGGACCTGCCGCTGTCGATGGAAGCGATTTCTGGGGTAGAAGCGGAACAAGAGGCCCTTCTTTGCGCAGTTTCAGTCCATCATGCCCGGAATCCATAGAAACTGGTCCTGGTTTGGGCTTCACTGCCGGTTTTGGCTTCTCCGAAAGCTTGACTAGCGTAGCCTCGGTCTCTCGGGGAGGCTCGACCTTTTCATCGAACGAAAGATGGTATGCCCTTTGGGGTTTTGGTGACCTGACAGGAGGAACAGAAACTTGTTTCCGTGGGGCAGCCGGTGGCTCTGCCGGAGTTCTGACATGGCCACTAGCAGGCGGAAGAGGTTCACTGTCCGTCTGCGTCTCTTCCGCCATGTGGATAGTGCTCGCAGTGGAAGAGCGTGGCTGGGTGTTGCCTGGTCTCCTCAGCGGTGCCTGTTCCAACGGACGCTGTTCCAGCTGCGCCAGGACGTTGCTAACGCTCCCAGGGGGAGGGAACATATCATTCTCGTCGACACTGCGCTCCTCTAGTATCTGAGGTGTGCTGGGCTTCATGGGGCTGAATCTTGCGGCCGCAATCTTCGCAGCAATGTTCGAAGGTGACGGTGTGCGGTCGGCGTTGGGGCCTTCCGGCATACCCAGGGGGCGTGAGCTGGTCGACGGGGTGGGAAGTCGGGGCGGAGAGGGCGGCTTAGAAGGACGGGTTGCACCAGGCCCATCCCTCTGCAGTGGAGATGCTTCCGGCTGGCTCGGAGCGCTGCGCGACATGCCAGATCCAGCTTTTGCAGCTGCGAGCAAAGCGCCGTTGTTTCCGCTGGTATAGGTGCTTGGCAGGGGTTTCGGCTTCAGGGCGGGTTTCGCAAAGGCAGAAGAGGCGCCGAGGAGGGCTGCATCGCGGACATTGTACTGCGTGTCTCCCTTCGTCTGTGGCAGCTGTGCAGAGCTCATCGAGTCCCCATGGGACGGACGTGACTATGGAGACGAGTAGCGCGGATGGCGTCGCGGTGCAGAGAAAGGGCGGTGGGAGGATTCATACGACCTGGAACGTATACAGAGAGTGGCTAACAGTTGTACAAAGTAAACTACCTAAGTAGTCAGAGTGGAGTGTAGGATGCTCCAAAAAGAAGGGTCGGAGGCCTCCTGTTCAACATCTCCAGCTTATGTGGGCAGCTTCCAAACGGTGAGATCAGCAGCTATTCCGGATCCGGTATAACGTCAGCGACCGGCTCGTGCACGGGACCGGCTCGTGCACGATTTTGGCTACACCGCCAAAAATCAACCCCATTTTCAACCAGCTATATCTCAACCAATATGGGCGATATTGAGGCAGCTATTGCAGCGGCGGAATTGCAAAAAGAAGGAGAAAAAGTCAATATCACACAGATCACGAAAAAATATGGTGTTAATCAGTCAACTCTCTCGAGGCAGCTACATGGAATTACTGGATCAAATGCGGCCAGCTATGAACAACAACAAAATCTTAGCGCTACTCAAGAACTACGGCTTGTAGAGTATATTGAAGGCCTTTCAAGGCGTGGGCTACCTCCTACGATACAAATGATTCGAAATTTTGCCCAAGAAATTGCTGGAAAGCCAGTAGGCAAGACCTGGCACAAGCGCTTCCTCAACCGGCACAGCTCTAAGTTGACATCACGGATGGCCACCGGAATTGACTCCAGCCGCCACAAAGCCGACTCAGCATTTAAATACAAGCTATACTTTGAGCTTCTGCAGTGGAAGATAGAATAATATTTAATTGAGCTACAACAAATGTACAATATGGATGAGAAAGGCTTTCTCATTGGGGTCCTCTCAAAGTCGAAAAGGGTATTCTTCCGCAGCTAATGTGAGGCTGGAAATCACAGATTTATACTCCAAGATGGCAACCAGGAGTGGATAATAACAATAGCCTGTATTTGCGCTGATGGCAGCATGCTTACACCAGCGCTGATTTATCAGGCAAACTCTGGCAATATATAAGACTCGTGGCTTCAAGATTTTGATCCAAAATTGCACAAGGCCTTCTTTGCCTCATCCCCCTCAGGCTGGACAAACTACAATATTGGCCTTAATTGGCTTAAGCAGGTATTTGATCAGGAAACAAAGCCTAAAGCAAGGCACAGCTATAGGCTATTGATCCTTGATGGCCATGGATCATACATAACAATAGATTTTATACAATATTGCGATGACAACAAGATCCTCCTTGTAATTTTTCTATCTCATAGTATGCATACCTTACAGCTACTCGACATCAGCATGTTTGGCCTGCTGGCTAGGGTGTATAGCGAGAATCTAGCTAAATGGATGGAAGGGTGCCAGGGACTCTACAGTATTACAAAGAGAGATTTTTTCCGTCTATTTTGGGCTGCCTGGAATAGCTCTCTCAAATCCATGACTATACTTACAGCCTTTGAAGCTACTGGTCTGGCTCCTTTTAACCCAGAGTGAATATTAGCATGCTTCCGCTCACAACCAGATGACTGCCCATCTTCAAGCGATAGTACTTCGTCAGTACTTAGTGCCAGTGACTGGCATAAAATTGAGTGGCTTTTATGCTAAGTTATGGAGAATATATATGATGCGTGGGCATCAAAGCTCTCCCATACAATACACTCAATTGCTGCAGAAAAGCAGATCTTTCAGATGGAAAATCAGCAGCTCAAAGAAGCACTGATCCATGAGAGAAAGTGCTACCAGCGAGGCAAGCCTTTGCTCCTTAAGATGGAAGCAGAGTACAATGGCAGCACTGTATTTTGGTCACCTACTAAAGTTGGGCAGGCTCGTCAGCTCCAGGCACTTTAGGAGGAGGAGGAGAAGGCACTATGGGCTCAAAAAGATGCAGAGAGCAAGTGATGAGGGGAGGCAAAGGCTCAAAAGGCTGCCTTGCTTGAGGAAAGGTGACAGCTGTGAGCTGCGGCCAAATTAGAGTGCCAGCAAGATCGAGAGCAGAAGGCCCTTGAGGTACAGGAAATCCGGCAGGCCCGCACAATTGAAAAACAACTCTGCAATGATATAAAACTTACTAAAAGAGGCAAGCAAAAGAGCCTCAAGCCTCCTGTAGCAACTCTGCAGGATATTGAGGATATAAAGCCAGAGATACTGGCGCTAGAAGTAGAGGCCCTGCAGGTGGCTGCTGCGATGTTGTCAGATTTGATGGTATCTGAAGATGTCATAGTGATAGAAAGATTGATTGAAGATGGGTTGACTGATTGTATTCAGATGTGTGCTTGTATGGGTGAGGCTGAGGCCTGACACTGGTTTTGATGTTCCTTCTCTGGGCACCAAGGCTGTGCAGAGCACTAGCCACTGCAAAATCACTAGCCACATATCCTCAGACAGTACCGGTATAGACAGTTTCTCCCAGTTCTCCTCTTCAGTCCTAGATAGGATGTCCATAAACTGGCTTACCATCTGACACACCCCCTCAGCTTGGAACCCATTGCAAGCTGGACCCAACCGCATCTCCTCTTCAGAGTAGCATGTCTTCCAACTTGCCTTGCACTTCATCCAAGTCTATCTCCTTCAG